TAGCTGGGTTTGAAGCTTCTGACGTTAGTTTTACTAAGTATAGGACAGTTCTTTATAAGGCCCTTACGTGAAGGAGCGTTCTTCCTGTTGCATTAATGCAATTTGGGAAAGCGTTGCCAGCATAGAATGTTTCCAACAATAATTTTCTCGCGACAGAAAAGAGATGGAGCTGTTCTTGTTGAGACAGTATTTTTTCTCTATAATTCTGACTTAGTCTGTATTTCCCCCAATGCCTACCGTAAATATCCATGAAAAACTCCTCTAGTGGTAATTTTTCAACCCGTATCTGGGTCCGGAGCGAAGCTCGTATTGACGGATTGCCTGGATATTGCTGGAGCGAAAATTCTAATTCCACCAAGTCAAAAATCCAGGTCATACGCAATCGTAAGTAAACATTCAGAAACTTGTTCTTTTCGTCTTCGCTGGCGAATATGTGAGACTTTTTGCCCTGGGTTCCAAGTTGAAGAACGATAGTGTTGCCTATGAAAGTGAACATTCTACTCCACACAACAGCTTTCATGATTTTAGGCAATGTAGTAAAAGATAGATCAGTGTTGTTTTGTTTTCTGCCTACAGCAGAGGGTTTTGCTTTGCGTAAAGTCCGATCTTGGTTCGGTAACAACGGCATAACCGGGCTGTGTGCCATCATTGCACTGCTATACATGTCAGTCTAGCTTTCACGGTTCTTGATACATAAAAGCCTTACGTGCTCTCGTTCTTTTTGTTGCTTGAACTCATATCTAAGGGCTTGTTTGCTGGGTTTTGCTGAATAATGGCCAAGACTGCATTTTCGGTCTTTCTCTGGAGTTCTTCGAACATACGAGATAATGTTTGCTCTACACAGTCATCAGATCAAATCGTTCATATAATTTGGAATATAAATCCTACCAGAGTGCACGATTTGATTATGCATCAGTGTTAAATCGTGATGCATACGTCCCATTCGATACAAAGACTCGTTTCCAAGCCATAAACCAAGCGTTGTCTTGGACCTTTCCAATTCGCCAAGGGCTTCCTCAATGTTGTACACTCGTTCATGCAGACTGAGCTGTCTCCATTTTCCGATCAATCCTCTACCTTCAATCTCTCGCATCATAGATTGAAGTGTATCGTCAATAACCTCCGCTTGGTGAGCACAATCCTTCCAGATAGTCTCCATTTGAATCGATATCATCGCTGCAGGCTCAGGCTGAACACTTGTTTGAGAATGTTGTTCCGTGTGCTCGCTTACGGCACATTGTGCTTGAGAAGATGCGACACATTCAACTGCACCCTTATTATCCGAAGTCACTCTTGCCAGGTATATGAGATGCTGCATCTGGCTATGCGTTCTGTGAAGGTAGTCTGGATATTCACGGCTTCTCTTCATAAGGTAACTGCATCTTGAAATAATCTTGTAGCCTGTCTCTGCAAACTGGAGAGCTGCAGCAGCTACACCGATTATAGCCATGGCTTCAGCCATTTCGTTGGTAACTTGGCGCAGGTTCCTTTTCGCTTTCTGTTAATACTAATATCTCGTAAGCTCAAGTATTTTGGAAGTTAAAAATATCTCAAGGAGCTCTACGGTTTTCGACGCGTAAAACTTGATTGAGGATGTCAAAAAATACTAAGCCACGCGTGGGTACCTTGCACTCTGCCTTATTCGTTTCTTCGAGGCAAGGCTGAGAGCCTCGTACTCCGACCTTGATAAAGTCAACGAATAGGAAGTGTCCACATATCCTTGATGCAAGCGCTTTTTTTTTTTTAGCATCATATGGACTACCATCTCCTCGCTGTGGTTATTGAGGAATATATGAGCATTCGCATCCATGGATGTGTAATAGACGGTAGAACAAGTTGTATATCACCATACCTAGGTACCAGACCGTCTAGTACCTAACTAGGCGGTAGCATAGCTTCTCAATGTTGTAACATTCAAATGTTGGGAAAATTTATTGTATGTCGATGAATTGTCAACTGGTACCTCTTTTGGATACCTAGGTAGCCCAAGTAACACAGATCACAGTCAAGCAATCACTAATTTTCTTTTTTTCAACCCGTAGCATAGGTTTTGGCTTCGGATAAAATGAATAGCTAGGTAATCAAATCGACATAATCCCGCCAAATATCCTTCCTAAATCATTTCTTTGCGTGTACCTAGATAGGTCATTGTTGCCTTCCGACACTTTGCATGGGCATACAAAGACCCAACTATATACGTAACAAACAGAAGCTCTCCCGATGCCTCTATCATCTGTAGAGGACATGACTGGAGTGTTCAACATCGATCTAGAGATGTCTTATTTTTTACAGCCGGATTCTACCTAGACATGTATAAAAATACATGGAAACGTCGGGATTTTTTTTCCTTCTCTGCCCTACGAACGACCTAGTTATCTGGTTGCTATAGCGAACTATATCGTAGGACTTGGCTATAACGGATAGGGGGTCTCTTCGTGTCTATATATGCAAGCTTTGTATTAGTTTATTTCACTTCATATGGAAGAGAGAGCCCCGAAATGTAAATAAAGCATATCATATTGACATAGCATGCACCACTGCCCGCTGCTTGGTTTTCTGCATGCCGAAGCGTTCCGCCAGTTGACTCGGCTTTCAACTCGAACACAAGAAAATGGAATGCAGTTCTCGTGTGTCGTTGGAATAGCCAATATGGATATCTGGCTTCGGAGCTGTGATGATATGAGGGTAATTGGGATCATTGGGCAAGCATTCCGTGTTCCAAATTATATCACCTCCTCTAGCCTGATCGCGATACGAAATGGGAAGTAATGCGGTAGATGCCAAGTCCCTGACACATTCCTCAGGTTCACTTTCAATCTGGAGCACGGCACGACGAACGTCAACGACTTCCTCACTCAGTAACTTCGTGGAGCGTTCGCAAAAGTATGACACGATTGAGGGATTCACGACAATCGGGGGATATTTCTTGCCAGTATGATCAATCTGGACGCCGTTCGTTTGAAATACTGATCGATAGATTAGGTTTGACGGGCCCATTCGCGTTGCTGTTGACATCTTCCCAAGAAATCTCGACAACGGATGTTGATCTGTCACACGATTGATTGCCATCCGATCTACTACATGTAGTGTTGAAGGGCGCCTAGAAGCGCGAGTTGTGTGACAAGTGTAGGCGCTATCATCATTATCTGCAATCGCCTTCAAGAGATAAATTTGATCTGAAGTGATGCTATCCTCTCTAGACTTCTGCTTTCTTGATAGGCACTGGACGATGGGAGAATGAAGCCCAAACACGTTGAGCTGAACGGAAGTGTTGACACGGAAGCCGTGTTGATTTGAAAAGGGCAAGAGCTAGTTACGCTAAGTAAAATATAGATAGACAGGGAGATGTGGGATAAAAGCTTACGAGGAAGGTGCCCTTGAACTGCCTTTGATATAGACTGAGAACATTTTTGGAAGAATGAAGGAGAAAAAGAGGATGAAGGAGTTACTGTAGAGGTATAAGATGTAAATTCTTGTAGTGGTCATGAGGAAGGAAGCGTGGAGCTGCTGCCTGGATGCCTTGTAATTGCCTAATAAGGTCAGTAGTCAGAAGTACATGTACAATACCACCTACTCAAAAGCTACAAACTTATTATGGTGGGGCGACTATCAAGGGTGAAGGTTCTCATGTCAGTGTGTCTATTACAGTATCAGCTATAGCACAATGAGAACATATCGAATCTAGACTTAACGCAAACTTCCCAGTCTCCCATCTATGAAATCACAGCCATCATATACGAGTTCACACAAAACTATCAGAAGCATACATCGTCAGAAGCTGCAACCTAGGCCAGCCCTAGGAGATAGTGGGGATGAAGGCTTACTGTACCTGCCCGAGGTGGTGTAATTGGTAACACTCCTGGTGAGACAACTCCTCTCGGAGTGCCTCTTTAGGCAACAGGCAATCTAGGTTCAACTCCTGGCCTTGGGCAATATTTTTTTCTTTTTGATCTGTTAGAGTGCATATGAATTTTCCAGTTTTTAGCAAAACATCTTAAAAGACATTGGCAACCCTGGAGGGCTTGAATTAGCCATTTCAAGCAGTAATACATTCCGTAGAGTTTTCTGGAGGCACGACCACCGCAAGTCTTCCTAGCAACTTCGAACAACCTCCTACCGATAGACTTGATTTTATACTACAATGCCTTCTTTCTATTTGTCTATTTGGCACATGCTCTCACATACTTAGGGCAATGAAGTACTCGTTTAAAGCCAACCCTTTGTCTCACTATCATCCTCCATCTGTTCTTCCATCCATCTCAACCGACTCTTCCTAGGACCTTAATTCCAACTACAAACTTATCCTCTTCCCCTCTCTACGAATATAAATACCCATCGACTCAATCTGGAGCTTCATATTGTATCTAGTTCATCTCATAACAAGTAATCCACTCTTCTATTTTTCTCTCTCATCTGATTTAGATAGCGTCGATCAGAGGGACTCACCTGAGCAATACTATTACAATTTCCAATCAGGTAAGTATCTCTCAGATTTTAACCGATTGCAAGTGAGGAGACGATCTCTACTTCCTTCTTTCACTCCTCCAAGTCCATTCCTTCACTCAACTTTTTTTCTTTCTTCTTCCTCTTCCTCATTTGATCTCTTCACCACTTCTCAACCTACTCTTGGTTGAAGCAATACATTGACCTTTTCTTACCTTTCCCTACTACATATTTTCATCCTACTGGCCCTCATTTCTCCTCTACTCACTGAAAAGCCTAGGATATATTGCCTGTTGTGGGATCTGCAGCTCTTTCAATCACCAAGCCTCATTCGAATCGACAACACTCCATCATATTCAGATCATATCGCATCCTGATTGGTATTTCATTGCCATATTATCTCGTACATACCTTTTTCTCATGAATATCAAGCAAGGTAAGCTTTGTCTCTACTTCGACTCTCCAATCTTCAGCAATTACTTCCTCCGCCACTTTGTTCTCAGATTCTTACTTTATCATTGTTCATCTTCTTCTTCATCATCATAGCTAATTTTTCGATGCGTCAGATGCCTAGATCAAGTTACACTTCGGTTTCGGGTAAGTTACTATCTTGCAAGAATGCTACTACGACGTTCTTTTTCAACTAACAAGAAGGCCTCTAGAGCCAAGAGTGATAATACCTTCAGTGAAGGTATCTACCGCCAAGTCATCTACTGGGCGTCAGACACGGTCTTCGACGCGAAAGCATAATCTGGATCAATTGACCGAATCCGACGGAGTAGAAGATGTGTTTCGAGGGGCCGTCTCGGACTCAAATCCTCGACAGACTAGTCCTGCAGATACGGAAGAAGACTACCCGGCTATGAAAGGACAAAAGAGAGCCCGCCTGTCTGTTGCACCGAAGAGCAAAGCCGCTTGGAAGGAGCTGGAAGGTCGACTCAAAAAATCGGAGAAGCAGAGGAAGGAATTACAAAGCAAACTCATAGTAATCACAAAAGCGTCTGTGCTAAATTCCCGCAATGGTACAAAGGGCGTCTGGGATAAGGCGAAGATTGAGGCGGAATTCAAGACTGTGAAGAGGGACGTCGAGAACTGGGTTAAGAAGTACGGTACCACCAAAACGATTTCGACTTTCTCAAAGGGTTCTAAGAAAGATATCTTGTCGGCATGCACTGAAGAAGAATATCAGAACGTCTTCTCAAAAGACGATTTTGGTGAAATTCAGCAACTTCCTAGAGGTGCGCAACTTCTCCTAGAGGGGTTTTTGTACACTCAATGCACCGATGTTTTGATCAATCGACCATTTCTGTTCGTCGACGCGGTTCTAGAGGAGCATTACCATCCGAATAAAGCAATTTCGGCGTTCGGACATTATGAATCCGTATTTGAGGATTTTACAAAAAGTCTGGGAGAGTGTAAGTTCAGTATTACAAGGCATTTATCATTCATCGTTTACTAATTCAACAGGCGAGGCTTTTCCGGATCAAGCTCAACGGTGGATAGCGAGCGTGCTTCAGCCTTTGAAAAGACTGATAATCCCGGATCCACCAGATGATGTTGCCTCTCATATGAGAAATGAAAAGTTATTCAATGATGCCTATCGTATCTACGAACTTGGGATCTCACAACTTGCAAGCAAATTTCTGCATTACAGCAAGCCCGTCAAACATCTACTCAAGGATATCGAGAAAAAAGAAGATAAACCGAGAAATGATGGTCTCAAGAAAATTTACCGCAAGTTCAGAGAGCTTGCCTACCATATGTGGTGCCAGCCGTCCAAAGTCACTTATCGCCATGATTTGCAACCATTTAACCCAGACTATATGGAGCTTCATACGGTAGCCACTCGTGGACGTCAAGGTGTGAATTTGGAGGACTTCAGAGACAGCAAAGTACTTATACGCCTGTGTCCTTTGATACGGGGATGCACTATCATTCCTACCAACGGCATACAAACAATTACTTATCTGAGACAAAGTGTATGGACCGTTGATTGCCAGACATTCAGTCAGTGGAAGGCCTCCCAGAGTGAATCTTCCAACGAGCCGAGTGACGCCGCGGCTCAAGATCAGGAAATCAAGCACACCAATGACGACATGGCGAGCCCTCCCGATAGCAATTTTGAAACAGTTCCTGATGGCGCGACTCAAGTTCAGGAAACCAAGCACGCCGATGATAGCATGGTGAGCCTTCTCGATGGAGATTGCGATAAAGTTCCTGAGCTCCCAGAAGTTGCAGCTGAACAAACAGATCTCACGGGATCTTCGGATACAAATGATGCAACGAAGGACAACAACTTGGATGCTATGGAACAAGATTGATTCATTGGATTGCTACAGTCCTCAACTCGAGAGAAGAGGCTACGACTTTACGACTTTACGACTTTACGATTTCGGTTTCATATCTATGCTCTCATTTCATGCTACCAGATTGCCAGATATAAGAAAGCATTAGTTAGTTAATTCATATCATTATTTCTAACAGGATGAAGACATGATCCCATCACGTAGTACATAGTCGATTCCTTCGACTAAACACATCATGATCCCAGAATGCCCGAAATCTTTAACACCATATCTAGAATAGAAAGATGCTCGTCCGAGCCATCAAGTAACCTTTTGTCCATCTCTGAGAATACCATGACAATCTTGTTTTTTTGAATATCGGGGATGGCATCATTGAAGACAATGCGGCGGTATAACTGGTATGATTAGCGAGCATGATCTCGTAGAACGAGAGAGAAAAAATACCTGAGTCAACACTTGTGTAGCACTCCAACCATCAGCAACAATATCCGAAACAACTGCCGCAACAGCCTCGTACGCCGATCCCATCTTCTTCGGCTGCATTGCCTGCGACAATTTGTCCAGCACAGTCTCCGGCACAACACCCGCAATCTCTTCCACAGTCTGCACCGTAATCAAAGCAGGGGTACTATCCGCATCCGTCATCTCCGTATCATCTTGTGAATCTTTCTTCACTGGCTGTGTCGCGCCCACCAACCTCGCCGCACTCTGGAGATATGTAATAGCCCGCCGCAGATCACCCTCACTGCACCTAATCAATGTCTCCACAACACCTTCATCAAGCGTCAATCCTTCCGCAGCCGCAATGTCACTTATCCGATCACCCGCCGACGCGCCATCAAGCGCCTTGAAACGAAACTTGCTGCATCGACTCGCCAACGGCTCAATGATTCTCGTGACGTAATTACAAACAAGACAAAACCGCGTAATCCGACTATACTGCTCCATCGTCCGTCTCAGCGCCGATTGCGCGTCTTGCGTCATACTATCCGCCTCATCGAGAATAATGATTTTGAATGGTGGGCAGGGGTATTTTTCGCGGTAGGCGGCGTCGAGACCGGTAGGTTGCGAGAGTTGGGTGCGCGCAAAGTCCTTGATCTTTTCGCGCACAATATTGATACCGCGTTCGTCGGAGGCGTTGAGTTCGAGGATGCGGGTGCGGTAGAGGGTTGGGCCAAAGAGAGATTTAGCGAGGGCGAGGATGGTGGATGTTTTGCCTGTGCCGGGGGGCCCGTAGAAGAGCATGTGAGGGAGCTAGAGCATCGAGACAAGTCAGCTACTAGCGACTTGGTTGGGGTTTATGACAGTACATACGTTGGAAGCTTGTAACGTTCGCTGAAGGACTGTGGTAGTATGATCTTGTGCCGCGACATCGTCGAGCGTTTTAGGTCGGCTGCGAGCACCATTAGCTTCAGCTTCCCCTGTAATGACATTTTTCGTAAATGGCAACGTACTATTTCTCAACCCAGGGCTGTAGACGCGCCTTCTCTTCCGCATTTCCCGAGTTCTTCTGCTTCGAGCTCCCCGAAGCCGCAGCCGCCGCCGCCGCCGCAGCTCTCGCTTTGTTGTTGAAGAAATTTGACGCCATTGATTCTGTGCTCAGTTTCTAGTATTTCATCACAGACTGTTCTCTATGTAGCTCGGTATCGATCGAGTTGAACAGTGAGCGTTGTTCTAATGCTTCACAATCTGTCGTTGACTTAAGCTCAAGAAATCGCGGGCAGAGACAGAGAGACGCGTCAAATCTTATCCGTGTCGCGCCAGCTCATTTGGCCCGATACGGCTTAGGGCTGACTCTTATCGATAAGCTGATAAGACCCAGATTAGGGCTAGGTTGTTAGACTTGATGAATCGGGACTATTTGGCTGCTATACGTATGTATTGACAATGCATGGCATAATAGCCTTTACTTGAGAGTATTGCAACATATTCAGACGTAACGTAGACCATGATTACACCGTACAAGGTAGACATTTGTCTCATTGGTGCTTTCAGTCGGTTGCTTCATGTTACCAATGATCCACAGGTACTTAATCTCTTAATACTTTCACTTTCGAATGAAGACCGCTTGACATAATACCATCGAGCTAGATTCCTATCTCGTCCGACACCTCATTCCCTCCAGCCTAACCTCGCCCTAAAACCAAATCCCGCTCTGTTGATGATGCCACGCCAAGCACGAACTCAGCTCGGATCCTGGGCATCTCCCGACAGATATACGATATGTCATCAACTTCAAATTGCGAGAGCAATAAGACCGGTAAATGGATCGTAGTAGAAACTGGTGCTGGTCCTCGTCGGAAAGTGCAGACGGGGAATGAATATTTGGCAGCTAGTGGACTGTATCTAAGCCTGTTGACTCGAGGCTGCATCTTTTTCTCGTTGACTGACCGCGAAGAAAGGAGTTGTTGGAGTATTTCTTCCGATCAAAGGGGTGACTGGGCTTTCCTGTTGTTGTGAAGAGGCAGGTTGGAATGATGAGGAGCGTTATCATCAGACATGGGAATTGAAGCTTCTTTGGTCTTGTGGCATTGAGGTTGATGATGAGGAGAATACAGTCTAACGAACTATATAAGAGGAGGTTGACGAGAATTAGTTACATAGCTGTTATTTGCTTGCGAGCAATAAGACGTATTTCATGGCGCGAGTCTGTCGTTGAGTACATGCACCGGACTACAGGCGCCTTACGATGACTAGATGTTTGGTTTGAGATACTAGAGATGCTGCCATCACTGTGCATCATATAGTCATTCATTATTCTACAGCTCGTCATGTTGTTCCACAGGCTCTTCCCACATCCTCTTCTTCGGATTTCGCGGACCATCGTATTCCTCCGCTTCGTTCTGCGTATCTGACTGATCACCATTGACCATCTGCTTGATCTTATCCAGCACACTGTCTTCATCCTTCATCTCATCTGATATTTGTTCATAAGTCTTCATTACCGGCACTTCTTCTCCATCGATTACTACAGTCGCTGCGTCAGTACCCGCTGGTATATCTACAACTTTCGTACCACCGGTCCCAACAGCACTCGTCGTCGTAGCCACCGACCCGGATATGGTTGCCAGTCCGATGACGGAAGCAACAAGATTATAAAGCATCTTAAGCGGCATCCATGCAAGCCACCACATAGGGCCGTAAAGTATCCTCCTAAAGACGAGCCACACGATTGTGCCGATGAGAAGATAGAAGGATGTCTCGAGGTACCACGTATCCGATTTCTGGGACCGTAAGAGTGAGCTGACGAGATTTCGGGTGGAGGAAAGAACGGTATCGAGGTTGGTGTAAGATTCAGAGAGGGAGGAGAGTGCGGCGGTTGATTGTTCTATTACGCGTCAGAGATTCTAGCGAACACATGATATAAAAATAAAAAGGAGCATACCAAGAGTTTCTTGCGCAAACTGACTTCGCGAAAGCTCCGCTTGCATAAGTTCGTGTGTCCTCCTCAGGGCTGCCGTAACATCACTCGACGCATTCACCACAACATCATTCTGTGTGAATTTATTGGCCCCCTTGGATGTCTCGGCTCTTTCGCTGGGTCGCGCAAATAGCAATTCTCGTTCCTTCCTGCGAGCAGCTTCTGCATTGCGATTTKCCTGGAGTCGTGCCGTTCGGAAGTCCGTTCTCGTTCTGTTCTTGAAATTAGCCTCGTCCCATAGTACAGTCCTACGAAGTAGCCATACCTCCTCAAATCCCCATTCAACCTTTCCGCAATCCCAATAATCCTTTTTCTTTCCGCTTCCTTCTCCCCTATACTAATATCACCCGTCATCTTCCTCTTACTCGTCTGCCCACCCGAAACGTCCAACCCTTCAACCTCCACACTCAAGATCTCCATTTCATCTTCCACATTCTTCAGTCGTGAGTGTATCTCAGCGCCTAGTTCGAGACGCGCTTCGTCTCCTTGGCCAATTGCATGCGTAAAGTTTCGCAGGCGGTCGATTAGTGGTTTCGTTTCGTTGAGGGCGTTGGAGGTTTGTTTGAGGCGGGATTGGAGGATGTGGAGGGKTGACATTTTGTCTCGTTTAGCGCGGAGGGATGTGGCGCATGAGAGTGTCTATTTTGTGATCGTATTCTGAGTTCTTCTTTAGATCTTTGAAATTGTTGCTGTCGTAAAGTGCAATGATATGTTTTGTCGAGTGGCATGAAGCTGCCACACATCGTCATCAGGAAAGCGGGTACCTTAAGATATTGTTTGCATTCGATGCAAACACACATGGAAAGTTTCCCTCCGCATCGCGAGATCATTCCGCAATAGCATCAAAACATTTTTGCATTTAAGCTACAATACAATAAGCGGTTTTGATAAGATATAAAACTCAGCAAGGCTGCGCGGAAATCCTGACTACTTGATCTCTCCATACCACGCTGGGTTACACACTTATCAAATCTTGAGTTTGGTCCGAGGGTATCAACGACCGAGTCATCCGTCAACTCGAAAGTGAGTCTTATTGATACACTATACACTTCCTTCTCTCAATTGAGCATCTAGTCTAACCTCAATATCTATAGCATCTTCAAGGCCTTATACACAACACATACACACATACACCGGCTCGGACCGACCCAAACAGCAAAATGTCCATCCCCGTCTCAACGATAACCTCCTTCCGAACCGCCTTCAGCCCCTTCTCCCCCCTCGGACGGCCATGCAGAATCCTTCTGAGTCTTCTCCAAAACCCATCCACCGCACCCGCCAGTAGCGCGACACACATCGACATTAAAGTCTCACATCTACCACGTAACTCGACACAATTACCGGAATGCACAATCGGATTTAAAGGTGGGAAGGAAATCAAACTCGAAGTTGGGAAACGGAATATGAAGATTGGGGATGTGTTGGACGAGATTGCGAGAGTTGGGAGGGTGGTTGAGAGGGAGCAGAGTTTGAAGGGTTGAAATTTTATATAAGTTTGGGTGTATTTTAATTATGTTCGTGTACATCAATAGGTTTGAAATGGACTTTACTTGATTCCACTCTATTCGTAGTTTCTGATTGAATGGGATGCTTGGATTAATGTCTTGAACTCGTTTTTCTATCCATGACTATGAATGACAGTGGACAACGGACGCAAAACACATCGACTCCGCGCTGCATGTTTTGAAATGCTTTTGAATAAGCTCGACCAGCCTGGCTGCAGGAAGTCGTAACGCTTAATTCTACCATCACGCATAAGGGGTATAGGACGGTAACAAGTCCCACATGAAACAAAGCTTATGTAMCCTGCGCAAGCCGTATGCAAGATAAGAACCGCTTAAACAGCAGCACCGGAGATGAAGAACCACTTGTCGACGCTGCCGTCGATAGGAGCAGGGGGGAGGTTCTCGCCAGCGGGAATCTTGGAGAGAGCACTCTTGTCGACCAAATCGGGGGAGTTGGAGTTAGTGATGTTGGCACTATCGCACGTTAGTATCATCCAATCAAGATTCTTCGAACAATTGCTTACAGGCTGATGTCTCCCTTGGGGGCAGCACCGGTGACGAGTCTCTCCCAGGCATCAGCGCACTCACGGATGACCTCCTCAGCATACCTATGGAACAGTTAGTACTCAATCTTGATCCAATTCCGGCAGATAACTAACTTCTTGTTCTTGCACTCTCCGGAGAAAGCAAACTGGTTCTCGGGCTTTCCGTCAGGAATCTTATAGATACGGAACCATTCGTTGGTGGCCCGGAGAAGGCCAGGGAGGTGACGCTCAACATCTTCAATGTCCTTGAGCTTAGGGGCAAGAGGGTCGTTCACGTCAATGACAATGATCTTCCAGTCGGTCTCTTCTTCGTCCAAGAGAGCCATGACACCGAGAACCTTGACCTGCTTGACCTGACCGGTGTAACCGACGAGTTCACCGATTTCGCAAACGTCCAATGGGTCGTTATCACCCTTGGCCTTGGTCTCGGGGTGGACGACATTAGGGTCTTCCCAGGTCTGTTGACGTCAGTCATGATCTTAGAATGGGTGATTATTATCGACTCACGCGAGGGAAGGCACCGTAGTTCCAGAGGTAACCCTTGTGGGGGAAGCAGTTGCGGACGAAACGTAGCTTGCCTTTCTTGGTGTCCTGCTTAATGGGGTTGAGGAACTCTTCCTTGGAGATCTATATTGGAAAAAAAAAATCAGTAAATTGACCTCCCACTGCAAGCATCACCGCATACCTCTTGCTTAGCGTTGGTCCAGCGAGGAATCTCAACGATCATGTTCAAAACGGTCTTCTCCTCATTGGCATACAGAGGAATATCGTGGAAAGGAGAGACAGGGACGCCATCCTTCTCGATGAACACACGGTGCTCAAGGGTATGGGCCGCGCCGATTTTGCGGATAGAATAAGACATGGCGGGGKTAGTAGAATTCGAGGACAGTGCGGTCGAGGACGTAGTAAAATGTCTCGTTAATTGGGCAGCACGCTTGACGGCCGCTGGTTGCGATCTAGACGATCTGGGATTCGATCTCGCCGTACTAGGATGTAAGGGAGACGGTGAATTGAGGGGGGAGCGAGTAGAGGTAAAAGAACGAGTTGTTGTTTGTCCTGCAGACGAAGGTGGGATGGTGGAGAGGGAGAGCGAAGAAGGAGCGGTGGAGACCGCTCGTCCAGTCATGGCCGCTAATTGGGTCCGCCGCAGACGCAATACCGCCTTTCCAATCGTGGCCGGTGTGCCTGGGTTCATTGGGGGCACAAAATAAAGTCAGAGGAGAGATCGCTCGGGCGTATGGAATCAGCCTTTGTATATCGAGCTTAATCCCTATAGCCGGTCTGGAGCTGTCGCTGGGTGGTGACCAGGGCGCGGCAGGTTTTCGGGAATGGTCGATAGCTAGGCCGAGGTGTTGAATGATTCTTGTGAAGGTAGACTTTCGGCTTTGATAAGGGCGCTCGGTCAATCGGAAAACAGTCTCAACAGTACGCTCAAACAATGCTGGTATGCCAGTATAATACAAGGGATGGCTCTAGATAAAGTTAATGCAAGCGAGTCGAGAAGTCGGTGCAGTCGAGTAGTAGGGAAACAAATTTCTGGCACACTCCCGGAGCTGCCTGCCCCTTTCGAGCCATTGTCATTGACGCCTCAGGCTGCAATCCTGGTTCCCGAGCCACGAGCCGTGCAATGTGTCTCGAACGATTTCCCCTGCCTAACAAATACATGCATGCAATGAGTTGTAGGCGCGATGCTGCTACAAGTACGACTCGATAGATATATCGCTTTTGATAATGAGTTCGACGTCTCAAGCCTAAGATGTATCGGAATCGACTTAGCCGAGTCTAGTCAAAGGATGGATCTGTCAAACACCAACACTGGCACCTCGCTGTGGTTGGACGAGAATGCGCCCGCGAGGCTTAAGATGTTGCAAATCAACCATAACCGCCACAACCTCAGTGGCTCACGGTCCTTGGGTGCATGCATGATACTCTAATTAAAGAGCTCTTAGCGCCAATTATTTTCGTTCCTCCCACTACCCTGGTTCGTTGTTGGCCCCCCATGATGGATAAGTTTGGATCGGTTTCTCTTCTGCTCCATCTCGTCGTCGCCCTTCGTCTTGCCAGCGTGCAGGTGTCGCGACGACAAATTTGACAAGTAATCAAATGAACTGAAGTGGAACATTGCTGAGACCATAGCTGGCACTATGACTTTATACATCGAACCACGTGAGTGATTCCGAGGTCGGAACGAGGAGAAAAACAGTCAATTAACCCTTTTTGAATAGCATCATTGAAATCGCGAGACTCGACCTCAGATTGCCCTTCAAACACCTTCACCACACAAAATGGCTTACAATTCAACATGTACTGTGGCATTGATCTGCTTGCTGCCGAAGTGGGCAACACGGTCGAAGCAAGCGTCTCGGATTGCATGGACCACTGCTCATGGTTTCAACCCCGTTGCTTCGGCGTCACATATTACACCCAAAACCAAACATGCTCCTACAAAGGCGATGGCGTCAACTCGACCATGCTGAGCACGTCGAAGAGTGACAATGTCAACGTCAACAGCGCGATCGCATACGCAAATCAAATGGTGGCATTGGACGGGACCTGTCCGTACCAAAACAACTCGGTGATTGAAACCAGCGAAGGCATGCCTTTCCGTATAGTCTGTGATCAGGATATGGCCGGCTGGGGCGACTACTTTCCTTGGGGATATGATTATCGACCACATACGGAAACGATGAGCGAGTGCATGGAGATCTGCTCCCAAGCGCACCCCTTATGTCTCGGGGTATCATGGAACTCGGACCTAAGCGCTGGGTTCGGAAACTGCTACCTGAAAAACTCACAAAATGGATCTCTTTCCAGTGACACAATACATACACACTCCGCCCTAGTCAATCTGCCGTCACTTGATGCATGTGATTCAGTGTCCGACCCACAACAAATCTTCAGCAACGACAAAACTTTCAACGTGACGTGCTTTGAAGGCCGGGTCGGAAGCAGCAACATCACATCGGTATATAGCGCGAATATTACGGGGTGTATTGACGAATGTGCAACGTACAATGGGACAGAATCTTGTCTTGCCGTCTTCTACGACAATTCATTTGACGATGGATTTGAAAACTGCTATTTGTTGAATGATACGGGCACGGAAATCGCTCCGTTGAATTCTACCTACGCCGAACTTGTTTCAAGTGATAATTCGACCTCTACGTCTACGCCAGATAGCAGCGACAACTCTTCATCTAGTAAAGCGTGGGTCGCAGGCCCTGTTGTTGGCGCGGTAGCGGCTGTGACGATCGTTGCATTGGGATTTCTCTGGTGGAGAAGAAGAGCAGGACGACGGCAAGATACGAAATTTACACCTATAGAGCTAGATCAGAGTCCTCCGCCGCATAAGCCTGTGGAACTTTCGGGACTATCTCAAAACCGTGTGCCGGAGATGGACGGGGAAACGGTCGTGAGGCATGAATTGGCATGATAGACTGATGCATAATTAGCTTGCTCTACGCTTCGATGTATATACCACTTAATTGTATCAATATCACTGAGATGACCATAAACGGCGTTAGTCAATTTAAGGATGTGGTCATTAAAGTTGCAAAAACTTTCGGCGAAAAGCCACTATCTTCACGTGACCTCAAATTTTGCAATCTGACTAAACAATCATGCCGCTTTTACCCAACTACCTTACCATCCACTTACCCAGTCCGAGATCGCAACACCCGACAAGCAAGCCCCAGCTTGAAACTATCATCAAGAGGTATCCTGTCCTGATGATATGCTCAATCTCCTCCGCCGAACGATGACTTCACTCCCTCGTGTACCGATCCCCCCCAATGGGGTTGATTATCGCGGAAAGATCGTCCTCGCACCCATGGTACGATCGGGCGAACTTCCCTCTCGACTGATCGCATTGAAATATGGCGCAGATCTCGTCTGGGGTCCCGAAACCATCGACAGAGCTATCATGGGCGCTGAGCGCCGCGTCAATCCACGGAATGGTACCATCGAATTCACACGTATACCGTCCAACAGCAGCAAAGGCGTTGATCCCAAGGAATCGGTTATCTTTCGCATTGATCCGGAAAACGAGAAGGGGAAATTGATTTTCCAGATTGGTACGGCGTCGCCTGAATATGCTGTGCAGGCTGCGAAGGTTGTTGCTGGTGATGTTGCGGGTATAGATGTTAATTCGGGGTGTCCGAAACCATTCAGTACGAGCGGGGGCATGGGCGCTGCCTTGCTACGAACACCCGATAAACTCGTCTCTATCCTTGAGGCGCTTGTACGCGAAGTCGGAAATCCCTATCAGATCGGTATATCGGTAAAGATTCGACTTCTCTCGGATCCAGAAGAGACAAAGACTCTTGTCACTCGATTGGTTGGCACTGGTATCACGGGGTTGACAATCCATTGTCGCACAACCCCTATGCGTCCTAGAGAGCGGGCTATTCGCGAACAGCTCAGCATGATTGCGACTGTTTGTCGGGAGGCAGGTGTTGCGTGCGTCATGAACGGGGATGTCACATCGCGCGACCAGGCTTTGAAGTTAATGAAGGAATACAATGTGGATGGCGCTATGATTGCAACATCTGCGGAAGCCAATTCATCATGCTTCAGGTCCGAGGCCGAAGGTGGTCTTCTCCCCTGGCGGGACGTTGTTCGAGAGTACATCAAGGAAGCCATCCGCGTCGAAAATCGCTTCGGAAACACCAAGTACTTACTCAATATGATGATCAAGACGAAAGATAAGGCATATGCCCGGGCCCAAAAATCCAAAAACTACGCGGATATTTGCCATTTCCTTGAATTTGACGAGCTCATGCCCGGAGCGATTGAAGCCGATAAGATCCTCGGCCTCGAATCGAAGGGCGTCAGCAAAGCTATAGAGGAAGAGGCCAAACCTTCCGCTGTTCAGAATGCAATTGAGAACAACCAGTCTGCCAAAGCTGCTGGCACTTCGGGACATAGCAAAAAGCCCACCAACGTTCCTAGCGGACCAGGTCCCATTAGAACAAATTCGGCTCGAGCGAGTGTCCCTAAGGCGTCTATTGAGACTGAAGTTGATCTTTCTGCACCACCACCATCGACTGCGCAGCAAAGTGCCGGGGTAGCTGTCTGAGTGCCTTCCCTGGTTTAGTATATTATTTGTTAATCTCATCCATATGGCGTCTCGTGGAGGAATGGGCTCATCTTCCGGGCTCGATACGACTGCACATATCTTCGTCTTTTTCACATAATCTTTTTAGGACATTAGCTAGGGCATTTGTGGTGTTTTTGTTGGTAGATATTCGTCAATTGAATTCAAGCACGTGTATTAAATTGTGGTTCAAGTCATTCCTTCTGTTGACATAATGTAAACCGCAGAACTCTATGGTCAAGGAAAGGCCAGTGTGACTACCTATGAGACAAGTGGTTAGAGTGAATAAACGACAATGAATGGCTGTGAAAGCATTCACCATTCAAATCTCGGCCTGCGGCAATTTCCACATTTCATGGGGATGTTTCAATACAATACTACTCGCGTGGATTCATCTTAACGAGGTGGCACGCATGCTGGTCTATCAGGGCGCTCGAGAAGAATAGAATAAGTTCATGCCAATCCTTTTCAAATGACTACATCCAGATCCAGCACTTTTCGTCTGAAGGCGAAGAAGGAACGCTTTTTTCGCTGGCTAAGTACTCTACATATGTATCTATTGAAACAATGAGTCTATACTCTGTTATTGAATTCGATAACCAGCAAGTAACCTTTAGTTTGCCAATTATCCGAACAAGTCATCTATAAGAAGTCACAGTCTACCGTCTCATGATGGCTAGAATAAAGTTCTCTAATCTCTATCGGAATTGATAAGAAGGTGGATTTGTGGGGTTTGCGGGTCTTCGCCGGCCATTTTGACCGGAGAATAAGCATGAGAAATGTCCGGTGAGGAGTAAATCAGTTGATGGTGAGCTCTTTTTCGCCGGTTGATTATGATAAGAGCTGTAAATATTCATTAATTTCTTTGAGGAACCTTATCGGTTCGATATTCCGATCTCGTGGAATCTGCATCTTGTGTTACAGAATTTATAGATTCAGCTGTTGCAAGTAAATACTACAATTTCTTCAGGTCATTTGTTCTTTTTTCGCTCCAGGTTGCTCGACAGGAACTCGGAATATTTACCATGGGTTCAGTCGGTCTCAATCGTCCCGAGAGGACACTCATCGGTGGGACACTCGATATCTCTCGCATGATCAATGGTCTCTGGCAGCGTGCCGGGGGACACGATCAGAACACTGATATGGAAGAAGCTGTCAATGTCATGGAGGATACGTAAGTGACCAAACCTCAGATAAACTCTTCATATTGAAATCGCTAACTGTTGGCTTTAGGATCCAGCGCGGGTTAGATACATTCGATATGGCAGACCATTACGGCGACGCAGGTAAGTTAGCAGAAGCAATTGCATATCCTACCGAGTGATTTTGGGGATTAGGGGCTGACGAGTTCCTTATTCAGAGCTTATTATCGGCCAACACAACACGACCAAAGCCGGTTCAAGCAAAGTAGCATTCACAAAATGGTGCCCAGCAGAGAACGGCATCAAGACCTTTAAAAACGCCGAAGCTGCCGTTGATCTTGCTCTAAAACGCATGAACCAGGACAAAATCGACTTGTTACAGTGTACGTGCAGCCATTGCTACCAAACGTATCAAATCCCAGCTTATGTAAATGACAGACCACGCCTGGGACTTCTCTGACAACACCTACCTCCACAACCTCTCTCATCTCCACACCCTCCAAAAACGCGGCAAAATCGGCCTTATAGGCATGACCAATACCGACGCCGCGCACCTCAAACTTCTCCTCGACACGGGCTTCTCAATAGCCACAAACCAGATCCCTACCAACGTGATTGACCGCCGCTTGACGCGCGGCCCATTGAACAAGCTCTGCCTGGAAAACGATGTCGGGATTTTGGCTTATGGGACCTTACTCGGTGGATTCCTTAGCGAGAAATGGCTTGGCCAGCCCGAGCCGGAGGATATTAACAAACTTAACTGGAGTCTGAGGAAATATTTACGCTTTATCTGGGCTGCTGGTGGTTGGGCAGCTTACCAAAATGTGCTTGAGGCGTTGAGCACGGTTGCGAAGAGACATGGTGTTTCCATTGCAGCTATTTCTACTCGCTACGTACTTGATATTCCGTCTGTAAAGGCAGTTATAATTGGATCGAGACTGTCATACGACTCTGAAAAATACATCGACAAAAACCTCGAGGCGTTCCGATTGCAGCTTACGAGCGAGGATATGGAACTCATACACAAAGCGCAGGAAGGGCTGAGCGATATCCCCGGAGACTGTGGGGACGAATATCGCAGACCCCCGTTTTTGACTGCTGCGGGTGATACGAGTGATCATTTAGATGCAGTTGAGAAGGCGAAACCTGTTAAAGATGCTATTGCTGTGGGTAAACGTGTGGAATATTCATCTGGTAGTCCATGGGAACCCATTGCTGTATGTTGCTCTCTTCCATCCCCTTGTTTGGTATGAATCGTCGTTGACATTCTGTCCAGGGCTACTGCCGCGCCGTTCGAACAGGTAACATAATCCGCGTCTCGGGCACTACGACGCAAAAGATCCTACCCACACTTCCAGCTATCGGCGGAACGTCTGCTGCCAGTCAGACCGTGCACATACTTGACATCATAGAAAATGCCCTCAAAGCCCTGGGATCATCGCTCTCGGACATCGTGCGCACGCGCATCATGGTCCGAGACGCAGAGGTTTGCGAAGAAGTCAGCCGGGCTCATGGATGGGTGTTTAAGAATGCTGGTGTCAGACCTGCTAATACTTTCGTCACCGCGGGATTGATAGGGGATGAGATGCTAGTAGAAATCGAAGCGGAGGCAGAGATTGGGTGTGCCAAGGAGGGGGTTTTGAGAATTTGATGTGACCTTCTGAGATGTACTACTTGCATATTGGCTATATAATATAAATTGGCTCAAACAGGAATGAAAACCCCATCTGCAATATCAAAACCCGCGTTCATAAATAGAGATGCCCAGTCGTCATCCGTGAACTCCCAATTTGCAGGTGACGAGTCTTGCGCCGCTGCAGCGTCAGATATAGGTGTCATATTAGGCATATTTTCTGAGACATTGTTGCTCCTGTCCGTTTGCATGACCGATAAAACATGATCATCGGATGGAAATACTCCTTGTCTTTCATAGCTATGAGCCGCCCGGAATCTGTTCGCTTCAAGTGATGAACCTGGTTGTGCCCAACCCCGAGCATTGTCGCTCAATACAGTAGCATCATCGATTTCGGATCTGGTAGAAATAGGTATGCCTTGTTCATACGGTGACTGACAGTGCTCTTGATTTGCTGCATGGCAAGAAGCCTGTCGCCTACAAGCTCTTTTATATTCTTGCACGACATTTCTGAGGAAATTTGCTTGCAACGAGCATGTAAATGTTGGTGGTGTGGATTGCTGATCAAACACGCGGGCGGCCATGTCGATAGTCTCTAATACTGCTCTTTCGTATTCTTTTCTTGCGGTACTTTTTATGGATAGTAGTAACTACAGTCAACATGTTAGAAAGTTCTGCAGGGAGGAAATGGATCGACCAGCCTTTATGAGAAATACAGCAGCATAAGCAGTCATTGTATGTATGGAATCATGCGCAAAACTCAATAGTGGTGATAGAGAGTTGTGCGAAACTAATCTCAGCATGTCCAGTGCACTATTATAGGTGATCCAGAATGCTTCTGTATCCACGACTGGTGGACCGATCGTCGATGAGATCGCATCCTGGAGAGGAAAGGAGTATAGAAGAAGGAGAAGATGGGTGCTGAAGAATGATACCAGAAATGAATGACATCGCTCTAGAGTATTTGATTAGTCCCCAGCATTGGATACGAGGTAAAGAGATATGTACCTTTCTTTGAGGCGATTTGTAACCAACGCCTTTTCCAGGCTTCTATCCGAGGAGTAAGTGTTTTCAGCAGCGAATCAAATCGATACGGATGAGTGACCGATGGAGTAGGGCGCTGAGGATTGAAAGCCTCTAGAATATCCGCAGCAGTAAGACGTAAAGAAACAAATGCGGCGAGAATGGTATCGTTGGTAGTGGCCAAAGGACTTTTATACCATATGTTGACTGATTCTATGAAGTCACTTCGCTCGATCATCCAAGGTTTCCCATTTTGCAAGCTCATGCTGGTCTGATTTTAGTTTTTTCGAAGGAATGTCTTTAGGGAGGGGAACGAACCTGCGGTCATAGACAAAAAGCACTAGCCATGTACGTTCGATATTGCGTCTCTTCAGAATTTCGCCAATCGACATAGCTGTCATGTCCTCCTCTTTTAACAGTAATTTGTGCCAACCCAGTTCCATCGATAACCTAATGGCGTATCCAATGATAGGCCAGGATCGGGTATCATCTGATTGTTTCCAGTACGTCTTGAGTACTATGGCCTGTATAATTTCAGGAGATTTTGCGCCTCGCGCGATAGCGTCAGAAAATAGTTTTTCTGAATATCTATGAAGGTCGGGATATAGTGACGGATTGAATGCTTTTGCGGACACAGAGAGCATGACTGTCAAAAGAAATGAGGATTGTTCTCGGACATATTGAAAGGTGTGGAAAGAAGGATCGAAGACGCAGATAAATGGGTTAAAACTCCGGATGAAGCTGTAGTGATGTTAGTGTTTTGTCCTCCCTTCCTAGTGGACCATTATACATACCCTTCAAAGAGCGAAGTAGCTATATGGTACGATATAACCCTTTTCATTATAGGATCGCCTTCGGGAAATGTTGACGGCGACTGGGCCGGATCTGAATCCAGCTCTCTACCAATACTCAAGATGTTCTCCATGGAGAATTTGCCTCTTGTAGCCTGTTTATTGAAAAGCGAAGAAGGCTGGAGCCCATCGACCTCGGCCAAAAAGTTGGAGCTCCCATCTTCTGCGTCGCCGGAGGCTTGTTGCACATCGGTAGATGTGTTCATGTAGACTTCATGAGATGTAGTGAGTCCTTGAGAAGCATGTTCAGTGTCTCCTGGCCGAGTCCTTTATACTGTCAGCATATTTTAGCAAATCAAGAAGGTGTTATCCTGCCCACCTCATAGGTTTCCTTCCTCGCTTTCTCTGGACATAGTAAACGCAATCCATAGATTTCCGAAGGCATCTCTCGCACTTCGAACTATCCGCCACAGGGCAACATTTCATTTTGACTCTGCGACATTGTAAACAAGCTTTTGCACTGTGATAGAGAGACCTATCAGTATTCCACTCGTTCGTCGGGCGTATATAGATCGCCTAGATTCAATCTTGTCTTATCTATACCTACCTGGCCATTCTCGAAAGTCGACTTGCCTCCGCGCCTGGGCCTTGACTCATTGCGACTTTAATTCTGGGTACGTACTACCTCAGAAGTACCTGATTTGTGTTCAAATAGATTTAAATGAATGTCTGTACAAACCCACGAGATCAAAAGATCATGATAGCTGTAGTTCGCTTTTCGTTCCGTTATAGTTGTGGGTCCAATATCTAGAACCAACCCAGCCAATCACAAAACATTTTGATGTCTTTTCCTTTTCTGGCTAGTCAGAGAAATTAGCCCTAAGTTCGCGGTTCACGCCTGCGAAAAACTTGCTACGACAAAATCCAATCCGTGAAGCCGGAAAAGGGTAGATATTAGCGAGCAAGGTATCGAGGAGTAGTTCAACGGCTTTCGCGATATCGAGACTAGAACTACTTCGTACTTGGTGCTGGCCTGGAACGCTAGCATAAACCCGGGAGAATGGCTGCCCCACAGATAAGGCATGCCCCAGGCGCCGGTGAATATCATAGAAATTGTCCGGTGGCCCATGACACTAAGAGAAGCTCCAATAAACCGGCACCGTGGCCACTGGCCGTGTTGTGAGGATACATTGAGGAGTGTCTTATCTCGAGGTGGAGGTTACAGGATATAGCAGCCGATATCAAAAGTCAGGACGGGCCGTGGATAACTGACTACATAAGGTGGCCGATAGGTCTTCTAGTTTGAACAGACAACACGCGAATGCCTTCACTCGGACGTTGGCCCGACAATTTTCCATTACCCTGCTGCATATGCAAAGATGGATGGACAGAAGTTTCCACATGTCGATGAGCTCCAGAGCTCCACTGCTTCCCATGAAATGGGGATCGTGGAGAATGCCCCGACGGGTATGAGGAGGGACCTTTCCAGGAGGCATATTAATATGATTGGCCTTGCGGGAATGATTGTAAGCTGCCTATACTTTGCTCCAAATTCTCAATTACATTTATTTACGATACATGCTGTGCAAAGGGAACAGGTCTATTCCTGGCTGCCGGCAATGCATTGGCAATTGCCGGACCTGTAGGAGCTTTGATCGGATACATATTCATGAGCTTTTTAACAGCTTCGGTAGCCCTGAGCATTGGAGAACTCACCTCCTTCATGCCTGTGACTGGAGGTTTTGTGAGACATGCTGGCAAATTTGTCCAACCGGCCATAGGCGCCGCTGTTGGCTGGAACTATTGTAAGTAATGCAGGTGCTGTATTTCAAGCTTCTTGCAAACAAGTTAAATTAACGGTGGGTGATGCGAAAAGGGTACATGATGGCAGTGACTGGACCTGCCGAGCTCAGTGCTGCTGCCACGTTAATCGATTTCTGGAAACCCAATGTCAGTCCCGCGGTCTGGTATACGATATTCATCCTCCCGATCATTATTATAAACTTTTGCGGAGTGCGAATATACGGTGAAGTAAGCTTCGATTCTATACATGCAACGTTTGAGATGACATTGGTTAATGTTCATCTTCTTAGTCCGAGGTCTTTTTCTCAATGATCAAAATCATCCTCGTCGTCGGTCTTATCCTTGCGGGCATCATTGTCGACTGCGGTGGCTCTCCGAGCGGCGACTACATCGGCTTTCGATACTGGAAAGATCCTGGTCCGTTCCATGCATATCTTGTTCCGGGCAACACTGGCAAGTTCTTAGGGTTCTGGAGTACTCTAATCTCCGCCGCTTATGCGTTCTGCAATATCCAAGTCACGGCATTGGTAGGAGCAGAAACGAAAAACCCGAGAAAGCTCATTCCCGATGCCATGAAGATGACTTTCTGGAGAATTATCCTATTTTATGTTATTAGTATATTCATCGTCGGTCTGCTGGTGTAAGTACACCTTCTACAGTCACACTATGATAAAGAGTTTGGCTGATAATAGACTAGCCCTTATAATGATCCCAATCTAGGTAATTCGAGTGGAACAGCGCAAGCAAGCCCGTTCGTTATCGCCTTCGAAAAAGCCGGAATCTCTGTTCTTCCATCCGTCATAAATGCTGCCCTTCTGACCTCGGCCTTCAGCTGCGGTATGGCCGTCGTATTCTTAGCGTCTCGTGTGCTCTACGGTCTGGCCGAGGAAAAGCAGGCCCCGTCTATCTTTCTGAAAATGAACCGATTTGGAGCACCTTATGTGGCTGTGGGAGTTTCCAATGCGTTTTTGTTCTTGGTGTACTTGAGTCTGGGCAGCAATTCGTCCGTCGCTTTTGGGTGGTTTGTTAACATTGCTACCATTGCGGCGCTCATTTCTTGGATTATTATTGAAGTCACTTTTCTCCGGTTTTATTATGGGTTGAAAGTACAGGGAATCAGTCGAGACCGTGAGTCATGTCCTAGTCTCAACCGTCTTTCATGACCTCTTACTAACTATTCATAGGCCTTCCATACAAGAGCCCCTTTCAGCCGTACATGGCGTGGATGACCATTATCTCGCTAGTAGTCATCACCCTAACTTCAGGCTACAGTGTCTTCTTGAAAGGACACTGGAATACACAATCCTTTCTTGTATCATACATTGGTATCCCAATTTTCCTGGGTGAGTGACTAGCTGTCCCCAAAACATAATGCACTTACTGTGTATGCTAACAGAACGTGTAGCGCTTTGGGGAGTATCCTGGTATTTCTTTCGATCTCCAATCATCCCTCTCCGACAACTCGATTTCTCTGAACTCACTACGATCGAAATGGAGAAGGAACTTGCGCCTGAAGAGAAGAAGCTTCCGTGGTATAGGGTCTTGGTGTGAAACACCGCTTTTCGATATTCCACCTGTACCTAGCTATTATTGACAATTTCCTTAAGCAAATCGGGTTCCTTTCACACTAACTTTGGAAATTTCCGCTGTAAGATCGAGGTTATCGTGACTGCGAGATTAGGGCTGAAGATCGTAAGTAATAAAACCCAACGGTCCTCCATATTAACACTTATCTGAGTGGCATCAATGGTCGTATACAATATGTACGTTCATAACGGAGTGGAGGACCTCCGCGCCCTCCAAGCATTTAACGTCGAGACTCAAACATGGAGCAGTCCCCACTGCGAACTTTATGAAACCCATTCTCGTATGAAGTATGTAAAGAGGTTAGCTAACAGTTTTGAGAGGCAAACTATGTGATACTAAAGCACTTACTGCTTGACGCCTACGGTTGATTGTCCATAGACTGCGATGAGACGCTGAAAAGCTTCACGTTTTCGTCGACCGCTCCAAGATATCCTCTTACGGCAAAGCTTCTATCGGCCGTATTCCTCACCAAATCGATATATGGCGCTGTATTGTGGACTTTCCCAGTGGCAGAGCATTTTATGAGCCTTTAAGTAGAGATGATGGGAAATACGAAGTATGGCGAAAGATTGTGATATCAAAACTAAAAACATGTGCGGGTTGAATTTGAGGTGTGCGAGGAGAGTAACGAAGGCATAATGCAGTCGTTTGAGGATCGAGGCCTCTGATTGTGCGAGTTTGGCATGATCGAATCTCTAAATTTTTACTCCGTAGAAGATAGGTGCGTACCTGGATATTAAAGAAATGTGGAGTGGTAGGAATCATATGTCAATTGACAAACAAAACATTTTCCTTTCAGTGCGTAAGCGATTTATCGAAAGTTAGGAATTACGATAACGTGCTTGATGACAGGTAAAATCAGAAAGGGCCAACAGCGTGAATTTTATGCATCCCCTCTGACATATGTGAATGTAAAAAGTTGTCGGTTTTTTGATTAACTCGGATAATTTTGTATCAGGCTAATAAGATCCCCAGTAATTCGATTCAGGGGCTCTGACATCGGCAGATTTTAGAGTTGTTTTTTGACAGGGGTCAACGATGATCTCCCATTTGTCCAATCGCACGGAGAGTCTTAAAAGCCATGTCTTATACAAGTAATCAATCCAAGTGATCATCATCCTCGTTTTACAGCGGAGTGTCGGCGGGCTTGATCTGAATACGACACGTCGCGGCACTGCAATTCCAATTGATTGCCGACGTTTCCTCCAATTCTAATCCAGGTGATTGCGAATGGTGATCCTGGGGTATCGCGGGGTCACAGTGGCTTTTGTATCTCGTCCTCTCTTGTTAACCCTCACCATTATCTTAGGTAACTTCCCCAGCTTTTCCTCCAATTTCAGGAAATTGTGGCTTGCAATCCTTGAAGAGCATGGCCCTGTTCCACCTTATCAATATACTGCTCCGTTATATATGTCACATTTGAGCCTATTTCATTCAGGCTGATTCACAAAGACCGACCCTCCCCGTGATAAAGATCCTGATGATCCCCACGAGAGACTACAAATAGAAACGAAGAGTCATCTACGGATACGAATATCGGCATTTGAGGTGTATCTCAAACATACTAATTTCGAATTTGCAAGCTTTAAAGATGGTCATCTCGGCAGTTGTTGAGCCTTGGGACCATACTGCCTCGGTTTACTCTCAATGCTGTCTATAATTCAGCTCCATGTGCTGGGATAAGAAGAAGATTATAAGATGAGGGCCATCGACCGTTTGTCCGAAGCACTCGGCTTTTCTAGTTGTCGACGCTTTCTTCCTCATTGAAACCAGGAACTTTGTGACAACTTTGAAAACATATCAACTTTGGAACAACATGGCAATTCCATTCATCCTCGCTCTGGCGTGGTTGCTGCCAGCAGTACTTGCTGCAAGTCTCACTCAAGTGAGCAACTTTGGTGATAACCCGGGTTCTTTGCAAATGTATATCTATGTGCCTAATACCCTGGCTTCAAAACCGGCTGTCATTGTTGCGGTACGTAGTGAGATGCAATATCTCTGATATGAAAATATTCTAGATGAACACTAGCTGAGGATCATAGATGCACCCCTGCGGTGGAAGTGCTACCTCGTACTATGGAACGTACGATTACCACACTCCAGCCGATCAATATGGATATATCCTCATTTACCCGAGCGCAACACGGGATTACAATTGTTTTGATGCCTACAGCTCTGCATCTCTCACACACAATGGCGGTAGTGATTCGCTCTCCATAGTCAATATGGTGAAATATGTGATCTCCACATACAACGCAGATTCATCCAAGGTCTACATGACGGGATCCTCCTCCGGTGCAATCATGACCAACGTCCTTGCTGGTGCATATCCTGATGTCTTTGCGGCGGGATCTGCGTTCTCTGGTATGCCATATGCGTGCCTCTACGGCGCCGGGGGAGCTGATCCCGAAATGTCGAATCAGACTTGCTCTCAAGGTCAGATAAATCACACCGGTCAGCAGTGGGCGTCCTACGTGCACAATGGTTACCCGGGGTATACGGGCAAGTATCCGCGATTACAGGTCTGGCACGGAACAGCAGACAACGTCATTTCGTACGCCGATTTTGGCCAAGAAATCAGCCAATGGACTACCGTCAATGGTCTGAGTTTCACGAGTAATCAGACCAATACGCCTCTGTCAGGATACACCAAGATGATCTATGGTGACGGGACGCAGTTTCAGGCTTTTTCCGCTGCAGGTGTAGGCCATTGGGTGCCGACTGATGTGTCGGTGGTTCTTAACTGGTTTGGAATTACCGGTGGTTCGACGACGACGACGACGACAACCACGTCGACGACACCTACCACCACCACAACCACCTCCTCCTCCACCAGTACAGGGCAATGTACGGCAGCGCATTGGGCCCAATGCGGAGGTATTGGCTACACGGGATGCACCGCTTGTGTCAGTCCATATACTTGCCAGAAGTCGAATGATTATTATTCACAGTGTTTGTGAAATGACCGCCTCTATCGTATGCACATCGCAGTATCAAATTCGAGGAGGCGATGATGTATATACAAAATTTTGGGTGAAGAAAGATGGAAGTGTTATCATTTCAAGGCTGTGTTGAGATTTAATATGAATACGGTCTCACAAAATTGTTATTATGATGTCAAATGATATAACTTTTACTTAAGTCTCACTTGAAACGTAGAAACGACTCTTTAGTAAGAGGTCTTGCAAGCACCAACGTCGGAAACACATGAATTTTCTGAAGTAAAATATTTTCTTGAGTCAATGACAACTCGATGAGAATTTCGGGCCCATTAATCATAAAGAAAGGAAGGAGAGCGAATCCTGCGATAATCTAGATCGCCATATGAGATCAACCACGGGCCCTGGGGGGTCACTGTGCCACATAATTCTTGTTACATTGACTGTATTCTGCTGATACGAATGACATGTACTCCCAGACACTGTTCCATGCTCAAATTTCACTCATACTACCGTGCGTAAATCGAGTTTGCAAGTGCGTTCCCGTTCCAGCGACGACATCTATTGATTTCCCGTTGCGGAAGAGTTAGGGCTAGTCATGTATATGGATTCGAAATTGGCGCCCTCCCTGTGTATCAAATACGATTGTAATGCCCGCTTCACTCATGTAAGATCAAACCAGATATGATGCGGGTGGCTCTGTACGAAACATATGATCAGTGGGTTTCTTTTCTTCTACCTAGACACGAGGCTCTTTTGTGACGGCTTGGGGCTTTGTACGGCTTCGTGTCTGACTTTCCGGAGATCTCCGCCTAATTAATAATCTCTGAGGATATGCCCTTTATTCATGTGTTTAGTTTTTCACTAGCAGTACTGTAGCTATTTTCACTCCTCGCTCAAAACGCTATATACAGATTCCAACACAACCCTCAGCCCCAAAGTGAAGTCAACCCTAAGCGGAGTCAACCCTCAAGTGGAGCAACCAATAAGGCACGCGCTCACAAGGAATTTTGATAAGCTTCATCCACTCCCCCAGTCTGAACTACTCTCATTGCGCTGTATTTATTCTTTACGCCTGATCTTTTTGCATTTTTTTGTTTATTATTCTTGTTGTGAACATTATGATATTTTCTTTATAGTCTAACAATCAGTCTACAAACATGGAGGAGTCTGTTCCTGATACCCCCAGCCTCCGCAAGGACGTTGACGACGCAGAAACCGTCGCCACTGTCCTCATTGCGCCCAGGACACAACAAACGCCCCTTTCCCAGCGCTTCACCCAGCCTACCCAAATCATCGACCGCACTCCGAACGAACCTAAGTCAGTCGTCCAAGTCGCAGCTTCCTCGCCCGCAGGACCTGCTTCTTCTCCGGTGAGACCTCACCACGGCGGAGTCCTGGCAAATTTAATGGCCCCTAGTGGCACACAATTTCGTCCTCCTTCAAACCCACACATCCAGAAACGAGCGCCCGCATTGAGCGACGACGAAGGCCCTAATTACGCTGGCGGCTCGTCTGACGAAGACGAACTGACTATTGCGACGAACATCAAACCGCGCATCCTGTCGAAACCTCCTTCGAAAAGCCCAGAGAAAGTCATGGAGTCACCAATCGGGAACAAAGAGAGTTCTGTTGGATTTAAAGACCTGACGGCTCGATTCGCATACCAGCCAAGTAATAAACGATCAAGCGAGCACCTTCAATCTTTTGACCGCGACTCGGCCAAAAAGTTGAAGCAGACCACAATATCACGTGCTATCCCTGTCGACGACGACGACAGCTCTGGCGACATCAAGACGATCGAAGATATCGAGGACTATCGTATGCGGAATTTTGTTACGCGCTTATTAGTTTTGTTTCCATCTCTTACAATCCAAGAAGGCCTGAGAGCCTTTTCACAGAGTGGCGGGATTCTTGATCGCGCTTCTGAGCAGATCGCGAGACAGGAGGAACTCGACAAAGCCAGTTCGCCAGATGAAATCGAGCTAACAATGATCACACATCCACACGAACGAATGAATACGGCCAAACAAAACATCAAGTCGAAACAAAAAATCCTTCAGAAATATACGGCCAATGTCCAGAGAAAAGACGTCGCGGAGGATGACTCGAAACCAAAGGCTAGACGGTTGATGCGCGGTCCTCGACCTGGTGCGACCTCCTCAGAAGCCTCACCTGTCCCTGAACTCGCACCAAAGCCCAAAAGTCGCCTCATTCAAAGAAAGGATCTCAAGCGAGAGCCTTCACCTGAGGAAGAGAGTATGGCCTCCGAATCCGAGTCCGAAGCCAGCCCCGAGGAAGACGATAGTGACATTGAAAAGAAAGTTCTTAACTTTATCAACACATGCACGGTTCCAGCGCTTGCTGATCTAGCTGCTACGCCTGAAGCAATTGCTACACTTATTGTCGATGCGCGACCTTTCCGCACATTGAACGCCGTCCGAGCCGTAACAGAAAAGACTGAGGAGAGTGCGAGCGCTAAGAAATCTCGAAGACCAAAGAAACCTATTGGTGACAAAGTCGTTGACAAAGCAATCGAGATGATGAAGGGTTACGAGGCTTGTGACGCACTTGTTGCCCACTGTGAGAGTCTAGGAAAGCCCTTGGCCGCAGAAATGAAGCAGTGGGGTATCGACATGTTTGGAAATAAAGGTAATGGCGAATTGGATTTGGTCAGCTTGGAGCACGACTCTGGCATCGGTACACCGGCAACAGACGATGGTGACGACGTTGTTGCCCATGGCGGGCGCAAGTCTCGTTTCATCTCTCAGCCATCGATCATTTCGCCTGATTGGACGTTGAAGAATTACCAGATTGTTGGAATCAATTGGCTATCTCTTTTGTTCCATAAGAAACTTAGTTGCATTCTTGCCGACGATATGGGTTTGGGGAAGACGTTTCAGGTTATTGCATTTCTTGCGCATTTGTTCGAGCAAGGCGTTACCGGCCCTCATCTTATCGTCGTGCCTGCGTCTACAATTGAGAACTGGCTTCGAGAATTCAACAAATTCTGTCCTACGTTGAATGTCATGCCGTACTACGCCAAACAACAAGAGCGTGCTGAAATACGCCTCGCTATTGAAGACGATATTGAGAACGTGAATGTCGTCATCACAACTTATACTGTCGCGAAGGCGAAAGATGATTCTCGATTCTTGAGGAATCTCGGATTCTGTGTTTGTGTGTTTGATGAAGGACATGTGCTGAAAAACAGTGAATCAAAGATTTACGATCAGCTTATCAGAATCCCCGCCGAGTTTCGATTGTTGCTTACTGGAACACCACTCCAAAATAATCTTCAAGAGCTAGTTTCATTGCTTGGATTCATGTTACCGGATGTGTTTAGCAAGCACAAAGAGGACTTGCAGACGATCTTCGCGCAGAAGGCAAAGGCCACAGATACTGCGGAGCACGCTGCACTTCTATCAGCCCAGCGAATTGCGCGTGCTAGGTCCATGATTTCACCATTTGTGCTTCGAAGGAAGAAGTATCAGGTTATTGATCTTCCGGCAAAGATTTCGCGTGTCGAGTACTGCGAGATGAATGAGACGCAGCAGGAAATATACCGCGAAGAGAATGAAGAAGTTCGCAAGCTGCTTCTTGATCGTGCTGCGGGCATCAAGACGGGCAACAAATCAGCGCACATCCTGATGAAGCTACGATTTTCAGCCATCCATCCACTGTTGAAACGCCGAATCTACAACGAAAAGACTCTCTCCAAAATGGCTAAAGCTTGTTTGAAAGAAGAACAGTGGTCTCTCTCTGATCCAGACATCATCTTCGAAGAGCTTCAACCATATAACGATTTTGAATGCCATTCCATGTGTGTCAAGCACCCTAAATCTCTCGGACAATTTGCTTTGAAAAATCAAGAATGGATGAACTCTGGCAAGATCGACAAGCTTTGTGAACTTTTGAAGAAGTTCAAAGAGAACGGCGATCGTACCCTTATCTTCTCGCAATTTACTCTTGTCATGGACATTTTGGAGTACGTTCTTGAAACAATCAACATGGGCTTTTTCCGTCTCGACGGCCGCACCAACGTCGAAGACCGTCAATCAATCTTGGATGCATTCTACGAACAGACCGATATTCCAGTGTTTATGCTATCTACTAAAGCCGGAGGTGCAGGTATCAATCTTGCATGCGCCAACAAAGTCATCATATTTGATTCCAGCTTCAATCCCCAGGAAGACGTGCAAGCTGAGAATCGTGCGCACCGCGTGGGCCAGACGAGGGAGGTTGAAGTCATTCGACTTGTTACCAAGGGCACTATCGAGGAGCAAATCTACGCGCTGGGACAGACGAAACTGGCACTTGATCAGCGAGTTGTTGGTGATGATCTCGCAGACTCTAAGCGTAGTGAAGAAGTTGGAATGAAGGTGGTGGAGGACATGATGGCTGCTGATCTGAAGCCAACTGATGTTTAGTCTAGAATTTTGATGGTTTTGGGTTATGCTTGGGTTGATGGGATAAACTCACATGAATCTTGTCAAGAGGCCTCTCATGTGTGCATATAGATGGCGCTTGGTTTGTAGTCTTCGAGCTTTGTCTACTATTATTCGTATTTTGATACACTTTATGTTGAGGGCAGATTATTTTGATAATAAGACAAAACTTCATATTTTCATGACTACATCGTCATTCATTTGATCATAACAGTACACTTGTGCCTACCTACATAGGCATCTAATTTACAATCCCAAAGCCTTCACCAACTCCTTTCCAACCCCCGACGCACTAGCCGGATTCTGCCCCGTAATCAACACTCCTCCAAACTGATAAGTCTTATCAACAACCACCTTCTCCCCCCATGGCTGCTCAGCCTTCACATACTTGGCACCGGGGATCGCCTTGAGACGGTCTTCCAACAGGAAAGGCATGGCAGAAGTCATTTGTGCCTGATCTTCCTCCGTGTTTGAGAATCCCGTCACTGTGGCGTCGCGCAGGAGCGATTCGCCGGATGGAGTGGTCGCGTTGACGAGCACGATGGGGCCGTGGCAGACGGCCGAGACGGGTTTTTTGGCGGTTGCGAAGGTTTGGATGAGGGAGAGGGAGATGGGGTCCGAGACGAGGTCGAACATTGCTTTTTCGATGTCAGTTCCCCGCCATCATTACTTTTGACTTAGGTGAGGGGTTAGGGGGGAGGGGAACGTACGTCCATGGCCACCAACATAGAAAATAGCATCAAACTCCTTCGCGCGCGGCACAATGTCCGCTAAACGGACGGTGTTCTTCCATAGCGATTGCTGATTCTTGTGGAATAAGACTGACGTCTCGTCTTCCTTGAACAATTCGACGGAGGCCGGGTCGAGGGGCGCTTCACCGCCCTTGGGAGAGGCGATTGTGAGCTCGACACCGGCTTCGTGAAGAACTTTCCAGGGATGGGCGAATTCGGGCTGTCATTTAGAAGCTTTGGTTAGCAGTGTAAACAAGGAAGTATTAGACAAGAGGGGAGCGTACGAGGTACCATCCTGTAGGATGCTCGGTGTTGGGAATGACATTCTGAGATGTCAGGACAACAAGGACTTTGGGTGCCATTTTGATTATCTTTTTTGAATTCTAAGTACTTTGAATAATATGTGACAATCAGTGTGATAGTTTAAGGAGCTTCATAGAGGTCCCTCTTGGTTAATATACACGTATTATACTCGGTACAAATGTCAGGATCGATGATCTCATCGAACATCATGGATCAAATCCCGTAACATTCCCTCTCATTCGGTGGAAACTAAGGCCTTACGGGAAGCCTGCCCGAGTTTGTTACATTGACCTTCTTACAAACCTTATTAGAAGAAGATGAGAGTCTCGTATTATTAATTGAATCATTGTAGAAACATGTGAATATGAGAAAGCCAGAGAAGCAGCAAGAAGAAAAGAAGAGAGGAAAGCTGTATGCGCACACTAGTTCTAAAGCAGTCTAGTCTCCACTCTGTCCGTTCAAAGCCCTAACAAGTCACGGCACTCTGCAGAATTGCCGTTTTGGGATGAATGATCAAAGGTCATTATTTGTTCGCAGTCCAACTCAGAAAAACCCCTCTCTTCAGGCTCTTCGATGACTCTATGAGTCTATTGTACAGTTTGAAACACAAAACTCTCCAAAAATTCCGAAGAACACACTAGTGTTCCCCCTTAATCCCAGACTCTTCAACCATACATTTTGGACCAGAAAGCAAGCACAAAATATCTCAATCCCTCGTTTAAGGCGACAATTCTCCAGCGTAAATACTAGTCTCGATCTTGTGATACCACTGGGCCCATCTGTTCCAATTCAGTCAGTCAGCCAGTCTCTCTTCTGAATATACAGGGAAAGGAAATTAGACATACTTCGCATGTAATGGAGATGGGAACCGAAAAAAGTGTCCATCAGGAGTGCCCCCGTCATCAATTTCATAGACTATCAGGCCATTAGAAACGCATTTTTCGATCGTGGTTTTCGAGGCCGCGTTCCAGCCTATCTTTTCCTCTGGTGAGTCAAGTAGCTTCTTGAAGATCTGAGTGACAAATTTGCTTTGTCGCGCAAGTGCTCCAGGATACACATTTTCACCAAGATAGGTGAACAGCTGATCTTCATCGTGCAAAATAGCTAGGATGTCCGGTCGACAAATAGTGGGTATTGGCGTGACGGAGGGGCCTCGGTTGATAATCTAAGTCACCATATCAGATGCTTGGTTTCAGAACGATTGAGAACATAACTTACTAGCTTGATATAGTGCATGGTCAGTTTGAGAATAGTAGGGTGACCTGCAGTGAACCAGTAAACATGGCATGCCGCTTCTTGGTCAAGGTCGTACCCGAGCAGACCGCGGTTTCGTTGGAGATACTCCCCAAATTCCACAGTTGTAAAGAAGAGACTTAGTTGGCCATCACCACTTCCATGTGTTAGTCGATGAGAGATTTCTGGAATGGAAGCAAAGACGCTATAGCTCTCCGGCACTATGCCCTGGTTTGAGAAGATGCAAAATGCTAGTCCTACATCTGAAGATTGAGGTTCTTTGATGATGTTGTTCCAAGGGGCTCTTGCTCTTGATGTTTTCAGGGTCTCCTGGGCTTCGTCGATGATGAATATCAAATCCCTGAAAAGTAGCTCTTCGTTGGTCGTTTCGGGAAATTTATCCTTGGCATGCTCCAGGAGTATTTCTTCGGTCTTTTTCTTCGTAGCAGCGGGCCAGGATGGAATGAGGATTGCTTTCCAATTTCCACTAATCAAAAACTCATACACGAAATGTGCAAGTGTTGTCTTTCCAGTCCCTTTCGCCCCCCATATCAGAACAGATTCACCATCGATAAGCATTTGGGCAATTTTCTGCACGGTGCCCTCCCTGTGACACAATCTTGCAGGTATTTCAGTCGCATCGCCGGCAGGAAATAATTGTGATGTAGGAATGTTGCCCATCAGGTCATCAGATGGTGTTGAAAGGCCCTGGCGGACGTCACTGTGCGGCTCGGTCTTCATATGTAGTGGCAACTTAAATGTTGTCGAAGCACTAGAACCGTCGTGTCCATCGTGTAATTTCAGCGAGTGTCCACATTTTTGACAGGGTATGTTGGGCATGTGCTTTCCGAGGTCTGTCAGAGATTCAAAGACAGAGCCCTCCCGGCATGGGCAATCGAACATTCCCTTGAACTTGCACGCACCTAGGAGGAGTCGCGCTTTTTGCTCATGAGGAGTAGTCTCAGTAGTTTGCATCGTGATGTGGTGGGGCGCTCATCCAGGATCGAGATGAGAGTTGATGTTAAGAGATAGTAGCAAGCGTGTCTTATGTAATGGGATTTGAGTAAGTGGGTGGGAAATGAAATAAGACGTTATTTCAACGATTGAGTAGGTTTTCAAGAAGTTTGACGCGTCACAATACACGAGGAAGACTTGGGAAAAAACAGAAGAAATGGCTCTTTAAAAGATGAAGAATGGAGGAGGGGAGTGAGACATGGCATAGAAAGGTAAAAGGGACAGAAATTATTTTCTGTATGTGCCCTCAAGAAAAACCAAGTCCACGAGGTTTATCAAAAGAGGTAATAACTTCTAGGCGTTGTCAAATCTTGCCACCTTGGTGAACAAGTTGTAAGAGGGAAGAGAGGGCATATGTGATGATTGCCCCAGGCTCGAACATCAGGGTTGATTTGATCTCTCTCATTCATTCAGCCTCCTCCACTCGACTTTTTATTGATATGCACTTATGTATAAATCTAAATCCGTTTACGAGGCTTTTAAAGGTTGAACTAGGTGCACGAATCCGCGCGCGCGCTCACTTACGAGGCCTTATTTTAATGTCGAGTTTGGTACGAGAATCCCCTACCCTCCCAATCCAGTTGACATACACTTATATGCGAATCTAAGCTTACAATCTCACATACGAGGCCTCATTCTGGTATTAAATTTGGTACGCGAATCGTCCCAACCCCCAATATAGTTGATACACGCTCATTTACGAATATAGGCTAACAATCTCATCAACGAGGTCTCATCTTGGTGTTGAATTTGGTGCGTGAATCCCCCTACCTCCCCCAATCCAATTGGCACGCGCTCACCTACGATGCCTAATTCTAACGTTGAATTTGGTACGTGAATCCAATCTAGTTAACATGCACACTCACGTACAATTCTAGGGCACAAATCTACATTAAGCCTACGAACGAGCCTATGTACGTACGAAATTGGTGGTGGACATGGTGTTGGACGTGGTATTAGATATCATACATATTTAGGAGGGTCGATGCGTCTCATAGCTATAATCCATATTTGTATTTACACATAATATTGTATAATTACTAGAAATATAGAGAATTCTGATATATCACTATTTTCTGTTAGAGGCCTCACTGTAGTGTTACCTATAGCTTCACCATTATATTACAGAGATCTGTCATATATCAAATCTCATAATACCTATCACCTATATATTAACTTTTTCGCCAGATGACAGCCCGCTGTAGTATCACAGAGCTGTCACTAGGCCTTACTGGGCCCTTACAAACATCCATATATTTCCGCTACTCGTTGTACGTGCTGCGAAACGGCTCAAGGGGAATGTTATTCATCTACAAAGGAAAGGGCCGTAGCGCCGGGTTCAGTCTATGTCAAGACCAAGACGACTACCGTAAAGGATATCTCGTCTACGAAGACAAGGACAAACTGCTGAAGCCGATGGACAACGTTCGAGATTGTTGTCGGATTTAGGCACCACCAATAATGGATGACTGGAAGATGTGTTGGGACCGGACCGCCCGGGCCGCCGTGTAGATGAACGCTGATTTATTTTCCTGAATGATTTCATCGGGGTTGCAAAAAGTTATGGGGTCCATCATGATATGTTTTTCATTTTTGTAGTCTTGCAAAAGGCAATCTTTCCTTCTGAACCCCATTCGGAAGGAATCAAATCACCATAGCTCTGAAGACAGGATATAAAAAAAATCATCCATACACTTCCATGTTAAGTGGTGACTAATAGAATAAAGCTCCGAAAACCAAACAAACACTCTTCTTGTAAGTGGCATCTGAACCACATATTCTGTCTTGGGCTGAAAGTCCCGATTTGGCCATTCCATTCTCAGCCCCAAGATGTATGGGTACAGTACCTGGCACTTCCAATCATTTCATCGTGTTCCTCCTTCCATAAAGAGGCATATTTGCGAACATGAACCATGCCGGAACCAATAGCTTCCCTCACTTCAATGTCATGATTGCACCTCGAAAAAAATGATGCATTTATGGTACAACCCTACCAACCAACCAACAATTTTGATGCCGAGTCGGCTCAAATCTTATCCCTCCAACCCCAGACACAGCACAAACGCCCTACCACATATTTGCAGAATACGAGGTAGTCGCTCCAGCCAGTCGGATGAGAATGGTGTATGCATTAGCTAATTGTCATTTGCCCGACAAGACAAATAAGGCAATCGATTCGACTACTCTTCGTATAGCGGCAGTTCATCAGTATACCTTGCATAGCTATGCACGTCCCACCCCCGCTTATATGCACCTATTAATACTTCGATCTCCCAAGCGTCATTACTCAACCCAAAAACAAACCCACCACTGGGAAAAAAATCACTCTATCCACCGAAGACATTGACCAAACACACTCTACGGAGGACAATAAAACAAAATGCCATCCACAGGCCGCACCCTCCTCTCCCTCGTCGCCCTCACAACTATGGTCGGCGGCTACATCGCCGACTGGAACGAAACACACGTGTACAACCCACGCTGGCCACCGCACGCAAAATTCCACAACGGGCAGACCATGTCTATGGGCGCCGTTTTGGGTCTTACTACCTTTTACTTCCTCTACGGCTGGCCAGCTCAATCCTCCCAGTCTGCGGCAACGCAAAGGCTGTCGCTGCATACGGCGTCCTGGGTCGCGAGCTTGTACTGGATTACGCAGCTCTCGGCGCTGTTCTATCCCGGTTCATTGGCGGTGGATCCGGAGTTTGGGGAGGGGGCGCCGCAGGTGTATATTTGTGCGGTTTTGTTGAGTTTGATTGGGGTGGGATTGTGGTTGGAGAGGAGTAGAATTGCGACGGCGGAGAAGAAGGTTGCTTAGTCCATTACCTATGAAATATTAGAAGGATGGATGAAATTTTTGGGTCATTATTTATGTATTATATTGCGTGTATATACACTCCTCTCTCCTCTAACGGGCTATTAACATCAACACGGGGTTATAAAGTACAACGAAACTATGACTAGGGTATCAAAAACAAAAGCGCCGTGCCTGCCTTGCTCTAATGCGCATGTATCTCAACAAACAAATAAAAAATCAGTCATGGTTTGTCTGCTGCCTCAACGCTCTGAACCGTCGCGTAGCTTCCGCAGCAACCAACGCACTAAGTGCGCCGATGAACAGACAAACCGCAATCGCATTGGGTGCATCGGTATCTAGATTCATCCATCCGCCATCTCTGGCGCCGCTTGAAGAGGCCTCCTCTCCTTCAATCGGAGGCGGTTTCTGGCCTACCGGTGGGACGCCTGGTTCGAGGATGCTGAATACAATCCAACTGATAAACGTGCCCACGAATTGGGGCAGGGTTGTATACACATTCAGCACGCCTAGGTATATMCCCGCCAATTCACCGGTGGATGAACTTTCGATTGTCGAGGATGAGTCCTCAACATCGCTGTCGTCGTCGCCGCCGCTTCGGTGATTTAAGCGCAATACGTCCATCTCCATGTCTGGTTCGACGCTATCAATAGGACGGTAGCCATGTGTCCGAAACGTAGTGGAAGTAATCATCGTTGCCGTGGGGCGGCTCGGTGGCTCCAAGGCCAATTTATTGATCTCAATGCCCATGAACGCGAACGGCGCCCATCCGGAAACAGCCCAGGGGATACCGCAGACAGACACCAAAAAGGTCGCAAACTTCAACGAGSGAGCCATAGGCGCAAATATCATTGTCCCCGCGAAGACGAGATGCGAAAGAAGCCATGCAGTCTGTAAACTGGGTCTAACTCTTTTGAAACGACGCAGTAATGCCGCCATTCGAGGCGGAGGGCGGGATGTGAAGTTTGCCCGTTTGGAGTTGCTGTCGGGTGAGCGGACGCCAAAGGGGAGGAGCACAGAGGACAGGAATGTGACGCCGGAAAATATCACAAGGGACAGACTACCCAGTCGACCAACATCTCCCAATGTGTCGGAAGAGCTTGCGGCGTACTCGGGATTTTCGTAGCGAAAATATGTCTCTCCCACCCACGTCGTACTGTAGAAGAGGAATGGGAACCAACCTATCACGATATTAGATATGAGCTCCACAAGCCAAGAAAGCGTACGCACCGATCCAAGACCAGAATTGAACCCAACAGATGGACTGAATACGCGGCGGCAGATCCATAGTCGTTTTGTACAGTTGCGATATAACATGGAAAAAGCCATGCGTCTCATCCGCTCCTCTATCCATGATCAGTAGACGCCTGAAACGTTCAAAGAGAGATAATACCTCGCCGCTATCAGCACCCTCTCTTTGACAGAATACGACGTGATCACAACAGCAACAATCAAGAAAATAGCCGCTACCACGGTCATTTGCTTGAATTGCGTATCGCCGAATGTGGTGCCGAATGTTGTGACCATGTCTATCGAGCCGACGATGTACGCTATCAATGAGCCAATTGCCTGCATTCGAATTGCTGTTCCTCTTAGTAAGCGGTTTGACAAAGAAGGGACGAGACTTACCCCATGCAGAGCCTAATTGTTGTTGGGATATCGGTAGAGTGTCCACAATAAGACTTCTACAGCATGCTTGTGCTAGAAGACACAATATATCAATAACCGTCAACCGGGACAAGGGAGATGAACGCACCAGCATTGATAGCAAAATCAACCCCATAAATCGCCAAAACCGCAACCGCAATTGTCGCACCCCGTTTCTACCACCTTGTCAGCCTGCATCTTCTTCGTCCGGGTCGAGAAACGCACCTTCTCAGCATCATGCACAAACAACCCCACAACCTCCGACGTCCAACCCAACAACAACAAACAAAACGCCACAACGAGCGCACCACCCAGCATAAACGGCCTCCTGCGACCCCATTTTGATCTTGATCGATCCGCTATTACGCCAATGAGCGGGTGAATAATGAGTCCGGAAAGCGGGCCGGCGATCCAGACGAGCGATGTGCGCGATTTTGTGAGGCCAAGTTGGAGGAGGTACGGTGTGCAATCTACATCGATTAACATCAGTGAAAGAGTGGGAGGAGGAAAGGAAGGCCGGCGTACATGACATTTCAACACCCCATGTAAACCTTCAATACCCAACCATTAGCATCTGATAACCAAGCACTATGCAAAGAAAAGGACGCACGAAACACCCGTCAAACTAAACGCCAAAAGAGCCATCTTGGTCGCTTCCGACCGGCCCTTGATGGAAGGTGAGCCCGTCCATGATGCGGCTCTCATCCCCGTTGTCGTTCCGACTGAACATCCAACTTATAGTTTAAAGTGGTCGCGTATATGTCTATTTCTGCCTTTTGAGACGAAAATCACTCCATCAGAAGTATATGCGCGGAAACGACGGACGGCGACGAATCGAGTGCTCGAGAGGCAGGACGCGCGGAGGTGATGCGATGCGGAAGCGACGGATTCGGTATAAACAATCGTCTTGCGCCGGATCAGTTCTGTACTGAGATCGCAATTCAAGAGCAGGCTCTCGTAAGGTCGTCAACCTTCAACAAGTTGCTTTACTATAGTTGTAAATTGTCGTAAATATTTAGAACTAAAAGAAGAGTCTGGAAGCGAGCGGCGGGKCCGTGCCCTTGAAGCTCTTCCCGAAAGTCCAGAACGAGTATAGATCGCCATGCGTAAGATGAGGCTTGTCAGGGGATGTTCTTGGGTAACATGGGCGTTGATACCAACCTCTTATGGCATAATGATCATGGCTCTCCAGCTATGTTCATACACTATCTGGAGGGCCTTCGGTTCGCTACAGTAATTTCTACTGTATCTACTAGGCAAATGATAAGAAAGAGTGAATTATTTACGTATCATCGTAGACCGAACGCACTAGATTGACAAACTCTAGAAAGAAGAAAATAAACTATATCCCCTCCATGTAAGCACATCACAAGACTCCGGGAATAACGAGCTCCAGGATCGCTTCCAGGACGTCTATTTCATCATCATCGTTTAAGTAGATTTCAACAAGAACAAGTCATTGTCTCATCTCATTTCAGCATATATCGTTCATCGCGCACTTCATTTTCTTTTCATCCATCATCTACAACCGATTGGGTGCGGCAGAGTGGAGAGGCCATTGGTAGCCGGCAGCGTCACTGAATTGGTATCCGAAGGACGAGGTAAAGTCATCCAAAACTGCAGGTCCTCGGGAGCCTATTCCAAGTGTTAGTACAGAGAAGCATATGGTCAAAGACAAAACTAACCGTATGGGTACTCCATAGGAATGATCTCTTTGTTGTCGTCGAGGTAGTGCAAAAGAGGGGTGAAAATTCTCCAGCTAGCATCGAGCTCATCGTCACGGACAAAGTTGGAATGGTCACCCTTGAGAGCATCAAGGATAAGAGATTCGTAAGCCTCAGGAATCTTCAGGTCAGAGAAGCGGCGGCGGTAGGTAAGGTCAAGCTCGGTGACGACAGTCTGCATGGAAAGACCAGGAAGCTTGGAATTCATCTTGATGTAAACAGACTCGTTGGGCTGGACTCGGATAACAAGCTCGTTTCGGGGGATGTCCTTGAAGATTCCAGAAGTGACATCCTTGAATTGGATACGGACTTCGGTCTTTTGCTCGTTGAGGGCTGTACCAATCAGTCAAGTTCTATCACAATGCAACGGAGAACACTCACCCTTTCCGGCCTTCAAGATAAAAGGCACACCGTCCCATCGCTCGTTCTTAATAAATGCGACCATAGCACAGAAAGTAGCGCATCGCGAGTCTTTAGGGACAGTGTCGTCTTCCTTGTATGCGGGCTTGCTGCCGTCGAGGGAGCGGCCGTATTGACCGATGATGACGTTCTTGGGCTCGATGGCATCTATTCCTCTCAAGACACGCACCTTTTCGTCACGGATATCTTCGGCGGAGAATGAGATGGGGCGCTCCATGGCGAGAAGAGTCAACACCTGGAGGAGATCTAGAATTTGTCAGCAACCGCAATAAAACTGTCTTGGAGAACATACGGTTCTGCATAACATCACGGATGATGCCAAACTCGTCGAAATAACCGCCACGACCTTCCGTACCGAAAGGCTCTTTGAAAGTAATCTACCAAATTAGCGCGCGTCGTATGAGCGAGAAGAGATGCCATACCTGAACGTTATCAATGTGGTGACGGTTCCAGGTGGCACCAAAGAACTCGTTGCCGAATCGGAGAATAAGGATGTTTTTAACCATCTCCTTGCCCAAATAATGATCAATACGGAAGATTTCATCCTCCTTCCAGTTGGGCTCCAAGGCCTTCTGCAATTCCCGCGAGCTTCCGAGATCCTTGCCAAATGGTTTTTCAACCTGCGTACGTCAGCAGTGCGATTTGTAGCAGGAGTTGGAACACGTACAATAATCCGCGCAATGCCGTCCTTGGGGTAGCAGTTTCGCTTCAGCTGATCTGAAACGGTGATAAAAACACTAGGGGGGAGAGCCATGTAGAAAATGCGGTTCTGTTCCTTGTGTCCTTTTTCGATCTCTTGGAGGTGCTTGTTGAGGTTGATGAATGACTCGTCCTGGTCGTATTGACCGGAGATATATGTACAAAGGTTGCAGAAACTCTCGAGCTGCTCTTCCATTTCCTTGGTGGGGACCTTGATGTAGGACTTTACTCGTCGCAAGTACTCGGCGTGGTCCATCTTGGTACGGGCATATCCTACAATCTTGATATCCTTGGGGAGGAATTTGTTTCGGTACTATTGTAGTCAGATCGTGATCGTCGCTGCAGTAATGAGGTATACACACCAGACCGAACAGAGCAGGGAACTGCGACAATTGTTAGCAATGAAGTGACGGAAAAATTAGTCAAGAGAGCAAACTTACTGTCTTCTTCTTCGCAAGGTCACCAGAGGCACCCAGGACGACGATGACGGTGTCATCCTTGAGTTCCACGGAGCTGTCGATAGGTGCCATGTTAGCTATGCGCTCAATTTGATTGCGCAAAACACACAAAGTCGAAAACGCAAAAACAAAGACGGGTAAGTTCAATTCAATCGAGCGATAGAAAATGAAATCAGCAATGACACAGCCGCAGTCAATGGTTGACACAGCAGAGTGATGCTATCGCTGAGGCCCCGCCATGGTGTAACAGGATGGGTGATGTAAGCGCCACACAACAGAACTTACCCAGCGGATTGACCCTGCTCGGAATGGATGAGAGTGCCGGACATGGTGATATCTGAGCGATAGACTGGGATGAATCGCTGTGGGTGAGAAATAGAGAGAAAGTGATAGAGGGGGAAATGGAAGAGAAAAGTAAGAAGAAGGTTGGGGTTGATGGATTTTCTTGGAGTTGGCCTTTCCTGCCCTCCTTACCAAAGCGTACCCAGCGACTTCCGGCGGAGCAGCTACCTACGTACAGTAGTATGTACTGCACCACTGTAACAGAACAGCTATCGGTGTATTTTACAGCGCAGTCAGCCGCGGACGACTTTGGTTTAGGAGTTACTAAGGGAATCAGTCATTGGGTGGGGCAGAGCTCTCGACGTCGCAGTCTGGAGGGGCACCTCTGATCAGGTAATTTCATTACGAAGCCATTATTGATATAAGCTGCTAAAGTGTCCGGAGATGCTCTCTTTATTTTCAGCGGAAATCCGATTGACTGTTTAATTCTGTTCTTTGATTCACATTTCTTCCGTTTATAGTGAACATTATGACGTGTTTCGACCTTCATATTCATCTCATCGTACAAGCAGCGATTGCCACAGTCGGTTCTTCCGGCTTAGACGTCACCACCGATAGAGGGTGGAGCTTCATCGATTGCCGCTCCCAGCACGATGACTATCTCTGTTTAGGTACCTTTTTAAGTTACCTGCTCCAGTCAAAAGCAGCTATTTATTTGTTTGAATTGATCACAAATAACCGATCATCTTCATCCACTATCCTACTCAGTATTATGACATCCGGCCGTATCAGTCCAAGACGGAGTCCGACCCTGCGCCAGTAAGCAAAGCGCCCCAGAAATAACCGATCTCGCTGTGTAAGCTCCCTGCACTTAGCGCGCGAGTTGATAAGCATGCTCGATCTTAAGCATAAAGTCACCGCCATGTAAGTTACGTAGCAGGGGTGATACATTCGGGGTTTTCGGAGCAATGATCTTACCTCCAGGCCTACCTGCGCGGTGGGGTAATTACCGATACGAAGCACATACTGCATACATTCGTGCCAAGCATGGACGAACGCCCAATTTATCTCTATTTGCGGCCATGAAAACGAATCTGTTGGAAGTGAAATCAGCCTGTTGATTGCTGCATGTGGTGCGACTACTAATGTATGATCATCAAAGGCTACATACACCTAAAAGATATCATCTGTAAATACTAAATGGCGGGGCAGATGCGACGGAGCCCGCTCGCCGCTCTCACCGGTGGTAACGGCATAGTATCCGAGTGTATACCGCCGGTACTTGCTATGATTTTAGGGTTCGTTCCCCTGAGATGCAGCTGTGTATACTGCACACGGTAGGCCTGTAAGTAACGGGCATCGTCTAATTTGGGGGTACTCCGTACTCCGGCACTCCGGAAAAGGCGTTGTATGTGGTGGTATTAATCAGGTGGACCTTCCAGAACATGCAGCTGCGAGCCTATTTATCCGGTATACTTTCATACGTATTGGGATTACACACCTTATTTGTGTCACGTTGAATCTGGATAATTAGTAAATCTTCTTAAAGCAGCAAGAAGTAATCAGCATATCTGGGCAATCGTCAGAATATCTGCGCAGTCGATACTTTTTCTCGTAGAAGCTGCAAGAGTCGCCGAGACGGTGAGCTAGCATGAATCTAGTCGCTGTCATTGATCTCTCCTGCACTGACAACGTCGATTGAGGATGTAAGCTATATCACTAATCAGAGGGTCGGAGCAGTGTCATCCGCTTCCGGTGAAGCAGAGGAAAGAACTGCGAAAGCGGTGAACGTGGTAGCCTCAGGCATAGAATAGACACCTAAACGCTCAGGCACCAGACCTGCTTCCAGAACAGACCCCTGTCATTCCTAATCCGGTTAGTAGGGATTATTGGGCATCAGTCACGGGGTCTCGGTTAACCCTCGCTAGGGCTAACCATTCCCGGCCTAGCACCAGCCGCACCACAACGCTTTCCGTAGACTGTGCGTTGGCCGCCAGAGATCTCTTGGTTTTACCGAAGCGAGAAGAAGACGACGAACGAACGACCGACGACAACAAAACTCAACCGCAACGACACGACATTTATCTGACTTTCGCGGGTCAGCGTTGCCTTTGTTTTCTGTCTGCTCAGAGAAGAATTAATATTTTCCGTCAAGATGCCCTCGGAACAAGGTCACAGACGTGAGTTTCCCATTTGCGCTCGATTGGACATGGCGGATGAAGATGGAGATGGATCGCATCTATTGCATCTGTCGCTTTGCATCTGTCGCTTAATTGTGTTATGATGATCAATTGCTAACGTTTCACAGTCTACGTCAAGTAAGCATACCTCGAACCATCTCGATGAATCCCGCACGCGCACATAACTCTATCGAAGAATTCTCCCTCTCGACTACATTGCCTCGCTCTCCATATACTAAACACTGCACACAAACTGAACGAGAAATCTGAATGAGAATCTGACTGTTATAGGGGTCGCCACCTGAGCTACCAGCGTGGAAAGCGCAACACCAACCCCAACACAAGCTTGATCAAGATTGAGGGTGTTGATGATGTTTCCGCCGCCAAGTGAGTGATAATGTCGGGAATCAGACAAGTTACATCATGCTAAGACAGTACAGCTTCTACCTCGGAAAGAAGGTCGCTTTCGTTTACCGCGGAAAGAAGGAGGTTCAGGGCTCCAAGATCCGTGTCATCTGGGGCAAGGTGACCCGACCACACGGTACGCCATCACCTGCTATCAAAATGGAGAACACTCTAGCATCAAAACTCGTTACTGACATCGGGATAGGCAACTCCGGCGTCGTCCGCGCTCAATTCCGACACAACCTTCCTCCTCAGACTTTCGGTGCCACCGTCCGCGTCATGCTCTACCCTTCAAACATCTAAATCAGCCGTTCCGCGAGCCGGGGTGCACTGTGTTTTCTGTTTTGTGTTTGTTAATGTAATGAAGGGCGAGGCCTGTTCTGGCCACGGCATGGGCATGGGAATTCAAAAACGAGGCTCTTTTCATTCAATCTTTTCTTCGTCCTCCCTTTTGGGGCAAACCGGTTGCACAACAGATTATTCGTGATTTGATGGGAGTTGGTTTCGAGGTTTCGAAAGGCTGGGAAAAGAACAAGAGAGAACGGAAAAAGAATACATGGCATGGGCAGTCATACCAATCCTAACAGCAGAGATTAGCCAAGTCTTTGTTTGTTTGTTATAAAAACCTTTCTCTTTGTCCAGATTGAAGAGGAACAAAAAAATCAAAATATGATTTTAAAAGAATACCCATTTACAGCCATTGGATTGGTGTCAAGTTTTGTGACTTTTAATCTTGTATTGATTGGAGGTATTCGTGGTGCGTGATGGCACTTCATCTAACCTTGCTAGCAAGTATTGGAATTTGATTTCAAACAAGAGACGAATTTTGATATACAGACTCGGTGTTCATACAACATAGAATCGACATTCATTATTGGACGGGTCCAGTAACCATCAATGACCATATACTAGCAGCGCACTCAGATGAAGGGATTGTGACTTTCTCTCTTGATTGAAGACCACTATATAGAATCAGCCCTTGACTACTCAAAGTGATCGATCGCCATCGACTCTATCGAAAGCTCTCGCAACCCAGAAAATTACCTTGCATGTAATGCAATGAGACCTTGTATGGTGTTCGTGACTGGAAGATTATTCTACTTCATACTAAAACTACGTATCGCATATCTAATGTGAGAGCTAGTTTGAAGATCGGAAACCCTCGCCGGCGCCTTTAGAGGCACAAATATTTGCGTATGACTTACTCTGTACACCGCAAGGGTGATACCCAACTTCCATACTAATGAACAAAAGTCGATATTCAAACAATTCGTAGACTCTTTTAAGACCGTTGCAAGGTGAGCATTCAATTGAAGATGTGTAACCAATCATCACGGCGGTCTCCACAATTGTCTAGCTCAGACTAGTTTAAAGCCCAACTCCACATCTATCAATTCATTTGCATCATCGTCGCCATCAGACCACAACTTATTCAACAAATATTTTCCTCAAGGCAGAGACAGAGACATAGAAGACAATATGGTCGTCCCCGGTCGCCGCTCTCAACCAAATCATCGCGTTTCGCCGCCGCCCCCTCCAGAGAAATCAGACAATGCATCCGTATTATCGCAGGGCAGTACTACTCCATCGGATATATCTCCTGCTGTACCTGTGTATGTTCCTCACAACCGCCTTGCGATTATAATGAGTATGGGTGCAAACTGACGACAACAGAGAAACAATATACAAACTCCTCGCATTCACATTTGCCATGATCTGTGGTCCGCTCGCGGCTTATTTCTTGAGTGTCAAGACTTTCTTCAGCGGTATTCCATTTTTCCTCTTTCTAAAATTTTCTACTCGGCATGACGCTGACACATTTCAAAGGTAATGCTACGCTTGCCGGAGCATTGGCAGCGTTGACTGCCAATGTGGTACTGATTGCGTATGTGGTTGTAGCTTGGCAAGAGGACAAGGAGGATCAGGCAAAGAGGAGAGAGAAGAAGGGTCAGTAATCTGCCTTCTATAATTATCCAAGGGAATATTATATTGTATTTTAATGAACGATGAAATCCCATGCCATTCATATCGCACATACGTATTCCGTAGAATAACGGGGTATCTATCATAACCTACACCATTTTCTCGCTCGCTCACTCTTTTTAAGTCTCTTATGGATATTGCGGCCTCCTCCTAACAAACTCCTGCAAGTCTCCCTCTGTCACAACGCCCAACACAAACTTCCTCGTCGGGTCCGTCACAATCGCAAAATCCTGCTTCCCCAATCCCGCCGTCGAATTCACTTCCCCTTCTCTAGCCGTCATAGGCTCACCCTTGAAAAACCTCTCCAACTCTTCAAGCGGTGTATCCATTGTGATAACCGTGTACACATTTGTGCGTTTGCGATTGAATCGTTGCATGGCGGCTTTGACGGGGTCGGTTTCGGAGACTTTTCCCTCGCGTAAGAGGGTTTTGAGGCGTGGAATGCTCAGATACCCCAGTAGGGCACGTGTGCTGGAGGATATTACGGTCAAGTGGCTGTAGTCGCGCTCATAGGCGGCGAGTTGGGCGGAGGAGATAGAGTCATTAGGGGAGACGGAGAGGGCTGGAGGGGGGTCGAGGTCTTCGACGACGGCCTGTTTTAGTCAGATTCTGCTGCTATTGATATGTTCTTTGAATAAGAGGGCGTACCCCGCGGTATTTGTCGGACCAGGAATTCAGGTTCTGCGTCGAGGAGGCGGTGACTTGGTCTGTGAGATTTTCGCGGGCGAGCGTCTCGCCGACGGAAGAGTAGGTTGCCATTGTCTGTGTCGTGGTGGTGGATCGAAAATACGAAGTGGTGGTGAAAAGCGAAGATTTGAGGTTACACTTTGCCGCAAATAGCTTCGGAAACTACCCGGGCTGCCGAGTCGAGGTTAGACCCCGAAGACGTCACTCGGCCCTCAAGTCCTTCTTCACCTTCACCTCCCTCCTCTCTACTCATACTTGTAATTACCTCAATCCTCACTTGTAAAGCAGCTGAATTGAGCCAAAATCTCATTGAAAATGCCGTCCATATACCCCTCCCCCTCCACTCTCCAATCCAATTTCTCTCCCCCAAATCAACAGCGCCAACCATTCACAGCATGGAGCGCAATCGACGACATCAAACAAAAGACCGAAAACATGAGTAACAAAGCACAGGCCAAAACCGGCAAGATTGAAATGTTTTCGGGCAAGTATTATGCGGCGTGCACTTTCGGCGGGTTGCTTGCTTGTGTGAGTATACATCTAAATTGATTAGCTGTAGTCCTTTTATTTTTTCTGTAAAAGTTTTGAAATCTTGAGATGTCTTGTTTCGGTCAATTGGCCAATAACTTGATATAGGGCCTGACGCATACCGCCGTCACGCCACTGGATCTGGTCAAATGTCGACGCCAGGTTGATCCAACCCTCTACAAGGGCAACATGGAAGCATGGAGACTCATCTACCGCGCCGAAGGCATCAGAGGCGTGTTTACCGGTTGGAGCCCTACGTTTTTCGGATACTCCGTATGCCCCTCACTTTTAGTCTCTATCATGTATCGACCATGGCTAACGAAAGACAGGCGCAAGGAGCATTCAAATATGGCGGCTACGAATTCTTCAAGTCGTTCTACAGCGACCYGGTCGGCCCCGAAAAGGCCGCGCAATGGAAGACGAGTGTCTATCTCGCGGCTAGTGCGTCGGCAGAATTCTTTGCGGACATTGCTCTCTGCCCGTTTGAGGCTGTCAAGGTCCGGACGCAGACTACCATGCCGCCTTTTGCGACGGGGACGTTTGACGGAATCAACAAGATTGTCGCGAAAGAGGGTCGTGCTGGGTCTGTTTCCTCTCTGGCGTGGAGAAAAGCAGGCGCTGATGTTATACAGACTATTCAAAGGATTGTATCCCCTTTGGGGCCGTCAAATCCCTTACACAATGATGAAATTCGCCTCCTTCGAGACCATCGTCGAAATGATTTATGGCTACTTACCCGGCAAGAAAGCGGACTATAGCAAATCGTCTCAGACTGCCGTTGCGTTTACGGGTGGTTACTTGGCAGGTATTCTGTGTGCCATCGTCTCGCATCCCGCCGATGTCATGGTCAGTAAACTGAATGCGTCGCGACAGCCTGGTGAAGCGTTTGGGGCTGCTATGTCGAGGATCTATAAGGATATTGGATTTGGAGGGTTGTGGAATGGTTTGGGGGTGAGGATTGTTATGGTTGGGACTTTGGTATGCCCTTTGTTCTTTGCGAGGATAGAAGAACAGTAGCTAACGTTGAGAAAAGACTGGATTGCAGTGGATGATGTACGTTCTGCTCGTGAAATTTGACTACGGGTGAGCTGACTGGCACAGATACGACTCGTTCAAGATCTTCATGGGCCTGCCGACGACAGGGGGCCAGATTCCAGAGAAGAAAGAGAACTAATACTAATGGTAGGTCCTTAACTTGCAGCTTCAGTTCTCGTGTATTAGATCAATTATCCATAATGAATCTCCATTCCATCATCTGTTTTCTTTTCATATACATACATAGATACTATACACCATCCCGTCCCACACTATCCCTTGCCATCTGATAAACCCCCTTATAGCCCTCCACCGTTTCGGCCATCTCCTCGAGCACAATCTGCGCCACCTTCGCATTTCGATGCAATACCACACCACACGGATTCAGCACCTGCATCATCGCGCCCATCGCGCCTTCGTAGCCTGCATCAACCACGCCAGCGACAACACTCACACCAGACCTCCACAACGACGAGCGCGGAAAGACAGTGCCCATACAATTGGTAGGAATGCGGACTGTTTCATTGAAGTCGATTAGATACGTGCCCGGCTCCAGCTTGATTTTGTCATTGCTGTCCGGAGGGAATGGGATGAGGGATGTGGTTGCGGCAATTCGGTGCGTATTGTCAAAGTCTATGGTTGCCGGGGAGCTCCATGCGGAGATTTGGCGGAGGGTAAGGTCGATGCCGCAGGGTTGTTGTTGGTGGGTTTGGTGAAGGAGGTTTTGCACGATGTGGCGGGCGAGTATCTGGCGGCCGCTGAGGATCATAGTTATATATCGAGGAGTGTTCGAAGATTTGGGGTGATGAATAATTACATGTGTTGGTAGGTCAAATACGAAGAACAAGTAAATAAACAATTGTTTTGGAGCTAGCACGCTATTTTATAGATCTGGGCGTGCTTCCCGAGCTACATAATCAATTGATTGATCAGGTCAGTTGGTCTCTGCAATCTCAACCTTGTATGTACATAACTCCTGCCATATCGCTAAATCGAAGTACTAATACTTAGTTACTGGATTCCCTTGATACTTCCCAATCATCAGATTAAAGGATTGCTCGGGATCTTTTTGGCTCGTATCCCCGAAAACATGATCGATAATCCGGGGTGCATCTCTATTCGAGATCGCGTATTGCATCCGCCATATCCCCCAGTGATCTGAACTGAAAGTCTAGCGATAGCTGACCCTGGACTTGCGACAGTTCCCCGCCCATCGCATTCGGTTTCCTCTCTATCCAGCAAGTACCCAGTCCCAACTTCTGTGCCGGAACCAGGTCATGAACCAAAGCATATGCGGTATGCAAGATCTTCTCCTTCGGAACTTGGAGATCTCTTTCGCAATGTTGTACGAGATACTGAAAGTTATTTAGGTCCGGCTTGTAAGATCCGATTTCTTCGGCAATGTAGGTGGCATCGAATTTGAAACCTCCCAGCGGACCAGTAAGCGTCTTGCTGAATGATTCCTTGTCAACGTTGGACAGGATGACCAGCTTGAAATGGTTCTGAAGTTCGCGTAGCGCTGGCAGAGTATCGGGGAACGCAGGCCAGGATCCGATACTGGCCCCAAACGCTACACTCTCGTTGTCGGTGATTGTTTCTCTGAGGTCCCATTCAGAGGCCAATTCTTCGTAGACCTTGGATAATATCGATGCGTATTTCAGAGTTGGGAATGCTTCCTGAATGCGACCTTCGTGATGCTTGTAACGTTGCAAGATTGCGATCTTGTCATCTTTTAAGGGATGTTGCTTGTCTAAGCGATCAAGCAATGGTTTTAAGCCTTGGACTATTCCGCCCTCCCAGTCGACGAGAGTACCGTAGCAGTCAAACGAGAGTAAGTCGTATGTCTCCAGAGATCGTGCCATATCGATGTGTTACTTGGTCGTAGGATGGCTGTTATTCCAGCACTAGAATAATCGTTTCGTGTTTCTAGTGAAAGCTAGGTCAAGGAGATTGTAAGAGAAAAGGACATGTCCTCGCTCTCTGAGGCTTCAGCCGCTCCTCCATGACGCCAACTTGCATATCCGTAGCTAGGCAAGACATGGACGCCGACAGTAAGATTTTAATTACTACCACTTCCAGACAACAGGGAAGCGCACGCCAATGAGACTAGCCGAATAAAGACCACTGGTTGAACAAGTGTGGATTGAACTTTTTCCCACTATCCTCTCATATAAATAGACATCACCCTTTCCCTCTCATATAAATAGACATCCTGCTTCTTCCGTCATGCCTCTTGATCATGCCGCGGCCAAGACGGGACCGAACCTTTACGGTAAGAATTCTGCAAGTTGTGGCTCATTTGTGCAAAGGGGCTGGTCTGTGGGCATGGCCAACTGAGAATATGGCACGCTTCCTACTACCGAGTGTTATTGAGATTCTGCAGGAGATCAAGAAGACGCTGGACAAGGCGACGCTCAGAGCGGACAGGGACCAAGCATGCAAACAATGCAAACATCGAGTCAATTCAATAAAAAATCCTTTTAGTCATCCTTATCTTATCTCGTCTTAGCTCCATAGATAAGACTGTAACTTTCGTACGCCAATCCTCAAAAATACACTAACACCGCCCTAACAACTCATGGCGTCATCGTAATCGCATTACACGGATAGTACCTACACTGATTACAGCAACCTTAGGCGAGTCGCTGCCAGGCACGTTCTCCTTTCCACTGTTACCAACACACACGAGGCAGAAGAAAAAGAAAAGAGAATACGGACAAGAACGCCAAGATCTTAATCACGAATCTGCCCTGTAAAATAGCCAATGGGCTGGTAATGACCCTTGCACTCCGCGGAAGCCCCAGAGATAACATCATCGATTTATCGGCCGTCAGCCCACTTGCCGCAATATATACATATATATACTTCCGCCCACCCTAAGTGCACCTCCACATCTAAAGTACACCAGACCTAAGGAAAAGAGAGAAGAGAGAAGAAAATGTCTACAACACAAGAATCGAAACCTGCTGCGGCGGTAGAAGCGCCGATTGTGTCGCACGGTCGTGGCGGTAACTCACCTATCCCCTTCGTAAGAGTATGCGAACGAACGCAGTAAAACTGACAAAGAGAAAAAAAAGGACAAGGAAACATCGGCGCCGATCCAACACCCTACGTCGACGGCGAAATTGTGCGCTCAGGGCCAATGGGTGACCAGGGCGATGGTGCTTATTCTGCCGGTGTACATCTTCTCCCTCCCCCCCCTCCCCCAAAATTCCCCCTTTAAAAGAGAGAGGTTAAGACTGATAGAGGATCTTGAGGGATAGCGCGGCGGAGCAGGAAACATCGGCTCACCGCACGTCCGCCCCTCGACCCCCGGCCAGGTGCACGACAGCGTCGTGATTCCCGACAGCGCGGTTAGGGAGAGTTTGGATGGGGATTATCACATTGGCGTGAGGCCCATCCTTTCCCCCAATTTCTTTTAACTCGAAATTGATGCTAATATGTGGGGGGATATGGTAGCGCGGAGGCCAGGGAAACGTCCACCTCGACGAGAGCCATGAGCACGCCGAAAAGCACAAACATCACCACCACAAACACACAGCTAGCACCAGCAATACCGACAAAGCAGCAGAAACGCCATCGACGGGGGCGGAAGGGAAGGTGTATGAAGGATTGGCGGATAAGCTGAAGAGGAAGATATTCGGTAAATAGCCTTCCCAATAGATAAGAAGGGAGGTATGAAGATGGATGAAGATGGTATAGATAGTATTAATTATTGCTTTGTTTGTTGATATCGAGATATCCGTGTGGATTTTACGTACTCGGGCAATTGAGTTACATTGTTAATAATGGAAGAATTGTAACAACTCGTATATTCAATTCATAGATCCCATCAAGGAAATGAAAAAAAAGTAACGCCTCCAGATCCGTACCGGACCTAACCATTATGTGATATCCTGCGTTCAATTTCGTTGCAACATAAATGACATGAAAAAAAAAGTATATACCGCCGCATGTTCAGGTCAGAGATTAATCCTTGCTGAACCGTCGCTTGAACCAACTACCGCGTTTCGACTTTTTGTCGTCGTCGGCTACTTTCCGCACGGGAGCTGGCAATGGCGGGTTGAACGGTTGCGAGGACATGGATGCGCCTGCTCGGCCATTCATTTGATACGACTGTCCATGAGGCGGCGGCGGTGGTGGTCCGTTGCGATAGTCTTGTTGCTGGATTGAAGTATCTGGATTACCGCCGAAGCCATTGAATCCATAACTCTCGGCTTGTTGTTGTTGCTGCTGGTATTGTTTGTGTTGCGCGGCTTGTTGCTGTAGTCGGTCGAATGAGCTGTTTACCGAGCTTGGATCCGTAGAGTTGCCCCATTGATCGGTGTTTGCGGACCCAGAACCCGCGGTGAAGTTGTCGTTTGATCGTTGATAGGGCGAATTGGGGTAGAATTGCTGTTGCTGTTGTTGGTTGTATCCATTTCCATTGGCATAATCCGAGTTCATGCGATTATTGGCATGGCGCGGTCGTCGCTGTGCCGGGTGCGAATATCCATTTGAGCCAGATGCGCCGTGGTCGGCGTAACTGTCTGGTCGAGACATCGACGGACGTCCGTAGTTTTGGTTGTGGTCGTTGCCGCCGTAGTAGCTGGTTGGTCGACTTTGCGATGCATCTGCAATTGTTAGTCATGTTCACGTCTGTTGGACGAGCTTCTTACCCGTGACATATGACATGCGACGGCTGTGATAGCTTCCATCAATTGCAGCCTCAAACGAGCGGATAGTATCGAGGGGTCTTTCGAAACGAGGACGAGTCGGATTCGACAAATCAGGATCAGCTGACACATGTTAGCCATTGCACCAGGAGTAGGACGGAAAACATACTTATAACATTCCCAAACTGATCTTTGTGCTGAAGAGACCTCAACGATCCTAAATTCGACTTTTCCAGCGCCGCCACCATCGCTAATCATCGTCAGCCCTTATCTCCCTAGATTCTGTCATATGAGCTTACAAGGCTGAGCTTCATTCATAGCGAGCGTCGGATCAGCTTTCGTATGCAAAACTCGTTTCGCTTTCTCTTCCGGCGTTTCGTGCAGCGAAATCTTTCCCCCGTTCGAGCCGTTAGAGCGATGCGACTTTTCCGATTTGCCGCCAAAACTAATCCCTCGAGTGCGTCGTGGAGATGTCGGGGAGGAAGTTATAGGAGGAGACGGGAGAGGTTGGGCATTATTATTGTTAGCGTAACGGGTCGCCATTTTAGCTTGTTGTTTGACGCTGTCTGCGTCTGCGAGAAACAGGTTTTGAACGTGCGCTGAGCTTGCGGGTCTAGAGCTGGATTGACCGCTGTGGATAGAAGGTCGTTCTAGTCGATCACTGCCTTGGTGATTAGGTTAGTTGATGTGATTACTATGGAGAGCTGGAGTATGCGGACCCGTTGTGGAGATGCCGTTATCGAGTCTGCGATGCCGACAATTGATAGATGCTGATAGTTGATAGGAATGTATACTTTTGTAGTCTAGGCGACGTCGAGTAGTAGTGACAGCGGTGGAGTAGCGGTCCTTTAATAAGAGCTTAGCTTGATCTGGCAGCGAGCGGTAGTCTGCGCGATCTGGATGAGCGCGGTCGTTGGTCGTAGTATTCGAACAAGTAGAGCAGTCGGGTGATATCGACGAGCGAATGTAGATAAAAAATGATAATAACGAACGAAAAGATGAAGAATAGTTATATGATGATAAAGTGCAGCCTGTGGAGGGTAGATATGAAGTAAAAGAAGAAAGCGCTAAGTGGGACAGACGCAATCTTGGCTGTGGATGTTTCAGATGCTGGGCTGGCCGGCTGGCACTAGGCAGGCACAATGTCAAGGTCAAGGTCAAGGTCAATGTCACTGTCACTGTCCAATGACTGCTGTATTTCGCGCGTCAATTGATTCAATCGATTCAACTGATACAATTCCCTTTTCAGTCCAGACGACAATGAATAGAAGAGAAAAAAAGAAAGCAAAAGCCAACTCATACCGCCAGCCTACTAGCGCAGGCTGACCAAGATTCTATACGGCAGACCAAGGTACGCGCAAGCCCTCGAGCGTCCGAGTGGCTGTGGCAAGCCCGGTGCCCATCCCTGCGCCAATCATTGCAGAGTCGTCGCAATGTACCTGCACTGCGTTCACAAGCAGAGAAAATACCTGTGACGGCTCTGAAGCACTGTGCGTACGTGCGTACTACATAGTATGTATCAGTAGTAGTTCATGGCGGGAACGCCGGATGTCATTCTCTGCTGCTAATGCTCCACTTGGGTGTTCGTAAGCTGCACAATTAAATTAACTATTCAATGTCTCTACTAGACTGAGACATTGTCACGTTCGAGTAATTTTTTTCCTCGTGCAACCACCACGGACGAACTGGAAGGGAAATAAGGAAACTTGATTTATTTGTTGCATTGCGTCGCCATGTAGATCGTGTGGGTATGATTGACATAGTACGTACAGTCACTAAATAGTCTGCAGTGTAGTAAAAACGATCGATCGAAGCAAGGGGTCTCATAGTGCATACTCTAATGCGATTAACCTTCTACTACGCACTGCCAAGTATACATACTCAGTAGTAGATCGAAGGAACCCTCTCCACCGCCACGTGTGCTATACTACGTACGTTCTCGGCTATCCATGGATTGATTACATTACTATAGTAAGCATAAGAGTCCAACACGAATATATGTATTCCCAAAAAAAGACAGAAGAAGGGTATGGTATGTGGAGCAATACAAACAAGAAGAAAAAAAATTGCAAGCAGCAACAAAATCAATCTCGGCCAACGAACTAAAGGGGGAATTCTGGTAGCAGCAACAGATGTTGGAAATGAGATTACATACAGAAAAAATTAGTCTGGTAGCAAATGAGGGTATGAGGTATGAGGTAGGATAAAAAAGGTGATGGCAAGTGAGGCATCAATATCGTTACGATTCGTGACCGTAACTTCAATCGCGCGGTCTCTGTATGTTTCTGGTTTATCGAGCTGCTTCCATGTTACCGGTCAACTCCGCGACGCGAGCCTTGATTCGGGCGACTCGTGATTCGATGGCTACAATAATCAGCTCTGCACATAATGAAAGATGGAATCAGACTTACTTTCTTCACCGCTGGTATCGCCATCGTCGGCTTGACTGGTCCGGCTGTGAATCTCCTCCGGAGAAGCAGCAGCAGCTCGCTCAGCGGCATTCTTTCGGATTTGTGCCCACCGATCCTGGTATGGGCTGACACTTTCAGTACCCGCCGTGGGTGTCGGCGTGGCTACATCACGAGGAGTTTCTGCCGCCGTCACTACAGCCTCAGTCTTGGTCTCCGGGAAATGCTCTTCAACAGGTGTGATCGGGCTGTCTCCCGAAGGAACAAATGCAGGCTGATCTGCCAACGGCCCTTGATCGAACGATGAGAACTCGCGCTCTGCTGCCGCTTTCTCGTTGGTGTCAATCCGAGACAGGGCGTCGTACTCGGCATCGCGGCGAGTACGTGGAGGTCCGTAGGTCGGTGAACCGGACACTGCAGGCTCAGGTGCTGCAGCAGGAGTGGATTTGGTTGGCACAGCCTTCTTCGGTAGCTTTGATGGAGGCGAGGACGTGGCTGTCTTCTCGGACCGCGGACTTCCAGTAGGCTCTTCAGGAACAAGATTCTTCTTGATCTCATTCAAACGGCCAGTGTTATGCGACTTGTGCGTGGGCAAAGTATCTTGAGACTTGACCTTGTTCTCGAGGGCGGCACGCGCAGCTGCAACAGCTGACGGGTCAATGCCAATTTCCTTCTTGGGAGTCTCTTCCGCAACTCTTTGCTTGGTGCTGCTAAACATACCCTTGAAAGCAGAGTTCCCAACTGGCTTCTTTTTCAGCTTCTTATGTCCTTGCTCTTCCGTCGAGTTCGTTCTGGTCTCTTCGGCGCCGTTTTGTGCCTCCGGCAATGGTACCGTAGCTGCATCTGCCGCAGCATCGTTGGCAGGTTTGGCGCCGTCTTTGGGAGGAACTGGCAATGGCAAGGCTTTTTCGGTGTCGGCTGATGATGGCTTCTGCAGGTCAGAGCGACCCTCGGAAATATTCGACATTGATCGGCCATTAGCCCCCAACAAAGATGCAGGTGCACCAGTTCCGGCACGAGTGTCACTCAGATAAGCCGATCGCAGCTGGTCCTTGTCATAATGGTTGTCATAGTGTTTAGCCCACTTCATCGCCGACGAGGCCTCTGTGAACAGACCAGTGTATTGTGTCATGACAGAATTGGTCTTGGTAGAGTATGTGTCATCATTGCGAGCCCGTCGTCCATTGACTTCGCGATGTTGATCCTCCTCCTGCTCGCGCTGCTTTCTCTGCAATGCCGCAGCAGCAGCTTGGATTCGAGCGTGCTGATCGGGAGCAATGCTGGTCTTGCTAACTGGAGCGGTAGAATTGCTATTACTCGATTTATAAGGCTGATTAGAGACCGGCCCTTTGGCCGTAGACTTGCTACGGGTGATCTTCTTTCGAGTAGAAAAACCAAAGAAACGTTTCTTCTCCACGATATAAGCCCCGGCTTCCGGTTCTGGGGCAGCGCCTTTGACTTGTTCCTCCAATACCAACCACTTGGCGCCGCTGATAACAGTCTCGAGTAAAGCACACCGTCCGAAAACAGCCTTTCGCACTGCAGGCTCCTCGCCTGACAGACTGCTGATCCAAACCCACCAGAACGAGTCATCAATATCAAGAACCGTAATGCTAGCCAACTCACCTGGTTCAAGGTTTGGTTCGGTGTCCAATGTGCGTTTATGAGATTGCGAGCTCTGACCTCGCACAGTCCCAATAGGTGGTAATACTTTATCCGGAGGAAGTAGAAGCGACGAAGGGCCACGAGAAGCATTGTCGTCAGCGAATCCGGACGATAGAAAGTCGGCCCATGAAGGCGTTGTTGGACGGCCCAGATCGTTAGTACGAGACTGCGGCGCAGAGCGCAATTCTTGCGGAGATGGCCTCTCCTCTATAATATCGTCGTCGTGATCTGAATCAATCGAAGCGCCGAATCCCATATCCTCGAAACGAGACCACGAAGCATCACGAAGACTGGTTGACGTCTTGGTCGTAGAAACTGCTGATTGATTGGTCGTGGAAATCGCTTTTAATACTCGAGCACATTCGTCCGTCAACGCTTGAACGGGGTCGTCGTACTCGGAAAAGTCCTGCAGGTGCTTGTCGCTGTCGCGGTATTCGAAATTTCTAGCACGGCGCAACAAGGCGAATGGAGTTGGCGAGACTGTATCAACAATCATAACAACTTTGGTGGTCGAAAACTGTAGAAGGCTTGGAGCCTGTGGTGGGTATTCAGTGGCCTGCACCAAAGACTGAAGAGCGATTGGAAGCGCCGAAATTCCGTTAATACCACGAATCGAGTCTGGAGAAATGGAGCGCAAGTAAGCAAAGAAGAGGTGGCTCGTGGCATCGGCAGCCCTAAACAGATTAGTCGTGTACTCTGGCAGCAAAAAAGAGCACTCACAGAGCCCATGTCTTGTATGAAGCCTCAAATCCATTACCGGTATCAGTGTGCTCAAACGCCCACCAGCCTGCGTATCTAGACAGCTTCCTTCCACCTAACCCATTTGATTTTCCATGAGCGGCTATAGCGGTAAGAAGGTCAAAGAAATCGAAGATGATTTTGGTGCGAGCGTCGGAATCCACACTGATAGGAATGAATGTATTGAACGCATCGCGTGCGAGGTCAGAGTCTACAGTAGTATGTCAGCTATATCCAACTTTCGCAAGCGACCAACCTACCTTGCTCTCCAACCTTGAAGAGTTCATAAGCCTCCCAGGTGACTACTCCTCCAGGGAGTCTACTCCAGCACCATTTCACGACACTGCACAGCACCTGCACAGATTATTAGCCTTGTATTCTCCAACTTGTCAACAATATCGTACCATAGGCTCGGTCAACCGCAGCTCTTGCATGAGCGCATCGCCCTGAAGTGGGGTCCCTTTTTGTTCTGCATTGAAATAGTTTCGAATAAACGTTCGCGCAGCGCTAGGATCGGAGCTCGGACGGAAAGGAAGTAGAAGGAATGGAATATCGAGACCTAAATGCAAGAAAGTGAGTCAGTCTCAATATACAAATCTCCGAAAATCATTTTTCGTGATATCTACCTCGAGATTTCAGTTCATGTGTACACCCCCTCAGCAACTCCTGCACCTCTTCCGGCGCAACCTCAGTGCGCTGATATGCGTCTGTCCATTTTGGTTTGGCCGGGACCTGTTCCGCGGCCGATTGTTTTGCGGCCTTTTTGCTGGCGCTGGAGTCCTTGCTCCGGAAGACTCGTGAGAAAAAGGGCATGCTCGATTGTTCGCTCGATCGTCGGTACGTCGGTTTAATTGCGATGGTATTCAAAGCGACAATCGAGGAAGAAGGCGCATGCCAAACTTCCCCGAGCGAGGTTTGTGTATTTAGGTTGGGCTGATCGATGAGGGACTGATGTCAATGGCCCGTCACGGCCAATGGGATGCTTAGAAACGAAGTTAAGATCAATGGAATGAAACGAGTAGAGAATGTATGGATAAGAATTTGCGAGTGCTGTAGACAGTGGACACCGAATGTCAAAAGATATAGAAGTTGATCATGTAATTGCAACGAACGCAACGGCCCAAGACTGGGGCACAGCTAAGGGTACAAAATAAACAAGAACATGAAAGCGCGAGGCAACGAAAGGCAGGACGAAGCCGACAAGACCGAGGATATTTGCAGGACAGGACAGAACAAATCGAAGCGAAAAAAGGGACTTACCAACAATCTGTCGTCGTGAATGCTCGTTAGTTCGGTTGTTAAGAAGTTTTTGGGCCTTCAGGGGCTAAGATAGAGTAGTCGAGGCGGAAGGCGCGCTTTACTGGAAGGAGGTGGAGAGCTTCCCGGCTAGACCAACAACCGGCTTAGCTGGCCCATTTAATTTTATTTGGCGGGTCTCTTGTTCCTCGACTTTCACGAATACTTGAGTAATGATACATAGTAAACGATTAGGGACTAAGAACTGAAGAGGTGTCAGACAATGGCATTCACTCCGCTGTCGCGACAATTGACGGGTCTTATTGGCAATTTGCTCAAGCGATTGGACCACAAACTGTGACACGTCGAGGGGTCGACAACACTAACAATCACTAACAGAAAACTGACATTTAACTTGATGCGGAGTAGTCCAGTAGATTGGCCGTGCTAGACTGCTACTTATCGATTCGTAGATTCCTGATTTCACGATACATATGCAAGGAGTCGAGGACATTACCTGGTTTCGAACACTCTAGACAGAGACACCGACTATGAATACGTATATATTGTCTTGTCACTTATTGACGAGTCTCACGATCTATTGACGTAGACCATAATATGAAGAGAGGATAATGACAGTCTCTGTGTAACAAACACGTATTCAGTCATTAACTCGGTGAATCATGCCCCGTATTGGTGGTAATGGCCATACGCCAATCCGGTAAATTATACAATGCCGGCCCCTGACTAAAACCTCCTCGACATGCGATTAACGCTCTCTGATTGGCGGGAGCTCGTAGCACGGCTCACAATACCAAGCCGGCGTCTGATGGAGACTTCCTCATTGAGCATAGCGTGGAGCATCTTTAATTTTGTTGTCTCCATTTCTGCTTTCTTCTTTCTTTCTTCGTCTCATAAAGAGTCCATACGTCGTACTCGGTGGTTTGAACGTTGCCATTGTGAAACCAACTGAACCATCGGACATCGTGACTCTGGGTGATATACTCATACTAGTCTATCAGATTTTGTAGGGCTGATGGGCTAAATAAGGGTGACATCTTTCGGGTCTGTGACGGAGTGCGTACTCTTTATTCCGTGCAATCTATGATAGTCGAACTATTAATCTAGTTACACTGTATGGCATATAGCATATAGTGGGCATGTTATTGGTTCCTGCATGTAACATGTCTAGCATCAGCCTCATTCGAGAACTCCTGCTCCAAGCTTGCTTGATTTAGATGAGGTCTAGATCCGGGTGGCTTACAACATGTCCATAGTGAGACAATATCACAAAGCACTTTTTGGTCTTTGACGTTCCCAGTTTCTCGTGTAAACCTGTCGGTTGGTGCGGAGAATAGTATTGTATTCTGCGCCCTTGCCCGAATGCGCCGGACAGCTCGTGATAGTTATGCTTGTTCCGTTTGATTGGGTATGAAGGCCATGTGCACGTATTTGGTGGTAGATCGCATCTCCATCGGCGGAGAGTTCGAGTAGACTGAATGGTTTGTTCATCGTCGGGTTGGGATTGAGGTGCGACATGAGATTTAGACTGTGTGATATTATCTAGAAGAAAAGAAAGTTCGTGGATTTCTTAGTAAGTAGCCACCGCTAGACAATGATAGGCGGGGTCTCGTCAAAGCTTGACTTAATCGCTGAACCAATTCTCTACGGTATTTTTGCAGCATATGCCTAAATTTAGGATTAGGGCTAGGGGTGATCAGGAATGATATGTATGGTCTGTATCCTAATTATTCAAGTCCTAGGCTGCCAAAGACGTGCCTTTTTGATCCACAGACAAATCTTTGATTTTAGTCCCCGACCAACGCATGCCATCAACAACAGGATACCCATCTCCTACTGAATCGCCGCATCGTCCGGACAAGCCTGAGCCGCAAGATTGATGACCTGCTGCGCAACTCGCTTATTGTCATCTGCAAGACGATGCGTCATAGCAAGCCGGTAGCAGAGCTTCTTGTTCCGGGCTCGGTTTCCAGTCCGTTCCCAACACCTGATTCGCCATAGACGCGGTCTGGCCTGCATATATGCGCCATCCGCGTACTGCGTCCTATCATGAGACGCGCTCTGTTGCATGACTTTGATCGTGCCCTGCTTTTCATTATTGTTCAGCTGGAAAAACAGCTCCGTAATCTTATCCGTAAATGGTTTTCCGCCTGCAGCCTTGACGCGAGACCAGACATGGCTTTTTAGAGTCTGTGAAGCTGTATGACCGCTCCACACCAGACATCGGAGCTTTTGATCATGTCGCCTTCTAGGTAATGTCTTTTGCCGAGCTCCTTCTGACGCTTGATATCGTCGAGAGGTTCTTGGGGATCTGGTATGCGCTCTTGCTTGATTACTGTCGACTCGTCATTTGCAATCTCTGCCTTGACCTTGCTGTCGATTTCGAAGTTTTTGGAAGAACGAAGATGCTTCCGGCATGGTGCAAGAAGGCGTTCCTCTACGATAAGTTATGTGAGTAGTATATGTCTTACACTTGCTTCATAAGTCTCAACTTACTGTCCAAGAACTTCGGCGTCAAAGTCCCCACAAACCAGACGTATTGTGAAGTGTGACTGTATGCTTGGCCGTAGCTGTAAACTTTGAACTCCCCATATCCGCCTTTGCGAGGGCCTGTGCATCGGTCCAAATCCCGCCTTAGAATCATAATCTCGAACTGTCTCTTGGATGGCGCAGAGTCATCGGTGATATCAATCGACCGCATCATTACACATCCCTTGTACTGGGTAATCACGTCCTGAATCATTGTCACAACGGGCACCTGGCTAGGTATGGAGAGGACTTAGAGGGACTGAAATCCCTTGACACTGAAGCGGATGACTTCGTTGCCTTTCAACATGACTGTCTTGGCTTCGGTGGAAACAACGGTTTGCTGTTTTTCTTCGTCCCATGTTGAATTCTACGCTGGCCATCTGCACAGAATCTCCTGGTAGATCTAGTCCCGAATTTCCGCCGGGAAATCTAGAAGACGGAATGGATTCTCCATGTCAACTCGATGTTCAAGGTAAATTGTAGCAGAATGATTTTCTGGACTGTCTAAAAAGTTCAGAAAGAGATGAAGATGTTCACACTCAGGTAGAACTGAGTAAGGTTGTTGATGGGTAAGTGACTTGAATTGGGAACGGTCAAACCTTGAAAGATGATATGTACCTATCAGCCACGTGGCTGGTGATTTTCGACATGGCATTGAAAGCGGTAAATTGTTGCAGAGTGAAGCACCGATACCGATTTAGTGTATTTTACCGTTGACGGGTCATATTTGAAGCATTTTATTAGATTACACGTCCGATTTCAGTATCCAATCACTGTGAGGTATTGAGTATTCAATTCGAGATTGTTCACGGTACAAGAAGGAGATCAGGTTGATCAAATGGCCTTCAAAAAGGGATTTAAAAACCATCGAATTCCCCGGACAGCGGTGGTTAATGCCATACAATTTAGTACCAGACACATTCCATTTTGATCACTTTGGTCGTTCATACTTCGCTTATCCAAATCCGTTACCCACCTCCAGAGTCTCTATACAAATAGCCTCGTTTTTTGATGAATACAACCTCATGGGAAGATAAAAGAAAGTCTAATAATATCTCGGTGTCCAAGAATAGATTGTGGAGTGAAGATGTGATGTGATGAAGATTGTACATACATAAGTAGCATTTCAACGTTAGTTCCTGTGCGAATACGGAGTAGAGTCTATATCAAGTCCAAATGTTGCTCGACATCGTAGCCAATGAGAAATCATTAGTTGTGAACTCTGTGCTACTCGGCTAATTGGTACTAGTGCTTATCAATGGCTCTTTTTTGAGGGTCTTTACTACCTAGTATGAATGATGGAGGCTTGAATGCAAAGTCTTCAGTGGTCCAGATGTCCAGTGCGGGATATATTTATATAGATCATGAAATTGAATCAAGCCTGGCGTCACTTTACGAAAGTAGCGTTTCTTTGCCCGATAGTTAGTGTCTACCAAAGGCTTTTCAATAATTGAACACAAAATGAAGATCGGGATGATAAATTTCTTGCAAGTTCTGTTGGGCATTGACATGGAATCAAAATAAAGCACGATAGTGACGATGTTTACCATGGATGTAGGGGCCCACTGATGGCCATTAAGCCGTGCTACTTACATAATCGACTTAGTAAACCCACCCAAGATCAGATGTTTCGAAACAAATATGATCATCTCGTCTGATCATATCAATCAGTCAATATGCCCATCTTGACGTGCAAATGATTCGTCAAAGAAGCACATTAAACTCGATATAAATAGTAACAAGCTGCAGGTTAGCCGCGGTTGGGGAGGTGAATGGTCAACTAAAGCAAGCTAGCGAAGCCATATGCAGTGTGAAATGTGTTTCGGCGAGGCCCTTGTTGCATATTCCGTAAAATGCGCCAATCAGCACGGCGAGATGAGGCGAGTCTCGTCTAAAGTGGCTTGAATCACTATTCCGTTATGGGACTAGAGGCTGAACGATTAAACAGCCGCCTATCGTCGAAGGCCTTGGGTGTAACTTGTTCCTGCGAAGGCACCAACACAGTCAGATTAATGAGTAAACGAGTGGATGTAGTACGCAGAATCCTGTGCCATGGTAAGGTAGAAGGAGAATTGTCTTTTATGCCATTTTGTGGACGAGAAGGATCGTGGAGGTGGGATGTTTCTAAAATTGTCGTATAAAGGCCAGATCCGATAGATGGATGTCCCGTAGGATCATCGATATGTATGCGATGCGATGAGTAAAGAAGACGGAAAAGCACTGGACCACATGATAGATGACACGTGCACTAGCATCACTAGTATAGCAACGGACTGGTACATAGCGCGGTGACAAGGTTGAAGTGAAGAAGATGCAAGAAAGAACCCGATGTAGAAGTTGCTTTATTCTGGCAGCCAAAGAGTACTAACCTTTCGGGGCTAGTGCCGGCTTTAGTCATTCATCATGCTAGCCGTATATGAACTAGTGTCACAGCTTCCGCTATATATCGCTCTGATTGGCTGTTAACTGTAACAGACCCACAGACAGCAACCCCCTTCCTTCCAAATTGCACGAAGCGCTCCTCCACCTGGCACCTGCCTTCCCTCCCGCCGTTTCTTTTCTTTTCTATCTTTAGAACCTCGATGCATTAAACTCCATCCACCCCGAAAAATATCCCCGTGCTTTGCATCTCCATCACGTTCTACTCGTCCATTATCTGTCGCTATTATTACTACGTCCGCCGTAGTAATACATAGTATACACTCCTTACTAAGTTGGCACAGCTCTGTGAGCTTGCCATCTACCAGCCTTGGGCCACTCAGGTCGTCGCGTTGCTAGCTTACTTGCTCGCTTGCCCCAAGCGCTCTTCTTTCTTGACGAACCGCACCTCTTCTTTCACATTCCGATCCCAGATAGATCGCCGACTTCCCAGATTTGCGCCGCGCTTTGCTTCGCACAGTATAGTGCTAGTACTTACTAAGTTACATACTTAGACTTTGTACCCTACGCCATACTACCATCCACCCACTTMCCCGCAAGCCACGAACGACAGACCACGCCCCGACCTCCCTCGAGCCCATCGCATTTTGATCTTGGTCGCCATTATCCACCGACGACCCGAAGACCCTTGAGAGTATTTCCGGTTTTCCACTGCCTGTACCTTGGGTCTCTCCTCTACTCGTGTTGCTACAGCATCTGCATTGCCGACCTTGATCAGACCGTTTTCAAGTCTTCATCAGCCCGATAGATATACTTTCATCTTCATCTCTTTGTGCAGTGACCTGGCAACCTTGGAGGTTGATTCTTGGTTCTTTGTCACCGCCACAGCCTTGAAATCGCGTCTTCAAATACCGCATCGCGCATGTCCAGTTCGCGGTTCCTGATTACGTTCTTCACACTCAATCGCAACACGCTACCATCAGTTATAAGTTGATAATTCGCGCGCAAATTCTGGACTGATAACTATTTACGCTACTTTCATTCCAACCTCCATTGACCGGAGTCTCCCATCACGATGGGTCGGAGGAAGATTGAAATCAAGGCCATTAAAGATGACCGCAATCGTTCTGTGTAAGGATATATGCTCTGCTAAGATGCGCATGATTCTAACAATTTTACTTGGAATAGAACGTTTCTCAAGCGAAAAGGCGGCTTGTTCAAAAAGGCGCATGAATTATCCGTACTATGCTCGGTCGATGTCGCCGTCATCATATTTGGCCACAACAAAAAGTTATATGAGTTTTCATCGGGCGATATTGGGGAAACCTTAGGCCGGTATCAATACGTACGTACTTGTTGAGTCTCTCTTCTGCTGATGTCCGTAATTGACAATTTGTTTGCGAATAGTGGGGTCCGCCGCATGAACACAAAGGTCCAAATGATTTTTCCGGCAGGGGTGGTGATGATGACGAGGAGGAAGTCGACGAAGATATGATCGCGGAAGAAATGGGTGCCGCAACTCAGAATATCATTCCCCGTCAGCTTCAGAATCAACCTGGGTATCAACACATGAACCATGCACCATCTGCATCTCCTCCAATTCACAATGGAATCGCATTTGCTCCCCGTCATGGAACGCCGCAACCGCAAAACTCTTCTCGGCCTTCTTCGCGAAATCACGTTCGTCAGATGAGCACACAATACGGTGGGCAGGGGCAAGCACATGCAACCCCTCCACCCCCTGCAAATCCCAATGGGTACGCATACATGGCAAACCCGTCAATGTACAACCCCAACTCAAATCCAGAGATGAATGGTCGACCCCCGCAACAAGGCCAATACCACCATTTTGCTCACCCCTCACATCCTGGCACTTCGCAAGCTCAATCTCTACCACAGCAACATCAGCCACCTCACCTGAACGTGCCTACACATCAACATCAACCGATGCACCATTCGTATATGCAAGATCAGGGACGACACTCCTTGCCTCCTTCGATGCCGCCTGATACCCAGCAGTATCAATTCCGGCCAACATTGGCGCTTCCGGACCCAACCGGGGCACAACAAGCCGGGGATATAAAGGGTGAAGGAGGCTCGTCGCCGAAGTCCAAATCGCGGAGCATTTTCACACCAATCGATGACCAAACGTCAGTATTTTCTCGTCATTTGTTCGGTAGAGCGCCTTTGCGCGAATCTCCGCAACGGGACACGTCTCTCAAACAGGAGTCAAAGCCGACAGGACCAGTGAGCCAAACTCTTCCCCTTCTACGAGGGGCACCACCACCGCCACCGCCAAACCGAGCAGCGACCGAACCTCAAAGATCGCAATCGACACCATCTCTCAGCGATTCACAACAGCCATCACGACCCAAACCGCGACTCAAGGTACAAATCCCAAGCGACCACTCAGACAGCGGCAGTGCGACGGGCGAATCGTCGCCTCGTGATTCGACAGGCAAAACAGCTTCAACTTCAGCGAAGAAATCTTCCGAAAATGGAGGTGCGCAGGGCCTCGTACAACTACCGCCACCCCCGCCATCTCCAGGCGCTGGCGGGCCTATTCTTAGTGCTGGTGCGCAGGGCCCACCTAATCCGTTCGCTCGTCCAGCTCCGCCTGGTTCAAATGCGCAGAACGGTGTTGGGTACGGCGGCAGTAGTAGCAGCAGCAGCAATCAGAACATGGAAACGCCGATTTCGGCACTACCTAGTCGATTTGTTTCGGATGCTCTTCTTCCTTCTCCTTCGAGCTTCTTTCCTGAGTGGGGTTTCGGCAGGACCGGCCCAGATACAAGTATGCTACCGAGTCCGTTACCTTTTACTCCTGCAGTGCAGACCGGACCCGGTTTTGCGCGCGACGAGGAAGCCGAGAAGAAGCGGAAAAATTCTGACGAGGGAGGGCCTGCAGATGCAGGTGGCAAGAAATTGAAGACATGACCATAGAATTTGCATCTATCGTTCAGGTGTACCTCTATCTTTTCAGATGACACCTTATTTTCAGTTGACATTGTTTTGATGACCAGAAACAGCATGTACTCTCTTTAGCCCTTTGCATTGTGTGCCCTGGTGTCATATATACCCATGATCGTCTGTTTCTATCCACCCGTTATACTGTCTTATCTACTTCATTTCTCCTCATGTCATTCTAAAATACTAGGAGCAATCTATAAAATCGAATTGGTTGACCTGATTTGTTGTTTCTCTCCCAACTGTCTTTTATTTTACCTTTTTTTTTTAAAAAAAAACTTTCTGGACAAGTTTGCAGATCTGCACGCCTAGCCTTGGACAGTTGGCAATGCCATAGCGAACGATGAGAGGCAAGATCAGCAGAACCCAGAGGGTCTTGATACAACCTCAACCCCTCTCCTTATCTTGATCCCTCCAATCTCTTATCAGAGGAACTCGATACAGAAAGAAAGGAAAGAACACCGAGGAATAGGGGGTATCGCCATCCCTGTCCCCTGTTCTATCCTGTCCTGCTTTGCCCTGACCTAGGAACTCCGATTCTCCACCCACAATCTAGAAGTGGATGGACGGATGGATGGAGAACGAAAAGAGAGCAAGGAAGAGAAGGCCGAATCAGAGCCTGCGCGCAGTGTGAACAATGCGCGACGGACAGCTCAAGGATCGGGCTAAAAACCCGAAGGTTACCTACCTAGCTAGGTACGGAGTAGTTGTCCCCGAAAATGCAGCAATTGACGGTTGCCCGTTTTGGCCAAGTCTCCCGCCGCTTTTATCCCTCGCCAAAATGTCAGCTCTCGTAATGCTCGCGATGACTTCCTCGCGACTTCATTGGAACTTCATTCGGTAGGGATGGTATGGGGGTTATTCGTGTAGAGATTCTGAGAAAGATATCGGATGTAAATGGATATAGGCACTAGCTTTACCGCACTGTGTCACTTGGACATAGAACAGTCCTTGATTTGCTTATTCGTTACGACAAATTGATTTTGTTGTCTACGAACGGCGACTATGGTATTGTGCATCTAATATCAAGCTTTCCCGTTACTCCCGCGGCTTGTACTGCCTGTGATAGTTTCCCTTAGATAGAAAGATTATTAATCGGGAGAATAAGAACGTTGAGAACGCTTTATTAAGAATCCGACATTCCAGTCTTCCAAGGGGCAACGTACAGCTGATATCTCTACTGTCTCCACGACTTTGCTGAACGTACAAACTCCGATAATTAGTTCGACTGATGCCATGATGATCTTGAGATAAAAATTGACTGTCAGTCCTTTCGGTTACGCATAAGCATTGGTTGGGTCTCCAGACCTTGGTAAGGCGATCCATGGTAAAATTAAAAGTCACAATGACACCCTCATCCTAATGACGAGAACATGGATTCATAATTAACTCATTTATTTTACGATGATCTAAGATTTGAGTCATATGCCTCTGATAATACAATAATTATCGATTAGAGCAACTCCTCAGTTTATCTACTTATACTCTAAGCATCCCGCCCATTCTTTCTACCACTTTGAAACATCCCGCCCTTTTTTTTTTCACATTGACCTTTTTTTTCACATTGACCTCAATATGTCAGCCAGACGAACACAGCCCAAGCCGCTTCGCCGGATCATAACAACGCATGATCCTGCCAGCGGTCGAGCTATCTTTAGCGACGCCGTTGGGGAGCAGGTATCGTATACTGGGTTCCCAGTTCCACCCGGTAAACCCCCACAATCAGACTATGCTCTGGCCTATAACACAAGTACATTTCCTGTGCAAGGGCTTTCCCCTCCAACTTCTGCGGTCCCGGAGTCCAAAGCCAACCTCGACATCAAGCACTATCACTCCCAGCTTTCGGACCCATCGCCTCTGAACCCGCCAAATGGCACCTCCTGCACAATTATTGAGGTGCCTCCAGGTTCAATAGTCCCAATGCACCGAACAGCGACCCTCGACTATGGTGTCATAATTGATGGCAGCACAGAATTAGTCCTTGATTCTGGTGAAAAAAAGGTATTGTCAAAGGGCGATGTATTTGTCCAACGAGGTACAGCTCATGCTTGGCTGAACGTGACGGACAAGAATGACAATTCTGGTGTTTTACGTGTCTTTTTCGTGTTTCAGCCCATCGAGCAGGTGCGACTGGAAGGTGGAAAGGTCATCGGTCAGGACTTGACTCTATCGCTGCATGAGGCTTAGGGTATATGGCAGAGGTATGAAATTAAATGTATTTAAGTCTGAGAGATCTTGTCAATTAGTCAAAGATTTAAAAAGTCCGCGGAGTTATCTATATGCGAATATAATTGTGTGCACTACTTCAAACATGGCGAGCAACACCGCAGTTCGTTCTCTTAATACATAACCAGTCCAGTAAAGGGCCTCTTCTAGTACGTGTGCTTGCTTGCTCTCCTCACATTCTTCTCTCTTCTAAGGAAGGTTACTTCATGCCGAGTTTCAACTTCTTGCCTGAGCTTTAAGATCCATTAGAAAAAGAATAGCGAAGCTATGTAGCACGCTCTTTCGATTTTATGGTAGACTTTTTACGAGTAGGAGTGGACTGGGAATCTGGACAGAGCTTAGGACGATTCCTGGGGAGAGTTGTGGGTGCAAACAGGTCAAAGAGTGCGAGCGTTTTTATCTGAACACACTCATTTTCCTCTCTGGCTTCGTTAGTATGTATCGAATTGATCTGTTAATTTTGAATGGCCCGTAACACTTTCCACAATTTTATTATTGAGAGCCGAACTCAAAGTGACATTTCAGATATGAAGCCCATGTCAGGCATTTTTTGCTAGGGAAACTTTTATCCAGCACAGAGAACCTCAGAGGGCTGATAATGTAGGAGCTCCTGATGCAGGGGGTGCGGAAAACTTGGTCTGGATGAAAACCTTCTGGATAGACGGTTCACGCCTATTGAATAACTCATAGACTGTCTCCATATCCTCAAGCTTGAACCGGTGGGTAACCATATGGAGGGGGTGAATCTGCTCCTGCTGAATAAGCTTTAAGAGGTTATTCCAGTACTTTTGCACGGGGGCTTGTCCATTGCCAGCGAGATGGATCCCAGTCTCCATTAAGGAACCGATGTTGAAGTGATTGCACTGCATTCTCATGTCAGCGCAATTTTTTTGCGATAGGAAAGGATTGTATCACTCACATAACCGGCATATACGCCCGTGACACCACAACGCCCGAACCCACGAACAGAGGTAATCATTTCGTTGATGAGTTCAGATGTGTCGGTTTCCATGCCTAGTAATCTCTCATAATAATGAGCCCACCCCTTTGAATATTCGCCAGCGGCGCACTCAATCGCCACGTCAGGTCCGCGGCCGTCGCACATTTTCTTCAGAGTTGAGGTAACCGACTCGCCCTTCGGGAGATTCGTATACTCAATCGTTTCAAGGTTAGGTAGAATCTTCTTAACAAAGTCTAGTCGCCATTTACCATGGCCCCCGTCAATAAGAATGACTCTTTTAGCACCATTGAAGAAGCTGAATTCAGCTGCCATTTGTCCAACTGGGCCAGCTCCCCAAATTGCAACTGTGTCACCCTTTTCAACCCCAGTGTCAACAACGGCGTTCCAAGATGTTCCCAGCACATCGGAAAGGTAAAGACCTTTTTCATCAGGTACATCGTCAGGCAGATGAAGGAGGTTCACGTCACCGTAAGGGACACGAACATATTCCGCTTGCCCACCGGCAAAGCCCCCCGTGAAGTGGGAGTATCCAAACATGCCTGAGGCAGGGTTTAGCATGATAGCACCGCTAACATTAGCATAGTCATTTCAAAGAGAAGACATACCGGCTGTTCGACGCCCATACAGCTTAACGGCCTTCTCGTTCGAATTCGTCCGCTCACACATTGAGGATAGCTTCTTCTTGCAATAATAACAATCTCCACAGGCAATTTGGAAGGACGCCACAACGCGATCACCTACTTTGACCTTCTTGACTGCTGGGCCCACGCTTGAGACAATACCGCAGAACTCGTGGCCGAGGATATCACCTTTCTGAAGATCTGGGATGGCCTCTGCAAATCGATCATCAGCAGATCCACTTACTCTTCATTCAATGTTATAAAGCCACGACATACCATGGAACAAGTGCAAGTCACTCCCACAAATGGTGCTGCCCGTCACCTGAAGTATAACATCGCCCTCATCGATGATCTTCGGGCGAGCCGTGTCCACTATTAAAACATGTATAAGCAGGATTTATTTTGAGATGGTTAAAAGTGAAATGAAGGTCGTAACGACTGACCGACTTTGACCGAATTCTTCCCTTGCCAGGTCAAGGCTTTCATCGTGGGATGTCCTCGAGCCTCATAGTTGCTGACATCTGTGGTGATTGAGGCAGACATGGTTTGTTTTACACCGAAAATTTTTGGCCGAGTTGATTTCTGAATGTCAGTAATGGTTATTTTTCGTTTTCAGCCGGGCGACTTCATGATTGAGAAATATAAATAAATCTCACCGGACAGTTCCTCCGTGTTTACATCACGATGATCGTCTATGAAGAGATTTGGTGTCATGCACATCACTGACCATGAAGATGCCCTTACATGGTTCTAGACTGCGTATAATTGACTGCCATAACCTAAATTGATCTTTGACGGTGGGAGGATTTTAGTTATTTCTATACAAAATTCAACAACAGGTATTGCGCGGAAGAGTTTCAAGTACTGATTAGGGTATTAATTTTGGTCATCTTAACCCTATGCGGCGTGATTGCCTACGAAGTGTATATCGAGTATAGCCGTGCCGATACCTCTCGAGAAAGAGACTCCAGGCGTCCCTTATCATTTGATGAACTAACACGAAGATCATTAGACACATTGGATTCATAAATCGACTTGAATCTTTTTCACTTTTCCATGTAACCAGGGCGCGCCTTGAATCAATCAATGTGATTTCCTAGGAATCAAGTACCGTCCTGTGGATAAGGTTACCCAGGTATACTCCATAGTATACAGAGCGGCCACACAGGCCGTAGGGATAAAAGCATTCCGCTCCGCCGACTTGCCAGCTTGGTGCCGGATCGAAGTACACAATTACTTATTGTTAATAACAGGGAAAGAATGGCTTCAGCTCCCAGACCCGCATTGGGCTCGCGCAGCTCGCTCCCGCGGTTTGAGCGCGTTAGGGAGTAAAGCGGCGATGCTCTTCTCTCACAGGACAAAAATGAATTTTGGGAAATGCATTTTCGGGTACAAAGTATACAGGTACTGTAAGAGATGGATCCTTACTGGTTTAGTTCATTCCGAAACCCGGACGTTAACTACTGCACGAAATGACAAGTCTGGTCTTGCGGCTAGGGAGGCAATATCGAATGTTCACTCGAATACGATGCTGGGCTAGTATGAATATGCAACATGGAGGAGGGAAAAGCTTAACCTTAGCTGTAAATTATCCTTTGTACCCCTGTAAATATGTATAATACGGAGTACCAACGTACAATTGATGAATGGGGCAGGTCCGCTGTAGGTTGCCACATCTAATCCATGTCCTGTCTCCTCTCTTGACTATACTCGAAGGCAAAGCAGAGGGAACAATCCTTGTCCTTATCTCGTCTGGTCCACGGGTTTGTCAAACCCTGTCAGGCTGCGTATCTACCAGGCTGGCCATGTGAATGAGAAGTGGGTTGCTCAGATTCTTATTCAGTGGATTCCTGTGCAGTTGTAGGGCAGGGAAGGGCAAAGAAGCATGTTCGCATGTCTGCCAAGGTCATGGAATACATGTATCTACCTATCCACTTTTCTATTTCTCTCTCTGACGTTCGTCAAGGTGTGTATCGACCATGGACTGATATCGCGGCACCCGAGTATTTTCCGAAAAAGGGTAGAAAAGCGGCTGTAGATTACTATAACACGCAAATCTTCTCGAATCTAGATGGGGATTTTAGATTGATTATTACATACATACTGCCTATTTTATTCATGAATCATGATCAATTGGTCTGATTCGCGATTTTTGATAGCGCTAGGGTACCTAGCAGCAATCTAAATAATGTCCGTCTCGGGAACGGTTTCCTGTCATTCTATACACATTTGACATATGTACATGGATGGCTTTTTATGGCGCCATTTCGGATTGGATGCATCTAACGGTCGCTTAAGAAGTATCTATAACTATAATTGTAATACATACATACGTACATACATTAGTTCGTAATAGTTAGGTCCGCGCTGGGGCTAAAAAAGGGCTTGTCAAACAAGCGGGAAAGACGGGCCGTGCCTGGGCGTGCCCTACCTCCGTCGATCTCCTATCGACAATGAGCGGTACCGCCGGCCCGCCTTTTATATGGGTTTTGTATGGTGTCTCTGGATTGAGAGGGCTGGATGTGGACTATTGGGCGGGCAAGAGAGCAATAGGCAAACGAGCTGAGGTACGGAGGTAGCTTATGGTGAGACCTAGCTTGGAAGTGGAGGAAGGAGGAAGAGGAGAATGGAGGCGCGCGTGGGTGCGAGGGTGCGAGATGTGGGTATGGGTATGTTTTCGTTACATCGACAGATATGGAGATGGAGATGCAGGATGGCGAAAAAAAGGCGAAGATGGAATGCGAAAGAGCGATATTCGGGATTAGTATACGTCTATTATAGAGGTTGAGATTCGTACTCATGATACTTTAAAAAGACCTCGATTGCCATTCGGGACTGAAGAAAGAGTTCAGGACCGTAAGCGCTCTTTGATCAGAGTCGTTTATGATTTTCCCTTTTCGGTAGCTTCACGTTTTCTGCATTTATTCTTGCTTCAATAGATTTCTATAGTGGGTTCGATATCACAAACACACACACACACACACTCACACATATACAACACATACACATACACATACACAATACACACACGCCAACACACACACACACATACACACACAATGGCGCCTTATCTTCAGGACTCCGAATCCTCCCCGGCTCGCAGCGAGCAGTCCCTTCCCACAAGGACTCCTTCCTACCCTACCGTCATCGACGATGCCGAGTACCCTGCTCTGTCATTCCCTGGCTATGCCGAGAAGCCTCTCTCTGAGCAATTGGAGCCCATTGCAGTGGTAGGAATGGGTTGCCGCTTGCCCGGCGAAGTCCACTCCCCTTCAGAGTTCTGGAACTTGATGATCAACAAAGGAACCGGCCGTACACCCAAAGTTCCCTCTGACCGTTTCAACATCGATGGCCACTTCCACCCTAATAATGAGCGCCCCGGTAGCTTCAACGTCCTTGGTGGATACTTCTTGAAGGGCGATCTCCAGGATTTCGACCCTTCCATGTTCGGTATCTCCCCCATTGAGGCCATGTGGATGGACCCCCAACAGCGAAAGCTGCTTGAAGTCGTCTACGAGGCTTTTGAGTCTGCTGGTGTCTCTCTCGAGGCCATCTCCGGCTCTACCACTGCCGTCTTCGCGGGTAGTTTCACCTCTGACTACCAGCAAATGTCATTCAAGGAACCCGATTTCCGTCACAGCTACGCCGCCACCGGTGTCGACCCTGGTATTATTAGTAATCGTATCAGTCACGTCTTCAACCTTCACGGACCCAGTATTGTGGTCAACACTGCTTGCTCTTCGTCCGTTTATGCCATGCACAATGCTTGCAATGCTCTTCGCAACGGAGAGTGCTCCGGTGCCATTGTCGGAGGTGTCAACCTTATCATCACTGTTGACCAGCACATGAACACTGCCAAGCTTGGTGTCTTGTCTCCTACTTCCACTTGCCGCACTTTCGATGAGTCGGCTGATGGTTACGGTCGTGCTGACGGTGTTGGTGCTGTCTATTTGAAGAGACTGAGCGACGCTGTCCGCGACGGCGACCCAATCCGTGGTGTCCTCCGTACTAGTGCGGTCAATTCGTGAGTACTCGAACAAACCTCGACCACTAAAAGTACTAACATCATATATAGCAACGGTAAAGCACCTGCTGTCGGTATCACCCACCCCAACTTGTTGGGACAAAAGGATGTTATCCAACACGCCTACCGTCGTGGTGGAGATCTCGACCCTCGTCTGACTGGCTACTTCGAGATTCACGGCACGGGAACCCCTATTGGTGACCCTCTCGAGGTCAACGCCGTCGCTCTCGCCATGAACGACAAGAGAMCCGACTCTGACGAGCCTCTTCTCATCGGTGCCGTCAAGACCAACATCGGTCACTCTGAGGCTGCTTCCGGTCTTTCTGCTGTCATCAAGGCTTGCTTGACCGTTGAGAATGGCATCATTCCTCCTACCCGCGGATTGGTCAAGCCTAACCCTAAGAGTGAGCTCTATGACAATCCCTATTTTTTCTTCTCTGGTAATTATGATGCTAACGATGAACAGTCAACTGGAAAGACTGGAAAGTCCAGGTTGTGACTGAACCCCGTCCCTTCCCTGCCCACTTGCCTGTCAAGCGTGTTAGTGTCAACTCCTTCGGTTACGGTGGTACCAACGGTCACATCATTGTCGAAGGTGTCGACTCCTTCTTGCCTGACTACAAGCATGGAAAGAAGACCGACGTCAAGCCCGAGGGTGATGAGTTGAACCGTCCGTACCTGTTCCCCTTGTCTGCCCACAACAAGCCCACTCTCAAGCAAAACATTGCCGCTTACGAGAAGATCGTGGACCAATACGACCCATTGGACCTCACCTACMCCCTCGCTAACCGCCGATCCCGATTCTCGACCAAGGGTTACGTTGTGGCTACTCCTGCCACCATCACCTCTGCTTTCGGAAACGATGCTGCTGCTTTCGCTATTGCCGAGAAGAAGAAGATCAACGAGGTCGGTTTCGCCTTCACCGGTCAGGGTGCTCAGTGGGCTACCATGGGTTCTCAGCTCATGAAGTACTACCCCAGCTTCTTGGGTACTATTCGCAAGCTTGACCAGGCTCTCCGCTCCCTTCCTGATGCCCCTGAGTGGACTCTTGAAGCCACTTTGCTCGAGCCCGCTGCTACCTCTCGTGTCAACGAGGCCGAGTTCTCTCAGCCTCTTTGCACTGCTATCCAGGTTGCCGTTGTTGAGCAGCTTCTCTCCTGGGGTGTTCGCCCCAAGGTGACTGTCGGTCACTCCTCTGGTGAAATTGCTGCCTCTTTCGCTGCTGGTTTGATCTCTGCCACCGAGGCCATTATCGTTGCCTACTACCGTGGTCAGGCTGTCAAGACTGTCAACACCAACGGTGCCATGATGGCTGTTGGTCTTGGCGCCGAAGCTGCTGAGCCTTACCTTGCCAAATACGAAGGAAAGGTTGTCATTGCTTGCCACAACTCTCCTTCCAGCGTTACCCTCTCTGGTGACGCTCCTGCCCTTGAGGAAATCAAGGCTGCTATGGATGCCGAGAGCATCTTCGCTCGTCTCGTCAAGACTAGTGGAAAGGCATACCACTCTCACCACATGAAGCCCTCTGCCGACACCTACAAGAACTTCATTCAGAAGGCCAAGTCTGTTGTCTCATTCGGCTCCCCCTTGTCCACCGGTGCTGTCATGGTTTCCAGTGTCACAAACTCCAGACTCTCTGAAGGTTCCGTTGTCGACGAGAACTACTGGTGCCAGAACTTGATCAGCCCTGTGTTGTTCAACCAGGCTGTCCAGACTCTTGCTTCCTCTGACGACCTCTCCGTTGATGCCTTGATCGAAATCGGACCCCACACTGCTCTTTCTGGCCCTATAAAGCAGATCTGCAAAGAATTTGGCTACAACAACCTCGGATACATCCCCACCCTGGTCCGTAACGAGGACTCTGCTGCTCAGCTCCTCAAGGTTGCTGGTGAGCTCTACTTGGGAGACTACCCCATCGACCTCGAGACTGCCACTGCCATCGAGCAGCAAGCCACCCCTGAGAAGATCAAGCTCCTCAAGGGTAAGGTTCTTGTTGACTTGCCTACCTACAAGTGGCACTATCCCAGAAAGCTCTGGGCCGAGCCTCGTCAGTCCCTCGAGCACCGTTCCATCAAGCACCCTCGCCACGATGTCTTGGGTATCCGCATGCCTGGTTGCTCTGCTGTTGAGCCTGTATGGCGTAACGTCCTCCGTATCAGAGATGTTCCTTGGCTCCGCGACCACTCCCTCGGTGGCGAAGCTGTGTTCCCTGCCGCTGGTTACTTCTCCATGGCCATTGAAGCTGTGACCCAGGTCAATGAACTAAGCAGCAAACCTGTCAAGATCGATGGATTCGTCCTCCGTGATGTTTCCATCAAGGCTGCTTTGGTCACTCCCGACGATGACGATGGTATTGAGGTCATGTTCAGCTTGCGTCCATCCATCTTCACTGAAGCCGAGCAAGGTCAATGGTGGGATTTCAACGTTTCCTCTGTCTCTGCTGCTGGTCACTGGAACGACCATGTGACTGGTACCATCGGTATCAACGCCCGCCAGCGTGGACAGACTCCTCGCAAGATTCCTAACCTTCCTCAGCGTGCCACTGGCAAGGCCTGGAACGACGGCCTCAAGGAGGTTGGTTTCGACTACGGCCCATCCTTCCAGGGTATGGTTGACGTTCAGTCCGACGGCAAGAACTACATTGCCGCTACTCATTTCGACATTAAGCAGGAGTCTGGTGTCTTGGAAGCTGAATCTCGCTACGTATTGCACCCCGGTACTGTCGATCTTTGCTTGCAGCTCATTATCGTCTCTATCTACGCTGGTAAGCTCAATGACATGACCTGCGGTGCCGTGCCCATTCAAGTCGACGAGGTTGCCATCTGGCCTCCTAGCGAGGAGCAGCTAAAGAACCCTGCTGCCACTGCCTTCTCTTTCACTGACCAGCGTGGTATCCGTTCCTTCGTCAGCGGTTCCCAGCTCGTTAGTAACGACGGTGAGCTCCTCATGGACATTACTGACATGCGTTGTGTTGCCTACGAGGCCGCTGTACCCCAGCGCGCTGAAGAAGCCACTGAGCCCCAGCCATACCAGGAGACTGTCTGGAAGACCGACATTGACAGCTTTGCCTGGGCTGATAAGGTTGACGACCTCACCATCGCCAAGTTGGTTGAGTCTCTTGCCCACAAGGCTCCTGGATCCAAGGTCCTCGAAATTGGATCCGAGAACACTGCCAGCATCTTAGAAGAGCCCTTCCAAATCAACTACACAGTTGTTGAGGCTTCTGATGAGGCTGTTGAGGCTACCAAGGCCAAATTCACTGATACTAAGGGCTTCAAGGTTGAGAAGCTTGACGTTTCCGCTCCTCTTGCCGATGAGGATGTTAGCGGTACTTACGATCTAGTTATTGCTACTGGCAAGGTTGGTGCTACTGAGCTTGAGAATATCCGCAAGTTGGTCAGTGCTGGTGGACGTCTTGTCGTCAAGGAGGTTCCTGCTGGCTTTGACGATGTTGAGACCTACATTGAGAAGGATGGCAAGGTTGCTTTCGCCAAGGCTGCCGCTGCCGATGAGGCTCTTGCTTCCAAGGAGGTCACCTTGGTCTACCGCAACGAGCCTGCCTCTATTGTCAGCAGCATTGAGGAGGAGTTGACCAAGGCCGGTTTCGTTACCAAGAGAAGCCGCCTCGACTCTCTTGAAGCCAAGGATGGCGAGTCTGTTATCATCGTCGGCGATCTCGAAGGCTCTCCTCTTCTTGCTACAATCAATGAGAAAGAGTTCGAAGGTGTGAAGCACCTTACCAGCAAGGCATCTTCTATCCTCTGGGTTACCGCTGGTGGCATCTTGACCGGAAAGAAGCCCGAGTACGCCATGACCAACGGTCTTGCTCGCTCAGTCACCTCCGAGCAGGCTTCATTGGCTCTTACCACCTTGGACTTTGACCTCGAGACTACTTCCGTGTCTCAACTCGCTTCCATCGTTGCTAAGACTGCCAAGCGTCAGACTAAGAAGAATGATATCCATGAGACCGAGTACGTTGTTTCCAACGGCCTTGTCTACGTCAGCCGTCTCGTTGCCAACCGTGGTGCTTCCATCACCACGGTCAAGAGCACTCCTGTTCCTACTCCCTTCACTGAGGGCCAGTACTTGGTTGCCGCCGCTCAACAGGGTAAGATTACCTGGACTGCTGACAAGCGCGAGCACGAACCATTGAGCGCCGGTGAGGTTGAGGTTAAACTCTCCTACGGGGGTCTCAACAAGGAGGACACCGTTGTTATCAACGGTAACGATTACCCTACCACCTTCAGCCACGAAATTTCAGGTACTATCACCAAGGTGGGTTCTGGCGTTACTGACCTCAAGGTTGGAGATGTCGTTGTCGGTTTTGCTTTCGATAAGTTTGCCACCTTCCAGCGCACTTCCGCCGACCTTGTCCAGAAGGTCGAGAAGGATGAGGATATCACCAAGTTGGCCTCCGTTCCTTGGAGCTTTGCTCAAGCCATCTACGGATTGGAGACCCTTGCTCGTGTTGAGCCTGGCGAGACTGTTCTCATCTTGAGCAACACTGGTGCCGTTGGTGCTGCTGCCCTCAAGGTCGCTCAGGCTCTCAGTGCTAAGCCCTTCATTGTTGCCGACTCTGAAGCCGATGCTTCAGCGCTTGTTGGCAAGTTTGGTATCGCTCGCGAGCAGGTCGTCATTCCTACTATCAGCTCCTTGGCTCGTGACTTCAAGGCTTTGACTAACGGCCGAGGATTTGATGTCATCCTCAGCGGAGGTTACACTGACCCCGTCCTCGCTCGTGAGTCCTGGCGTTACACTGCTCCTCTTGGTCGATTCGTCGATTTTGGTCGCAAGAACGTCCTCAAGCGTGCTCTCCTCGACACTATCCCTCTTCACCAAAGTGCTAGCTACCTTTCCTACGATATCTTGGACTTGTATGCCCACAAGCCTCAAGTCTTGGCCTACTTGCTCAAGTCTGCTGTCACCTTGTTCCGCAAGGATCCTAGCGTGCTCGTCGAGAACGCAGAGATCTACAACATTGCCGACCTTGAGTCTGCTGTCTCTTCTTTCTCCGATAGCGTTCTCTCTTCTAAGAAGCTGATTGCTTACACTGCTTCCGAGAAGACTTTGGAGGTTGTCCCCACTGCTCCTACTCTACGCTTCTCTCCTGACGCAACTTACTTCTTGGTTGGTTGCTTGGGTGGTTTGGGACGTAGTCTCACTTCCTGGATGACTGAAAACGGAGCCCGCCGCTTCGCTTTCCTCGGTCGTTCCGGTACCGACCAGGAGCAGGCCCGTATCCTTGTTGAGGACTTGCAAAACGCTGGTATTCACTGCCAGGTTATTCGTGGTGATGTTGCCAGCAAGGAGGATGTTGAGCGCGCTGTTGCCAGCATTCCTAAGGAGCACCCCATCCGTGGCGTTGTTCAAGCTGCCATGGTCTTGAGAGTATGGTTTTTCTTTTTTACTATTACAATTGACACATGATAACTAATGATCTTTATAGGACGGTTTGTTCCACTCTATGACCTACAACAACTGGACCACTTGTACCCGCCCCAAGGTCAACGGTACCTTGAACCTCCACGAAGTCCTCGCCGACACTCCTTTAGACTTCTTCGTCACCACCAGTTCCACCTCCGGTACCCTCGGTACCCCTGGTCAGGGCAACTACTCTGCCGCAAACAGCTTCCTGGACTCCATGGCCCGCTTCCGTGTTAACCATGGCAAGAAGGCTTGCTCTATTGTCTTGCCTATGGTTCTCGGTGTTGGTTACGTCGCCGAGCATCCTGAGGTTGAAGAAGCTCTTCGCCGCAAGGGTATCTACGGTATTGACGAGACTCACCTCCTGGAATCTTTCGCTACCTCCATGCTTGTCCAATCCAGCGAGAATCCCGTCGACCACGTTGTTGTAGGATTGGACCCCGTCAAGCTCCAGAAGTCGATCAACAGCGCCGATACCACCGACGGTTTCTGGCTCGAGGACACTCGCTTCAAGACCCTCTTGGAATCCATGAAGTCTGCCGACGCCGCTGGTAGCCCTGAGGCCTCCCGTACCATTTTGACCACCATCCGCACTTCTGCCTCTGCCGCTGAAGCTGTCCAAATCACCAGCGACTACTTCACTCAAAAACTCTCCCGTCTCCTGGTTCTCGATCTTGACATCTTTGAGCCTCACACTAAGGCCATTGCTGACTACGGTCTTGACAGTATGATTGGTGCCGAATTGCGTAACTGGATCTTCAAGGAACTTGGTCTTGATATCCCTTTCCAGAGGCTGCTTGGTCCTGAGCTTACTATCTGGAAGTTCGCTATTGAAGTTTGCGCTAACCAGGGCCAAGTATTGGAGGGATCTGCTTAGATTGATTCCATTTTTTGAGACGTACTGAATTATTGACTTATTGACTTTAATAAAAGATGATTGATACCTGTTTCCTTTGTTTATCTGTGTGTGTGTGAACAAATGAATATATGTCATGAGTCTACGTTTTTGAACCTTTTTAGATTGCCGTCATGAGATAGAGCGAATGTCATTAACAGTTGAAGCTACCATTAAGTCGTTTCCGTGTAAAAAATGTCGAATAATCACTCCTCAGGCCTGTGATTTATAGAGAAATAAAGTATTTCTACATTCCCTTTGCAATTGATACCTATGCAGTCGGAAATTAACACTTGGGGTTTAAGCCCTAAAGATGCACGAATAGGAAGAAAAGGATGTTCGTCATTTCCTCATTCTCAATCGCTACAGATTCCCCGTCAGGTATAATCTTTATCATATGAGCACACAAATCAATTGGAGCAGGCATCTTTCAGAGCAACGTCAGCAAGCCGTTTTCTACATGATACCGAGCGCCAATTATATAGTTTTATTCGCCGAAGAGATACGCAAGCCACGTAACCGACTACGCAGCGTTTAGTCCCGCTTTGTACATTGTTCTTTGCTATGTGTTGACGAACAACAAAAAAGCGTGCTTCATGTCAACTAGTAATATAACTCAATAATAATCAATGGGGGAGTATCCTGCGAGGAATGTTGGTTAGTGTTGGTTGATGTTGGTTGTGGTCGTCTCAGGGTCGATATCAGAAGGATTGATCGACAATTGTCCAGGTTGATCATGATGCATCGGTGAGATAAGCATTAGATAATGGAAATGATAGAGAACTAGGTACGGGCAGTGCCGTTGGATTTAGACCAGGGTTGATCCCCCTTGCGTGCCTCTCTAGGGCTTGGTGCATGGCACCCTGGTAAAACGGCGGATTTTTCTATAGCCGGGATATAAAGTGCGCTCTTTGATATATTGATCCTTGGAAGATGATACTTATGCTGCTTTAAATCGTTCTTTCTAGGAATGCAAGCGTCCCCTCTGTCAACCTCAGGCTAGATCAAACACCTCACACAACGTTTGATTCGGGTACGAGAGTAAAGTCACTTACGTAGGTGTGAAGCAGAATCTGCAGCCTACATTCTAGCCCCTAACTCTAAAATTTTTAAAGTAACGAGAAGCATGGTCCTCGGATATATTTGACTGATTAAGCTTGATTTGCATGACTGTCAATCCATGAATCATTCGCTTTCCCGATTAGGAAAGTCCTTGCTAGCTAGTGATGCATGGTATGAGTCGCTGGACATTTCTCCTTTTGGGATGGTGTTGGCATTAACAGACCTGAGAACACTCCATAACATGCGGCTACTAATGTAAGGGCGTAATAATGTATGTATGGTATTGTTATACATAGGAGCGTAATACATAATAATACGAGGTTATCATACTATACCAGGAAGCAAAGTAGACCGCGCGGGAAGTTCATGCGAGCTGAGATGGGTATATTTAGATCCGGCGTTCCGAGCTAGATCAGCCTATTCAGGTAAAATTTACGAGAATCTTATGGGGTCCTCGTTGAAACATGGCCTAGAGCTACTTCCTCTTGCATCCTTCAGTGACTGTGTAGTGCGCTTCCGCTCTATACATAACTCGATCAGGAGTAATGACTAGCTATGAGGTCCAGTAGAGCAGCTACCTAGTACTTATTACAATCATTGAAAGCTGAAGAAGAGACCAGAGCGATGTCATATTATAAAGGCATACTGATTATCTATATGTTCATAGAAGTAGGCAGATATAGATAGAACTACCCATGTACGTACAGCAATCTGTAAAGTTACAATTGCTTACATGTCAAGGCTTATAGGGGCACCCCGGAAACCCCATGGACTTCTGAGGACTTCTAAGGACCAGGATAAAATACTAACTAAGATCAGTGCGTTTGACTAAAATGACTGTGGGTCTTCGAGGATCAGGGTCTCTTATAAGTATTCGGATTTCGGCAGCGATTGTGCGAGAAATGATAAAGAAATGTTTGGAGCTAACAAAGCTATCTAAATTGACCATAAGAGACTATACTGAGTTCATCTTAGTCTATCGTCTATACATAAACTAGAAGAGAAGTGGTTTATCAACCCTGATGTTCTGTCTCAGCACCTAATGCTGCATGTCCTCACCAGGCATTCTATCCGTGTCCATACCAAGCGCATCGTGTAATACTGGCGGATCGCTGGCAACCAGAATCCCCATATGAGATAGTTCCCTTGCAATAGTCTCCATCAAATTGTCCCAATTCCCCGACTCATCCTTCAATTGCTGCATAATGCACCACAATTGGTGCAACAGCGTCGCGACCTCCCCGACATTGCTTGTAGGTTCGTTCAATTGACGAAGTAACGCTTGCGAGGCAACGGAAAATGGCCACATCAGAAAAGTGTTTGAGATCCACTTTGTAGCAGTGAAGAATGTGAAGTCAACAGGCAAGTTCATTGGTCCTCTGGCTTTAGACTGACTGTTGCTCACCTTGGAATTTTGTAGTTGTGATATAATTTTAGCGTATGCCGCGACTTGGATCGCGATGCTGGTGCAACGGTTCTGGCTTTCTACCCTCAATAGATCCGGAAGGCCGTCGTTTTGTACCTTTTTGATGGCATGTTCGTGTAATGTGATTTGTATGGCGCATAGATTCGCGTGTAAGCTTAGTGCTAACGGATCGCCTATGTGATTGATAGGTTGGAGGTGGTTAAGCAAGTCCGTGCTGTGAAAGCTCAGGTCCTTATCAATCTGGTAATGGTACTGCCAGAAACTGTAGTTCAGGTCGCCAGTCGAGTCTTGTTTTTGTGAAGCAATGAAGTGGTTGTGGCACCGACGATACAGGTATGCCATGAGGACGATGCCAGCAAAGGAAGAAAGTAACATTCTGTCGGCTATGTTTACGGCTCTGCTAAGGGGAGGCATTTTTAGCCCTAGGTTGCTATCGGAATAGTCGCCGGGACAAGGAAGGGCGGTAGAAATCTGTTTGGTTTTGTTAAAAAATCTTTAGCTTAGGTCATAAAGGGAAACGATAAGGTGGAGGAAAAAGTACCTCTTCGTCGTCAATGCTCGTTTTGGATCCTGTACGAATACTTGCATAAGCGTCAAATGTAAATAGAACCCAGAATGACCGTCTTCGTTCTTCCAAATCGGCCAGTCCTGCTGGCTCCGGCAAGGGGAGGACGAAGTTCGACCTAGGTTTGCTCTTGTCATCTTGGTCCATTGTGTGAAGTCCGAGCATCTTGGCCAGACGGTTTGCTCGGCCGAGACTTAACCAAGCACGAGCAAAGGACGTCCTCCGAAATTCATAGTATGCAATTAGAATGACTGCCTGCAGCATATTAAGAGAATTAAAGCCAGGCGCTTCATCATCACCCTCGGCCATGCTGAGATACTTCCTGGCATGATGATAGAAGTTCCTCTCGGCTTCTACCTGCTCCGGGGTAACTGTAGCGCCAAGCAATGCAATTGAGTAGCTGAGACTTTTCATCTCCGGCCGGTGACTGGAGACCTCCAGCTCACTGAAGAAACGATGACGGTTGACCATTGGCAATACGGCATGGACGTAATTGAAATACGATTGATGACTAAAGGTTGAGTCAGTAAGGGGCCATGAGGGGAACTTAACAAAAGAGTATTAGGATCAAGGACATGATTCATACAAGACTTGTAAGTTCACATTCTCAGGCACTGGCTCGATATCGCCGGCCGTGAAGTCAGTGCTCACTGATGGCACAAGCGATGGGAATGAAGCGTTATCTATCATATCGAAAGTATAATCAAACCCTTCTGTTGGGGCTATAATGCTATCAAAGTCGAAATTTGGTTGGTGCCTGAAGACATCAAACCTTTAGGACCTAGAAATGCTTCTCCAATAGGAGACTGGGGAAAGGGTGGCTATTACTTACCACATATCAAAGGCCCGGTCGATCAACGACTGTTGGGAATCGAAGTTTTTGAATGGTTCATATTGAAAATTCAATTCTCGTGGTGAAACCATTCCTGATGGTAATTGAGACTCCGTGTGATCAATTGACAAGCGGAGTTGGCTGTCCGTTGCTCTTGCTGCAAGGTTGCTGGACGGGCCGATGTGCGGAATAGCCCGCTGCGTTAAGGCCAATTGTGCTTCCGTCTGAGCTGTAAGATAGTTAGAGAATAATTCATTAGGCGTGTACAATTCTCTGGTCTTTCTTGTCTTCTCCCTTGACCCCTCAATGTCTCCATTTTTCTCGCATAGGATGTGTCTCTTTGTGAGGGTGGGCTTTACCTAGTCGCTCATGCAGGGTTATTAAGGCTTGCGAGATATTGGGCTTGACTGTGTCGGGCTTGCGGTGCGCCGTGTATCCGCATTTGTGTCCCAGTTTTCGACACCGGCCGCATACTGGATGGACTCGATCGCAGCGAACCTTGCGTCCTCTACAGATGTCACATGCGATGCGTCTCGATGACTGGTCTCTGCTCGAAGGTCTGGAGACCCGAGTCTCCTCGGTGCCCATGTCTTCCTTCTCTGTGGGACGCTCCATCAAAGTGGTCGACGTAGCACCCTGTCTATAGCTCGCAGGCAGATCTTGTCTATTCATTTGACGATACAGATCGATTGGTGCTGCCTGATTGGTGGACATATTTTTTTCTGTGCGCTCTTCTATCGCGAGACGATGAAAATCAGGAATGGGTTGCAAACTGTTAATCTGTCCCAGTATGAATTGTCAAAGAGGTAAAAAGTAGGATAAATACAAAACAACGGGCGGCATAGCCTACGTATAAACTTTAATATGAGGGGACGAAGGCCACAATATAATCTTCGGCACAATCAGCTAGAGAGACATTGCACGCCCTATCATTCGGCAGGCCTGAGTTTGTCTGTCAGAATATGGATTGTCTCGAGTGGATACGCACTACCGAAATGGAGAATGCCACCTTGGAGCGAACTCCTGGAACAGCGGTAAGACTAGTAATTTATGTACATCTAATGTATTTCCAGATGAAGACTGTGAAAGACGATCTGGTTAACTAGTAGTGAGTGCTTATACAGATACGAGGCACTACTGACTACAATCATAACAGAATTGATATAGATGGTACATTTAATAAATACAGATGTACAACTTGATAGCATTATCCACATTCTGACAAGGACTCGTATACTTACGTACTTGCTTAGGCAATCTCGTTAACGTCACCGACGCTGGCATGTGCCTAGAAGGAGCCATGTGCAGTCTGATTAAGCGATAACAGCCACGTTAATTAATTACGAAGAAGGAAACATCCACCGAAGCGCAGCAAGTGAGTTTCACATAGCCCTCCAAATTAAAAGGTCATGTCATATAAATGGTAGGGTTCGCATCACCTTTATGCGAATTAGATTACACGTGTAGTCAGAATTCTTGAATACCACCCATTGTTCCTAGCACCCAAAAGCGCAACCGTGAGCTTTCCAAGCATAGCCCTCAACTACGACGCAAATGAAGGTATATTCAGTAAGAAATAATTATTTTTACATCACGACGTGCTATACCAGTAGCTACGTGACTTCAGATGTCGTGGGCATGGAGAATCCCTGGTTTTACGAGGGGTCGAATGGCATTCCGTTTCTTATTAGCGGTCCCTGCAGGTCATACCACTAGCAACTTTAAAAAACATTGGACTTGCCACTTGGCATTCTTGGAAATCCTCAGATATACTTACGTGCTGTGGTCCGTATGAAGAATGGATTGCGCTATCTCATTACCAGTGGCCCCCAAAATACACATACATCGGTGCTAAGGGCGGGCTCTAGTAACAAATCAAGCTGGAAGAAGCAGCCACCACCGTTACACACTTTAAAAGGGCCTAGTTTAAGCTCCAGCGCTGACAGCAAGCCCTAAAAGAATAGCGCCAAAATATAGAGTTAAATCGTATTTGACTTTAAACGGCTGTGGAGGCAGCCAATGTACCGTATTGTATCGGAAGTGTCAGCTGATAGAAACAGCTATGATTGCGCGGTACGCACGTAGTATGCCAGCTGCCAATCTCCCGTCTTCGTAAATCCTTATGTAACTTACTATGCACAGATCAATGTACACACATTGCTGAGGTTTGGTTATGAATGGGGCCAAATTGGTTAATACATTCATTGTTCTTCCTTTGAGGGCTCCGGCGGCCGAAGCGCCAGGTATAGGGCCTATACGTATGCTAGCGTGTCGGTGATTTTTTGTACAAAGAAGCCAACATCTCATCCCCTCTTTTGTTTCTGATTTATCACTGACTTTCAAGAGCTAGAAGATCACTAGTCGCGGTGCGCTGCATTGTCAATCATCAACTAACCAAATCCTTGGTCAGTCTATATACGTACTACTTTGCTAATCGATCCCGAGACTGACGGCATTTGCGAACTTGTACGAGAAATAAAAAAGATMCCCGCCATTCCCAATAAGTAAAATCAATGGAAGGGTAGTCTAGAAATTATCAAAAATGGTAATATAGGCCACCATACGACCAGCGTTGTAGAAGTGCTTTTGAATATGGTAGGCTTGACTAACAAAAGTTGACGAATGATGCACGTCAAGATTAGCCGACCGCTAAACGAATGGTTAGCCTTCGATTTCATGGATTGCTAGTTGGTAATTAGCCTTCAACAAAGAGATAGAGTGTTAGATAGGCTCACCGACCCCTGCTAGTATGGACTTCCTGATGAGGGTTAGCTGAAGAACGGCCCTTAATACAGGATCGAGAACCCAGTATGGCAGGCATTGGCAGCTGGCCTACGAAGGAAGATGATAGGACGTCCTAACTCCCTTTAGCTGTATTATTCATACATTCTTTCAACTGTGGTAATATGGAGTACCTCCACTTACCGGAAAACTCGGTGATTGTAATTTACATGAATACGAAGTAGCATACACAGCCATATGTTACAAAGTCGATCGGCCTATATACACAGGCCAGAAAGGCAATGGATGACTCCCTATTGGCCATTCTAAATGCGCAGCTAGCTTTAACCGCTAGCCTGTCGCGGTAAACAACTGCAAATGTGTCAATATGATAGCAGTAGTCACCATGGGGTCCTATTAACGCTAAGGTCTAAAATGTGTATCGGAGGTCCCCGATGGTCATCGTGCGTAAAGCGATTGACAGATTTTGTTTATTCAAGTCGAAAGTGTCTCTCGAGATTTTTCGAATGTGTAACTCAAAAATTCCTTCGTACAGCTCCAAGCTTACCACATGTCTATTTTCCAACAAGCCTCGGTCAACTTAAGATTGGCAGAGTTCCATAGGGTCATCAGTGTCCACATTGCCCACAGCAAGTACCACGTACTTTATTCCGTGGCGAGGCTAACTGAACCTTAGATGGTGAATATTCAAGGTCTGCACGACATGGCTGGCCTCGGCATGCAGCCCTAACTTTAGCGCAGTGGGTTTGCATTTACGCTTAAACAGGTAGGCACGTTGACGAAAGGATTGGCATCATTCTCGTGTCGTCAGCTCATACACAAAGATCTAGACTGCACTATGGAGCGGGATTTAAATAAGCATGCACTGCCGCGTACAGAGTACGTAACATAAAATTTAAATTGAATGGTGACAATACATGCTGCTTGCAAAGCCCCAATTACGGGCAGGATGGAAGAGCAAGGATGCTGCGTGAATCATGATAATTAAACACCGAAGACGCCGGCTCCCTACTTCAGATTATGGATTCATAGTGACGAGAATTTGACAGACGATAGTTTAATATAAGATTGTCACTGGTGTGGTCAAATTCTTACCTTTCAGCAAGTCTTCCCATTCGGACCAAGTCCCGCAAGTCAATAGATGGACACCCTGTCATTCGCCCCGCGCTTCTCCACTTAGGTTCTCAGGCGATTGTACCCTATATATTTCCAAGACATGTATAATAATACTAGGGGTGGGTATATGTACGGGTTCATTAAACACGATATGGTACGCCACCTCGTATGTGTATCTGCATTAGCCCATTAGGGGCAGTAGCTTATACAAGTAAATACCGCAGGCACGATGTACATATAAATAACAGCCCTTGAATTGAGACACACTTTACGAAACATAATACCGAGTTCTATTAACACTCGATATGCCTATAGAGCACGTATATTATTAGTGGATTTTTGCACTAGTTTCAAATCTGCGGGTACTCGTTCGTATAAGCGCCATTTATTGGAACTGACAGGAAGCACATAATACTAAGATACGACAATCTAATCTTCATAAATTATACTCCGTATAGGGATAGGCGTCCTATCTCATGTACAACCATTACTCGTGGATAAAATCATCATCTGATATCCAAAACATTCGGAGGACAAGCCTTCAGACTCATTTCCAGATACCCTGCACCCATTGCGTTATGCTTGACCAGGTTCCAGAAGATAGTCATAATTCACTATGTTTGATCGTGTCGTCTACTTCGACGCAATCTGTTGTCGAGGGGACGTGGCTGACTTGGCTGATTCTGAAGGCAATGGAGAAGCTATCGGGTTCCGATCCCCGAGATAGACGAGTGCTGCCGACGTAGACGGAGTTTTCCAACTCCTTATATTTCTCACTTCCAGTAATAAAGTTCCAAATCGAAACTATTCCCCATGAAAGTATCAGCGCTCTGTTTTGTTAGGAAATTAGGCGCTGCCAAGCGACCGCTCTTGAGCGGTTCCTGCAGGATTTTCAAAGTGCTTACCTCCATAGAAGTCTCCGTGTTCTACATCTGGTGCGGTCGGGTCGCCTCCCAAGATTCTCATGATGCCCTGGGTGGGCTGCTCAATAGCCTTCATGGTGAAACGAAGGTATTCCCCACTGTCGGTCTTCAGCATGCCCGAGAAATCGTTGTGAAGCCACTTTTGATCTGGATCGATGGTCACCAGGTCGCCACTGTGGACAATGTCGGCGTTGATATGAACCGGAAACTAAATGACAGTTAGGGTTAGCCATCTTTGAGGGTTCTTTGTTTCCGGCTTTCGGCTTCCCTGCAGGTCTGAAGAATCATACTTACGCCAGGCTCGGAGCGGAGAATACCATGTCGAATGGGTCCAAACATAGCAGTGGGGCCCGGTGAGGTAGCGCCAATGATTAGCTGGGTTTAAGGTTAGTCCCGGGGGGCCAGAAGTCAAACCCCTTCTGCCCAAATTAGGCGGCTGAGGACTCACATCATGATCCACGGTAGCCTAGATAATGAACATTGAGGGTTAGCCTGAACGGGCAAAATTGCTCAAAACAGTTCATCTCTCACATTGAGGTACAATGCTGGCAGAAGCGAGTTAAAGGCGCACAGTTTCACCATGGCTTCGGATGTGATAGGAATGCAGTGCGAGTCAAGGTCTGAATTGATCGGCACGGACCAACGCAGATTAAAGAAGGAGATTATTGGAGGGAGTGATGATAAGGGAAGCAAAGTAATCTCTGTTTTTACTACAGTACATAAGTTCATCTACGGACTACAACTTGCGAAATTTATATACAAGTTGGGGTGGATGGCGGTCAGCATGCTTAAAACCCCTCGACCTCGGAGGCGGGCAACAAGGACGCTGCAACGAGCCCGCGCCCGTAAAATATGGACTGGGGCTGGCGACAGCGGCCCGCACCGTACCCGCACCGGCTCCGACGGACGACAAACATTGGGCAAAGAGCTGATACCAATGCACAAAAGTTCTAGCTTTTCAGTACTGAGTTAAGTTTGTAGAACTATGTTTTTCTGTTAAGGTTTGATGCTCTTTGCATTTGCGACAACAACAAGTCCACATGGCTCTAGAAGCATTATTAGCAGTCATTCCACATTTCCGCTTCCGGGTATTCAGCTTGCTTCCAGGGCCTGTCAACGTGGGTGTCAAGAGAGCGTCTCAGCTGGCAGGTCAATAAACGGCTTTGCTGTATGCGGCGTACCGATCAAAATACATAATTTTAGTTACTTGATCCACAGTCATCAGACCTATTGAGTCGTCTTGGCTCGTCGCTGGATGCCGAACGTCCGGTGTTTGCCAATTAGGGCCAAGCCCTAAACCCTAAGCCGAACAAGCCCAAGCCTATCTGGAGAGCTTCCTTCGCCTTAAATTTCCGATACTCGAATACGCTTCATGGCCATAAGACGCGATAGGTTTCCTCCATATGTTGCTGCTCGTCAGTATCGACATGCATCTCTGCCAGACTAGGGTTGGGCATATACGCTGATTGAGCTACATGTGTATGATATACCTATTCTTAGGGCCACCCTAAAGTGTATATCGTGAGCCAATCTACACCACCAATATTCTGCATACCTGCAACATCCTTGGAATATTCTTTCAATTTATATAAATACCAAGGGAGAGATAATCGAAATTACCTAGATACTATTTGCGCCCTACTTAAGTCTAGTCATCAAAATGATGATGTAGAATCGGAGTCAAAAACGCCACAAAGAAAAAAAAATCATTCACTTTCATTTCGAAGAGCATCTCTAAATTGGTCACATATTTCGTGACTGAAAGACGCCGGTGGAGGACCATTGCACCGTTCTTTGACGAACACCTACGTGTAACTGCCACAGCCTAACTCCTGCATCCACTCAAGCACAAATAAATTTCAAACCTGCCTCTTCTCCATAATGCTTACCAAGTCCTTATCTGCTTCATCCCATGCTTTCTCCACCAGCTTTGTTCGCTCCTCGCTACGAGGAGTGATACTGACCTCGAATGGCAATGGTCTACTAATGAAACCATCACTGAAACCCCACTCATCAACGGGCACCTCACGACCATCTGCATCAATTTTGGGTCCAATGTTGCACGCCCATAGGATACGCGCAACATTCAGGAAAAGAGAATTGTATGCAATGTGCTGTCCGGTACAAATTCTTCGTCCAAAACCAAATGCAGCATGTTCGGGTGGCGCATCTTTTTCAGTTGTAAGCCATCTTTCAGGCAGGAAATTGTTTGGGTCGGGGTAAATATCTTCGTTGAGATGAATACCCCAAACATTGGGCAGAATGATGGATCCTTTGGGGATTCGGTATCCCATATATTCATCTTCTTCTGTATTGAGATGGGGTACGGATTCCGGTACGACCGGTCGCCAGCGGAGTGTCTCCTTGACAATTGCATTGATATAAGGTAGATTGGGACTGTCATCTATGGTTGGAAGTCGAGAAGTTCCAACAACTGATTCCAACTCGGCTTGAGCCGGGCCTATAATTCGAGGATACAAACGAGCAGCAAGTACAAAGGTCTCCAGTGCATTCGTGGTTGTTTCGGCGCCGGCTTCGAGAAGAATAGCCACTATTATTCACTATCGGTTAACACACGACCGTGGTGTAATCTTGGGTTACGGGGCACATACCAATATATGCCAACTCCTTTCGAGATACTCCTTCTGCAGCCTTCACATCTTTGACTGCTTTGACAAAGTTCCAACCTGGTCGTTCCATTGCTTGGTGCAAGTGCTTCATGTGCATTTTGGACTCAAAGGCATGGCACTCCTCGGCAATTTTCTTCCATGGTGCGAGAAATGTCGGCAAGTAATTGAGAACGGGAATAGCATCAACGATCCAGGTTCCGACACGGCCAAAAAGTGCGAAACGCTCCACAATGAGATCGATAGCTTTGACCTCGTCCTCGTCTCCTCTAGTCATGCGCTGGCCGTATGCGAGAGCGAACAGTGTCGAGGTCGAGTACCTAATTACAGATTAGTCAAACTAGGACTATTTTGATTAAGATAAGAGCCACAAACCGGTGAAATTCCTTTTGGAACTTGCCCTTATTCTGCAATAACCCTCGAAGTAATTGCAGAGACTCTAATGCTTGGACCCCACGGTATGACTGGGACATTTTGTAGGTCAAAACTACACCTTGCAACCTTCTTGCAGTCTTCCACTGCTCATTATCTGGCATAAGAACAGGGCGCAACCCTTTTGATACATTTTCGAACGCCATAACACTGCGTGGTCGGGACGAATAAATCTTACTTTTCTTATCTAGTAAGTCGCGTGCCGCTTGCATAGTCCCGAGAACAATTATGGTATCCTTCCCGGCCTTCAATCGAAAAATAGGGCCGTACTGTTTGGTCCACTCCATATGTTGCTTCCATGGCGCATTGAGGCTCATCTGATGCAAATTACCAATAATGGGAAGTGCTGGAGGACCGGGAGGCAGAGGAGGTTTATTCCAGCCATCTATAATGGTGGAAATTACCAGGTAGGCGACTGACGCTGAGGTCAGGATAATCGCCAAACCCGTATAGCTAATGCCAATAGCTTCCATGGCGAATGGTACTACCCTGGTGGACGGTAGGGCTATGTGACGGAAATTCAAATGCACAAAAGTGAAGTTGAAGTCCGCACTATCTATACTTATGAAAGATTCCCACCGGGACACAAAACTTGAATTTACGGAATTCAATATTACCGAGAATTAATGAGCATTTAAACGTCAATCACGAACCATCAGTTCTTAGCTTGGTTCCTGTTCCTATTCCCAAAGCTCTGGATGAGGTTGTAGTCTGCCCCCCTGCGGCCCGCGACGGCACCGCAGTGCCCTAGCTCTGGATGCGCGCAGCACATCGGGGTTTGGGCGGAGGTAGAACATATGTTAGCCTTCCATTGTACAGACAACAATCTAGGCGTCAAGAGAGCTGATTTGATATATTGATTTATGCGGGCTAGTGGTTTCCATACCCTAATTCTCATCGTTCCTCATTATGCAACCAACTGAAAACTTCAAGTCCAAGATCCATATATGAGAGTAACAATATCCTCACGGACGGTTATGACGGTGACCAAAAATTACATGTGTGGAGCATGTATCATGGGAATTAGACCACTCACTCTATACGGAGTAGCTTAGAAACTAGTGGACTCGATCTTGGAAACAATGTAGTATGGGGCCGACGGGCTAATTGAATTTGGAAGGTAAACAGTGAAATCAGCAACTGGCTGAAGGAAAATTCATTCCAATCTATGGACAAAAAGAAAAACTTCGCAAAAATACCGTATAAGAAATCCAAAAGACCAAAAAACAACATCTTTCATAAACGTGCATGACTATTACCTAGTCTTGCCATTAGTATGCCCGTTTGTATACCCATTGGCCTTACCATTGACGGCCCCATTTGTTTTGCCGTTTGCATGACCGTTGGTGCTGGATTTCTCGCCCGACAGCTCCGCTTTTCTTTCTCGGTTATGAAGATATTCGTCGATAAGCCCGTTGTAGTCGCTTGGAACATAGGTTGAAAGCATTTCAGCGATAGGATTAGCCTTACGATGGGTGTTGATGCCAAGATCTCGTGCAAGAGTGTCGACATACTTCGTATTGATGTTAGTAGGAAGGACTATGAATATAACAATGGTAATATAGGTGAGGGGGGGGTTTGATAACCGGATGAAACTTACAGCCAAGTAGTCATAGATAGAATACGCATGTTTCCTACCCTGTTCCAAATACCGCTTACGAGTCCATGCGTTCCACACCGCAATTTCTTTCTCCATGTCGTCTTGGTTGGGCAATTCGAGCTGACCGAGTAGGTAGGCGACGCCCCAAAGTGCTTGCATTTCCGCAACTAGAGGCGTGTAGACGGAATGAATTTGACCAGGGAAAAAGATTGAACGGTCACCAACGGCAGCCATCTTGGGAGAGATCAACCGCCTGTAGAGGCGCCAAGGACGACGCTGTGAGGCCGTTTCGACGAACGTATCAGGTGGGTTGGCGAGAACCGGAAGCTTTTTGCTGACAATGTCATCAGCCTCGGCATCCAATTTCTTCCATTTTTCGGTAAAATCTGCTTTGGACGGCAAGCCACATTGTACCCGTAGGCGTTCATTGAAGGGCTCCAAGGCATCAGTCCATCCTGTGCATAGAATAACATAATCTGTGCCGACGGTGACTCCATCCTTAAGGTGGACCTTATCGGTGTCGCTGTAAGAGGCAATCTCAGTACGGTGTACTTTGACGTCGCCGGCATGGAAGGTTTTCCAGAAATCAGGAACACTGGCCAAACCTAGACCGGAGTTGGCCCAGAAGATACTAAAAGCGGCGTTCAGTCAGCACAAATATAGTATCCATCGCCATGGAGTCACTTACCCTTCACCAAATGGAATTGGTCTCAACTTGGTCGCATTTTCCGTCTTTGAGTATCCCGCATGTAGCTCGGCCAGTCCATTAACAAATCTCCAGAAATTCATGGTCACGAAGTTACCGACTGGGTTGTTATGGAGTACATTGTACCAGAATCCGTGTGTGTTGAGAATAGCAGGACTGAACGAGGCCAAGGCGCGAGTGCCCATGACATCGACAGTGTTCAATCCAAGAAGTCGCGGAGGCATAATGGCTAGTGGACCGGAACCTTTCTCTCGGATAACCCAGTCGACATGCTTGCCTGCTTTCAAGAGTAGGAATACGGTATCGTAGGAAGACTTGGCAGCTCCGAGGACAACGACTCGCTTGACAGCGGGATCATGAAGTTTCTTTAAAGAGACACCAATATCTGCTGAGTGTATGATAGGCTTGGTGAATCCCTGATTGGGCCACTTAGGGCTATACGGTTCTGAAGCAACACCGGTGGCGATGATGAGTTTGGAAGCCCAAATGGGCTTGTCGCCGGCGATATCGAGGCGCCAGCTTCCACTGGCCATTTTCTCAACGTTGCTCACTTCGGTGTCCAGTCGCACTCGGCGAACAAGGTCATAGTCTTTTGCAAAGTTGTATAGGTAGTCGTGGATGGTTTTACCCGAGATGTATCGATCCGGAGAAAGACCTTCAGCCGGCATGGGATAGAAAGAGTACTCAAACAATCCATGACCAACTTGAGCAAAAAGGTTGGGGTAGATACGCTCTTCACTCCAGACACCGCCAATGGAATGCCCTTTATCGACTATCAGAATCTTTGTCTCGGGAGCAAGACGCAGATATGTTGTAGCCGCGATGAGGCCATACCAGCCTGAATTACTGAATTAGCAGAGTATATTGCGATCCAAAAGTGACTCGTCCTCACCTGCACCAATAATAACCACATCATATTTCTCGTTGGTGGCCATTGTGATCCCTTGTCAGAGCTTTGATGGCCCTTCTTACAAAAGTTGGGACGCTCTGAAAGTCGATCTGAAAGGACCCGCGGCTGATACCGGACTAAGATGGGTATATAAGACTTGAACAGCACTTAACCCACTTTTACTAGTCCGAGGAGTCCTTACCGGTGTCTTATCAAGTGCGGTTCATGTACGATAGAACATGTGCATCAAACCACCAACCATTTTTGTGGTATACTGTATTCGGGGGCTAGAACATGCGTGAATAGTCGATTTCGTTGGGTAACAACAGCACATACATCGCTATGAACGGGCCGCGCAAGAGCCGATTACTCAGTAGTCGTATGTTCTCGGTTTTCGTAGGAAATATTGCATGGTGAAGTTAGTATTAAGGGAAGTAGATCTACCACGGCCCGTCGGGTCCGCTCACCAAAGTCCGCCTCCGCGAAGACAGCGAACTCTGCTTATCGGAGAAGCTTAACTATAACTGCTGCGAACTATTTTTCTTTAATGTGTTAGATATAAGTGCCACCCCCATTATAACATGAGCGCTCACTGATTTATTTACCCTATCGCTTGTTGAATTTCGTGTCATTCGAACAGCCTAGCTGGACAAGATGGATGTACGTTTGTCATTACCGGTATTCAGTGCCATTGGTTTCTACCTCTTGTGGGTGCTTATGCTACAGAATGGCACCCTTGATGCTCTTGATGCTGTCACTTCGACTGGTGTTTTCCCAACTGGCAGACCGTTGAGCACAACTTATCTGGGCATACCACCCATTGACGGCGCTATCTCAACACTCGTGGCATTCACCGATGCACTCACTAATGGAGCTGAGGGATCACCCCGTCTATTGATGATTGAGGTCGTCTCAACGCTACAGTCAGCTTCGCTATGGGTGATTATTGAAAGTCTTCGACGAGGTTCTGGTTCTCTTGGTCTGGTTCTGTAAGTCGCTGTATTGTCTCACCCCGTATTGTCATTAATAAGTATATTTAGTGCATCCTTCTGGCCCTTGATGTGGAATGGCTTCGGTGCAGGAGTTGTACTACCTCTCTACTACTTTTTCGAAGCTGGAAAGCTCCCACCGAAGCGTAATAAGAATGATCATGTGTCAGTAGCTCATGCAAAGGCTTTGCTCCCTACCGCTCTCATCACTCTGTTCCTGCCCGTCCTCGTCGACCTTGCGCCCCCTCTCGTCAGCCGCGAGCCCCGTCCACACAATATTATCACGGCCTTATTCCAAGCCACTGGTCTATACGCAGCCGTTGTTCAGCCTCTCATTGCCTCTCAATTGAGCGGCTCAGCAACCCCTCGCGCTACGACCGAGAAAGCCGTTCGTCGGGCATACTTCTATGCAGGAATTTTCTCCTCAATTGGACACATTTACGCTGTGTCCACTTCACTTTTGTCCGAAGACCCAGCTGTATCTTTCAGCCGCACATTTGTGCCCGCCATGTCGGATGTTGTTCCAGGCACTAGCCGGACTGTGTTCGAAGGGACCCTTCTCTTCCTGAAGTACGACAACTTGATCATTACCATCACGTCGGCTCTATGGCAATGGCTTTCCCTGAAGCCCTATCTCAACGTAAAGTCTCGCATCGATTACGTTTCCACTGCGTTTTTGATTACTTTGTCTACCCTCGTTCTGGGTCCTGGAGGATCAGTTTCTTTTGCACACTACTTGCGCGAGAGCTGGATTCGCTGAATGCCATAGGGCTGGAGATGAATTGGCACGACTTTCACGAATAATGCTATGCCAAGATGACAATCTTGAATCCCAGAAGCTTGATTTCTGGTAGATGAACTATTATTGTTCTCCTCTGCCACCCCGCTATGTATAGCGTTGTGATCACCAGAGCGCCAAGGGTGGAGATACTGGGAATAAGATCTTCACGTGACGAACTTGATGATTTGAAAATACATATAAAAAGTAACAGCTACTTTTGATGTAGTTAGATAAGCTCATATTTCAATGGAAAGTTTAGAGGTGGCAGAAAATACAAGGACCCACAATCAATCGGCGAGGCGGGCCGGATCGGACCGCGTTAAACTCAATAGAAACGTCCTCCCCAGGCTGACCGAGCAAACTTTCATTACCTCCCCCGATAATAATTCTCCATAGTACATATATGCAAACAACCTGTGTTACGATACTTTCAAGCCGTCGATTTCTTAAGTCTGCCCGTTACCAAAACTGTTGTTGATCCATGGCTGCAAATCTCACCGAAACATTCTCACGGTCTCCCTTCTTTCACTCTCTGCGTCAATCGCGTTACACTTTGCCCATTCGGCCTGAATTTCTTGCCTCTTCTTCCTTCAAATTTGTGAATCCACGTAATCATGTTATCAACACTGATAAGGTAGTTCAAGTACTACCGGCATCGGCAGTTGCTGGGCTGAGTGATGAGAATGTGCTTGCTTTGTTCTCTACGGGATTCTTTGGGGGTTTCATCTTTGGTTTTGAGAGGTTTATTCTGAGGATTGGTGGCTACAATATACTACCAGCCAGATATACAGGTAGCTATTTCTACCTTAATCACATCTACACCAACAAAGTCTCTCCTTTGCATAGCCGATGAAAAGAAGCAAGAGAAATTCAAGCTAAACGACGCCAGGCTTCGAACGTCCCCCAAATGCCGTAACCATCTGGAACAAAGCCGACATACCTACCACCCATCTTCTACCCAAAGGGACCAATCTCTTTGGCTCTTTCGTTATGCTAGATAAATACATAGCCGCAACTCCTTCCGAGCAAGACACCAGCTACGTCGATTACGGCTTTGGGTCGGACGAGTTCATATTCGCTGGCTGCCATCGATTTCAGATAACCAGACTGCCGACTCAGGCAGACGCAGAACCGCAAGTGCAGATGGAGCTACTCCATTTTCGATGCAATCCGCAGAAGAATAAACCGTCGATTGCGGAGTATATTGAGCGGTTTCATTTTGTCTATGCAAAGTCGTTGTTTGCGAATGGGATACAATCTCTTGTTACACGGTAGGGATCAGAAAATGGCACGGATTGTGCTTGAAGAGTGTCGAAGCATGCTGCTGGTGCTTCGAGTGTACGATTTGATTATATAGATAGATAGACCTAGACTCTCGCCTCTAATGTGTACAGTGATCACCCAACACAGGTTCTGGATATCTCTGTCTGCGTCCATGTCTGCGTCCATGTCTCCCAAGGAAAACAGGCAGTGATTTACTATCAGCAACTAGGTACCTTGCATGTCGACCCCGCCCCCGCCCCCACTGCTTATCTGCCTACATTCCATCGATAGAACTAGTAGAGCTGAAATCAGCCCCTCGGTTTTATGTTTCGCATACGATTGACATTCTGGACGGAGTCCTTAACGGCGTACATCTATTACTGTCCACAATCATATCAGCCGTCTTACCTCCGAGCCCAGCCGCATCTGTAAGCGATACTGACTTATCAAGCACATAAGTACTCGTCTTATCTTATTAAGAATTCAAATCTGGACTGTAGCTACTACCTAAAAACGTAAGCGGTCAATGAGGGGTACTCGACGCTCAACCAAGATGAAATCATAAACCACCACTTATGTGAAGGAACTATAACAACTTCCAAAACATTATAGGTGCTTTCAAATAGAAAGAAGCTATCCCTGAAAGCTCACACGTGCGTAGCAACTGCTGAAACTTAAAGGTCCGGTAGACCGAATATAGGAACCACCTCGCGGCCCGCTCTTGCATATCCCACCGTTTCGCGGCGTCCGATCTCACCGTGTTCCTTTGTAATTCAGAATACTGCTACACACTCCACAGTACTACTGACTTTCCAATATGGGTGACGAAACACAGAATGATCCCGTTGCCCGCAGGTTTAGGTCAGCAGATAGGTTAGGTAGAGGGAGGGGGAAAGATTTACTATTTATTCAAGAACGGAGAGGTTCATGTATATCTTACTCTGAATTCTGGTAGATACGTGGCCCAAAATTGTGATTTTTGAGATAGAATAAAATAACAAATAATTTACAATATGGGTTCTACTGCTCTTTCCGATATCGAGACTCGTCTCTTTATCAACAACGAGGTACGTTGAATGCGCTGGAGGAGAAGACAAAAATGCTTTGCTGATACTGGAGATCTAGTTTGTCCCTGCCAAATCTGGCAAGACATTCCAACTCATCAACCCTGCCACCGAGGAGCCATCCGTTCAAGTCTCCGAAGCTGGCAAGGAGGATGTCGACGCTGCTGTGCAGTATGCCAAGGGTGCATGGGAGGAGTGGTTCGCAAAGGATGGTACGGAAATCTACTTTCAGGAGAAACAAGCATTGATGCTGACGATTGATTAACTTAACAGCCAGCGACCGATCCGCTGCCCTCGTCAAGCTCGGCGAGCTGATTGTGGCAAACACAGCCAAGTTCGCCGAGTTGGAGGCCATTAGCATGGGTACTCCTTCAGCTTTCTATCACATGCAAACCAGCATTGCTTCCAAGCTTTTGAACTGTAGGTCTCTATCTTTGCTGGAGAGGGTAAAAATATGCTTACAGAATAAAACTAGACTTCGCCGGTATTGCTGGCGATGTCCACGGTGACACCAGTTTGATGTCCAAGGACCACCTCAACTTCACCCTCAAGCAGCCCTACGGAGTTGTCGCTGCTATCATCCCATGGAACGTCCCTATCTTGATGGCCCTTAACAAGATTGCCCCTGCCGTTGCCGCCGGTAACGCCATTATCGTACGTTGTCATTCTTTTCTTCAATCTCCCTACAAAGAGAAAAGAGGTCTAACATCAATAGATGAAATCCTCCGAAAAAGCCCCCCTTACCTCCATCCTCCTCGCCCAACTCATCAAGGAAACCGGCCTCTTCCCTCCCGGTGTCGTGCAAATCCTCTCCGGCGCCCGGGAGAGTGGTGAAGCTCTCGCCAGCCACATGGAGATCCGCAAGATCGCATTCACGGGTAGCTGGCGCACCGGCCAGGCCGTCAAGTGCATGGCTGCAAACAGTAACATGAAGGCATGCACATTGGAGCTTGGCGGAAAGGCTCCTATTATTTTGTTTGAGGATGGTAATGTTGAGAAGGCTGCTCGTGAGTGTGCCATCAGTATTGCGTTCAACTCTGGTCAGACTTGTACCAGTGCCGCTAGGTCAGTCATCCTCGTCGTCTTGTTTCCGGAAAATATTGTGCTAATGATACTATAGGCTTTACGTTCAGGAGAGTGTCCTTGAGCCCTTTTTGGCTGTCTTCCGTCCTACATTCGAGGGCTTCCTTACCAACCACGGTGACCCATTGGACCCCAAGGTTACCCACGGCCCCCAGGCCGACAAGCTTCAATACGAGAGTGTCTTGAGATTCATCGAGGCCGGAAAGAACTCCACCGCTCAGATGCTTACTGGTGGTAAGCGCAAGGGTGACAAGGGGTACTTTATTGAGCCTACCATCTTCTTGAACCCTCCTGATGACAACGATGTTGTCACCAAGGAGATCTTCGGGTATGATTTTCACCGAGACATCTCTGAATGGGCATAAACTGACTATTCACAGACCCGTCATTACCATCTTTACCTTCAAGACCGAAGAAGAAGCCATCACCCGCGCCAACGCCACAGAGGTATGACACTTCCCCTTTCTATTAGAAGCACACTAACGATGCCAACAGTACGGCCTCTTCTCCTCTGTCTTCACACGCGACATTTTCCGCGCCCTCCGCATCGCCAAGAAGTACGAGAGCGGTACCGTGACCATCAACTGCACCAGTCACTACCAAGCCGTCGACATGGCGTTTGGTGGTGTCAAGGGATCTGGTGACGGACGCGAATATGGACGATGGGGATTGGACAGCTGGCTTGAGATCAAGTCTGTTTTGATTGATCTTACTGAGTAGAATTATTTGATGAATTAGAATGAATTGAATTCCTTTTGTTGTTACGATTACTTCATGATGGTAACTAAGTATCTTCAAAGTATCAAATTCTTACCGAGGTAGGCTGTTGATGTAGATCTAAATGGTGGATAGATCCGATGCTTATGCCACAACGGATAATCAAGAATATCCCTCATAGTGCCTATTATTGATTCTATTCTAGGATAGAAGAATGATCCCCAAAAGGCTGAAAATGATAGAAACCAAAAACTAAAATCTAGATACATGCAGGAGAATAAATTTTTACCGAGAATGAGATGGTATAATACTCGAACGAAGCGAAATCAATTTTTATAACGAAAAAGGGTATCAATGTTGAATGCGTTTTTTTCACACCCTTTTATAAGCTTCATAGCTTTTCACCCATGATATTCTCTTGGGATTATGTGATTAGTAATATATGCAAAGTTGAAATGAGAGCAAAAATTTATACAGCAGATTTTGCCTCTTTAGCAGCCATCTTAGCTGCAAGCATCTCCTGTCTCGCTCTTTCTTGTTCTTCCAAACCAGTCTTTGCGACTTTGTGTGATTTATTCAATTCGATTCGACGAAGGAAGAAGCTGACAGCGAAACCTACACCAGATAGAGCGGTATAGTATATCCACGCCCGACTGAGAGAGAAAGTAAACGCCGCTTTGACGGCCGCTTGCTGATTGGCGGGKAGAGACTCAATAAGCGACTTATCACCAGCAGAGAAAGTGCTCGCCAGTTTCGCGGCTGTCGTAGATCCGACGACAGTCTCGAGTTGCGGTAGTTGCTGAGAGAGAACGTTCTGGTAGATGACGCTACCGAGAACGATGCCAATCGCCGACGCGAGTTGGCGCACAAAACCGAAAGTGGCAGTTGCGACGGCCATATCGGAGACGTGAATGTTTGCTTGAAGGGCGACGAGGGGCGCTTGGAAGTTAGGACCGACACCGGCACCGGCGATAAGTTGGTAGATAATGATGCGTGGCCAGCTTGCGTATGGTTTGAGGTCGATGAGGAGTCCGAAGCCGAGGGTCATGACTCCCATTCCTATTAAGATGGCTTCTTTGTAGCGGCCGGTCTTCTTGATGATGATTCCGATCATTGCGGAAGTAACGGATAATGAAAGCACTTGCGGGAGCGTGTAGACACCGGAAAGAATTGGAGAGGCTAAGAGGACAGATTGGAAGTAGAGTGGTAGGTAGTAAGCGCCGGAAATGAAGACGGAGGCGTGACAGAAGCACGAGCCGAAGACTGCTAGGTTGTGGCGATTCTTGAATAGTCGTAAGGGAATGATGGGATACTTAGCGACCTTCCATTCGATAAGGAAAAAGACGCCGTAGGTCAGGATGCCGAATACAATCAGGCAGATAGTCGTGGGCGAGTTCCAGGGGTAGCTAACACCGCCGAATTCGAGTCCAAAGAGGAACATGAGTGTAGCGCCGACACAAGTAATAACMCCCAGCCAGTCGATCGCTTTTAGGCCATCTATAAGGCGCGTCTTTGGTGTATGTACTTTGAGGAAGAATGTTAAGATAGTCAAAGAGCAACCACCGACGGGTACTATTGCAGACGATTAGTCTTGTCCAGAAAAAAGGCAAAGGAGAAAGAGAATGTACAATTGAGATAAAAACACCATCGCCATGTAACCTTGGTTGTCAAAGCGCCACCAACGATTGGACCAAGAGCTCCTGCAAGAGCCCATGTCACACCGAAAAGACCATAATACATTGGTCGTTCTCTAATAAAGTGTCAGCATCTTCCATCTGCCATTATGCGGGTTAACAACATACCTGACACTGACTAAATCTGAAACAGTAATATTTGCCAAAACGATGATACCGCCGCCGCCAGCACCTTGGATAGCTCGACCAGCAATGTTCATAGCCAGACTGTTGGACAAGGCACAAATCAGACTGCCTACCAAGAAAACAACGTTGGCTAGGATAATGACGGGCTTGCGGCCGAAGATGTCACTAAGCTTTCCCCAGAAAGGGACGCAGGACGCATTCGCCAAGAGATATGAAGATGCCATCCAGGAGTAGCCGCCTTGGGTGGCATGAAAGTGAGCTGCCATGACTGGAAGAGCCGTTGAGACGATAGTCTAGAGAGTCATAGGTTAGTGGACGTCAATGACTTGCAATTAATGATTGCCATACCTGATCGAGAGCTGCTAGAAACACCGATAACTATTCACAAGAATTAGCACGGGATTGATTGATAAATTGCCAATGATACATACACATAATGCACCCATAATGATAATGGTTTTGCTTTTGGCTAATTTCTGAGATTGCGATGTGGTGGTCTGCGTGACGGCATTTTCTTCAGGCACGCCATTGGGATCGCCAGCAGCAGGCGGCTCCTGCGTCCTCGTTTTTTCTATGTCTTGCGGCGAAGAAACATCCACGGAGCTTGCATCAAGAGCTTCCAATGTCGTTCCTGAAGCATGTTCATCTTCCCGGAGCGGGTTTATGCCCGGTTCTGATTTCTCTGACATTTCAATGTCTGTAGATATTTTGCCTCCTTCTCTTATACAATCGATGTAATGCCGTATACAACTAGAGAATCAATCTTCGAAATGTATGCTGGGATATTCTCGTCGATTTAGTGACACTTGCAGTATGTTGCTTGTAATGTGTTGCTGATTTGCCTCGGGATGCGACTCTTCGATGTTTGCATCAAAATGACGTACCGAAAGAATGACTCGGGATAAAATATTGAAATGAGCCAAAGTCGCAAACTGATTCTTAACCCCAGATGATCGATGACTTTTCTTTAATACAACGGCGAGCACAAACAATATATAAGAAGAAGAAAAAGAAAAGAAGGGGAAGAGGAAAAAGAGTTTGTTGCCATGTGGGGATTATCTCCGCCGGGCCTGGATCTAAAAGTAGGACCACCAAATTACTCCCTGAATGGGGATAGTGGTTCGATGTTTAATGGAGTTTGCTTCGTGGTAAATCCGATCATCCTTTCTCGATGTCTGAACGGCATTTAACAGGATGATCTAATGATGAGTCTTTGTGACTCATCGCATGCTCGAGGTCACAGATTGACATGTCTCCGCATGAGTTGCGTCTTCATTATTAAGCACTGCTGACACTCGAACGGATCTCGGAGTTGATCCCTCTAGACTTTCCCTACACACAGGAAGATATGAATACGTACTCGATTAGTCGGTCTATTGAACACGACGTTACATACCCTTTTAGCAACGTTAAAGCGCCCTTTGACAAGCTGGAAAATACGATGTTGCCTGATTCGAAGTCTGACTTGTGTCAACCCATCCGAGATTGACGCCATTTGTGTACTGCGTATAGTAAGAGCCATGACCAAAATTACACAAACAACTGCGCATAAGGCACACATGGCATACGCGTAATTTACGTATGATTCGGCAAGATTTCTCCGCGAAGCTTGTTAGTCACCTTAAATCCGACCACTCACAGCTATTTGCTTCGGAGAGCGTTTTGCCAATCAGAGGCCGAGGATACGGGACGTCGCTCGAAGTTTCCTGACGCCGATGTTGCCTGAGGCATCAGTCCAGGAACGACGATCATCTCCTTTCGTACCTTGTAAACGCCCACCAAAACACTGCACACTCTGGTCTCCAATTTGACATCAGAATGCGACGAAGTCTATTGTATAGACTTAGTCAGCCGATGAGGAGTAAACCTATAAAGAGGACTTATAACGGCCTTATTCCACCTGTTCCCAAAAGAATCATTAACATCGCCAATCCAGCAAGTGTGATAGAGTAAAGTACTCTTCTACAGCTGGCAGAGAGGTGACGAATAGCACTATACACCCGCAGAAATTGAGATTGTTATTATATTAGTCTAGCCATAACGGATATTAAGACCTAAGGAGCGATAAATCTACAGAAAGCTGATATATATAATCTTGTACCGTTCCAAACACGCATCTGACAAAATCGCAAGTGTCACAGAAGTCAAAAACTTGAAGGCATAAAAGACACTCGAACGTGTTAAAGCATTGGCTTGCCTGAGACCTACCTAGGTAGAACGCGGGGTAAAGCGATACTGTTCTGGGGATCTTGCGTGTAGATTTCTGTACCAAGAATAAGGCTAAACACCTCGACCCTCGCTCAACAGACACCGGCCTTGCGCCATTGAGCTGTGACAGCATAGAAGTTGAAGCGCTCTGTTCTGGGAGCTACGACAGCCATACATAAAATGAATGGCAGAGAGTCAACGACATGAGGTAGGTTTCTGATCTCGTCTTCGGTAGCACCGCGTCTTTCTTGTTCAGTTGTTGCTATTTTTGATACATGTAATAAGTAGAAAACAAGAAAAAAGCTGTAATCAGCGAGTGATTATGTATTATCAATCTTACACTAATATAGTCACTGTATCAATATTATCGTTAGAATGTCATTGCACCATTCAGCTTTGAATACTGAAGACCAGCTTGTACTCGAGTGTAGATTAGGATTATAGGCCCAGTAAAAAATGGAATTACGATTTCAACGATGCAGTTGTCCGAGGACGATATTAGTGTAACCGAAGCATTCATGCAGAGGTTCTAGTATATTTCCGAATTAGTGCCATTGGAATGCACTTATTTCCTTTATTAATGAGACAATCATCACGAAGGAGATAAGTGCATGTCTATGGCACTAGAAGTGAAGCCACAGATCACTAGATCTCCTGCCTTTTTGGGAAGGCCTCTCATGAATACGTTGGCTTAAAATACATTTTGGAGGCTATCGCCTGATATAAGTATTCCAACGCTTGCCTAAACATCTTACTATCTTCTCTTTACTTTGTAGACGCACAGAACGCGGTATACATACTCGAACTGTATCTTTCGCCCTCTTGGTGCGTGGCTCAACAGCCAGGTGTCGAGGGTATTGACGGAACGGACGTAGAGATACCTTGGTGCCATTGATGCCACTCTAAAAGCTAACGAACAGCATTGATCAGGCAGATCGCTTACACTCTGATCCCTCGGGAGTTTATCTTTTCAAATGTTGGCTCCAGCTAGTCCGGCCGATGGCTCTTGGTCAACAAGCCGAGTTCTTCCACAGCTTGTCGGTCAGCCTCGCTAATTCTTCGTCGCGCGTATGGATATGAAAACGTAAGCAATTCATCGTGAGAACTGTCTAGGTATATGCCGTGTCTCTGATTATGTCAAATTTCTTCAATGCAATTGAGAGTATCCTCGTATCGGTTTCCTGAAGAGGGACATGGGACGCGAGGACGGCTGTGATTGGGCTTTGCGTTTAGTTATAAAAAGAAAGAAAGCATCGCCATGGCTGAGCCCCGCCGCAGAGTGGGGCCTTAGGCTTTGACTCCTCCAAGCTTCGTCATATCTCTCCTTTCGCTTGACCATCACAAGTGTACTTCTACAATACTACTTCACTGCATAGTACTCTTGAGTGATGATCCTGACATCGCGCTGAACACGCTATTCTGCTCTACTGAAAATAGTAGATCGTCGACCCGTTTGAGACCCCAATCCTGAGTCGCCCGGCGCACGGTCGATGAAGTACATGAGCCCCAAATCAGGCTGCAAGATATGAAGAGTTTTACTTAAAGCTCAAATCCATCACAGTCGCTCAGTCGTCAGTCAGTCTACTCATATACCGCTCAATTACACTTCAACTTGACCGATACTTTCTTTGCGCGACTGAAAGGCCGTCGCAATGGCCTACAGTCAGAAATTCAATCCCGATGCGCTACCAGCGTGAGCACCCAATCCAGAAAGTCGATGAATACAAGCTAATTGAATCATAATCATCTAGACATATAGAGCCTGAGATGGTATGCCGAAAGCTCGCCGCGATAAAAAAAGTCAATAACTAACGAAGCTAACCCACAGGCCGCTGAATTACTAGCCAATGCGCAACACCGACCTCACCCACAACAACAGCAACAACATCAAAGACCTGTTCCTCCACCCAAACCAAATACACCGTCTGGCATACCACCGCGCAAAACACCCCCGACCGGAGCATCACCTCATCCCGCACCTCTCAATTTCGTAAACCGACAACATCACGCAGATAGCGGTGCCGCGTCCCGACTCCATTCACCCCCTCCCGCAAACTACGGTCACGGTCCTCGTCCCAATCCGAACGGCATGGGTCGTCCTACACAACATCCTCAACCTTCACTATCGCCCGGTCCTCCACCGCCGGGCCCCACGTCTGACGACCCTCAACAGTTGCGCCCCTTATTCTACGCCGCAAATATATCCCGGACAGGCGCATTGACAGAATCCGAGCTCGGATCAGCATTGGTCAATGCCGATTACACCCACTTTGACCCCAATACCGTCAAGACCATGGTACGAATGTTCGACCGCAACGGCGACGGCGTAATCCGTTTCGACGAATTTGTATCTCTGTGGCGATTTCTTGCTGCATGGAGAGAGCTCTTTGATCGATTCGACGAAGACCGCAGTGGGAAAATCAGTTTGGAGGAATTCGAGAAGGCGCTTGTCGCGTTTGGGTACAGGCTTAGTCGCACATTCGTGCGGGTGCTGTTCACGACGTACGAGGCAAAAGGGAGACGGCGCACGGGATCAACTGCAGGAGCACCGTACCCCGGTGGTGGAGGAGGACGGGGGATGAGTTTTGATCTGTTCGTGCAGGCATGCATCAGTCTGAAGAGGATGACGGATGTTTTCAAGAGGTATGACGACGATCGGGATGGGTATATAACACTCAGTTTTGAAGAGTTTTTGACAGGTGAGTTTTGTTTCTCTCCTGAGATTCTGTGTTGAGTTGAGCTGACTTTTTTCGCTGGCAGAGGTTTTGAGTTTACAGGATTAGAATTGTATTTATACCAGTATACCCATATATTGAGATACCACAGCATTTTAACGGACGTCGAGTGACACGTTGAACTTTGAACTCTGCGCCTGGAGCACATCCGAAACCTCCTTCCATGCTTGATCTTTTAGTGCTTTCCCTTCCTTCCCTAGAAGGGTACCCGTTTCACTAAATTCACAATTGGTCAACCAATGCCCATAATCTCTCTCCTTGTCAAAGTCATCGTGGATTCTTACTCAAAAACCCCATCACCCTTCCACATCCTCCCATGCGACTCATACCCCTGTACACAGGCACTAACCAAAACCCTCCCGCCAACTTCAGCGGACCGCGCAAATAGCCAGTTAAACATCCCCGCAGCCAATCGCCCATACCAGCGAGTCGTGTACTGTCGTCCCAGCGCAGAAGCACACAAACCCGGTTTTACGGTGTTGATGATCACATTCAAGCTCCCATTAGGGTTTATGGTTTGATCTGCGATGCTGCGGGAGACGTATTCAATGAGTAATTTCGAGATTGCATATTTTTTGCGCGTTGAGGGTTGATTGAGATAATCCAAAAGCGGATGCGAGGAAGAAGACGACAATGAGGGTGGCGGGAGGAGGTCTTTCCGCCTGACGCGTAAAGCAGTACCACTGGATACAATGACTAGATGCGGTACATCCCCTTCCGCTATTACCTGCTCGCTATTATACCGTTGAAGTGTAGGAAGTAGCAACTCCGCCAGCAACGCCGTCGAAAGCGTGTTTACCTGCAACGTATCCTCCCACCCATCTTCCGAGCACACAAAGTTTCGATGCATAACCCCTGCATTGAGGACAACAACATCTAATCTCCGCCCACTGGACAGCAACTCGGTATTGACACGCGCCGCAAACTCAACCACGCTCTGGAAAGAGCTCATATCAAGCGGGTATACCTCCACAACACCCCTTCGCCCAGTCCGGCTTTCTAATTCCTTTTGGGTCTGTTGACCACGCGCATAGTCGCGACTGCTGATTATGAGTGATGAGACGCCCTGTTGGAGAAATTTGAGGGCTGCTTCGAAGCCGAGGCCGGATGTGGCGCCGGTGATGAGGATGGTTTTACCGTGGAAGGAGATGTGGGTGAAGTCGGCGGGTGGATTGTGTTTGTCGTGGTAGAGTCTGTAGAGACCTGCCATCTTTTATATTTCAGGATAGTATTTGGTGTTATACTCATTGGATGATTGAATGAGCTTGAGAGATATAGAGTCAGTTCGACTTTCTGTAAGACCCTTGTCGTAATGGTGAAGACATGTCTATAGCCCTGTCTCTCTCCTGGTACGAGCCCCTTGTTATAATCCAAGACCAGTCAGCAATCATCAATTATAGAGCGACTATCGTCAACAACGTAGGCGTTGCAACTGATCCATCTCTAACCTTGTAAGTTTTGGAGGTTGTTCACTGGAGTGATGAGAAGATGGACATGTTATCGATAACGTAGCACAAACAAACAATGCAAACACCGTTTTCAGTGGATTTGACTGTGGAGCCTGAGGCCACCCATCACAAGTAGATTTACAACAAATACAACAAAGCACGACATATTCACTAGACACCAAGGTCGACAATTGAGGCGCATACTATATGGCAGACGTTGCATATGTATTTGCAAAAAAAGCCGTACATTTGTCTTGAGTACGGACGATTTATTGGTCCGAAGTCGTACAACTGTGATTTCTGTCTGTGGTAAGTCCATTAAGGTATTCTTACAAAAAGATATAGACTGATGTTTCTGTAGATTTTTTCTGAATCCATGAATCAGTAAGATCCGGAATAAGAGCTCTGAATCAAGCAATAGATCTAGTCTTTGAGGTCAACCGGGTGCAAAACCCGGCATAAGACCTATTTGTCAGACTTGAAAGACTCATAAAGAGAGGGTTCAAAATGACCGATCAAATCTCTCGCGACGGCCGAACATGGAAAGAGCATTTCCCGGAAGGTGATCTCTGGGTCTTTGGCTATGGGTACGTTATCAACAGCATCAAACATACGCTTCATGGATTAGCGTAGCATTAACACCATGACAGAAGCCTAATATGGAAACCACCTCCTCATTTCGGTTCGTCTTTTTCCAGTATTAACGAATATAGACTTGGCTAATGATGCACAAAGACAAACGGGTCCCCGGATATATTAGCGGATATGTGCGACGGTTCTGGCAGGTAAGGCTTCTTTGGCTGTGTCAATATATCAAATTGAACTGACCGCCCCCGCATGGTAGGCCAGTACCGATCACCGCGGAACACCAGAACGACCGGGGCGAGTGGTGACGGTGATTGAGAAGTCGTTTTGGGAGACGTTGGATGATCCTGTGGGTTGGCGACGAGAATCCTTTCTTGAAGATGTAATACTTGCTAAATACTAACGAAATAGCACGAAAACCTCGAACCATCCAATACATCAACCGTCTGGGGTGCCGCATACCACATCCCCGCTTCTCATGCAGAAGAGGTACATGACTATTTAGACGTCAGGGAAATAGATGGTTATACAGTGCACTACACGCCCTTTTATGCCGTGAMCCCTCAAGCCGATCAAATTACCACCACCACAACATCAAGCCGACCATTATCACAGCGTCAACAATCACCACCATCCGAACTTCTCCCGACTTCATCCTCCAAACCCATCACTTGCATGGTCTACATCGGGCAACCGAGCAACCCTCAGTTCCTGCGTAACCCGGCTGAACGCCACCCGGCCTCTGTGGCGGAAGTCATTAGTCAAGGCGTAGGCCAAAGTGGACGGAATCCGGAGTATTTGTATCTTTTGGAAAAGGCACTTGAAGGGTTGGGACTAGGGCTTGCGGATGGACATGTGACGGATTTGGTGAAGAGGGTCAAGGTGATTGAAGGGTTGCATGATCGGAAGGGTGAAGCGGATGAAGAAGAGCAAAGTGCGGAGAGGGAGGTGGAGAGGAATGTTGCTGGGGGAGGTGGGACGGTGGATGTTATAGAATAGACTGGATGCAATAGAACTAGATATGCTTATGTAGTCTGAGGCACACAGGGATGTGAATGTCTGCAGTATGCGGTGCATACATATGTAAACAGGGATAGGGCATATGACCAAGTACAGGCATACATTACACACTCATCAATACAAGGCCTGATACAAACAAATCATACTCAATCAAACTAAATCATTATCCCATCCATCTAAGCAGTATGTTAAGCTATTGGCACACATAAGACAGCACAGACAGAACAAGACGAGACGAGACGAGATACGAACATAAGAAATACACATCATCGAATAAACAAGATTCAGAAGACGCTTCGAGAAGATCAAAAGAGACAGCGCATCATGAAATAAAAGGTTCGAGTTCGAGGCGGTAACAATCATCTAATTTTGCTTTAATCAAAACAAGCCATTGGAAAAGGAAGACATAATCCATGAATTCAAATTCTCATTTCGCCCACGGTTAGTCAAACATTCATTTGTCCCATCATGTAATGTTTCTTCTTCTCGTCAGATTCCTCATTATTCATTCGTAAGTTTGTTTTTGGCAATTTATTGGGGGTTGGTGTAGAAGAAAGGAAATAGGAAAGGGCGGTAAGGTCGGTGCAGCGTGTATATTGCTTCGAGGAATTGATGCAAGCAATCGTAACAGACTCGGCTCGACGGATTGCTTAGGCAGGACCTTGTCCTCCTTGACCTTGGTACTGATTGCCGCCACCCCAGCCTGTGGCATTCGTCAGTTTTGATACCACCATGTCTTCTCGTCTAAAGTCAGATCTCACCTCCGTGACCACCATAACCACCGCCGCCTGGTAGTTCCGATCAGTCTTGACACCATGTGTAGAGCTGCAAAGCAAGAAACTTACTGTAGCCTCCACGGTTGTTACCACCTTCGAAACGGTTGTATCCTCCACGGCCATGGAAACCGCCATCGTTTCCACGCGAACTGGCATTGTTGGATGCTCGGTCGACTCGAATGACACGGCCATCGAAGCTGTTTCCTTCAGTCCGGAACGCCCAAACGAGGACTTGTTATAGGATCTGTCGTAACTCACTCCTGATTGTTCATGCCGTCAATTGCAGCGTCGGCCTCGGCATCGGTCGCGAAGCGCACAAATCCGAATCCACGGCTGCGGTTGGTATCCCGGTCCTTGATGACGATCTGCCCATTTTTTAGTAATGTAAGTCATACCATGGGGAGTAAAGGACTTACGGCTTCTTCAATGGTGCCAAACTTTTCAAATCCCGCACGCAGAGTCTCGTCTGTGGTATGCCATGCTAGGCCACTGCACGTCACATTAATATGGGGATACGAAATTTGAATAGACAGATTCAGAGAAACTCACCCGATGAATAATTTGGCCATTCTGTTAAAGGGTTTGGTGGAGTAGGTCGCTGCGATAACACACACCAAAGGGTCAACGATTGATGGAGATGAAATTAGATAGAATGATAGAAGAGAAAAAGAGAAGTGACGACACGATGAGAAATTAATGAAAAGAATAAAGCACTAAGGTGGTAAATGATGTCGAATTATCAGATTCTATCTGTTTTCGAAATCGCACAAATTTTCTTTGTAAGACACACACCCAAAAAAAAGAAAGAAAAAAAGAAAAAGAAAAACACCAGGAATACAAGCTGAAAGTGAAAATGTGCCGACTGCAGTTCAGATGAAGAGCAAACGACGTCTGTTTGCGCGGGATTAACAATCGGCAAGCAATCGGCAGTCGCTTTTCTAGTTGCGAGGGGTAGACGAGGGGATATAGAAACGCGCCATAAGCAACTTACACTGCGCTGCTGACTATGGTTTGGACACAGGGAGTAGGATCAGGAAACAAAGATTGTATGGAGCAAAGATAGAATCTGGTGTTGTCGAGGGCTAGAACACTGACTCGAGAGGGGTTGCGGGAGGAGTATGCAAAGAGCTAGAATGCACCAGACAAGATAAAAATGTAGGACTAGCACTTAGTCAGGGAAGACCAGGCATCAGGCTGGGTTTATAATAACATAATTTAGTTAGCGTATGAGGGAGCTAAGCTGCTAGGTACATATACGATTGTTCCAAAACCAACCCCAACGGCTTACACCAGCGCCGAGTCAACACTAACACAACGATGGGTTCATGGAGGAGTCCGATACGCTAGTTTCGGTGAGTTGATTCTTCTACTATTCAAGAGAGCATTTTTGTCTCTCTTTTATAATTGTGTTAATGGGTCGACCAATTTTGGCGCTAGACGACCCTTCCCACTCTTTATAAGTCCGGATCTCAAGGAGGGGTATGCCGTTATGCATCGATGCAGTTCACTTCGAAGCCGGAGACGGACTATTGAGTCTTGACATGCATCCTGTACGAGGGAAGCTGAAGGATTATTAATGCGACCTCAATCACGGAATTTCGTTTTGTGCGATCCGAAATCAAAACGTAGTTAACGAGCATTAAACGAATGATATCACAAGGCCCATGTGACATTTGCTCAAACACGGGGTCAAAATGTCGATAAGCTTTGATCAAATTGTTTGAGGGACACCGAAGGACCCTACTCCGTAGTAGACTCGCTGACTGGTTAGTGGCCACCTATGCCAATCCAAATTGCGTAGTAGTGTGCGTACCGAACTACTGTTAGTGCGGAAAACATTGCGGAACAAGGCTGAAAGCACGTTCTCGTACGAGCCAAACGACTCTGACCAGAAGCAAGGCCAGAGTCTGACGGGCCGGTCGGACTTGGAAAGCGCGTGCTCGGTAAACTTCTAGTGAGACTAAGTGAGTCTAGTCTCATCACTAGTCTCTTTCAGGATAGGGCGTCAAAGGTGAGACAAAGTCACAAAGGGCTACCTCCGCAGTCGAATGGCGTGCATCATGGATCGCGCCTGGCCATAGCTCCCGATTTTACCCTCGCGGAAGAAGGACTCGTAAATACCCGCGAATTCTTAAGTGTTGCCTCGGGCACTAATCATGAAGAGGGGTTGTCATGTATTTGATCATTCTCGCACTGGTGGTGTGCCACTTTTGACTGCGCGAGTATGATTCTTGTGATTCGAGACAAATGTGACCACTATTCTATGATCAAGTTGGTGAACGATTCTGGATGGATATCATTTAGCCAGTGCACCCGCGATGCGCCACAAGCTCCGCATCATAGTGGGGGAGGACAGAGTTTGGCCCAATTATACTGGGGAACGGTGTGATGTGATGAGCTTGCTGCGTGGAATCCTTAGGCGTCCAATCCAGCTCGGGCCTATGCATCAATAACGACAAAAATGGCTTAAGTCATTGTGTGGTGCTGCTACCATGGTTTTGCAAACCGACCTCACCGTCTGGAGCGACGCGGACAGGCCGGCAACGAAAACTATGTAAAGCAATGTATGTGCGGAGCAGCGGACATGTCAGCCATCATAATAAACTGCTTGTATGATAACGGTGATCTTTGCCGTTTGTGCTATTTCGTGAGACTTGGGGGTGCTGAGACGGAAATGAGGTTATTAGCAATGATCCACTCGGTGTAGGCTGGAGAGGTCCGAGATCAGTCTAATCGCTCGGTGTCCAGCTAGTATATATTGCGACGTCCGAATGGGGAGGTTACCAACATTCAAAGCTGGAGAAAGCTGGGAAGAGACAACAATGAAAACAGTGCAATGGAGTTCGAGAAGATGTTGGGCGACAAAGAAAGAAGTCGCGATACGACAGATCCCGTGACCTAAACGTGACTTGCAAACGGAAGGAACGAGGGTCGCTCTTTCCTCCGAAACCATGAGTTAGCTTGTTTTCTCGAACTTGCTTCTTGGATATTGATGATCTGCTTCAGACATGGCAACCTGCGCAGTCAAAGTCGCAAGAGGAAGTCGGCAATTCTTGTCTTCTGCAACAATCTGCAGCAAGGTTGTTGAGTGTTACACGCAAAGGATGTGACTCTTTACCATGGCCGACAAGTTCTTTTGACGGTGTTCTTTATAAGAGAGGAAGACAGATCGCACAATGGTACAAGGTGAGTCTCAAAACACGCTTTTCTTCGGTACAGATACTTTGCAGACAAGAAAGCAAAGAGCGTACTGATATCGTGCCATAGGACTCACACGCTGTGCCGAATGCGATCCGGTGCTCGAGAGGGACAGTCGCAACTCGCAAAGAGTTTCATCCAGATCGGTTCAATCGTATGAACGGCGCCCCAGACGAAAGACAAAACCAGATCGATATGAACCTTACAAAGCAACATCCGTCTCCGAGCAGGGCTCTCCCCGACCCAGACGCCCCCAGAAGAAGACCAACTTGATGAAGCAAAACAACTCTAGACTGGGTGAAAAATTTCGTGTTAAGAATATCAAGACAGGACGATTGACTGTGAGGCGATCTTCCGAATCACAATAGAAAAAGCTGACCATAGACGAGTTGGCATCGAATGAGAATTTGGGTATCTTCAAAAAAGGCAAAACGTCATCGCCCGTCAGCTCGGTAAAAGGTAATGTCCAGATTGACATGTCATTACAACACAACTGACCTTGCATTTAGTCTCGTATCCCAGTTTCTCGGAACTTCGATTTCTTGCAAAAGAATCACAAGCTGCGACACCAGAAGAGGAAGTCCAAAGGTCTCTTCTCTCGGAACATGACAGAACATCGCCGCGGGGGAACTCTTCTGATGCGTTCCTTGAGAAAGAGCTCTTTCAGGTTCTGACCGATTGTCGCCAACTCAGCGTTCCCTACGAGAAGTATATGCCGAGATGTCCGAACAGCTGGTTTGTTTCATTGGAGGACCTGAAAGACCTATGTAGGGATTTGGATAATACGTGGTCACAGAGAAAGGGGGCGTTTAAGTTTAATCCTGCGACGGAAAAAGCTTCTCACGGCGTACACCATGCAACCTGCGGTCGGACAAGGACTTATCATACATACTTTTCGAACCCTCTCGATGACGCCGCAAAAGACGCAGCCAAACATGAAGAAATGCTCGAAATGCTCCTAGATTCGGTCGAAGACTTTGATCAGGACGTGGCGTTAGAAGTTTTAGCTGAAATAGTTGAACCTGGAACCGACATATACGAGCACCTGCGAGTAGCCGGTCATACAGATTACGCGCACAAAATGGATGCTATTGCTTCTGTTTATTCGTATGACGCACCATGCACACTTGAAGATGACTGCGGGGGTTCTCCCACCATGGGACACGGAGAAAATTCGGTCATATCTAGTGCAATGCAGACACGATACAATGACAAAATCATACCGATTGGTTGTCCCATTCGAGACTTCAGAGATATGGAGAAGGGGGGCACAGTCAAAATCTCCGCATTGGGTATCTCATCTGCTCTTGACGACAGACATTTTCAAACTTTCCAAAAGCCAGCGCCCACCCTAACCACCACGCACATACCAGTCAACACAGCCGTACACAACCAACAAAGCATACAATCTCACGTCGTCCTTTTTGGAGATGCAACAAACTCTATTGATTGAATGGTATGGACTTTGGCTCTTGATGCATTATTAGGACGCTTTGACCATGAGGACGGAAGTCGGTACCGGTAAGCATTGACAGACGATTCGAGTTATGTTCTTAAAACAGCATTATGGCTATCACCGTCGCGTAACGACATATTGGATTAGAGACCAGACTTGATAGTTGGGCAACCTTGTTGGACGATGCCGCCTTTACCGAATTTTCCTTCCGTTCTTCATGATGAGTAGTTGGCTCGACCTAGACGAGACCATAGCAGGCCTCCGAATAAAAGCGACGACTTACGTCTCAAAATTGAGATCATCAGTAGGCTTGTATAATGATTTATTCACGGAGAAGAGCGGAGAAAATCTAAATGAGAAGCATCAATTGATTTATCTCCGCCACGCCATCCATGCATGCATCAAGTAGTACACGGTGTTATTCAGTCGCAGCATTCTCAGAGGCCATCCACTCTGCTGGGAATACTAGTACATGCGTGTAACTAATCACATCATGGTAGCATTTACATGCACGTAGACGCTAAGTGGACTTCATGATGCATTTAGAGATGCACTGCGAGTATAGCTGGCCAGCCGGATCAGACGCCGTGGTTCCCCGGGTTAGGACCCGAGCCCTTGGGCTCAGAAGTCTACTAATTTGCGGGATATAATTACTTTTTAATCTGTTAGAAAGCTTTTGGAAAAAGAAATAGGAAGAAGAAAGTCGTTTCTCGTTGGAGACGACATGTACCTAGAACTTTTGCGTCGTTAGTGTGCATATTGATCAGGCCCGTTCATCCTACAGCAGGCCCGAACATCAACCAGCCTTCTAAACAATTCGGCTTCTGCAAGTATGAAAATACTACGACTAGAAGGAGAAACATCCTCTTCCGGAAAGTACAATTTCAAAAGGGCCAAGAAATAAAAGATATTACCGCGATATGCGCTATGTTCTAAGATGTATTTATGCATATCTTTCCGAAGCCTGAAAGTCTGATCACCGCGGTCAGATTCATGGGTCCCATCTGTCTTCTTTTTCAGCTGAGTATTTTTCTCTTCATTCGCTGATTCTGCATGGCCTATTTGTGCAAGTATGTGGAGCAATGGAGCCGCGTAATGACTCGTGGAACCCTCACAAATCTTGTGTCTCCTGAAATTTCTTGAAGAAGACTGACTGACTGAAGTGGGGTGTAAATGCATCAAATGATCCAATATAACGGATTCGTCAGAAAGAGGACAAAGAAAAACTACAAGCCCCATCAACAGACAAAGAAACAGAAAAACAAACGCATGTTATCTGCAGCTAATTTTCAATATTCCATGCCGATTGCCGTCTGCATCCCAGGTCATTGGGAGAATTGAGTTGGATGTGGATAAGTATCCACTGGGGGTATAATCCCCCGAAACTATAACAACGATATGTTTAATTTGTCCATAGATTAATCTATGTTAGTCTCAAAATTGAAGAAATCCAGCTGAATGGTAAGTACCTTAAAGTGCATCGGTAGTCAAGCCCTTTTCTGCAACTTGAGCAATCCCCCTGCGAAAAAACTTGCTTTGTATCAGGCGAGACTTGCCGGAAGAGGAAGTAGCTCTGGTTTTTTCCCCCTCCTTGTTGTTGATTGCGCCGTCGAAGAAGGACATCTTCGGACATTGTGTCTCATTCTTCAGTGCGTTTCTCGGGTGGTTTATCTATTTGATACGTAGGTATATACAGTAGTTGGAAGCTAGATGGGCCCGACGCAGCGGTTCCGGGATGCTGTCAGCGTGGGCATCTTGTGTTTTGTATCTGCATACCTAGATGGGTACGTTCAGCCGTTGATCTTGTAAGAACTAGTACAAATAGATGAATATTTTCATGAGGGAAACAGGCTCCTTATCGAGGAATTTGGCTACACACATGGTTGGTTACGGTGATGACCAAATGACTGACGTCGAGAAAAAGCGGTGGGACAGAGCCTCAATCGAACCCTTTAAACTAATCATCCATGTCCAACCTACCTACCTATTACCAGTCTTGCAACGCAACTTGACAAGGTATACGTGTACGTACACAACCTAGAAATATGTATTCGTTGTATGAAGTGCGATATGTTGGACGCCTTAAAGCCCAGGTGATGAGGTCGGTCCACATCAGTAAATGAAGCAGGATCTGTGCATCTACTATTTGATGTATGTATATGTGCATGGCTCCATGTACGAAAGGTTACATTTGTTTAAGGTCAGTGAGAATACGAAGCATTTGTGGAACCCCCTGACCCAGACTACTGGGTTGCTTTGAGGGTGCAGCTATTAGTGAGGGATAGTCGTGCCTGCAGACTCTTGACTCGTCGTCTAAGTGTATCTAGAGGTTTCCACTGAAACCGGAGTTCTCGTACTTTGGGTTGCTCTATCCAGTATCTATGATCCGTGTGCACCAGATGCAGCCAGACTGTCAGTCATGTCGGTCGTGCATGAACTAGAAACTTGCCTACATACATTGTCATGAAATGGCTTTTACGTGGCAGGAGTATTCTCCTTTCTTTCGTTCCGGCCAGATCTGGACAGATATTGCCTAGGCGAGGGCTTGGGTTGGAAGTGTGGAAGAAACTAAGATATTTAAGACTGGCAATCCCTCTACAAAAGAATATCCAAAACAAAGAAATCAGTGAAGATTGCCACCATTCAGCAAAAAAGTGCACGACGACGCAAATTCTCAGCTTTTTTTTGTACCTCGCTCTTCTTTTTGACTAAGTCTAGTGGGGTGCCAAAAATAGTTTGGCATACACCCTCCTTCGTTGTTGTGGGCTATCTGCAGAGCAAGCAGAGCCGCATTGAACAACCATACGTCGATTTTTCTTCACAATTACACGCCTCTTATCTGTCTATTGCTTCCGAGTCATGATCATGGCGCCTCTAACAGCAAAAGCATTATCTGATCAAGAAGAGTTCTATGCTCGAGTACGTCGATACCTACCTGCTATCTTTTATTGTGGCCCAGAACAATTTCTGTGATTTTATGATTCTTTCTTTTTTCCCATGTGATAACCCGTCTCGGCGCTCGAATCTTACCAACGAGATTCAAGATCTGACAAGGCCCGACCACAACAGGAACGAGTCGAAATCGTCCAGTCGCATGCCGCCAAGGTCATACAAGAGGAACAAATCCAAAAGTACCTTTCGCAACGCGGGATTGCAGAGGGGTATGATATCATGGCTGGGGAGGGGGTGCGGGTTTCCAGACTAGGTGGGCATGAATATGCTAGTTTTCAGCGTGGTGGTGGTATTACGAGCAGGGGTACTGCAACCCAGCGAGACTCCGGCATTCGCGACAACAACGGCGATTCATGGAACTCACTTAAACTGTTCATGCCGCGACAACCGCCAACACGGGGTCATGAACAACCCTACGAAACCTCTGGTGCGACGCCGTTGGAGCGGTACTTGACACCGGGCGCCTCAAGTGACCCATCCTATATTCGAAGACCGGCTATGATGCAGGCGAAGTGCTACGGCGATATGGGTAGTGTCGAGAGCCGAGCACATCAAGCGCAGGCCTTGGCTGACAAGGTTGACAGAGACGGACAAGCGAGAAATGGTGGTACACGCGATGGGTTTGTCTACAAATGAAAATGGTTGTGTTTGTATCTATCAACTCGGTAGTTGGAAAAAAACAATCCTTTGTTAGGGCTTCTGGTCCAGTGGGGACCAAGTGGATCATTAACGTTAAGGACTTAAGGTTGACGGGCGGGCGCCCCGCCTGGCGCCGTAGGGGCTCCATCGATCGATCGATCCATCCATCCATCAACAACATCATTCTTGAAAATTGAGGAAATTAACTGTTCACCGCATGTTTTGTTAATTTTAGAGAGAGAAGAGTATATTTGATGATTGGTTTTGAATGTTGGCGATGGCGGTGAAGAATGAACGACTACACGGCCAAGCACGTAGGTTATCATGCCTATTACGTAGGTATAGTTACATCGATAGTCCTAATCGAAATGAAACAGTAATACAAAGTTCGTCTTCTATGTATGCGCCCTGGTCATTGTTGAGAGTTCTGTATGGCTGAGCCCCGTTTCATACATCCCCCTATCCAATGATCAGTATCGATGGCCTGAGCCTTTGTAAGTAGTTCCTGGAGGCTGAAGTGTGCCTTTTGCCTACCTAAGGGCTTAGGCCCCTAGGGGGACATGTTCGCACACAGGCCAGGCAACTGTCGTGGCTGAGCTTGTAGCACACGGGCTCTTCACCGCCACAAAACCGGGCAAGGCACCAAGGTAGATCTAGATATTTTGAGAGTCGCCTATGACATAGATCTTGCATATCGACACGATAATTTCATGGCCGGTTTGATTTTCGTGTTTTTAGTGGCAGATATGGTAGTCCCGTGTTGCGCTGAGAGGGGGCTGTGGCTTGTAGTGGCCTGAACCGCCTGGCGTACAAAATCAACGTTGGGCTGTGCTGTGCAACAATTCCTGATTTTGATTCGGCTGGATTGTAATCTCGAGTGCGGCTTCGTTTGCAATCAATTGATAAATTTGGTCATTTGACGAATCGACTTTTTTCAATACTCAGCTTTTCAACGGTCCGCATGTCATACGAATACGATGCTCGTATCACATCGCGATAGGCACGCCAATGATCGCAATCAGCAACGATGACATTCGCAAATAACTACCAGTTCAGACCGGAATTGCGGCTCTTCGTCGTACTTATACCAGTCAGAAATGTGAATGTATCAAAAAGGCGTTTGTTTGAAAGTTGACCTTGGGCACCAATGCTTCGGCGCGCAGGACGCGACTGGTTCTACCTTCCACCGGTTAGGGGCCAATAGGCATACATTTATATGTTTCAACGCTATTGCATGCTGTTGTTTTAATATTTCTGCCAATCCTCAAATATATGTTCCATTTTATTCAACATGATTTGAGGGTTAGCGTACACGTTGAAATGGCATACATACTTCCGACTAAAACAACTCCACAAGGCAGATTAGTGCAAACCGTGAGGAACGATCAAGGGTGACAGCAAACAATCCTATACTATACCAGAGACCTGGAGAAGAGCGGAAATCTCCGGGTTGATTCCATTTGTCAGATCTGTATTTGTGACTTGGTGACATAATTGGGCGAATTTCATGGGATGATAATTATGGTGGCTGCTCTGCGCCTTTGTGGAAGCTGTAGCAAACACACTAACTAGCCCTAAAAGAGTACCGCGAAAAAGTGTGCCACAAATTCTGTGAATCAACGTCACGGTCATGTTTCCTTATATCTGTGTCGTCCTCTTGATTAATTTACAAGACTAGTGAGTCGAAGATTGGGCCCGTCATTGATCTAATCCCTGCCTTGGTATTCTCTTAAATGTCAGTGTTTCCCTTCCCTTTTTGTCATTCTTGATTCTTTTTCTTTCTGGCTGATGCTTTCGAAATACAGTACCTCCCTCCAAACCTGATCATCACAAAACTTCTACTTCCACGCTTGATAAAACAAGCAGTTCCCCATGTAATATTCTTTGAGCAGTCTGTTCTTTCCTCCCATCCTCTTCTTGACTCGGACTAAGACCGCCTTTAGTCCATAGCAGACATCTGGTTACACCTTATCGCCGGACTGCATCGATCTCGTTATCCAATTCCACAAATCTAGGACAGAAAACCCCACGGAATCGATCTGGTCTTTGTCAATCACATCTATCTTGACGCCTCAGTCCATACTGATGACAAGTCCCGGTCTGAACTCTAAGCTGTAGGGCTAAAGAGTCTTCCTCAACAAGGAGAACCCCTTCAGTCGTTCCTATATCGCCTTAACAGCAGGAAATCAGCCATCTGGGACATCGTTTGCTCTTGTCTCTTCTCATCAAGTACTTGCAACCTGCGATATTTTTCTTGGCGACGCTAACATGCCTGTTGCTCGCGTCTAGACTACAACCCATCAGCCATCGTCCTATTATTCCCTGGCCTTTTCTAACCTTCTTTTCTTACCTCGGCCTGGTCTTCATTTACACGGATTTTTATAGACGGATCCTTTCATGAAGCACACCTGCCATGGCTCGTATGAATCCAAGAAGTAACAGACTTGGACAATCCGCGGGAAATGATACACCCCTCAACCTTGGAAACAGGTTTAATTCAGCCGGAACCCGCCGTGGACAAACAAACCATCAAGGACTAGTCATGGATTCTATTGCAGACTCACCAGAGTCCTCCCTTGGAAGAACTCCTAGTTCAAGATCTAATGTTGATCATGAAACTACTTTATACCCAATGGATATATATCATGCTTTTTTCCAGGCAAATATGGGCCAGACGTTGACAAATGTCAGTGGCAACCATCTGGGAGGCCAACAAGAGTTCCACATGGAAGCTAATACCGATCATGCTTTTGAATATCCCGGCTTTATACCACAGTCCGGAGGATACCCATATGTTGAAAGTCCTTTCAGGATAATGCAGCCTCTATCCACAGGAGATCTTTTTCGGCTTCATTCCCAGGGTACTGATGATTGCTACCAGCCAAGCCGAAGTACTACTGCCCTTAGCAACACATATTCTCAGGACTTGCAACCAGAAAGCCATGATACACCTACGGGGAGTATGCATGTAGAGACAACTCCAGAGTCCTCAACGGCTCCGGAGAATGTCACGACAGGGACTTCATCATCCCCTATCCTACCCAGCAGTCCAGGCTCGCAGGGGCCTTGTATGTCTGTTTGGTACCCGGCAGGAGGTTATCCTCCTGTTGGGAGAAACAGGAAAAGACGTAAGATGAATAAGGACGAGTTGGTCCGTAACAGGGCTCTTAAAGCGGCTGGCGGGGCGTGCGAGAATTGTCGGCGCCGTAAAAAGAAGGTATGACCGAATTAGCTGATTGGATTAATTTTCATTTAATGGCACAGTGTCTAATGGACGATTTGAAATAGTGTCATCACAAAGACAATCGACTCATTTTGTCGGCACCGGCTTCGACCCCAACCACGACTTCAGCTTCGGCTCCGACTCAGGCTCAGGCTCCAGCAAATACAGCGCCAGCGCCAAGTCATAACGTCTCGCCTACTTACCACCGCAACCTCGGACCACGTAGCGTCGTTCGTCCTCGACCAAACGACATCCGCCAAGGAGCTACGTTCGGCCAACAGCAACAACACAATCCGTCAATCGCCTCTTCGTACGGACCTTCACTTGACCCGAGCATGTTCTCGTCTTCCGACGGCGGTGCTTTCAGTAACGGCACCATGACTAGCGCTCAATCCGACGCAATCACCCTCGCTGCCGACGAATATCACCCTGAGATGGGGGCAGAGGCCCGATTCGGTATGAACACCGCCGGCTTTGGGCATCAGTTTAAGTAAGCTATATCCTGTCTCAGTTTTTCCGGATGGGTTGTTGCTGACATCTAATCGAGTAGTGGGCGACTTGCCCCAGAGTTCGATCCTACGAACCCCAACAACCAAATCGGCTTGCTGGAAACTTGGCCCAATAGTGCTCGTGAGCGCACAACTGATGCTGGTCATTGAGCTCTAGGGGGTTCTTCTGATACACGTGGAGTGGATTATTTCTGACGATTCTGTTTCTGGGGCACCCCAGAGACTATTACGATAATACTTTTTAATCTTCCTCCGGAGGACCTCCTACTTAGGGCTGCGCGTTTCGCATATGGCACCAATCAAGTTTGACTCTGAAGCACCCTAGAAGCCTCGATATATCATTCTTTTCTTTTTTTTTCAACTCTGAGAGACATTCTTTTTGGCAACTGGTTGTCTTGTTTGGAAAGTGAATCTTTCTTTATTTGTTGCGCTATTGAATATCTCTTGTTTAATGAAGTGAGCATTGGGCGGCGTTATATATGTATCAACGGAGTTAGGGCAAGCAAAGGGCAAGATCTCAATTGAGATGATGACAGGCCAGAGCTTTGCATGTATCCTTTGATAATTCTGGGCAACATACCTGATATATGTATCCATCTTTTCCTATCTCTTCAAATGTTCAAGTTCATCCTTCCATGTCCTGATATTACCTTCCATGGCCTGATATTAATATTACCTGGAGCACTTCCATATTGTTTGGCTGAAAATATCTAAAAGTTCTTACCGATAACGCCCTTTCGCTTAATAGCTCCGGTCTTCCCCTGCGAAGAAGTCAGACCCTAGATTTTAAGATTCTTGCAACGCCAAGTCAAAGGAAAGAGATCTTTTTGACGAAAAGTCATTTTTCCATTATATATCACTTAAGAATGAAATGCGAACATACGGTTCTATAGTGTAACGGTTAGCACAGTGATTTTTGATGTCGCAAATTTGGGTTCGATTCCCAATAGGACCTTCATTTTTTAACGTTTTTTAACGTAGCCGTTACCCTAACCCTACAAGCAGCTTTGTAATTGGTCAGTCAGAGTATGGTTACCTGAAGACATTCATTACGTGTATTTACTTTCGTAGTTGCAGACCAGCTTCGCTTTTTATTCTTCTATCCTAATTACATCTATCATAAAGTAGCTGCACCGATGATTCCCGCCGCCCGGAACGCCGCTTTATTCGTTACGACAACTTCGACGGGGTATTTCCATTCCATGAATTTCGTCCAGCCTGGTTGATGATCACAATTGTTAGTTTTTCAAGTTATATGTCATATGACCGCAGAGGTACATACCCCAATATGCACATTTCCTCCCCGCATATTTGCCTATAAAAGGCACCAGGACCATTGTGAGAAGCAGCTCTAATTGTTGTAAGCTTTCCCGCCATTGCTCTTCCGCGTCCGAATCTTGGTAATCGGAGAGGAAATCTGATTCTGTGGATGTTTCTGAAGGTAGAGAAGCTATTTCGTCCTCGTCCGAGGATGTGTGGTGGTAGGATGTGTTGAATTGTGAGGAGATCATGTAAGTCGAGGCGGAAGGGGATAACGAGTCGTCGCCGGAGGGGAATGGAGATGCCGACATTTTGGTTGATGTTGCGGGTCAGTGTGAGGAGAGTAGTATTTTTGAGTATGATGGTAGTTAAGAAGCTTAGAGAATATGGCGAGCTTGAATTGTCGACTCAGTGATTCGAGGTATGGACGCAGGTGACCAGCGGTTGTCTACCGCAGGTCAGTAAACAGGCTCATTAGTCGATGTTTTAGACCATAGGTGTCAGATATCGTGGCGAATAAATCCAGAAATGAAAAAGAATATATTATGAGCTCATCACAAGGCAGATAGTTGCAACGTTGACTCTTGTCTAGCTGGAGTTGATTGTTTGTCCGCCGAACGACGTAATCCGGTCAGCCCACGTGATTTCTCCCGCAAAACCAGTCGGCAGGTCACGTGCACCGTGCCATTATCTTTCGTGGCGATCGTGGGATGATTTCCTTATCCAAACAGGAAGAAAACGAACTCTGAGTCACAGTCTTCGAAGGTGCGACAACTAAGTCAACAATTCGAAATTCATATTAATCAACCTGTGTAACCCCAACAGGCATGGCGGATACTGTACGTCACATCTCCTTTGCATTTTTAACCGATTAAAATCCCTCCCACATTTTCTTTTGCAATTTGACATCAAGCCCCTCATATCAGCCTGTTTGCCAACGTCGCGTACGCTCGATTTTTGACAACTATTATCGAAACGCGGGATATTCGGATTTTTCTTTCCAAGTTTCTATCAACTGACTAGTTTTTTGGGTTGCAGGAGGTTACAGTCCAGGAGACAAAACATCGCAAGTCGGTAGCATTCAGTGAAGAAGCCACAGTCATGGATGCCAACGGAGAGGTCACAGAGGCTCCTCACGTCGAGAAAGACACAGCCGAGAGCCACTCTGCAGGTATGTCTACAAATTTGACTTCCGGTTTTAATTACCCCGCTAATCAACCGATTTATACAGACAAGGAAGTCGACGAAGTCACCGAACTGTTCAAGGGTCTGTCCAAAAAGAAGAAGACAAAGAAATCTAAAGATGCCGACGCCGAAGGTGACGAGGCCGCCCCCGCGGGCGATGGCGAACTCGACTTGAGCGCCATGAAGAAAAAGAAGAAGAAGCCCAAGAAGGCCGACGTTGGAGATTTCGAGGCCAAGCTCGCCGAGGCCGGTGTCACAGATGAAGGTGCAGAAGGCAAAGAACCCGCTGGCGAACAACTGCCCGAAGGCGACCTCGAGAAGGGAACCGGTGTTTGGGCCCACGATGCCACACAAGCTATTCCATACCAGTTGCTCGTTACTCGATTCTTCTCCCTCATTCAGAGCCACCACCCCGATCTATTGTCTAGCGGTTCAAAGTCGTACAGGATTCCTCCTCCTCAGTGTCTGCGTGAAGGAAACCGTCGTACGATTTTCGCCAACATTGCCGATATTTGCAAGCGAATGAAGCGTTCGGACGACCACGTCATGCAGTTCTTGTTCGCTGAATTGGGTACCAGTGGTAGTGTTGACGGTAGTCGACGATTGGTTATCAAAGGTCGTTTCCAACAGAAGCAGATTGAGAACGTGTTGCGACGATACATTGGTATGTACTTGTGTTAAAGCTCTTACAGACAGCCACTAACTGTAGCAGTTGAATACGTTACCTGCAAAACCTGCCGAAGCCCCGACACCGAGCTCAACAAAGGAGAGAACCGACTGTATTTCGTCACCTGCAACTCTTGCGGATCCCGACGATCCGTCACAGCCATCAAGACCGGTTTCCGTGGACAAGTCGGTCGTCGTAAGAAGGCAGCCTAAATATGACTCTGTTCTCTTATTTCTGGCAACCTGTTCTTTAATTTTCTACCTTACCTACCTCATTTTTGTGCAAAAGTTCTTCTAACGACCTCGGAACTTTGTCTCTATTCTCTAACATGGATATGGATATGAACAAAATTGGTGGAGAGATCATGATATGAATGTGAATAGATTTCTATGTTGTCATGCCGTATCTAATATCCTCAAAGAAGATGAATGCTGTGTATCATGAAACTCACGTAGACTCGGATCCTAGCTCGAATACTCCGTACGTGCTTCAGATAAACGAAGCTCTGACAGTGTTACCAATTTTAGACTCGCCTATGCAGCCATAATTACATTAACTTGCCTGTCTAAATACACATGTATACGTACACCCTATTAAATCTCTGTAACAGCCCACATCCTTTCAAGCGCTTAAACAGGCCACCAATTAGGGCTGCGACACCAGCCAAAGTACAACGACCGGGCCTGCGGGGAAAAGGCCCATAATGCTTATCGGACCTCTCTCGTCGCGCAACTAAGCGCCCATGTTACTGCCATGCAGCCTATCACCAGAGCTACATGACCTGCCAATGTCTTCGCCAATGTAGGCATCCGGAAGACCTCCTGCATAATTGACCGATGGGTTGTAGGTCAGCACTAGCTACGCGTAGGAGCTTCTTGTACGGGGCAGTTCCCCTCATTTTTTTTTTCCTAATTTCCTCAGTATATTCCTCCCAATTCTGCGAGTTTTCGGAGGACTTGCGTGTTCTTCAGCGATCTATATACAAAAGTTCATCGCCTACTCATTGGGACTCCCCCGCCCTCACAAATTATCTCTATAGACGAACAGACGACTTCGGGCCTGGTGCCCTAGTTTTCAGAGATTATCGCTATATCGGACGTTTCTTACTTTACCCTCACATTTGCAATTATATACACAATTCACATACATTATGCAATCATTTCCTCCTCCGCCCTCGGCGCAGGGCCAGCATTTTCCTCGTATGTTACCTTTTTATTCTTCTGTTGCGGAGGGTTTCATTGACTGACCGAACTGGGTGATTAGCACCTCCAAGATCCGCAAGTATGTCAATCGTCCGATCTTCAAACACAAGACGAAGTTTTCCGTACTTAGGTCTGGTATAACTTCAATATAGCTAATATCAATAAACAGCATTCCCTCCTCCACCATTAGCATCCCCAGGGTTCCCACCACCACCACAACCATCCCCGGGCTTCCCACCACCAAACTACAACTATCACGCTCCTCCAACCCAACATGTACAACAACCACAACCTCAAAATGCGCAGTCACATTTCCCTCCACCACCCAATAGCCGCCCATCAACAACAAGCCCGCCACCACGCTTTGATGCCGGCAGTAACAACAGTGCAGCGGCTCATCAAGCGGCCATGTTGGCCGCCGCTCAGGAAGCGAAATTACCGCTTTCGCCGCCGCCAATGTCGCCTCCGCCTACGGGCATGTCTCGTATGATGATGGAGAAGATGCCTGGAGGTGCGCCGGCTGTGGGCCAGTTTAGGGGTGCGCAGTCTACTGGTTCGGATGATGTGGGCACGTTCAATGGGGGTAGTTATAGGATCAGCCATCGAAGCGTGAATTCGATTGTGACGCTCCAGCTTGCGATGGGTGCGCCATTGGATGCGAGGCCTGGTATGTTTCTATTCGTTCTATTTCCGATTGTTTTGATCTAGAGGTTAATCAAGGGTGAAAAAGGTGTCATGATCGCAATGTCGCCCACGGTCACCCTCAAGGGAAACTTTCACTTCTCCGTGAAAAAGCTCCTCATTGGAGGTGAAATGGCTCATTCAACATATACCGGCCCCGGAGAGGTTCTACTCGCACCTTCTGTGTTAGGCGACATCACCGTCCTACGGTTATCTGATGACGGAGAGGTTTGGAAAGTCGGCCGAGATGCGTATCTGGCCAACACTGCATCTATCAAAAAGAAATACAAGGCTCAGAATCTTTCCAAGACACTCTTTTCAGGTGAAGGGTGGTTTGTGTATAATATGTCTGGGCCAGGGCTGGTTTGGATGCAGAGTTTTGGTGCTGTCATAAAGAAAGATGTACGTGCAATCCCTTTGATCTCTTTAAATCAATCCATTAGGAATCGTTGCTGACGAGTGGGGTGTATTGTAGCTTGTCGAAGGTGAAAGTTACTACGTGGACAACGGTCACTTGGTTGCTTGGAACTGTGATTATATTATTGAACGGGTTGCTTCTGGCGGTGTCATTTCCAGCCTGAGCTCTGGTGAGGGTTTAGCTTGTCGATTCAAGGGGCCAGGTACTGTCTATCTACAGACAAGGAACTTAAATGCTTTTGCTTTGCAGATGGGTGCAAGTACTGCAAGTGGGTGATGAGGAAAATGAGGATCAAACTTTCAGTGTCGAATTTGACCGTGATCTAATGGTGCTATGAATGGATGTATACAGTCCTTTGCTACGTATCCGATGTCTTGTATATTTCCCTGAGATTCATTAACAAAATTTTCGAGGACACACTTCTATGTATGAGAGACAACGTTGAAATGCATATATCAGGGACCACGACTGTATTCTGCCCCCGCTGCACTCAAATATGCATGGCCCTCTAGCCAAGGACCATTGAACCCTGCCCGAGCAGCCATGTCCAGCACACTGTACTGATCAGGGTCACTGATGCTAAGATCAGCTCCTGCAGTGCAAAGATACTTGACGAGGGGCAGCTCTTGTCTCACGATTGCTGCCATCAACGGTGTCCTGCCTTGAGAGCCCATCATATTGATATCAGCCCCTTCCCTAGCAAGAAGCTCAACAATAGGTAGATAAGCGCGTTCGGCAGCAAGTATGAGAGCTGTATCCCCAAAGTTGTCTTTCTGATCTATACTCGCATTGTGTGAAAGAAGGAGTTCAGTGCTCGCAATATCACGATTCATGGCAGCTTCCATCAAGGCAGTCTTTCCATTTTCATCTTGTAAGTTCACGTTGAGACCAATTTCAAGCAAAAACTCCAACATTGAATGATGTCCTGCTTGCGCGGCAATCAAAAAGGCGGTTTCATGAGCTCTGGTGATGGTGCTGGAGTTACTCTTTTCAAGGAATGCCCTTAAGGCCTCCGTATTTCCTTCTCTAGATAGTTCAATTATGATATCGTCCTTTCGTTTCGTCCGCTCCGCATGAAGTAGCAGCAAACGCATGACTTCGGTATAGCCTCTTTGGTTCGCATATACGATCACTGCCAGCAGCCGATACATCTCGCCCAGATCGTTGACCATTCTGATAATCAGCAACTCTAGCATGATGTGGAATTGATTTTGAACAAGCCAATCAAGAGCGAGCTGGGATGGCTGGTCATTTTTTGTCGAACACCCGACGTCTGACCCGAGCCAGATGTCCAGGAACGTTTGCCGCGATAATTGAGCAGCTTGCAAGTCGTCATAGACTTCGGGCATTGGAGTCCTAGTTCCAATCTTCTCCTTCAATCCCTGTAAAATGGCCATCGTTCGCTGCCCTGGATTGCGTCTCGATAGATAATGGATCATATGAATTACCATCCAAGATATCTCTGTTCGAAATGCGATGCACCAAACGTCCGAAGGTACGCTCTCGAGGTCCAAATACTTTGATACCGGATAGAATGTACTCCCATTGGTGTTAACATCCACAATGGCTAGGATCCGTTCGGCTGCCAGCTCCCTTGCAGCGATATCTGGTTCTAGAAGAACTTTCAGACAGATATGTGCATATTCGACAATGGATGGCTGAACTTCCTCGTAGTCAGTTAAAGAACATAACCATTCGCTCATTGTAAGAAGATTGGTAAGCCCATTATGATATCCTTTTGAGGAGAAAAGCTCCATGCTCTGCCGAACATCAGGCAAACCAGATGAGATACCGGAAATCAGCGATCTATCCGATAATGTCTGAAGAATACATGTCATGCCTTCTCCATAGTCGCCCAAATTTGATTTGACAAACACACTCACAAGTGCCTCAACTCGGTCGTTGCAAACCCTGTAGCTGCTCTTGTCACTGCCCGTAACCTGGGTTTGGCCTCCAATAGATGATAGAGACTCTAGCATTGAACAAAGCAGGTGCATATACATATTTTGAGCGGCCAGTGCATATATATTTGAAGAAACCGTAACCAGAGGCATATCCTGAGCCACTTGATTGTTCGTTTTCAGTTGGAAATGCCCAATTGTCTGGCTTTCGTTCAAAAAATATCTCGTTGTTGATGGATCTTTGTCGAGAATCGATCTGTTGTCCGTCCACGTCCGGTGTAACAACCGTGCCTGGTGAGGAGTAATGTCTTTGGGACGAAACGCTCGAAAGAATTCATTCTGAGATATTTCTTCCAGGTCACGGTTAGATTGTTTCAAAGACCATACGTAAAGACCCAGTATGGCCTCCCACGAGTCGATTTCCGCGATCTTCCCGATGATCAACTGAGTTTTCCAAGTTCCTGTGACTGTTTGGTGACCACCTTGTCTCTCAATTTTAATGGGAATATAAATGCTGAAGGTTGAAACTTCTTTGTCACACCAGGAGCTTATGAGTATGGTCAGTTCCTGCGCCGCTCGCCCCAAGTTACGTGCCAAAGTGCGGATTGCTGTATCGTCCCAGTGAGATCCTGCCAGTTTCCTCAATTTCTCACGATTCATGATGACCTCTTGTAAAATCATCTCAAACCTCGTCTCTGTTGTTTGCCTGTAAAGTTTCCGTCAATATGTAGTGGCTCATGGGAATGTTCTTTTTGCTCACCCAGGTGGATTATTCGCGGGACAAACACTGAATGACTTGATGTGATGGAGGCGCGAGGCCAACCAATCCAGCTCATGCTCACCACTTGAGACAACATCTTGATCGTCTTGCAACAGATTATCACGTTCATCCATTCGCTCAGCCCGTAAGCCTGTTCTAACAACTGTCATCACGATAGTAGCCCCAAGTTGGGCAAGGATAACCGAAGAATGCAAGCCTCGTATGCCGACAAATTGTATCACGAAGCCTGTCATTGTAAGACATATGACAGCTACCAACGCCATTTCCTGACTAAGATTGAGATAATCATTTGGCGACTGGTTTCTCACAGATCTAATGAAATAAACGCCCATATTGGTTCGACCCACAAAGGAAGGAAATTTTTGATCACCAACCATCTGGTTGCCTGGTTGGATCCAATAGACTCTGCTTTCATCTGGGAGGTTGAATATATGCTTTTTTGAATGACGCTCCACCAAGATAGCACATAAAAACATGCCCAATGTAAGAAGGACTGTTCCCACGACGAACATAGGAAAGGCATAACTATCAACAGGGCTGCCATTTTTCATGAAAGATGCTGGCCAGTAGAAAACTGTGAGGGCGGCGTATATGATTACACCTATTTGAGAACAATTAGAACCCCGAACGCTTTAGCGAATTGCAAAGATCACAACATACTAAACTGCAAGGCAACACCAAAAGTAGCCGCAAGATGAAACCAGAATGGGTCACGCCTTCTGATACCTTTATTCAAAGACAAATTTGGCAGTTTGGCATTTTTCTCGAGATCTGTCCAGACCTTCCCAGCAATCTCGCTCAGTTTTTGAATAGTAATAGGTCCAGCCTGTCCTTGGCCCTGATCGACCACAATCTCTAGAATTTTGGGGGTTCCTGTTATTCTAGCTACCCCGGTATCAGTGAATATCTCAGCTGTCGTGTCTGATACGCATGAGAGTATCTCTCTCTCCGAGGAACCTGGCTCCTCTTGTGCTCTCCCTATGAAGGCCCGCAAGGTTGAATTGCCGCAAACTCGAATCACGGACACTACTGCTGTGAGGATTCCAAGAGGCGCTAAAGCAAAGATGAAATCGTCCAATGTAGATACCAACTCTGACATACATTGTCGAGTTATTTGTTCCCCAAATAATGTGATCAGGGGTGCCTAGTAGCTGGATTAGCTTTGGGTGTAGAGAACGGTGACTAAGGGGTACCATCGTACTAAGTCGGTGGCTAGATTATTCGCAAAATCATCCCAGTTATCTGCTGAAACACGGCACACCAAACAAAAGAATACGCATGTATAGAGCGGGAGAATCATCCTCTTCATCCGACCCCAAGGTCATCTGATCAGCGCCGTTTGACTTCACAAGCAAGTTCATGGCTGGAATAAAATAGAGGCCCCAAAGATGTAATATTTAATATCGATTGAATCAGGCTGTGGCAGAGCAGTCTTTAGAGCGCCATGCTATTTTGATATGTGATGGCCATGATTGGTCTTATCACCGAAGCATGCGCCATCTGGGAGGGCCTGATGCAGGGGTTTACGGCACAGCGTCTTAAGAGGCCTTTAACATGATGTTTGGCCAAAGTAGTGTTGAGTGAGTCTTCAGCCTTGCACTGCCATTGCACCGAATTCTTGAAAGGGTGCAGATAACGAGAAATTGGGCACCTATCAGGATGTCTTCGTGGATCGTGAGACATTAGTGGTCTGTCGGTCGCCCACCCCGGCGGCTATCCTGTTCGAGATGACCGTCCACGTACTGGAGTAGACATCGGAGAAGAGGATAAAAGTACTAATTCGGACTGAGGAGATAGTCAAATATTTTGGTCTCTTCGAGTTGGAAGGGACGCTGCCAACATTCTGTCTGTCTGGGACATTGAGAGAGGGTGCGCACCGGCCGCTCGTCCCTACTTCAGGGCCTGGTACGGGTGCGGTCCTTCCCGTGTCCCCATTAGACTGAGTACCCCCATTTCTTCATCTATAGATTTCCCAAATACTATGGAATGGTTCATAGGGCACAAGATACGGTCTGGGAAATGCCACAGACACTGATCATTAATCTTTTAAATGCGAAACTTTCGCTCTTCGACACCGGGCGTTTCACCCGCACAAGCACTTTCTACAACTTTCATCGGTGACTATGAAGCCTAAATAGGTGTGCATCTCTGGAGAATATGTCTACAGGAGGCGGATCAAGACGCACATTATATAGAGGCTCAAGACAATTAGTAGATGTTATCTAGGCCGGAGATGAACAATTCTGTCGCGAGCCTCAACGCTGGTATCTCCTGTGACAGATTTTGCTTGTGGATAAGTACGGTAGTGTGCCTGAGATCACTAACAGGTTGTTTTTTGAATGTCAACTCGGCGGCATTTTTGCACGAGTCACGATTGTTTATACTTTTCCACGTCGTATTGCGAAAAGGGAATGTGCGGGGTAGCGAGGCAGTGGCAAGTCCATCATTCATCGACACCAAATGAAATAGAGTAAAAGGCGTAAGTGGCATACTAAGCAGGGATCGTGGTGTAATCGTGGGGGTCAAGTTGTATTGCTGATCGAGTCATCCGGTCGAAGAACTGAGCACGCTGTGGGATAGTGACTTGTCGTACTATCTATCAGGTATCCATTATCACGAATAGTGTTAGGGAGTAATAAGCAATGTAATTCCAGGTCAGGGACATAAGACTACGCAGGAGAGCAAGAAAGAGGGACAGCACGTGCCAGACGGCAGTGTCGGAAAGCGCTACGGAGGACGCAGTGGGCCTGTTACTGACTAGTACGTAGGCTCCACGGCCGCCGAGTGTGGCTTTGCTGTGTAGCACTCTTGGCTGACTGCACTAGAACAACTAACAACGCATTCATTTCACCCATCTTCAACCTCCTTCCATCAACACGCCATCCAACAAGCACTGATAATAAATCCTCTTCATTGCTACACGTTGGTCGAGTCTGCAGTAAAAACATCCATTCGCTATACACCGAGAAAAGTACACATACGCCATTACTACCGCCATGGCGTCGCAGGGCGAATTCTCCGCGGCCATGACCAATCGGTCGCTACGCACCATCCGAACTGTATGCCTCTCGTCAACAGAATCATTGTTCATGCAAAAGTAGTGATGGTAGAAACTAACATATGTGCCAGGAGCTGGAATTCCTCACAGATGCCTCTGTTATCACACCGCAACAATTGGCGAACTTCCTATCCCAACTACCAAACCAGACACAACTACACGCACCCGTCATGTCGGCAGCAGGCCCCATACCCGCCCCAGTACAATCTCCAGTGCAGTCCCCAGAGCCTACTCCAGCATTCATCCCTCCTACCGCCCAGCTTCAAAATACGACTTTGAATGAGAAAGCGCCGACACAGTATCCCAGTCCGGCCCCACCGCCGCCTGCCTATGCTCAGACACCACCAGTCTTGTCAATTTCATCGGCCATGTACGCCTACACACCGACCGATGCTGGCGATCTTGCCCTTCAGCCGAATGATCGTATTCAGGTCCTGGAGCACATGAACAACGATTGTAAGTCTTTCGGTGCAAGGGTTATGAAATGATATCTTCGTGCTAATAAAACACAGGGTGGCGTGGTCGAAATGAGCGAACAAACCAGGAAGGAATATTTCCTCGAAGCTATGTCCGAGTTCTGGATGAAAAGCCCGCTCCTCCGGTCCTGTCTCCTCAGCCGACCAGCTACGGAAATATGCCTTTGGAAGTCGCTCAAACCGGATCCTCTGCGACTGACGCCGCCGGCCGTCGACCCAGCAAATTTGAGGAGCAAGGCAAGAAGTTTGGAAGGAAGATGGGCAATGCTGGTGAGTTTAGCTGCTCTTTTTATTTCGCAGATTAGTCCTGACATTGTATAGCAATTTTCGGTGCTGGTGCCACGATCGGTTCCAACATTGTCAACGGCATCTTTTAAGCCAAGTCAGCATTGCACTTGGCCTCGTTTTTTGTTTTAAAAAATAACTCAGACCCGCTCGATGGGAACTCATAACAAAATCTAGGGTTACGGCTTGCGCATTATGGGATTGGCGTTGATGGCGTACAAGGAACTATCACGTCTGTTCCCGGATTGGTTACTTTTCTGACGACCTTTTCATCAACCAAAGAACTTTTTTTGCTTACGGTATTGGCTCTGTCGTACGTTTGCCGGGTCAATTTGTGCTTGTTTTGGGAATCGATCTGCCGTGAGCGTGTCGACATGCAGTGCACATGCAGACCCTGTCCGGTTACCGATGGCTTGATCAAGCTGATATCTATTCCTGTTTCGTGTCTATACTTTATTTTCCTTTGTCACTGCACTGCAGACTGGCTACACATTGAGCAGTCTTGGTACTGCTTGGGTCGTTGATTTCATTTGACTGTAGACTTGACTGTCTATTTAATTTGTTGAAGATTAGAGCCGTGAATGCACCAATTTTTTCTTGGAACCATACCAAGTCAGAAATTTTTATAATATCACTAAACATATGACCAGCACACAGACATCAAAACAATCAACAAATGAACTAATCAGAAAAAGCAACTTCATACTTAACATAAAGATAGCGCAATGTCACCATCTAATCTTACCCCACAGTCTGAGCCCGATGCCGGCTTACTCGGCGCTGCTGACCGCCTACCTAAAACAGCAAATCAGCACCCCTCGTTCGGCCTTTTTGGTTGAATGGGCCACAAATATTGCCCGCCGACTTTCCGGTCCCAGGCAAAATTTTCCAGAGTTTTTCTTTCTGAGGCATTGGGTTGCTCATCAGGAGGATTTCCTCGACTTTCAACAAGATATTATTTCAAAAACAAACTCGGTTTGTTTTTAACTTTCAGACAGCTCGTTGAAGAACGACAGGAAAGGAAAAATGTGTGGTATTCTAGGCCTTATCCTAGGCCATATCAGTGACGATCCGAATTTCCCGTGCAAAGCGGCCGTGACGTTACATGAGGCTTTGTATTATTTGCAGCATCGCGGTCAGGATGCGTGCGGTATAGCGACATGTGCGGCTGGAGGGAGGATTTTCCAGTGCAAGGGAAATGGCATGGCTGGAAAGGTTGGTGATCGCTTAGTGGGGGGGGATATGGATTGATCGCTAATTTAGTTGCGATAGGTCTTCGATGAGGGACGACGTGTTCAGGATCTGTGAGTAATTATCATTTCAGAGAAGGAGAAAAACTGGCTAATGTTGTAGACCCGGTTCAATGGGCATTGGCCACCTCCGCTATCCCACCGCAGGCTCCGACTCCAGCGCCGAAGCGCAACCATTCTACGTCAATAGTCCCTACGGTATCTGCCTCGCACACAACGGCAACCTCGTGAACGCGCGTGAACTGCGGGAACATCTCGACAAGGAGGCGCATCGCCACATCAACACGGACAGCGACAGCGAGTTGATGCTGAACATCTTTGCGAATGAATTGAACGAAACCGGAAAAGCGCGTGTGAACCAGGAGGATATTTTCGATGCGCTTTCGAGGATGTATAAGAGGTGTCAGGGTGGTTGGGCGTGTACAGCCATGGTTGCTGGATTTGGTGAGTATACCTTCATTGTGGAGGGTTCGTGGATCTGACTGTATGCAGGTATATTCGCTTTCCGCGACCAATATGGTATTCGTCCCTTGATCCTGGGAGAGCGTCCATCAGAGACCCTACCAGGTGCGACAGATTATATGTTTGCCTCTGAGAGCATTGCATTGCGACAACTTGGTTTCCGCAACCTTCGCGACATCATGCCCGGAGAAGCCGTCTTCATCCGCAAGGGACAGTCACCAGTCTTCCGACAAGTTGCAGAGCAACTGGCTTATTCTCCCGACATTTTCGAATATGTGTATTTTGCTCGACCAGACACCATCATCGACGGAATTGGTGTGCACGCCAGCCGTCAAAAAATGGGAGACAAACTGGCAGACAAGATCAAAGAAATTCTAGGCGATGAAGGCGTGAAAGAAATCGACGCCGTGATCCCCATTCCCGAAACATCAAACCCCTCTGCTTTCAGCGTTGCGCAGCGCTTGAACCTTCCATACCGCGAAGGATTTGTCAAGAATCGATACGTCTTCCGAACATTTATCATGCCCGGCCAGAGCGCGCGTCAAAAGGGCGTGCGCAGAAAACTGAGCGCCATCGACCAAGACTTTGCCGGCAAATGTGTCCTGCTAGTCGACGACAGTATCGTCCGCGGAACAACAAGCAGAGAAATTGTAGCCATGGCCCGAGAGGCCGGTGCCCGCAAAGTCATATTCGCTAGTTGCGCACCCCCCATCACACACCCACATCTTTATGGTATCGCATTGGCATCGCCTGCGGAACTCATCGCATCCAACAAGGACCGATTCGCAATCGCCGAAAACATTGGAGCCGAAGAAGTCATTTTCCAAGATCTCGAAGATCTGAAAGATGCATGCAGAGAATTATCACCGCCCAAAGGGCCGCGTGAGTTTGAAGTCGGCGTCTTCTGTGGTAGCTACGTGACGCACGTCCCCGACGGATATATCGAGCACTTGGCCGAATTGCACAGCCAGAAGAGCAAACAAAGCAAGTCCGCGCCGCCCCATGGCGCAATCGCTGGAAGCAGCGGGGCGACGATGTTTGATAAAGCGAGACGCGAGGATATCAGTCTTCATAATGTTGCTAGTGATGCTACACTGCGATGATTCTGTGTTGTCTTTACTCTTCTGGCGGTATTCTTCTGCGCGATGACATGAGATAGAGCTGAGTTACATAGACAAAATCTAGACGCATACCTTCTAATACTTCTACATATATCCATATCCATAGCCATAATCTGTGTAGAAAGGCTCTGAAGGCGAGACGCAGCGGGCACCCAGAAAAGTTAGCCGGAGATACGGACTCACCGCCTTCGCCCCTCCCAATCTCCGGCCCCCCGCCCAATGACGGGCGCAACCATCGAGAAGCTTCGACCGAGACGTATAAAACGTCTTCCGCTGAGTCAATCTTAGTCTTCACAACTAACTACTGACTATCGACCATCAACCGCCACCTTCCTATTTACACAGGGTATAAGAAAAGCTGGAGCTCGCATTCTCGACAAGCAAATAAACTGAGAACTCGACTTTTGACATCTTTTTAGCGACCTCGAACACACACGTGCTCACCGATCTTTCCACCAACCTCTCTCACCGATCAAACACTTATCATACACAATGGCTGACCAGGACTGGGACAACGTTACTCGCATCGGCACCAAGCATCGTGCTGGCGGTGTCCAGCGCGAAACTGTCGTCAAGGGTCGCAGCGCACTCAACGCCGCCCAACGATCCGGTCTCGTAATTGGCACTGAGAAGAAATTCGCCACTGGCAACGCAGTACGTCCTCCCCTTCCCTCTTTTCAATCATTGATATTTTGTAAGAAAGAGACTAACAGACACCAGGCCGGCCGCACAGGCGCTCCCGAGGGCCAACACCTCACAAAAGTCGACCGCAGCGACGACATCATCAAACCCAAAACTGTCGGCGCCCAAGTCGGCGACGCCATCAAACGGCGCCGCAACGACGAAGGTTACAAAATGACGCAAAAGGAGCTGGCCACAAAATGCAATACGACCGTTACTGTGGTGCAGGATATGGAGCGGGGTACGGCGACGCCAGACCAGAAGGTGTTGAGTGCGATGGAGAGGGTGTTGAATGTCAAGTTGAGGGGGAGCGATATTGGGGCTGAAAAGTTTCCCAAGAAGAAATAAATTAAAAAAAAGAAAAGAAAAAAAAAAGATATTGTTCGATATGGTTTTGTTTTTTTCTGATGTGTGATGACGATGAGGGACATGGTTTTTTTTACGGCCCCGTTTTTTACGCCTTTTCCTGGTTGATATGTTTCATGACATGAGATGACATGAATAGATGAGTTGGAATGAGCGCCGACTACTGCCTATCTCCTTGACTGATTTCATGCGTGATTAGATATACAGAGAGTAGATTGCATCAACTACATATCCAAAACTGATCATGTACTTTATGTATTTTATTCATTTCTCGATGATTAGAATGTAAGTAAAACCACAGAAAAGAAAGAACGAAGACTCGTTCATGGGCAGAGAACTCCATTGACCAGCCACTTATCCTTCATTGCAATTTTGATTTTTATTTGCATCATGACACATAAGTAGACATCTAGACATGACAGACAACAAAACTACCGTCTCAACTGCTCCCTCTCAACCTCATACATAAAATCAAAGTACGACTTATCAAAATGATGCACACGGACGTAACCGTCCTCTCCGCCAGAGGCATAAGCCGTGCCGGCAGGGTGCACGGCGATGGTGTTGAGAGGACCGAAATGGCCACGCACACGTCCGATCTCGTCTTCAAAGATCTTGTGGTAGAAGCGGGCTTCGAATTTACCTTGGCGCGCAGAGGTGGTTGTGACTTCCATGGCGGCTTGTCCACCGCCGAGGATCACGTAGTCCTTCTTCGGGGTGATGGCGGCTGTGTTGAGGGGGGTGTCGGTGGGGAAGGATTTGAGGACGGCGAGGTTGCGGGATGAGAGGATCTTCGCTTTGTTAATTTGTAGAATATATCAGAATCTGAGATCAGACTTACCTTAGCGGTCTTGTCTCTGGAGGCGGTGATAAAGTATGTGCGGTCTGCGGAGAATTGAATGTCGTTGATCTGAAGGTCGGGCTCGTGGGCTTGGACGTTTTCCAGTTGTTCGCCAGACTGTCTAGTCAGTATTGAGGTCAAACGCTTCGTTCGTGGCAACTGTGCATACCTTGGCATCATACTGGCTGACGCTGCCATCCTCATGTCCCGCAATAATGTACTTGCTCAAATAACTCCATCCAGCAACAGTAGCCTTGCTATCCTCGCACGTAATCTTCAGACTAGGCTCATCCGTCTGCTCATCCAGATTGTTTCCCTCGCCATCGCCGTAACGCACATCAAACACCACAATCGTACCCAAATATCCCATACGCTTCTCGGTGACGGCCAAAAGTTGACTTCCATCGGGGCTGAATTCGACTCGTTTCACGGCAGTGGGGAACTCCCATACTTTGACGCATTCGCCGGTCTTGATGTTCCATAATCGGACAGAGTTGTCTGCTGATCCTGTCGCGAGCAGGACTGTGTTGGGGCTGACGTCGACGGTCCAGATGGCTCCCTGGTGGCCTGAGTATGTTCCTAGACGCTCTCCGTTGGCGGCAAACCAGACACCGACGATCTTGTCCTTGGCGACGGAGAAGAGGAGGTCGCCGTCACGGTTGAATTTGATTTGATTCAGGGACCGTTCCTGTGGTTGTTAGTCTGCAAATTCATATCGCGGGGAGGGGGAACGAACATGGCCCTGGAGAAGAATAGGCCTCATGCTGTGTTGTCTGTCTTGACTGTTGACGAGAAAAAAAGTCTCAAGTAAAAACAGCAGTTCAATAAAGTATTCGTCAAACAGACACGTCAGACCAGACCCGTCGCGAACTTACTGTTCCTATCCAACAATCACCAACTATCGATAAATTTCGTCGCACACTAACTAATCCGCCTGCCGCCTGGAGCGCCAAGACTTTCTGCCGCCCACTCACGGACTCGCCTCTCAATCTTTCCCTCGTATTGCCCATACCGGGTAAACAGTATTTCCGACAGGGTTCAGCCCTTATCGCAAGCATTTGCAGCACTTATGGCAGATAGATAAGTCGCGTTGGTATCCCGAATACATGCTGTAATTTTCAATTTTGCCTCGATTTTTCTGTCCACCTTTGGAAATTTGGATCAATGGAGACGAAGCCAGCAAATCAGACGAACCGGCGACTGTGTTAATCTCCGAAAAAGATACAGGGCTGTTGCAATTGCTCTAAATTTTTACGTACTGCAAGTAAGCAGTGTCCACCCAGCTTCAAAGGAGACACCGGCGAATCTTGCAGTGAGTGATTGAGTCATCACTGGAATGCTTAACTACTGCCATAGGATTTGATTCTATGGTAACTGACTAGGGCTTCGTTCCTCATTGCTTTTTATATTCTTATATGCACTATCCGCCAGCAAGTTAAGTCCCTGCAGGTCGGACCACTCAATTCATTTATTAATTCTTTATCTTCGGGGTTGGACCTCAAGAAAACGCGGCTAAGTTTTTTCTTTCCTAAAAGAGGCAGCTAATGTTTCCCTCGGGGCCCTTTCGGTCCCCTAATCATCATCTGCTGCTGCATGCACCCCGCCATCCTGCGCCTTTCTCTCGTCGCATCCCCCTCATCTCTGTTGCGACGAGACACTTTACACTCTCTGCCCATCGCGGGGTCTGTTCATCTCCTGTTTCCCTGCTCAATCGCTCGTCTTCCTCAGTCAAACAGTTTCCCGTGCATCGCGGAAGCTTGGTGGTTTCCCGTTCAAGAAGTTTTTCGATTTCCGCCGCAAACATGACCGGGTCTAAGATTGATGGCACCGCCATTGCGAAGGATATTCGTGAGAAGTTGAAGACTGAGATTGCTGAGTTGCAGACGAAGAATCCTAGATTCAAGCCTAATCTCATTATCTACCAAGGTATGTTTGCCGTTTTACTTGCCGCGGGGTCTGATCAGTCATTTGCTAACATGAATATAGTCGGAGACAGATCTGATTCTAGTGCGTGAAAAGCTTCAAAAGTGATTTTGATATGATGACTAACTAGTACACGCGCTACAGGTACATATGTGCGCATGAAGTTAAAGGCCGCTGAAGAGGTAAGCCATCCAACTTTCCCGCGGAAAAGTATCACAACTAACAGCTTCACAACCAGGCCAACATCCTCTGCAGTATCATCAAGTTCCCAGAGACTATTACAGAAGCAGAGCTTCTTTTCGAAATCGAAAAATCCAACAATGACGCCGGAGTCCATGGTATCCTCGTACAGCTTCCGCTCCCCAATCACATCTCCGAACATGCCATCACATCCGCCGTTTCTGATGAGAAAGACGTCGATGGCTTCGGTACCATGAGCATCGGTGCCCTTGCAAAGCGCGGTGGTCAGCCATTGTTCGTTCCTTGCACACCCCAGGGCGTCATGGAGCTTCTCCGAGTCAGCGGCGTTGACCCTGCCGGCAAAGAGGCCGTCGTTGTTGGTCGCAGTGACATTGTTGGCAGTCCCGTCAGTTACTTGCTCAAGAACGCAGATGCTACTGTCACTGTGTGCCACTCCAAGACCAAGAATCTCGGCGAGATCCTCAAGAGAGCAGACATTGTTGTCGCTGCTATCGGACAACCCGAGTTTATTAAGGGCGAACAACTCAAGGCCGGCGCTGTTGTTATCGATGTTGGCACAAACTACATTCCTGATGACACCAAGAAATCTGGCCAGAGACTGGTCGGTGATGTCCATTTCGAGTCTGCCGTCGAGGTCGCCTCTCAGATCACCCCTGTTCCTGGTGGTGTTGGTCCCATGACAGTCGCCATGCTGTTGAAGAACGTTGTCAGCTCTGCCAAATCATACTTTGACAAGCAACGAGACCGTCACATCACTCCTCTTCCTATCAAGCTTCTCAACCCTGTTCCTTCTGATATCGCCATCTCTCGCGCTCAGAAGCCCAAAGCTATTACAAAAATTGCTGCTGAGGTCGGCATTGCTGCTCACGAGCTTGAGCCATATGGACACACAAAGGCAAAGGTCGACTTGTCAGTCCTTGACCGACTATCTCACCGTCGCAACGGTCGCTACATCCTCGTCACTGGTATCACTCCCACTCCACTTGGTGAAGGAAAGTCGACTACCACCATGGGTCTCACACAAGCCCTCGGAGCTCATTTGAACAGAATTGTCTTTGCCAACGTCCGACAGCCCAGTCAGGGACCTACTTTCGGTATCAAGGGAGGTGCTGCCGGTGGTGGTTATAGTCAGGTTATTCCTATGGACGAGTTCAACCTTCACTTGACTGGAGATATCCACGCCATTACTGCCGCAAACAACTTGCTGGCCGCAGCCATTGACACCCGCATGTTCCACGAAGCCACTCAGAAAGATGGAGCTCTTTACAAGCGCTTGGTTCCTGCGAAGAAGGGCAAGCGTGAATTCCAGCCTATTATGTTCCGTCGATTAAAGAAATTGGGTATCACCAAGACTGATCCTAATGAGCTGACCGAGGACGAGATTCACCGTTTCGCTCGTCTTGACATTGACCCTGAAACAATCACATGGCGTCGTGTGCTTGATGTCAACGACCGACACCTCCGTGGAGTCACTATCGGTCAAGCCCCAACTGAGAAGGGCTTGTCGCGACAGACTGGTTTTGACATTTCAGTCGCTAGTGAATGTATGGCTATTCTCGCACTCAGCAATGATCTAGCAGACATGCGTGAACGTCTTGGACGCATGGTAGTTGCCACATCCAAGAACGGCGACCCAGTCACCTGTGACGATATCGGTGTTGGTGGTGCCTTGACTGCTCTCATGAAGGATGCTATCAAGCCCAACATGATGCAGAGTTTGGAGGGTACCCCAGTCTTTGTCCATGCCGGTCCTTTTGCCAACATCAGTATTGGTGCCAACTCCGTCGTGGCCGACAAACTTGCCCTCAAGCTTGCCGGTACCGAACCCGACGAGGACCACGATGCCAAGACCGGTTTCGTTGTCACTGAAGCTGGTTTCGATTTTACTATGGGTGGTGAGCGATTTTTCAATATCAAGTGCCGATCTTCAGGATTGGTGCCTGATGTCGTCGTTGTCGTGGCTACGGTTCGAGCCCTCAAGGTTCATGGTGGTGGTCCCGAGATCTCCCCTGGTGCTCCTCTGCCTGAGGTTTACCGTACTGAGAACGTTGACATTCTCCGTAAGGGCTGTGTCAACCTCCGCAAACACATCCAAAACGCCCGTCAGTACGGTATCCCCGTGGTTGTCGCCGTCAACAAATTCGAGACCGACACCGATGCCGAGATCGCCGTCATCCGCGAAGAAGCCATCGCAGCCGGTGCCGAAGACGCCGTGCCCGCCAACCACTGGGCCGAAGGTGGTGCTGGCGCTGTCGACCTCGCCAAGAGCGTCATCACAGCCAGCTCGCAACCCAAGGACTTCAAGCTTCTCTACAGCCTTGAAGGGTCTGTGCAAGAACGTATTGACCAGATTGCCAAGGTCATGTATGGTGCTGACAAGGTCGAGTTCAGTGAACTCGCCCAGAAGAAGGTTGATACGTACACCAAGCAAGGATTTGGAAACCTGCCTATTTGCGTGGCCAAGACTCAGTATTCGTTGAGTCACGACCCTGCATTGAAGGGGGCTCCTACTGGATTCACTGTTCCGATTCGTGACGTGAGACTTTCTGCTGGTGCTGGTTATCTGTAAGTCTTTTTTACTCTATTTGTATTCTTCTTACTAACATTGTAAGATACGCACTTGCTGCCGATATCCAGACAATCCCTGGTCTCCCCACGGCTCCCGGCTACCTCAACGTCGACGTTGACACTGTCACCGGCGAGATCGACGGTCTTTTCTAAGCACATTCTTCACGTTCTTTTTTCTTTCAAATAACTTATGATATCCATTAAGATACGATTTACAAAACATTTCATCACGTTGCATATATTACGTTTCAACACAATGCATGGATCAGGAAGTTGGGGTCGTGTCTTTTTCTGCTGTTTCTATTCATAGAGTTTTAGGTATTTTGCATGATTGATTTCATTTTCTTTCTACTGATTCCTAGAACGCGATAATCGACTTGTAATCTCGTCACTCCCTTTGGCTCGAACCCACACATCCACGATCTTAGCAGCATTCGGATCGAGCTCAGAATCAACGACGAAGTAATGATTATAGAACGCGCCGGCGACACAAGCATGATTCGGGAAGATTTTGACTATTTGGCCTACTGATAGCGGGATTCTTCCGTCGCCTCCAGACTCGTAGGAGACGATGGCGTGTTCCTGGCTGATTCGCGCCACAATCAGCCGGTCGTCATTTGAAGTCTGTCTCTTCCAAGATGAGAGGACCCCCCAGCCGGAATATGAAGCACACGGCTCCCTGCCCAACGCCAACGTTCCAGCCGCCAGAAGCGCTTCGGGTGTTTCGCGCTCGCCGTCGTTGTAAATGCTACACACCTCTGTCAGGATTGAGATTGCTATTTCGGTCTTGGGACTTCTTTCAGACAAAGCGGCAGAGACGGATGCATTGGTGGAGAATTGCTGCATGTCAAGTAACGTATAAACACCAGCGTGGAACTCAATCTTGACTTCCAATGAGGGAGATATCTCCTGCACTCTCAATGCTTGTCTCAGGGCCGCTGCTTCGGGACTCTCATTTCCGTGTGGTAATAACAGATATCTCGACGAAAGAATTTGCGGTGTTGCACCGACACTAATAACTACTTCCCTCTTCTTGCCCTTGTCCAGTGGTACTGGTGACAAAAGGTTCGCATGTAGCCTCAAAGCATCTTTACAACCCTCTATCTCACTCACCAAATGCATCATAGCCTCTTCGGGCGTTGTAGCCGCATAACTTAGCGAACTGTGCGAATACACACCTAGCAACTTCACTACCCCTGCCCGCTCAGCCTCGACGATTCTCTCGACGAGATGCGATTTATTGAGTGCTGTAGGCGGTAGGCCAGCGCGATGATATCCCGTATCTACCTTGAGGAATACGCCAATCACTGGCGGCTTTGTGATAGTAGACCAGAATTGCTGCAAATGGTCGAGTTGAGTGGGATGGTCGATTATGACGCTTATACTCTCGGCGACACTCAGGTCAAGAGCTATTTCGGCTAGGCGCTGGACATGAGAAGGGGCGAGTGGGATGCCGTAAAGGACGTTGAAAGCGCGGTTTTGGGCCTTGAATTGAAGCAGGAGTGGGAGCAGCGTTTCTAGCTCGAGGATTGTTGAGACGATGAAGTTTGCGGTGAGGGTTGGGTTTGTGCTGACTTGGAGGCTGGCTATTTGTGTTGTCTGTTTTCCCCTTATCAGCCTAATTCACGGGTATTTGTTATGTGGTATGAAAGGATCCTATCTACTTTGTGGGATTTGATATGAGCTCTGAATCCGACGTTTAGTAGCTGGATTGTCTCGAGCATTTCCCGGCAATGACGCCGGATGATTGCTGCGTCGAGGATGGCGGCTGGTTTGGGGACTGTAATGATGTCCTGACCAATGTAGAATTGTTGTAGCTCTTTTTCGGAGGCCATTTCTTCTATCTTTCTGGGCATATAGATATATTTATGTGGATTGGGATAGATATTGTTCGTTCACATTGAACGTGGGGATGGTCAATATATGTAGACTTGTATGATATGCCTCCTTTCGTGTATTGTAAAGCTCGCTCCGGAGCACCCGATTCAGTCATCGATCATTTGCTCGCTGATCCGAGTCCAGATCCACTGTCTCGCTCTCGCGCACCCAATACGGAAACCATGAAGTTTTTGCGTCGCACTGAAACGGCGCTTATGTACGTGATTTAAAGCCATACCCAGATCATTAAATCTAGAAATCGCTACTTCCCCACAACGAAACCTCCTTTGACCAGCAATTACCAGGCCGATCTCGTTGCCACCCCTTGACAACAACCCTATCGATATACTGACTACTATACGAATCATACTTCCCTCCACCCCCGCCATCATCCTCCACCAACCCGATAGCACAAATCTCATTTCCAGCATCTCTTTCAGTATTGACAAGCGCTGCAACAGCTAGTGCCTGCGCAACAGGAAAACTGCCCTCTTCCAAGACCGAAGATGCTAATAAATCGAGCAACCAAGCCTCGACCCAGCTTCCAATTGAGACATCACGGCAGCGCGGGAGACATGATAGCAGTAAGCTGGAGATGCCAATTGAGTAGACATTTAATTTTGTGCAGGTGGGTTTCTGGAGGCCGGCAATTATGCGGAGGAGGATTGTTAGCCAGTATTTTGTTGTTTTTGTGTCGTCTTGGACGGTGTGGAGAGACGGGGAAAGATTGTCAGTGCATTGCATTATGCGAGCCACGACGTAGTAGGCGTAGTTCATGGCGTTGTCGTGCGAGGTGAACGGCATTGGCCTGATAGTCATGAACAGATCTTCCGTATTATTTGATGGTTCAGTCGGAAGTTCATAGGGCAAAAGCCTCGATTCCCAGTCATCTAATTTCCTCGACTCAGTTTCTAGCATTGAGATGTACTCAGATGCATCACTATTCCGATCCTCCCATTGCCTCAAAGAAGCAATAACATTCAACCGATATGATTCACATAGTATCGCCGTAACCAGCGTTCTTTTGGCATCAACCGACCATAGCATAGATACCACATCATCCGCCAACGCCATACTCGGCTGCCGACACTGATACTCAAACGAACTAAAATGAAATCTGCGCCACCAGCTCTGATATCGGGAATGAAGGTACGCTGATAAAAGTCGATAGCCCATATCTGTCGTCGTCGCTACATGAGTGTTCTTGGATTCAGTTGCCTGGATGAATTTCGCAATTCCCTGTGCGTGACAATAAAAGCCGGGGAATGTCCCCATCGTAGACTCGATGTAGCAAAAGACGACCAGTACAGCTAGAAGTGTCTCTTGAGATGTTTGCCATGGTGAAGCGTCGCTGCTGATGATTTTTGCGACTTGGCCTAGTGCGGATGTGTAGTAATACTGGCTTGTGGCTTGGTGTTGGCGATGCGGCCGATATGTGAGGGTGGTGTCTTTTCTAGTACTTTCTTGCTCAGGGCGAGATCGACTCAGATTACACGCTGACAAGGCCAGGATGGAATGTTTGAGTAATTGGTTGGTATTGTCAGCGTGGGTCATCCTCTGGAAACAGCAATCAAGAGCTTGCAGGCACGAGCCGCCCCAGTGAGTTAGGTAGTAGAGCTCATTCTCAGAACGATTCAAGGACCGCACGAGATCTGACTTGGGTAGTGCGGGATGTCCTTGTCGAGAACGATTAACTGAATCGCCGTCATGACGATCAGCTCTTTTTGATTTTGGCGTTATACTGCAGGCCTTTGGATTCGGCGATTGTTGAAAAGCGTTGTGAAATTTGAGACTGGGCTGAACTGCTTCACAAGTCCTACCGCGTCGCATGCATGCTCCACAAGAGGGCTTCTTCTCATCGCACTAATTTTGTCAGTCTGATTTCTCTGATATTGAAAAAAACATACCTTCACACGTCGTCTCCTGCATTCTTTGCAACCTGAGCGGGCGCGAGTGATGTTGGTCAATTTCGGGCGAGGTGGAGCTGGTTTGTACATTGATCGGTCTTGTTTTTTCCATCTGATACCGTTTGTGTATTTTCAGAAAATATTCATATTCCTGCAGACAATTAAAAAAGACTCATCGCAATTGATGTGGTTAGAAAGTCTCAGGTGGTGACTCTGATATCATGGGTCGGCGCTATTCCCGATGAGGTGCGCCGGAACGAGATCTTCTCAAGCGACATCTACTCTTTTCTACGCCTCTACAAGTAAGAGATGTTTAATTGCAAATGGAGTCAGCTAAGATATAAAGCCCTCTGGTCCGCTCTCTAGGTGCTGCCATACACCCCCAACACTACCATCATGCCCATCCGAGCAGTCATCTTCGACCTCCTCACAGCGCTCCTCGACAGCTGGAGTCTATGGGACAAGGCAGCAAATGACAACCCTGAGCAAGGCTACAAATGGCGAAGACGATACCTCGAACTGACCTTTGGATGCGGCGCATACCAGCCTTATGAAGAACTCGTCCGCACTTCCGCCAAAGACGTCGGTCTTCCAGAAACAGCGCCAACTCATTTGATCGACAACTGGGATGGACTGCAGCCATGGCCAGAAGCCAAACAAACTCTTGAAAAGCTGAAAGGAAAGGGGTATGCCTTGGGAGTAGTATCGAACTGCTCCATCGAGCTAGGCCGGCGCGCACTACAGAGATGCGAGACCGCAGAGTCATCGATGTTCAATGCATTTGTCACTGCTGAGGAAGTCGGCTTCTACAAACCTCATCCAGATACATACCAGGCTATTCTTTCGGCTCTGGGTGTCGAGCCGGATGAAGCCATCTTTGTCGCTGGTAGCAGCGGCGATGTCGTTGGAGCGGCGGCTGTTGGGATGCAGGTTGTATGGCACAATCGAATTGGACTGCCGGCGTTGCCTGGTTCTGCGCCATTGATCGAAGCGCGTTCTCTGGATGGTGCATTGCAAGGGTTACTATAGAGAGAGTAGCATTGAATGTACAACGGATGCTAAATCCGATATTCGGCTGAATCGTGAGGGGTCGATGCTCTTCAGCCGTCAGACTACGTATATACGTAGTATAATCAAAGTAAAAGAAAACACATGAGTCACGTCCTGAATCAATTCGCTTTTTCGATAGACAGCAACACCCTACATAGTAGTCACAGAGTATACTTGCGTACTGTGTAGAGAGGATCCGCGGAGGAAAGCGCCAACTCCGTCAAACCTCAGGCCCACATTGATATCCTCCGGCTTCGGCGAAAAGTTCCCCACGGGAGCTCGAGAGTGACTCTTTGAAAATATTCTCAGCATTGATTGTCGCATGAGTTAATTAAATAAGAGAGCTTAAGGATCTGCCTGTCGTGTGCGTGTCAAGTGACTGGATATTCTGTGTTCGTGCTTTTCAAGCTTGTGCAAGTATCTGAAAATATCCGGTCGCCCGGTCTGGGAAGTCAGTTTCGCTACGAGTACGTCACTAATCCCCTCTGTTGTTGTTGTCATTCTCTGCACTCCATATTCTCCATATCGGATATATCAAGCGCTGGCTATTTGCTGCATATCATAAATAGTCATCTCTGCCAGTGCTTGCTAGTAGTCTGTCTCTACTGGCATTTGCTGAAAGAGGGGAACGGATCTCCGCACCAACCAAGCTCAAACAGCGCGTGCAGTAACCGAACAACTCCCTCGGTTGCGGCTTTGCCTTTTCTCTTACTGACCTCTTCCTGTTGTCCTAATTCTCAACAGACTCATCGACAGTCCAGCATCCGACATTGCCCGTCGGGTAACGTTTGATTTCTCGTTCAGCATGCAGCTTCGGAATACCTCCGCCCTCGCCCTGCGCGGCGTTTCTTCCCTGTCCGCCGCGTCTTCATCGTGCGCTCGTCGATCCATTCTTTCTTCTTCCTCATCTTTATCTTCTCCCTATTCCACGACCGCTGTATCCCGAGCCATTGCCAGACCCGTTGCTACCACTCTCCGTCCTGTCCTTGCATCTTCCTCGGCCCAGTCGAATTCCTCGGTGTTCTCCACCCATATCCGCACGATGGCTTCGCAGGTGTCGAAGATCAAAGTCAAGAACCCGGTTGTCGAGCTCGATGGCGATGAGGTACGATACTTATTTCTGTTGAATTTCAAAACTCGGATGTGTTCGTTTTAAGGAATAAAGACAGCATCGGACGCGGGGCTGGAGTGTTTTGGCCCCTCAGCTTATCCTCACCAATCAATGCGATTCCGATGCTGTCCATATCCGACGTTGATGCATCATATGCAGATAGCCTGACCGGTGACCGATTTGTATTGACTTTGATCTAGATGACCAGAATTATCTGGCAGGATATTAAAGACAAGGTATGTTATTGGCTGTATGTATACATGGTGTACTAATGATATCTAGTTTATTACCCCGTAAGTCAACGTTTTGCGCCAATTGGATAGGCGTTAACAACTGCTAGATATCTCGACATTGACTTGAAATACTACGACTTGGTATGTCTTGCAATTTCCTTTTTCTACTCAATGCTTACACGCTCTAGGGTCTTGAATATCGTGACCAGACCGATGATCAGGTTACCATCGACGCCGCCGAGGCTATTAAGAAGTATGGAGTCGGTGTCAAGTGCGCCACCATTACTCCTGATGAGGCTCGTGTGAAGGAATTCCACTTGAAGAAGAGTATGCCGATTGAATCTGTTTGTGAATCAAGCTGACGTCTCAGTGTGGCTTTCCCCCAACGGTACCATCCGAAACATTCTGTAAGTTGTACGTACCTCATTTGAAGTATCGTCTAACGTTCATAGGAATGGGACCGTCTTCCGTGAACCAATTGTCATCGACAACATCCCCCGTCTCGTCCCCGGCTGGAAACAACCCATTATCATCGGCCGTCATGCCTTTGGCGACCAATACCGCGCCAAGGACCAAGTCATCCCCGGCGAAGGAACCCTCGAGGTCATCTTCACCCCCAAAGGCGGCGAGCCAGAGCGTATCAAGGTCTACGACTTCACCGGCCCCGGTGTTGCGCAAACCCAATACAACACAGATGAGTCGATTATCGGATTCGCTCACTCCAGTTTCAAGATGGCTCTTCTCAAGGAGTTGCCCTTGTATATGAGTACCAAGAACACTATCCTCAAGAAGTACGACGGACGATTTAAGGATATCTTCCAGGAGATTTATGAGAAGGATTACAAGAAGGACTTTGAGGCCAAGGGCCTTTGGTACGAGCACCGTCTTATCGACGACATGGTTGCTCAGATGATCAAGAGCGAGGGCGGATTCGTCATTGCCATGAAGAGTGCGCCCCCTTTCTTTTATTTTGTCAATACAACTCAAGCTGACTGTTAAAGACTACGACGGAGATGTTCAATCCGACATCGTCGCCCAAGGCTTCGGCTCTCTAGGCCTTATGACTTCCACCCTCGCCACCCCCGACGGCAGCGCATTCGAATCCGAAGCCGCCCACGGCACTGTCACCCGCCACTACCGCGAACACCAGAAGGGTCGCGAAACATCCACCAACCCGATCGCCTCCATCTTCGCGTGGACCCGCGGCCTGATTCAGCGCGGTAAAGTCGACGGAACCCCCGAAGTGGTCACGTTCGCCGAAGCATTGGAGCAGGCTTGCATTGATACCGTGAACGAGGACGAGATTATGACCAAGGATTTGGCATTGGCGCGCGGACGCAAGGATCGTGAGGCGTGGGTGACGACGAGTGTGTATTTGGAGGCTGTTGAAAAGAGGCTCAAGAGGTCTTTGCAAAAGGCTAAACTTTAGATTTACACTTTTACAACGCTAAATCTTGCTAAATCGTGAAATATGATACATGTCGTTGGTCAAAAGTCTATCAGTAATATTTTCTGTAGAAGGAAACGCCGTCTAATGCAGTCTATCGTCATATCACCATACATCATTTCAAAATATCCATCATCAAGTCAAAAGGGGTATAAAAAACATAAAATCCGAAATAGAAGAAAAGATCAAACAAACATGTCCAACCACTCCCGCGCCGTAACCCTCTCCTCAACCTCCCTCACAATCCCGCCTTGGATAACCCTCCCCACAAACCCATCTCTCCCCCTTCCTAGTCTCGACGCATTCGCGCCACTGCGCACGTAATCCAATGCGCGCCATCCTTCGCGAGACATTGCGAGTCGTTGCATTGCGCTTGTTGTGCCGCTGTAGACGAGCACATCGCCCGTCGCAGCGGCCAGCAGCGTGAGCGCAAGCGCAAATACGTCTGAAGCGGGCGTTGAGAGTGGTGCGGAGGATTTCATTGCGTTGAGGGTAAGAAGCTCGGGGGCTGCGAATGGGGGTGTTAAAGCGCCTTCTCCTGTCGCACATTCTTCTGTGTTGGCGGATGAGATGAAGTGCGCCGATGAGAAGTCAGCGTATAGAGCCTCATACTCCATCTCAACCCCTGCCCCTGCCTCCTCACTGGAGGTAAGAGTTTGGCGTGGTCTGAGGAGAATATTGTGCGGCTTAATATCGCCATGCACTACGTCAATTTCGGTATGTAGCCAGTCAAGCCCTTTGATCAATTGCGTCGCTAGCTCGCGCCAATGAGGCGTGACGGGATCAAACATTGTTCTCGTCGAGAAATGCTTGCGTGCGTAGTCGGCGCATGTCTCGATGTGTGTCGATAAGGAGAGTGGGAGGGCCTGGAGGACGAGCGCGTTCGATGAGGGTATGTACCCGAAAAAGGGCACTACGTAATCCCTTTCCTCGTCGGCGCCAGAAGTAGAGGCAATCCGGCTGAGGATGTGCGCTTCCGCACGCAGAATTGGATGCGCATCGCGCCTTAGCGGAGCTTTGACTGCGACAACGCGGCTGCTCTTTGTTGACGTCGATATAGTTGGCGACGAAGGTGGCGTCATCATCATCGGTCTCCCGGTAGACATACTCGAAGTCGCTTTGTAGACTTTGCTCCATACCCCGCGCCCAAACTCGACAGATGCGCCGTCGCTGTCGCGCACGACTTCCAAGTCATATGGGAACTCAACTATAGGCTTTTGGCCATTCTTCTTCTTCGGGGCGGGCGATTCATGGTCTGATTGGTATACCGGGGTATCGGGTGGAGTGCTGAGGGTTTTGCGCCGGGGTGTTTGGATAGTGTCCACGGCTAGGGGACTTGTGAATTGGGATGTTGCCATTTTATGGCTGAGTATATAGTCGCAGTAGATCGAGATTGATTATACGTAGTATATAATCGGAATATAGCGTCGATGGGCGCCTGTTGCTGTTATAGCGGCATAACCGTATCTGGTGGCGATGCGACGGCGGTGGCGCACATTGACTTCATGCGGCGAATGAAGGTTCGTACTCCATATACGTGTTCATTCCTTTTTTTCGAGACTGTCGCGGGATATAAGTAATCTATAGAATAAAGAGAAGATGATAAAAGAGGATGACACGAAAAAGAAGAAAGAAATGGGGCCGGGCCGTATATAGGTTAATGACTCTACCTGTCTAGGTACAGGCAGAAGTCACGATAGGCGACAGCAACCGTTGCAAAAAGAAAACTTTGGCGGCCAGTGGTACGGTTCCATGGTTCGCAAGGAAGATGTCGGCGGGTAGTCCGATGGATTTATCGGCGGGAAATATATGCGACGGTAATATGAGTGACATGATATACTGCGTACAAACATTGGGGTCTGCCGCATCTACCGCTGCTTCAGCCAGTCAAGTTTTTAACAAAGATCACGTTGGTCGGAGATCCGAGTTGCGCTAACTACTATGCATATATAAATATTATAAATATAGATTCATTGCTGATCATTCGTCTTTCTTCTGTGTATATAAACCTTGGACAGTGTGCGACTCTATGAAAGATTAGGGCTAGCACATGATGTCAACGTGCAGCTCTAGTTTATGCTTATTTTCGGTTTATCACGACTCGCTTCGACTCGTAGCAACAGTCGGAGAATCTAATAGAGTATCTAAAATGCACTCATTGACGACTTAGGACTACAGGATAGATATATTAGATGAATGCGTGTAGTGTACTATTCTGCTCACGTACGGTCAACTGCCCGGATACCGATGCATTAGCCCTAACCCTTAGGGTTGTTTACACTATGAAATTCGAGGGAGTCATTCTTAGGGCTTAGTCTGAGAGCGATAATTCAAAAGGGATGCTTTGCCATGTACGCTACAGGAAACTATTTCCAGAGTGCGACTCGAATGTTCTTGACCTAAACAGACTTTGGTAATCTCTTTTGGCCTACCACTTGAGAAGTAATTTGTAGTGTATTTTAATGTCAGAAGACACGGCGCCATGGAGTTAAGCATATACTAGGTGATCTAGTATTGTACATAAGACTTAGTTACCAACCAGGAGCACACACTGTGTAGAGCGAGAGAGACGAAAGATTGTTGTGTAGATTTGAGCTGTTCTACGAGCGAGCTATGCATCACTTTTGAATTTATTTGAATTTGGTTTAACCTGCAGGATCTGATAAGATATTAGCTGGAACGGTTGAAACTTGAAACACCAAAACATACGTAGTACGCCAGGGTGGAGCTTGTGTGGATGTTCTAAAAAATGTCTTGGTTTTACTTTTACGTCCACCGGGTTCCTAGGTGTCTGTAGAAAAATATCCTGGTTAACTTTTCTCCCTTTGCATCTCGATAGAGACATTAACCATAAAAAGCCGAGTTTGATCATCCAGGCAATTGATGACTCGATAACAACAAAATATGAGGTTTTTGCTTTTTAGCAACAACGTCCGCTCTGTGCGCTTTCATCCGTCAAGATTGCGCGGGAGAATCAGTAGCTGGTTTATGCGACCAAAATACTTGCAGAAAACCCCGTTATTATGTTTCTGGGCAACCCGGACCAAATTTACAACATGTGTTGTCCTGGAACTAAGTTAAGTCTCTTGCTATATCTCTAGGATTGACCAGTAGGGTACTCGGATTTGAGCATCAAACCGATTTAACTCCGTATTAGGGCTTCGGCTCTGCTATTTAATTGAATGTGGATTTTCCAAATGGCATATCTCCCCTGAAGTAATCTATACAAACTATCTAGGTGCGATTCAGCTAGATTGCTAAAGGTCCAAGGTTTCGGCATACCGTATGGAGTGGATGCCAGCACTGAGTGTAGATATGAGTGGAGCGATGTGGATGACCTAACAGACTCTCAAGAACTTTATCTCCCCTGATAAATAAAATTACCCTTTACAAATCGATATTTAGACGAAATTCGGAAGATAATTATCCAAGGATGGGCTCAGATGACCTCAAGTGACAGCCAAGTCGGCCCCTGCCAGGTATGATTCCACCTATCAGAGACTCCATCTTGCTGAAACACCCTTAGTTTCCGGTAAATTGTTATGCTTAATTTGAACATACGCAGCATATGGGCTGCGATGTGGGACATGTTTACTGTAGTGGAGTACTGTTGAAACAGTTCTACCGGCATTAGTGTGCTAGTGGTTGCTGTTGATATGCTAGTGATGAAAAACTCCACGAGGTCTCGGTATGGCGGAATTTTTTGGCTTTGGACGCACTTCCAAAATGAGCGATACTCCGATGTGATGCTGCGCGGCTTTTTCTTGGCTTGAAATATATTAGAAGGTCGTAGATCCTCGAACAATACACTTTTCAACACATCAGACACGAAGTCGGCCGAAAAATAGCGACACTTAATCATGAGATACACTCATTTCCTCAGCGCACTGGCTGCTTGTGCCTTTGAAGGCGCAGCTGCTATCAGCGTCACTGGTGCAGCAGAAGGCTTTGCCAAAGGTGTCACTGGAGGTGGTAGTGCCACTCCAGTCTACCCTTCTACGACTGCCGAACTGGTTTCGTATTTGGGAGACTCATCTGCGCGTGTGATTGTCTTGGACAAGACGTGAGTAAAGCATGTCCCCCATTTGAATCACTTACTGACTCTGCAACAGCTTCGATTTCACCGGTACTGAAGGCACCACAACCAGCACTGGATGTGCTCCCTGGGGTACTGCTTCGGCCTGCCAGCTTGCTATCAACCAGAATAGCTGGTGTACCAACTACGAGCCAAGTGCGCCTTCTGTTTCGGTGACATAGTAAGTCTCACGAGAAGATGGAGGAAACCGCTTGCTTATACAATCCAGTGACAATGCCGGTGTTCTCGGTATTACCGTCGCCTCGCATAAGACGCTCATTGGTGAAGGTACCAGCGGTATTATCAAGGGCAAGGGCTTGCGAATTGTCAGCGGTGCCAGCAATATCATCATTCAGTGGGTATCAGTACAATTACTTCAAACTCAAAAAGCTAAGAGGTTATAGGAACATTGCCATCACCGATATCAACGCCAAATACGTCTGGGGAGGTGATGCCATCACCCTCGACGATGCTGATCTGGTCTGGATCGACCATGTTACGGTACGGCCCTGAGACAAGATTAATATTTTATTTGACTAATGATTCAGACCGCACGTGTTGGTCGTCAACACCTCGTCCTAGGAACCAGTGCCGACAACCGTGTGACCGTCTCCAACTCCTACTTTGACGGCCTCACTTCCTACAGCGCCACATGCGACGGCTACACTTACTGGGGTATCTACCTCGATGGGTCGAGCGATCTTGTCACTTTCAAGGGCAACTACATCTACCACTTTAGTGGCCGCAGCCCCAAGATTCAGGGCAACACCTTACTTCACGCAGTATGTCCTCCCCTTACCTCAGTCAGATTATGTGTACTAAATTGTTCTAGGTCAACAACTACTGGTACGACTCCACCGGCCACGCCTTCGAGATCGGTAGCGGTGGCATGGTCCTCGCCGAAGCTAACGTGTTCCAAAACATCAATACCATTGTTGAGTCTCCCATGGACGGCCAACTGTTCACCTCGCCCGATGCGACCACAAATGCCGTGTGCAGTACTTATCTCGGTCGTGCCTGTGTGGTCAATGGCTTTGGCAGCTCCGGAACTTTCAATGAGGCTGATACTGCTTTCTTGGTGGACTTTGAGGGGAAGAATGTTGCTAGTGCTGCTGCGTATACCTCTATCAAGAGCACTGTGCCGTCTAGCGCTGGTCAGGGTACTATTTAGATGGAATTACCTTTGAAGCCGATATAGCTTGAAGGTTTCAAACATCAATGAACCAGCTGGATAAAAAATCTCTTCAAAATCCTATTACATGATAGTAAATACAGAGTATCAAATCAAACGCAAAAGTAAATAAGACCAAAATGTCTCGTCCAGCATCTGGACTCTACTGAATCAACGAGATTTTCCTGTAGCTTGTTCAATTTCCTGCAGGATATGCGCCCACAGATTCTCTTCCATCCCATCCCTCCGGGCCCGAGCCAGATGCTTGTCAACATCAAAAGAGACGTTCTCAGCGTCAAAGTTGATAGTATAGCTGCCACTGCCGGGCCTACCATCCGTGCCTCTAGCAACGGTAACGCTGTTTGAAAGAGGCACCCCATCAGTCACAGCAGCTGCAGCTGCGGCCGGAAACCGAGCACTAGTAGCACAATACAACTCTCTTGCACCACACTCATCCGGAGGAAGGTAGTCGATAAAGAAAAACCCAAACAAATTAAATGTCATCCTCGCCACAGCCATACCACCTTTCGCATCCTTACCAAAAGGCGTTTTCACGCCTCCCGGGTAGATGTGAATAAATGAGACGTCGGGTGCTTGCCGAGCCATCACATTGTTTGCAATTGTTATCATCGATGCTATATGGCCTCGGGATTTGCTTGGCTTCTTGGCTGCGAATTCGGACCATTGGGTGTGATCAAAGTACCCTTCATAACCGCCTGCAAAGACGGAGACGACGCGGCGGAGGGATTGTGCTTTTTGAAGGGCGGGGAGAAGGTTGATTGCAAACAGGATGCGAGACGTAACGGGCAGGACGTATACGATTGGTAGACCTTCTGACGTCTCTGGTTCGTGGGAAAGTATGGCATTAGCCCATACCAATTCAAACTGGGAGGAAGTACTCACTATCAAGAACCATCGTTCCCTGCGTCTGAAACAAAAGATTGATAGAATCCTCCTTCGCCAGTATCTGCTCACATACTTCATCCACATTCTTCAGTAAACTGACATCCGACTTGATGAAGATGTATTTCCCGCCAGGGTTGATGCCCTTGCACTCGGCAACGATACGCTTTGCCGCTGTGTCGGATCTGCCAACGAGGTATATCGTGGGTGTAGTGGTTTGCTGTGCGAATGCTTTGAGGGTGTATTCGCCTATGCCGCTGGTGGCTCCGACGAAGACGGCTACCATGCCTGCAGGCAGGCTGGTTGCGATTTTCGCGTTGGAGTCGTGGACTATTGGCAGAGAGACCATATTGTTGTCAGAGAAAAAAATTGTGTTGATTTTCGACCTGGGTAGGGTTCCTGTTCTGATGCTGATTATATGTGCACACTTTAAATCCGTTCATCCGTTCTGAGTATATGCTATTACTACCTAGTTTCAGACACGGTCTTAATTCCGATAGTCTTATCAGTTGTTCTTATTATATCCCCACTAATACGCATAATTACGTTTGTATTTCTAGTTTTTGGTTGTAGTTCAGAATATCCTAATATCAATTGATATGCGTAGTAACTATCAGCAGAACCTATCTATAACAGATAGAAGGTCTATAAAACTAAGGAATATGCCACGAGTTGTTATTTTAGAATGCTCTCTGTTCCTACGCGTATCTGAATGCTTGGATATCAGATTCAAATGCTGGATGGCCTTTTGTTCGTTATAAGACGGTTCTACTGTGGATATACCCTCTAAGCCCTAAGCTCCGTTCCTCCGCTGGCGTTTCTGTTTAACTCCGGGTCCCTAATTTTGAAACTACAATTGGAAAAACTTGATGGAGAGCATCAGATGCTAAAATAAGCATAAAGTATAAGTTAGCTGCAATGTTCATTCTCGACACGCACACAGAGATTTAAGCCAGCGGAATCCTTCACACACTCATCCTGGGACTCTTATCAAGAAAGAAATAGATAATCATCGACAGTAGCTATCAGGGACATTCCTTAACTACCATCGTCGAAATAGTAGGGATTTCCGCTATCTTTGGTAATTCCGCTCATGGCCGCAACCCGTTGAAGATGCCATGCCATCTCCAGCAGTTCCCAACCCGGCAGCGGAAGCCGTTTCGGGTCAGGAGTGGTAGAAGTGATAGCATCCCCAGAACGAGTCATGTCGGATGGCTGCAGGAGCCGCCCTGTTGGAACCGTGATCGAATTTTGTCTTCATCTGAATACAGGTTCCGAGTAGACTCCAGCTGATCCAACAGATCAACGCTAGGTGTCTCTTGTAACATTTTTTTGCCAGTAGAATCCAACTTTCAGGGTCTTTCCATCTGGTTTATCCGAATGAGGTAGAGCGAGCCGATCTTTTCCCATAATTGATGTACGGATTTCTTGAGACTCAACATGTTGTCACGCGAGTCATCAGGGTGGCTTTTTTCTAGGTCACCCAAGATTGCAGCTCTCTATTTCCTGACATGATCCGGCTCCCAGATTAGTAAACGACTGGATCAAGAAGAATAATATTTGGATTACTCACAATTCTTTCATTCCCATTTTGGTCCCTAGTCAAGTAGATAAAGCTATATCATTTCAAAAAGCCTTTACACGCCCTTCCTTGTTGGCATATTTTAGTACCGGGTCTAACAAAAGTCCTGTTACACTTCCCTCTAGCTTACACACAAGAAGCAGAACAATTCTTTTTTTCCGGCAAGCACCGATGCAAAAGTGATAGTGCGTCTGAGGAGAACTGTGTCGTTTCCAACGAACACGAATGTGTCAAAAAGTCTATTCTAAGAAACCATCTTGAGCCCCCTTCAACTCGAAAATATCTTGAAAGTGTGTATCGCTGTCCATAGACAACAGATCCTCTATTTGAGGGTCTACCAGACCGTACCAGGAAGTTTCAAATGGAAGGTGTTGTTGCCCATCGCCATCGAACTCCTGTGACTGAACAAATTGGGGCGCGTTAGCAGGAAGTTGCAAAAGATGGGCAGTTTTACAAGAAAGTAGAAACATACTAAGAAACTTCGATCAAGCTGCATAGAATCTGCTGGAGTAGTATCCGAATCTCGGAATGAGGTTGGCAGCTTTTCCTTCATGTCGTTCGCAATCCGTGTTCTTAGTGAGTCTCTTCAACTTAGTTCATCCAATTCTTCTCATTGTAAGTACCTAGGTACATGGCGGAATGATACATACCATTAAAAGAGATGTTTTCCAACAAGTCTGCGCTTATACCCATCTGTTTAACCATTCGCAATACATCAAGGATAGTGTCAACAACTATTTGAGACTCACTCGAAATAGGACTTGCTTGCATCCAGATCATATAGGCATCGTACAAGGCTTGTATACCCCTATCTAGTTGTAGATTCTCTGTCATTGTGGTACTTTTCGGTGAGGGTTCGCCTGAAATACTGAGTTTGACATATAAACATAGTAGTGTTGTTGCAAGATAGAAGCCGCTGTTCAGCAGTGACGGGATCTTCCAGATAAACCCATATAGGCTTCCGCCTAGCTGTAACTCATGATGAAAAGTTTTCTGAGTGCACAGAATCTCAATCGCGGCGTCTAAACAGATCGATTGAGAGGCTGCGTAGCGGTGGTCGGTACGTGCTAGGAGCATATGTTTTTGGTGTAAAATGCATTTCGCGGTATGTAGCAGAGTTCTAAGAAATATTCGGCGTAGAATGAGCTGAGGAGTATTAGGAGGTGAAATGGATATTGCTTCCCATCTTAGAGTTGCAGGGATACTAGAATATGCCTCGTCGAGAAGTTCATGTAGACGCTGAACCTGATCGTAGGGAGGTTTCGGATTCGCCGAGGTAGTCAGGTCACATATCATTCCATAAATAGAAGCCACCCGCTTCTTCGAAAGAAGAAAAATGACAGGAGTAATGATCGCGTCGGGTATGGCGGGTGGTAACACCGTGCTGTTACAGTCAAAATCTTCATCATACAAATTGCGCGGTTCGGCAGTATCAGCTTGTTCTTCGTGAATCATCCGCGGAAGACCGACGTGTCCAGACATGAGAATGTCATAGAGAACAATATATGCCCATGTCCTCCGCCTCATCTCTGCTTCGTAAGGTGATATCTGAGGGAAATGAGAAGGATCTCGGTGGTAGCCCATGCGCAATGCTAAGCGGACAATAAGACCCAGAACAAACCAGGTCTCGATGCGATTGGCTTCGTAATGCAGATATTTGATGTCGAGATAGAGGATAAAAGTCTCCAGGGTATATCGTGGACCCGAAGAATAGTTTCCCAAAACGAGGCATTGCACGATCTTTTCGCAGTACGTTTGCTCAAAACGGAGAAGGTCTGGAGGTGTCGGGACGTGTCGATCTCTGTGACATGATGCTAGAGATATAATTGCAAATAGTTGGCCAATCCAGATGATAGATATTTGGAAAGGATGCTTCCAGAATTGCTCATACTGGTAGTTGTCAAATACGAGCATCTTGACGCCATAAACGGACTGTGTGAACTCACTTCCTTCATGAACACTGGACCGTGAATGATCGCTATAAAAATTAGCTCGATTAAGGAATTAGCATAAATTATTACATACTCGTTGCAATGATATCATGTTTAAAGAAATAAGCCACGAGGTGATCAACTACCTGCCGTGGTGGAAGAGAGGCCAGCAATTCTTCTCTGGTAGCAGAACGATAAGAACCAAACAGAATTGCGGGCCGATGAGCATCCGATGTATGCGGTAATTCATGGATCTGATGTTTCTGGTCACGATTGTCTGTCAAGGAATCCTTGAGCTCCGCCATCTGTCGATGTTAGTGAAAAAATCATCAATATTTGCATCATACAATACCGTACACCGTCTAGAATGGCACTCCAGTGAATACTCTCCACATAGTTTGATGAGCTCGCATCCAAGACTATACGGCCAACAGGACTGGAGTTATCAGGATTAGTTCCATCACTATCCTTGGGAAGGTCTGAAATAGCTGCGAAAGACCCTGGTAGCACATTCGTCTGTCTCGAATCACTGCGCGAATTCATCAATGTCACAACCAGTCTTTCCAATTGACTGATACGATCTGTAATATCGGCCTGCTTTCCCTGCGAAGAAATTGCACTATCTGACTCTATACTACGTACCGGATACGCGCAAGAGAAAGAAAGGCCTCGGCGAACACAACTTTCACAAGGGCTGTTTCGATCGCATTTTAATCTGAGGCACTTGTCAGCTTTGAGAAATGTTAAGTATTGGATCGTGATGATGATAATAATTACTTTCTCCGTCTGCACAAGTTGCAAGACAGCTGCGGCTTGTCTCGTCGTCGACTAGCAGGTATCACCCTTTCACCACGCTGTGATTTTGTATTGGAGTGTTCCATTGCTATGATTGTACATATATGGGATGGAACGAAACTTTGTGAGGCCACTAATTACAGATGTATGAGAATAGTCGATGATGGGATAGAACATACAAGTAATGACGGCTGCCTGTCCTAGTGCTTACTGTCGCATAAGCTAGTAGATGAAATAGGGTTAGGGTTCTGTATATAGAGGTCCATCTCAACGCGGTTCAGTGATGGTCGAATATTCATACATAGATCGTAGAAGAATACACATTAATTCAAGGGTTCATCTCGTTTTCTTGGATGGATAGGAATGGCCTGATTTTGAGACTGGAATAGTACAAGATGTTGGAATTGATGGATGTCTACTTAACTAACAAAGACTCAGCCATTTGTTTCTGATCCCTTCCCAGGGTCACGATAGCATAGGCTAATGAAATGCTCCTAGAAATCCATCCCGGCTAATCAGAAAGGGAGAATTGATCAAAAAACTCGGTCACAATATCATTTGCCTCAATTGGCTGGGGACCCATTCCTGCCGCCAACATGTCAAAGTTGATCGTTTTCGAAGGCCAGTCGTGTCCTAAATTAGAATTGTAAGCTGGGACTTATTCAATACCTTTTTCAGGAATAGCATACCATTCGCATCAACCTTCCAGTGCTGCAATGTTCCGTTTTGCCCGCCACAGATCCACGATGTGTGATGCACGTTACCACTGTCACTGTCTACCGTAGAGTTGGAAGTACATCCATTTCGTTGCTGCCAGTATCCAAGCCTAGAATTCGTTAATACTATGATGCTATTACTCAGTTAGGAAAATTTACCATGTAGGAATAGCTGGCAAAGGTCCCCCTTCACCCTCACCTCCTTCATAAAACACCGTCTGATCACTCCCACCATGAATCTCAAGAATTGGCAATGGTGACCTTGCAGGCGTACACTCCGTACCATTAACATCCGTATAGAATGATCCAGCAACGGGCGCCAAAGCAGCGAATTGTCCACCAACTTCACTGCATGCAATGGTTCCCACGAATCCGCCTCCATTCGATAACCCAGTCGCATAGATACGATTGCCGTCGATGCTGTATTTGGACTTGATGTCGTCGATCAGGTCGCTAACGAATTGCAGGTCTTCGGCTACGGAGACGTTGGCGTATGTAGGTCCAGCCCAGTAGCCGTTTACGCCGTCGGGGTAGATGAAGTATCGCTATATAGATTTCAGGTCCCTTTCGACTGAGATCGTTTTATTTGAGAGAAAACTCACGTCAGAAGAATAGGCAGTCGGAATTGCAGGCAATGACAATCGCACATCAGCCTCCATGGCAAATCCATCAATGTTGAAGCCTATCCCACTACTGCCATGGAACGCAATGATTGCCGGGTATATTTGTCCATCTTCAAAATCATCCGGCTCGTGGACCCAGTAGGTTCGATCGCGGCCACTGCTTGTCACAGACTCTAAATCAGCGAGAGCTGGTGCAGCGAGCAGACTGGCCGTGAGAACGATTGCGCTGAGCATTTTGACGGACGATTACCCTTGTGATTGCGCCAGTCTGTAGACTTACGAGGGCTATCGGGCCCTTAAATAGTACTATTCTATGTAGGAAACGGTGACATTGAGGCTAGGATGATCTGCGCATTGAAACGTGCATGTAGGTAGCCCTAGTCAAGACTGACAAGACCATACGACCCCGCCAAACAAAGACATGTTGACCAGTTTCTTGAAAAACAGAAAATGACTGGATGATACTAAATGCGAGCAATGGCTAACGGCATGTGGCCTAGCAACGTGCCAGTTACACCGTGATCCCTGGCTATCAGGTTAGTGTGCCCCCGTGGTTTCATTCACTAAGCCTGTTCTGGGGGCGGCTCAGGGGTAAGTCTCTGCCGGGGTGGCCGGGTGATCTCTTATCAATCTACGCTCGTCGAGATTAATAAGGAAGTAGTTTTCATGGATCAAGGATGTTATAATCATCGATGAAATCTATTTCATGCAGATGCCTGCGCTATTGTTGACCGAGATGATAGATTTGTAGGTAGTCGAGAAGGAAAGTTGAAGATGGAAGTTGATAAAAAAAAGATGCGAGTTAGTGCCTGATACTTAAGGCAGTAACGCTAAACTAGAATAGATAAGGTCTTCATTATCGGGGGCCATGGACCTATCTCTATCCCTTCATTTATCACCATCAACCACATCTTAAAATCATTGAGCAGATCTGTACAATTGAGAAAAATGCCTCAAAAATTTTACAAAGCACCCCTCACCTACCCCATCCGCATCTTCATACTCTCCGTATTCGACCTCTCTGGCGCCCTATCCTGCTATTTCGTCCGCTTCAAAGTGCTGCTTACCAAGACGTTATTGACCATATACTTCGCTCTACAGATCGTAAATGTCATCGTCAATCCAGAGGTTCGCTGTATTTTGGTATTGCGGCGAGATCCCGAGGATGGGACTAGGAAGATCATGGTTGGGTAGGCCGGCAATCGGGTTCCAGTGGTGTGAGACGCAAATTGGATTTACAGGGGTTATGCGGTTAGGTATAATGGGTAGAGATTTGAGCGTGCTTTGATCAGGATTTGATTCAAAACTTCATGGGCGATAAACATACTGATACATACATGCATTTTTTGTGGGGTTTGTTCTCAATCAGCTTCAGCAGAACCCGGCGCAACTGGCAGCTTATAGCAATACATGGTTTGCACGTTACAATATGGTAAAAGGCCCTCGGTGCCCAATTCTCCGCCCAGTCCACTCTCCTTCCATCCAGACAAAAACCCACTAGGAAGCGGTGCCGGGTGACTGTTGATAGTTACCATGCCGGCTTTAATCTGCTCGCCGATAGCAACTGCATGGTCCATATCGCCTGACCAGACGCTAGCTCCAAGTCCAGTCTTTGTGTCGTTCACACAGTTGATCACCTCGGTCTCGTCTTTCCATGGAAAGAGAGATATGATAGGACCTAGCACGACAATCAGTTATATCCGTTGAAATAATGTCGTTGATACGCACCGAAAGCCTCTTCCATCAGGACGCGAGAGTCATGAGGAGGATTATCAATGATTGCAGGCTGGATCACAAAGTGGTTATCCTCATCAAAATCTGCATTACCCAATGCAAAAGTGAGGCCTTTTCTTTTTGACTCTTCGACAATCTGTTTAACAGTTCGATATCGTAACTCGTTCTGAATTGGACCAAGTACATTTCCTGCCCCTGGCAAAGAAGGACTTGCTTTCCACAGCTTCACCACGTCGATCATATGCTGCATAAACTCTTGGTATATCTCCTCGTGTATATAAATACGTCTAGTGGCGAGGCAAGATTGACCCGAGTTCAAGAAAGCGCCAACCGAGACCTGAGGAGCCACCACAGAGACATCAATATCGGGACAGATAATGCATGCGTTATTCCCACTCAATCCCAGCGTCACACGCTTCAGAGTCTTGCTAGCAGCAGCCATGACTTTCTTTCCAGTGGCAGTTGAGCCTGTAAATGCGATTTTCTGTATATCAGGATGCTCGACCAAGGCGGGGCCCAGCTTTTCGTCGCCATTCAATGCTTGAAGAACCCCGGGTGGGAAGATTGATTTGGTGTACTCAATAAATTTCAGAGTGCTATATGGCGTAAAGGGGGATGGCTTGACAATCACAGCGTTGCCGGTTATCAATGCTGCTCCGATTTTGGCTACCGCTAGCAGCAATGGGTGGATCGATGGGCAGATGGCTACAACAACACCCATCGGAACATATCTGACTGTTAGGCGGAGTTCGTCGTTGTCTGTAACTACTTTTGTCTCTAGTTCCGGATGCGAAGCTTTGGCTATTAGCAAGCTAATATGACTGGGATGTATGAGACTGACAGTAATAGGACAAGAACCTTGCCGAATGATCCACCTCCATCTTGGCGAATTGCAACTTCAACGTGTTAGCATGCATGCCATTCCCGTTACGACGGTACTTACAGGCTTCCCCGCTTCTTGCATGATCAACTCAGCCATGTCGTCCCTAATTTCCATCAACGCGTCCTTGGCTTTGGTTATGTACTTTGCTCTTTCGTTCCAATGAGTTCGCGACCATGTCTCAAAGGCCTCTTTTGCCGCAGCAACGGCATTCTCGATATCATCATTTGTTGCCACCGGGACATCCCATAATGGACGCCGAGTCGAGGGGTTGATTGCCTGTGCCTTCTTACCGTTCAAAGAAGCCTTGCCATTGATCGTGTTTGCAAAGACGGTGAAGCTGTTTGATGGCTTCGTAGGGGTCGCAACCTCTGCAGCTGCCGTAGAGCCAGAGCTAGATGCTGCCTTCATGTTGAATTTGCGGCATCCAGGGGGTCGCCAGATCCTTTCTTCAATTGCGACTGATTCAAACTCGATGGAATACACAATTAGAAGATGAAATGAGGAGATGTCAGTCGTCAAGTCGCGAAACCTGACATCGCGATGATTGAAGTAGATGACGATTGTCGCACTGTGATTGGCTGCAAAGAAGTGGAACGTGGGGTAGACCACAGCCTAACCATTTTGGGTAATTACCTCGTGGAGCTCTTTTCCATTTTCTCTTGTTTTTTTCTTGTTCTTCGATAGGATGATCTGCGAAGCTGTTGACCAGCGTATGTTGCTGAGAGACCATAAATTAGTAGAATTCGAACGGATACCAAATGGAGATGCCCTTAAAGCAATCACGGAAATGTCTGCATTGCTCCTTCCTTTGCTCACAACTACCTTTAGGTCCATTTCTGTTCGTGAACCGATCAGTGTCTATCACTCATCTACATCAACACCAACATACAGTATACGCTCTTTTACTGATGTACGTTCATTATTCGAATGTCTTCTATCGACTATTCTTGATTACACCAACCAAACATTGCCATGTCCGCTCGCTCCGCGAACATAACTGAAACAAACACAGACACAGACGAAGCCCTCTCTGTTTCTCGTCCTTTATTCTACATTCTTCGTCCTGACCGCTCATTGCAGCCTCTAATCGCCCTCGACGAGTTTCCCACCTGGCTCAAGGTCCTAAATCCTGACAATGATAATCTGGCAAGGATGGTACAAGTCAACAAAGACAACCCATATCCCCGAAATGCGGAATACGACATCCTCTGTCAATACTGCTTGAATGCTACAGAGAACATGGACGCTTTGATGGAACGCGATTATGCACCCACGAATCAGTATGCGCACAGGGAACCGGCGACAAATGCAGCGGTTCGTCAGTCAGCCCAACAAGGAGCTTCCAATCTGCCGCTTATGCAGCGATCACAAACAAGACCAGGTATTAGCCACCAACAGGTCCAGCAAGCAGTACCTCGAGCATCACAGATGCAGTCGCTACAATTGCAGCAAGGAGTAAAACAGGGATTACAATTGCAGTCGCTACAACAAATCCAGCTACAATACGGGCAGCAGCAAGGTTTCCTACCGCACCTACTATGGTGGCAGAACTACGGTCGAACATGGGATCGGGACCAACAACGCTTAACTCCCTACAGATCGCGTCCACAGCGATGCCAAGGTCGTTTGCTAGCACTACATCCACAGAGTAGAAGTCCTCCCAATGTGAACGCGAGCCAGGCCGAAGAGACCCGTGGACTTGATCCTACGGCACCGGAATTTGTGCCATCAGCTGTAGGATCATCGGCGGCACCTATCTATCAGTAATATTTTTATACTGTATCCGGTCTACCTTTCAGGGCCATTTTGTTCAAAATATTGGGGCTTTAGTTCTTCTTTTGATATCAATACGACGTAAGGTTGGTTCTATGTTTTATGGCAGAGTATGTTATTACACGTGATTTGACAACAAGTCAGGTCCAAACTCCCATAGACAATGCAAACGCTGGGGATGTCTTTTTCTATATCTGTTATACAATAACACCAATCCATGCATCTCTATACCCAAAAAGAAAGAACGCCAAAATCTAATATACATATAACACAATAAGTGATTGGAAGACATCCAGACCTAAATTAAGAGTCATTTCCCCACGTGCGGAGCGCAAACAATGTCGCAGATCCACCGAGACTGCGATTAACCTGCAGAAATGATCTCGCGTTCGGCGTGTTCAGGTATGCTTTCAGTAAGCTCATAAGTGCGCTTATAGGGAGACATTGAAGAGTGATTTGGTCGGGCATGTATTCGAATCCGTCGTAGAATGAGGCTGGTATCGATTTTGTAGAAGTGGAGGTGGTTGGTGGCAGCTCCGAGGTGTCTTTCCTGATGGGAAGACGAAGTTGCCTGGGAATGGAGTCAAATAACTCAGGGACAAGCTTGACAACCTCTGCAGTAGATTGACCTGGGAAGAGCTTGTCAAGCATATCGGCGACGGTCTCTCTGGCCCGAATGCCGAAGGTGCCTACGATTGAGAGAGCCATTTCGACCGCTTCGTCGTGCCGATCATGAGCATCAGCAATCGCAAACTTTTCAAATAATTCTTCTTTCGGTTCCGGTTCATTATAAATCACGGTGCAGCCACTCCCCTTTGGCGATACCTCCTTCGGGTATATATAAAGCGGTTCGAACGGTCGGTGGTCCCAGAGCAACGTAGAGTCTTTGATATCGCCCGACGCCCCAAGCGCAACACGATAGTCGTTTACCAGATTTGGCAGCTTCCTGCTAGCGTGAGTCAGAGCTTCGGAGCTTTGCTCGGTGAACTTCTTTCTCAAATCGACCAAGAATGAATTTTGCCGCTCAAGCTCCGCTGCCTCCGTTGCTGGATCTTGCTTCGCTTTGGCGAGTGTCTCTTCGAGAGAGGCGATTTCAATTTGCTGCTTGGCTAGATCTACTGCAGCATCTGCTGCTTTGGCTAGATGCACGACTGAAGCACGCGCCCTTGTATAATCCCGGCTGATTTTTGTCGCTTGCTTATTCGACTTATTCGTAGAATAATGGCTAATAGCTTCTCGATACAGCCGGTCTTCTGCAAGTTTCAGTGAATTCAATTTCAATTTAAGGAATCTCTCTTCATAGGAGTGGATTTGCAGCCCGAGCTTGGCCAAATCTCCTGCAAGATGCATGATCTGAGCGCGCAACTTGAAAAAACTCCGCCTGCGGTCCACGAATTCTTTCATTTTCGGGTTCTTCTTGACAATCTCCTTGTATCGCTTTGCTTCCTCAAAATCTGCTGCATTCAATTTTGCTTGCACAATGGTCTCAGTTAGCGTAAGGTCGATTTTTTGTTTGGCCAGTTCTTTCGCAATACGCACGACCGGGGTACGTGCCCTCGCATCTTTCATTTCAGCTTCTATCGTTCCTCCATGTTTCTGATAGTACCTGTTGATGATGCCTTCGTACAAATGTTTTTTCTCTAAGAACTCTTTGAACGGCTCTCCGGCGAAGAGCGGATATTTTGCGGCATATGGTTCCGTCCTCGGACCTGCAGGTACTTCAGTGTATGACTCTGGAGTACCTCTTATGCGAAGCTGAGGTAGAACGATCTGATTTTCTGCCATTCGTTGAGCGACCAAAGCGGCGCTTTTCTCAACGAGCTCGTATCCTCGTGGAATGACGTTTTCGGTATTATCAGTCTCGGCGACAACAAAAGATCGCCGAGAGTATGCCTCGTTCAGTAATGCCACTTTCCTCCTATTGCGGATTGAACGTGGTATGATCGACTCAGCCTCCTCTGGAGGAAGAATCATGAGAGTTCGAACGTTCCAGTCACTAAATCGACCTCGATTCAGAAGAGAGTGTCCGACAAGGGCTGCCCATATTCGTGAAGCATTCTTGAACACTCTGTCGGTCAAGTTGGCGATGACGAGTAGGTCTTTTGGAGTGCCTGGAGGTACCTCTGCAGGAACGTACTTATCCAGTAGCTCCAACCAACCGATTCCATGTAATGAACCATAATGTACTCTCTCCTTGTGTATTTGAAATTTTTCCTTATCCTTCTGACGTAGCTCGTTGAGGTGCTTATGATAAACTCGAGATACGCGCGGCTCGACGAGGATGTGCCGATAAGGCTGAACAAGGTCGTTGATCTTCGAGGATAGGACTGGGCGGCCAGGGTATAGGTCGAGAATGACGGATGGTTTGTTGACAGTCAGTACATTCGATAGCTGCTGAGTGATATCATCTAAGCAAGACGCGGTTAATACCCCCTCATTGATCGCAAGCCAGTCATTTGATCTTACCACAAAGCTTGTCGCCTACTATGTTGGCCTTGTGAAGACTTCCTGTCCCCTTTTTCTTCTCGACCTTTGGGGTCGCTTTTGGTGATACGTCCAGTCTTCCATACTGTTCATGAGATGTAGAGAACAGTCGACGATGTTTGCTGTTCACCAGCAGCGTATTGACCCAACTGCACGCCTTCGTTCGAGGGCAGAGAAAGCCATTGCGACAACAACGATTCATCGATTGGGATCAAGGAAGCTGAAATCTGACATCTATTACATATGTCAAGGCTGATTTCCAAGGTATTTCCCGAAGTTGAGCGCACGAGTGATGTCATGTCAAAAACGAGACTATTGTTGTGGATGAAACAGCTTGGAAATTCATCGGCGCTGGAAAAAAAAGTACGTAGCAAGCTACGATGACCAATGGGGGCTTCGGATCTAATCTGATTATCTCCAATCGCCGCCATGAGGCCCTGTGAACCATTTCGAATACCAATAGCTCGATTTTCCTAGAGCGTGAAAGTTGATTGGAGTGCCAGGGATGTGAGCAATGAAGTGAGTCGACTACAATTTATTTTATTCTAGTCCCTGTGTCGTTGCGAGAACAAGGAAGGAGCAACCCTGGGGATGCCGCACCCCACCTGACATTTATGCTGCCTGCCCGAAACGCGCCGCCTCCAACTGCGCAAACCCTGGACCATGAACCTATCCTCACTCTGATACTCTTCTAGCAGCACAAATGTCTCAATATAATCAAATGCTTTACACTTAAAACAAAAGTTACCCTAAATCTTCTTTTGTCGGACACCTCCAGATGCAGGGGCCATTGAGTTGACGACATGGCATCCAACCGGGTCTCTTCAGCGCCGCACAACGTCGAACAAATCACCCGTCTGGCTCAGGACTACGAATACAATCCTAACATACCGCTTAAATACTGGTTAAGGACCGCGAATTCTTTAGTCAAGGAGGTTCGTCATTCCGTCCAGACAGTTTACAAATGCCAGGTGCTAACAACAGCTTTCTCTCATCAGGCCGAAATATACGAACGTGAGGGTCACGACGAACAAGCTTATTTACTACTCTTTCGAAATGCGCAACTAGTCCTTGTAAACCTAGTCAACCATCCCGATGCGAAAGACCCGAGCAATCGTCAAGGGCTTATCACTGCAGAAAAGCAGGTCAGGATCAACATCAAGAAGCTCGAAGGCTTGAAACCGCAGATAAACAAACGCTATGAACGATATCAGCAGTTGTTACAGAGCCGCGAGGCACGGAAAACTCAGGGTTCTCAACTACGGCATGATCCTCCGGCCTCTCGTTATCCACCCATCTCCGATCCGGCGCTGTCCGGTACAGCACAACCCTTGGAAGCAGCAGAAAACAGAGAGCTTGCGGTGCAGATTGCTCATAGGGAGATAAACCGTCGAGAAACCGTCAAAAGAGCTAGGGCGACAGGTATAAGTCAAGATGAAGAACGCACTCGCAGGACCGGGGGCATGTGGGGAGACTGGGAGCAAGCTCTAGGTGAAGAGAAAAGTAGCACTACGGATGATTTGGCTCGGCGCATTCAGGAAGTTCGGTCGCGCATGGAAGAGCCACAACAGAGACACGATCAGCCTCGACCCGAACGAGTGGAAGCGTCCCCGGCATACAGATATCCCACTGTGCCTAAACAAAAACAATTCATTGCATACCAACAAAGCGTGCCAGAACGGGCATTCAGTCAGGTAGAGCCAGTGAAGGCTCCTGCGCCGCCTCCGAAAGAATACAAAGAGAATCACTATTCGATAGAAGAGCCCCCTCCGCGTCCGAGCAAGCTATCGTCTACAGGCCCGCCTTTACCATCAAAAGAAACGGCCGTCGCCCCGAAACCACAAGCAGATCCCTCAGACCTCAACCCGTCGACATTCACATTCAAACCATCAGCATATCTTGAAAATGGAACTCCTCTCAGGACGTTGTTTCTACCCCCTAATCTCCGCCACGAATTCCTACGACTCGCAGATTCAAATACTCGGCGCAACCTTGAGACATGCGGTATTCTGTGCGGTACACTGATTTCGAATGCCTTATTTGTATCTAAATTGCTCATCCCTGAGCAAGAATCGACATCCGACACCTGTGAAACGGTCAATGAATCGGCCATTTTTGACTTTTGTGATTCCGAAGATCTCATGGTGCTCGGCTGGATTCATACACATCCGACGCAGACATGCTTCATGAGCTCCAGGGATCTTCACACGCATTGCGGCTATCAAGCCATGCTACCGGAGAGTATTGCAATAGTCTGTGCTCCATCGAAAGATCCGGACTGGGGAGTATTCCGACTTACTGATCCTCCTGGCTTGAAGTCCGTACTTGGCTGCACTCAAAAAGGACTCTTTCATCCTCACGCTGAGACGAATTTGTACACGGATGCGCTTCGACCGGGACATGTTTTTGAAGCCAAGGGGTTGGAATTTGAGACTGTCGATCTTCGACCGGGCATTTAATCGAGTATGTACATGTAGATCACGAAGTAATGTTAGATATACCCATATTCTCATATTCATACGAAGCAATTTCTCTGGCTGCTTAATCTTGTTTAACCTTTTGTTGTGTTGCAGACTGTGGACTGATTGTGGGGTAACCTTTAAACAGTGGAGCTTATCTCGGCGAGTTTCAAGTTTCAACTGCTCAGATCCTACGAACATCTGTCAACCTCCAAGTTCTTAACATGCAAGCTCAATAACGCCCTAATTAGTAGAAAGAAAATCGCACATGTCCACTACCAGCTCGAGATCAGTATCACGGTCCGGCACTCCCCTCGGTACCAGACCACCTTCAACAACTACCACCACAACAGCCGCCACATCATCATCGTCGCTATCAGATCACTCGAATAACAACAATCACAACCACAACCAGAACAGCAATTACTTCTCGTACCCCGTCAGCCGTGTCGTATCCGGTCTATACCGCCGCCTCACCGACCCACCCCAAAAACCGGACAACAACAACACTAACAGGCGCAATGCAAGAAATGCCAACATGAACAGCACACACTCATCCTCCACATCTCTCTACACACCCAAACGCACCGCCTCGCCCTTCCAACCTCCTCCCTTGACGCCTCTAACCCTCAAATCATCGTCCAACACTGCAATCCTCTCCCGCGCCCTCGCCGAAGAAATCCGTCTCCTCGTGCCTCCCCGCTTGCAACTAGTCGACACATGGCGTCTGGCATACAGCCTCGAGCGTGATGGCTCTTCGCTGAGCACGCTATACGATCACTGCCGCAAAATCAGCGAACACAACCCGCGCGCTGGATACGTGCTTGTTGTTCGCGATGCGTCTGATGATGGTGCCGGCGCAGTGTTTGGTGCGTATTTGACCGATGCGCCGCATCCGGCGTCACACTTTTATGGGACGGGGGAATGCTTTTTGTGGCGGGCCAGTGTTCTGGGGCGTACCCAGGGGATGTGGAATAATCACAACGATAACAACCATAATCAAAATAACGGAGGATGTAATGAGAATCACGAAAATGACGAAAGAGCTGAGAGCAATGGAGGTGGTGAATATCATACAATGACAGACGAGGAACTCCAACGCGCCGGCTTCCCTCCTCCACCAAGCGCAGACACGACGCATGCTGTGCGAAGCACGACACTGAGAGCGAGCACACCAACCCTACGATCCGACAGAAATATCAACAACAGCAACAGTAATCATCTACTCTCATTAGCCCAGACTCAGGGCACGAACAGCGGCACAAGCACCCCCGAACGCATACGATTCAAAGCCTTCCCTTATAGTGGTATGAACGACTACATGATATTCTGTGAAACGGGGTTTTTGAGTGTCGGTGGAGGGTACGCCTCCCTTTCCCCTTCTTTTACCTCCGTCCTTTTAACAATTGTACTAATTAAGCTTGGTGATAGGGACGGCCACTACGGCCTTTGGATCGACGATTCGGTCGAAAAAGGTGTTAGCGATTCGTGTCCCACGTTTGGGAATGAGCCTCTTTCAGATGAAGGCTCAAAATTTGATATTTTGGGGGTGGAGATTTGGTATATTAGTACTTAATTTAACTGCAAGTAGTCGATCTTCTTGATAGATACCAAAATAGTATTGATGCAACCTATGCCTCACTCACTCTCTCTTTTACTTGAGTGAAAACAGGACATTGTATGCGTGTGATGTATTCATTAATTGCTACCTACTTACTACTGTAGTCGTAAGTCAAATCACAGAAGAGAAACTAGTCATACAATTGCATAAGGCAAGAAGGCTGATGAAGGATCAAGGAGCAGTAAAATTCAAACTGCGTCAAGGGAAAAGCAAAATGATATCAGGGGTATGGGCATAAACATCAGCAATGTCTGGCGGGAAAATTTTAAGCAAGGGAACGCCAAAACAAAAGAGAAACGTCAATCATGCAAGATAGATAACTAGTAAGGAGAGTTGACAATATCGTTCCGACCCAAACGGTGAGCCGCGCTCTTACGTGCTGGAGTCATAGGGCCTGCAATGCTCTCTCGAGTCGGTTTCTTGAAGCTCTTCTTTTGAACCATGTTGACTTCATTTGGAAGAGCAACAATGACATTTTTGTCTGAGCCAAAACGGAAGTTGTCGGCCATGACGTTCTCACCGTAGCGTTTGATGGTGTAAGGATCCTTCCTTCCGGCGAGAACCTTCTTCAAGTTCCAGGTGATGATGAAAGGACCAGTTGCGGTGATGATAGAAGTCTCTTCACTGTCCACACCTGTATTGAATCGAGCAGGTGTAAATGCCAAAGGCTGCTTGGTCTCATGTTGGAATTGAGCAACATGAGCTGGTTGCAGACCTAGACGGCGAGGCTGGGGCTTAGAGTCCTTGGCAAAAGACTTTTCGAAACCAAGCTTGCCTTCATTCTTGCCATCCTTTTGCATAGCATCAATCAAGAGCAAGTAGGTGCGGCAAGTGGCCAAAACCCATCGACCATCAGCAGAAACGTCAAGACCAATAATCGGCTCACCCAAAGCTGGAATATGGGTCTTGGCATTGATTCCAAGACGGTCAAACAAACGAACATCACCCTTGTTGGAGGCGACAGCAATATAACCCTTCTCTGTTGTTGCGGCAGCAGAAAAATCGTTCTTGCTGGCATATTGCTTCAAGTTAGCATCAACTAACTTGTTGCCCGATTGACGTGGATCAACTCGGAAGAGAGCATTGTTCGAGACACCCAAAAATGGTTGCGCCCCCGTCATCTGAGAAAACTTCTGTTCTGGGGCAAATGTAGTGACACCAATGTCATCGTGGACCTTCCACTCATCAACAACTTTGCCATACTCGAGATCCATACGATACAGAGCATTAGGGTTCGTTCCATCCTGCAAAATCATATTCGAGTCTTCGGCATGAAGCATGACTTTCTTAGGGCTGAACAGTTTGCCGCCAGGTGTCTCCACTTTGGAAATGTTTGTCGAAAATTCGAGGTTGTTAGTAGGGGTGTGCTTGAATACACCAATCTTAGAGCCTCGGACGACAAATGACCGATCGTGCTTGTAACCAACAGCAAGCTGAGAGTTGACGTTCTCATCACGAAGACCGGTAAGCACATCATCCTCTTCTTCGTCAGTATCATAGTGTTCGCTTCGTTGGCCCTCATCTTCTTCTTCCTCTTCCTCTTCCTCCTCCGCCTCTTCTTCCTTTTCGGGCTCTTGATCCTCCATAGTAAGATCCTGGAAGGCATCAAGAACATAGTCGCGATCATTTTCCTTTTGCTTCTCCCATTTGATCTCATTCAACTGTTCCCATAGTGCCTGCATAAGACCTTCTTGAAACCTCTCTTCCGTCGGTTGGTCCTTGAATCTAAGGAGCCAGGAGTATGCTGAGCCATCATCTGCGTAGTGGTTGAAGATGAATGAAAGGTACTCAAAATTGAACACGGGGTTGATGTCGCCAACGACAGACTGGCCAAGCCATTCTTTCTCATTGCCAGTAATTTGAAGCCAATACTGCCAGTTACCAATCTCAGAAACCGTCGCAATGACTTCGCTGTCTTGTAAAATAAAAGTACCGGAAGCAAAATCGAACATATGCAGCTCTGCACGTTCTTTGGCAAGGATTTCTCGGGCCTCTGGCACGTTACCTGCCACTGGTACCGCGGTAGTCTCCCCAATAGGCTTGATTATGCCTTTCTTTGTTGCGTACTCCACGTCCTTCGCCATAGCTGCTGTAGATTCGGCTGCGCTTGGACCCCGTGGTGAATCAATCGGGCTTGCCGATGGGATAGGACTATCTTCTTCGAATGAAAACTCTTGCAACTCCTCTTCGGTTGCCTGCTGGAAGCTTCTTCGGTATTTCCTCTCGTACTGGCACTGTACCGCAGCAGATTCAAAGGTCGCGACTTTATCTGGCGAAACGGAGGAGTCGCAGACAAATTCGTACAAATCACCGGGATCGCCACTTAAATCTCTCCAGGCAAGAACCTTTTCTCCGCCGTCTCGAACGACCGATCGAAAGTGAAGAGCTTGATCGAGCAAGAAGACCCTTTCGTCCTTATCTAGTGCGTCAGCGGCTCCTTCTTCGTCTTCCTCTTCGGCGAGCTCTTCCTCTCCTTCCTCGTAAGCCCGTTGGACAACAAGCTGGTACTGAAACTCTTGTCCTGTCCGACGAATGGTAGCGACGGCGTCTTTGAAGATCAGCTCGGAGTATCCCTTTGGCGACAGGGGACGGACGAGGTATAGTTGGCCTTGGGGAATGTCGATGATGGCCTCTTTCGAAGCGTCTCCGAAGAGATATTTGCTCACTGTGATGATTAATTGCTGTTAGTCTTCATCTCGCTGGCTGTGTTGTGTCGCATGGGGCGGCTAAGGTTGGAGGGGTGTTGACAGGGGTTCGGACATACCGTTTCGGAGCATAAACATCTTGCTGGTGGCGACTTCCCTGCGTGTTTGCCTCAGCCAACGTCAGGAATGAGGTTTGTTTCCTGCGATGAAGAACAAAATATGTGGGATCTCCGGAGATAAGAGAGAGACAGCTTCTAGAAAATATCTAGAGTGACTTGAAAGAGGAAGTGGAGAGAAATAAAAAGTAAAGACAAAATTTAATATTTGTCTGTTGTCCGGCAACCAAGAACCCCGCTTCACGAAGGAAGGCAGTGACGCAAAGGTCCGCCACTCACTGTGGCGGTGCGTCAAAACATGTGGCGCACCGGATGCTTTATTCCTGAGGCAGCAATTTTCAAGACATTGTTTGATTGGTTCATTATGAAGTCTCCACATTTCCAAAAAGAAAAACGAGCCCTAAGGAGGGAGCCATTCTTACTGGATACTACTACCCAAGCAAGATCAGCACCTTTGAGCTGAGTGTTAAATTGAGGAGGTTTTCTTATGCCTGCTTCTCATACAGTCGGAAAATGAAAGCTCGAGTCCAGTGAACGAGAGAATGAGGTATCAGGCGTTTCCAAGCTGATTTTACCTTACAGTTCTCGACACCTCCCCAAACTCTTACGAGGACTTTCTGCTGTTCTCGGCGGCGGGTATTTTCCAGTCCAACTTGAACCAGAAACCCAATTCGCTTCAAGAGACATGATTTCAGACAACACGCTGAACTGGAGGGCTTCAGGAATGCTCTGGGATGTTCCATTATTGACCCGGATGTTCTGTACGCTCGAACACAAAAGCAGAGCTTGCAATCAAAATTTTTGAAGTTGAAATCTCCTTTGGTACGAAACAATGAGCTTTAGGGAATTATGAATTCATGTCAATATAGTGGTACTGTATTCGGTATTCGAAAGGCCAATATTCGGAGAAGATATCCAGATAGACGGACGGGTTCCTCCGAAAATCAAATTGGCATAACCCTACATGTAATCCAGCCCTGATACTTGTTTTTCAGTACATATGACGATCTTTTTTGAAGGCACAGCGATGTTTGAAGCACTCGTTGCACCCAAATTTCTGAAATATTCAAGAAACATACTATAAACTACATAAGATTCCTCTCCACCATAGGCCCCGTCCGCTGACTGTTTAAATCCTTCCACTGAATCGGCCGTCTCCTGACTACACCCGAATAAAACCAGCTCGCCATCGTATAAACATCATACACAGGCAAATTCACAGCGTTCTGAACCGACTGCCCAAACGGTGGCATCTGCGTGCACTCAAGCACAATTGCGCCGATGTCAGAGTGGTCCGCAACGAGGCCTTTTGCTGCATCGATCATTTCAGTCTCGATGGCATCGAAGTCGTAGGGGCTCTGCATGCGGACTAGTCGCTGTAGATGGCCTCCTGCGGGAGCGCCGCGGATGTAGCAGCGAGCGGCATTCTCTTTTGGAATTCCGAGACGCTCGAAATGTAAGGGTCCCAATTCGTCAGCGTTGTAGGTTATGATTCCGATTTTTTGGTTTGGTACAAGCCAAGCGAGGATGGAAGGGATCTGGATGAGAGAAGAGGTTGCAACGGGGATAGGGAGTCTCGCAGCGAGACTATTTGTGTCAGCATCATAAAACAACCCTACCATCCAGACGAACACATTGCTTACAGGGTTTGTACTATGGCCAAAAAACCGCAGCTGGTGATGATTCCACAAGCGCCTCTATCGGCTAATCTCTTGCCCGCAGCCACAAAGCTCTCAATAAATTCCTCATTATATTCATCCTTTGACACAAGCACACCTTCCTTGGAGCCCTCGGCAAGCTCTCGAATAATAGGAAAATTCCATGTGAACTCACTGAACGCATCACCAGCAGGACGATAGAAGAAACATTCCACGGCGATGAAGCCAATTGGAGGCAGACCATCCCGGTCCTCAGGTCTGTAATTTGCCATTTTGCTTATCAAAGCTGCTTATCTTCCTCTTGTTCTGCTTGCCCTTTTACCTCGTATGTGAGGTTTTCTGGCATTTATAGATCAGTATGATACCTCGCTGCGAAGGCCGAGGGAAAGCTTATCAGCTCGGAAACCCCCGAGCTCTTGCGGTTCTTTCCTTTGGCTTATGTTGCTGTTAGGATGGGTAGTTATTAGGAGCTACGTGATAGTCTTCGTCTGGGATGTCCAACACTCAAATTTCCAGTCTTGTCTTCAGTTATCAGAATACAACTCAACCACATGTGCAGCTCTGGGGTCCTCCATACAGTCATATAAGGGACTGCCCGACCGTGGCTGGCGTTTAGGCGTCATCAAATACTTGTATGAGCTACATGTAGCCTATAAATGAAACTAAGTTTATATTTCCATAAGTATCTACGTGTTCTTCTTTCGAATAGGAATATGCACATGGAATGTGGTTGATGTTGTCCTACCGGCAAGCCTATATAGGTCAATTAACGAGGTCGCACGGAAAACTGAGTCATTCAAATAATCCCACAACATCGTATATATCAATTTAAACAATAAAAGCCCTACTGCTTCATGGCAACAGCGTCTGCTGACTGGGTTTCTTCGTTATCGCTGTTCTGCCTTGATAGATGGTCAGTCTGGACAAAGTTCATCCATAAGGTGGGAAGAACGCCTACCCTATCTCCACAGACTCGGTCACTACAGCCTTAGGCCTCTTGTACTGATTCCACCAAGGACCCTCAAACAAAGCATCCAGCTTTTCCAGATCCACGCCGGCTGTCTCAGGGACCACCAGGAAGGCGTAGATGAGGGCCAAGAAACACCAACCGGCAAAGAAGAGGAACGCCCCCCAGTTGTGGGTACTGGAAAGAAGGGATGGAATGGCTTTGTTGACGCCGAAGAAGAATAGCCAGTGAAAGGTTTGGGTTAGAGCGGCGCCAAATGAACGGATTTGGTTTGGCCATAGTTCGGAGACAAATACGTAGGGCAATACTAGAAGACCTGTATTGCAGTGGAAGTCAGTTTTGGAATTTTCGCAGGTTAAGACTAAAAAATAATCACTTACCTACAGCATAGCCGAAGCCATGAATGAAAATGGCCGCGAGAGCAGCCTGTCCCGCAGCACTAGGTACGGGTCCTGCTTGGTGGTACTTGATAAAGACGCCGATGTAAATATCCGACATCATCTGCACCGTGATACCAAAAAACAGACTGTTTCGACGACCAAGAGCGTCGACAAAAAAGAAGCTGGCAATCAGAGTGTAAATGAATTTGACTACTCCATACATTCCAGCAATGAAGAGACTGTACGAAGTACCGCCATTGACACCGACCAAGTTCAGTATAGGAACTAGATACGTTGTGATGCTATTGGCGCCGGATAGCTGGGCTAGGGCATATGACATGAAGGCTTGTTGAGTACGTCGGAGATTTGCCGGAACTAGAAAAGTTTCTCGCAGAATAGCTCCCAGGCCCCGAATGGAATACGATGTGGCATTTCCATAAGCGGCGCGCTCCTTGGCGAGGGATTTTTGGATATCTTGTAACTCGGATTGCACGCGAGGATGATCCAGTGGCAGGCCGCGGATCTTCACAAGAGCAGCGGTAGCTTCTTCGTCGCGGCCTTTCAGGAAGAGCCAGCGTGGGCTCTCACTTACAAAGAAACTGGCGAGGATGACAAAGGCCATGAGGATGGTTGGTACAAAGAAKGGGMCCTGCCACTGCAGCGAGCTAGCAACCATGCTCACAAAACAGCCGTAGACCGTGAATGCGGCCAGAAAAAGCGACAGCAAGAGAACAACGCTGAACCAGGTGGTGAGTAGACCCCGAATTTCAGAGGGAGCAATCTCCACGAGCGAGACAGGTCCGATGACAGTAAGGGGTCCGATGCCGAATCCAGCCACAATTCGACCGGCGTACATAGTCTTGAGGTTTCCTTGCGAGCCAACGGCAATCATCTGGCCGACAATCCAGATAAAGGAGTACAGACGGAGGGACCATAATCGGCCCACGCGGTCGTTGATGAAGAACGAAAGAGCGGCTCCGACACCGCATCCTATGTATACTAGGGAGACGAAGTTGGAAACCTGGCTCGGGTTGGATGCTGACGTGATTCCAAACTCTGCAGAGAAGCCTGGAAGAGAGGGTATAGTGGCGCTTGAACCTTGGTCCCAACCTGAGCAGCCAATTAGTCGATTTTGTCCTGAGTAGGAAGTGAAGTAACCTACACAGGGGGATTCCAGCAAGTGCATAGAGTGCCGACGACGTCAAGAGCGTGCGATTGGCAATCAAAGACCGTGGAGAAGTCTTGATATTTTTGATGTACTTGGCGAGGGTTGAGTTCTTGAAAGCCATTTTGCCGGTGTTCTCTCCACTGGACGTAGTCTTTCTTCACCCCAATCGCCAATAGTGCTTGGTCTAATGGCAATGACTCGGCGAGGGCATGAGCTCCTGATATCTGATAGAAAACACCTACATTGACGGATCTGTTTATCTTAGGGTTTATCACTGCAGCGATAAGATGGGTGTACTAATTAAGAGTCAGGGAACTATCCGGCTCACAGCACACCGTTAGCACTCGGTAGAAGCCGAGGGCCCAAGCCGGGTCAATTACCTACCTCTGATGCTAGTTCTCATTTAAGTAGATTCCATCATCTCATTCTGTATCATATGACAGCGGGGTGTTATTGACTTGATGAACTCCTACCATCTCTAGTTATATCAAAGCAGAATCTCTGTCTTCGTTATCTCGGGGGAATCCGACCACCATATTCTCCCCAGTTAATTTAGACTTGCTTGGAATGATATTGAACTTCCTCTCGCACGGTGTCCTGGTATAATAAGAAAAATCATGCTATACGCAATTCTCTATCAGCCTACTCTCCGTGTTTGAAGACCAACCAGAATGGCGGCCAGAAGTCCGAACAAAAAAGACCCGGTCATCATTGTGGGTGCGGGCGCCTTTGGCCTCAGTACAGCTCTGCACCTTGCCCGTCGCGGTTATACCAGTGTGACTGTGTTTGACAAACAACCGTACGACGAATCGCTATACTCGTACTTCAAGGGTTGCGATGCGGCATCTGCAGATATCAACAAGATCATCAGAGCAGGGTATGGCAAGGATATAATCTATCAGGATATAACTCTCGAAGCTGTGGAAGGCTGGAATCAGTGGAACGCCGAACTACAGAGCGGCCAGACGGTTCCTCCAGGTATGACTACTTCGGATCGTGTTTGGGTCAACAATGGACATTTATCCATGACCGATGGTCCTGTATTGCCTCCTTTTGAGCAAGCTAGCCTCAAGTCTATGCCCAAGAACACCCAGCTCGTCACTACCAATGCACACGATCAACAATTGGCAAAGTCACTCGGCCTAAATCTCGAGCCGTTCAAGAGACAAACCCCCGGCCGACCAAACGTGGCCCTGTTTGATCGCACAGGTGGTATGACATATGCCGACAAGGGCTGTCGCTTTGCGCTACACAAGGCTCGTAGCTACGGCGCCAAATTCGTCCTCGACCCTGTAGCAGGCGAACTGAAGCAACTACTGCATAACGAGAAGGACAACGTAATCGGTATCCGTACGGCCGATGGCAAGACACACGGAGCTTCCATGGTTATACTCGCATGCGGAGGCTGGACCCCATCAATCCTACCAGCCCTCGATGGACTAAATGAGGCCACGGCAGGTTCAGTGGCGCTATTAAAGATCCCGAAGAACTCTCCTCTCTACGATCGGTTCGCGCCCAAGAATTTCCCCAGCTGGCAGCACAAGATGCGTGACGGCCATGTTGGCGGACTATACGGCTTCCCCCGTACGGACGATGGGTGGCTCAAAATCGGCTACCGGGGCACCAAATACACAAATCCTCAGGTACAGAGTGATGGTCACGAACGCAGTGTACCCATTACTCGATGGACCAAAGGGGAAACGATCAAGGCAATACCAAAACAAGCGCTCAGCGTAATTCAAACTTTTCTAGATGACTATCTGCCCGAACTCGGAGAAGCAGGAATCCATATTTCCATGACTCGCGTCTGCTGGTATAATGATAGCTTTGACAATCATCTTACCGTTGACAGGGTGCCGGGTAGCGATGGACTAATGGTGGCGACGAGCGGGAGTGGCCATGCCTTCAAGTACTTTCCCAGTCTCGGGAACTGGATTGTTGATGTGATGGAAGGGGTTGGCTGCGATAGACCGGCTATCAAAGCCTGGAGATGGAGGGCACTAGGGGAGCAGCAGAGGACTGTTAATGAAATTATGCAGGGTTCGAAGGGGCCTCGGGCATTAGCTAATATAGCATTGGTTACAGACTCTCGTCTTGGTCCAAGTGCTAGCTTGTAATATTAGTAATTAGGTAGTAAACAAACATAGGCTTCATCTATATTTAATGTTACATACAAGTAATACATTGATGCTATATTCATGGACCTCAACGTATATACATTATACACTTCATATATATACACGTGTAACTCGCGTTGTTCTCTATTCCTTTTTTATCTATTGCAATGCAACTAGAATCAGTGCCTCAAGATGTCAACCTGAATGGCCCTTTTACACCTTAGCCTTAATTTCCCGCACAGGCGAATTCGGCTTCCCCTTCGTGAAAAACGCACGAATATTTTCAAAACACTCTCTCTCCGCCTTCATGAACGCAGCATCCGTCAACCCACCCAAATGAGGCTGAACAATGACCTTATCACTCTTCAAAAAGTACGGATCAGGACTAGGCTCGTTGACAAAGACATCAAGACCAGCGCGAGCCACTTTTCCGCTCTCAAGCGCTGTAATGAGGCTGGGCTCGTGGATAACGGCACCACGGGCTGTGTTGACGAGGAACACGCCGTCTTTCATGGCTGCGAACTCAGCGGCTCCGATTAGATTCGTTGTTTCGGTGTTTAAGGGGCAGTTGAGAGATATGACGTCGGCAGACCCAAGAAGTTCGTGCAAAGTTGAGCAGTAGGTGGCGTTGTACTTGGCCTCTTCCTCGGCAGGGAGTTGTCGGCGGTTGTAGTATTTGATCTTCATGTTGAATGCGAGAGCCTTTTTGGCCATATACTGGTTATTTACGAATTAGTTAAACTGTAAACAACTGTGAGGCTATGATCATAGTCACCTTTCCAATAGCTCCCATACCCACGATTCCGAGTGTCAAGCCCCCGGGGTCACGACCCGGTACCAAGCCAGCGCCTGATCTCCATTCACCATTGCGAGCACTCCTCTCCGCATTAGTTGTATTCCTGAGCGTGGCTAATGTCAAAAATATAGCCATATCAGCAGTAGCCTCCGCAACAGCATTGACTGTATTACAAAACCACATTCCCTTAGACGCCATCCAATCGACATCGAACTCATTGAACCCGGCACTCGCAGACGTAATGATCTTACAGTTGGGGACCAGATCCTTGAGTAAGTCCTCATCAAAAGGCTCGTAAGGTGGAGTGCCCATGCGGATAATGAAGGCGTCAATTGGACCATTCTTTTTGATGTCCTCTGGGATCATCTGCTGAGTCTCAGCGCGGTTGGTGGCGGGCAGTACAGAGTAGCGAAATTTTGTCTCGAATTCCTTGAGGTACTCTTTACCCACGAATTTGGGCTCGCCTAGGCTCACGACTCGTGGCTTTGTTGATGTAATGATGGCCATTGTAAAGCTCAGGCGGGGTGATGAGGAGCTATATCTCGCTGTGGACCGGGGTGCGTATGATAGGAAGATGCAATAGATGTAGGAGGAAATGAGTACTATATGAAGTTTCAATAGATATCGTATAAAAAAGACAGAGTATTTCGTAAGGATTATTTGAATGCGATATCGTACGATCTGTTCAACAACTAAAAAAATATAGATCGACAGCATAGTAGCTATGATCACGGCTTCCCCCGAGATACCCTATCTTCCTCTTTTCCACACTCGGCATCTTCCGTATGGGCCCATACTCGACTTCATGATTCGCCAGTCACTGGTATTCGCCGTTTCTTAGTGACTTTTCTATGTTAAGTGAAAGTATTCTACGAAAGGATCCTCAATATCTTCAGGTGACGTTTTACTGGGCGCAGAAGCTGAATCTCAGCATTTGAATATAAATCCGTTACGTGAATACCAAATTCCTTGCCTCGAAAACTAATCGCACCCCTTTACGACGCAAGAGAAGTGATTTTATTATACAGCCGTAGAAATGCTCGAATCAAAGAAAATCGCCTTTTGTCTCCTTCAAGATGAGTTGATACTCAGGCGCAAATTGCATGTACATGACCTCAGGCGTACCCGTACCCTTCTTGGTGTATTCGGCCTCCTCATGGGAGACCAAGGTCTTGGACAGGCCCGAGACAGCACCGCCGACGTTGGTCGGGGCCGTCGACGATTCGACCAACAGCTGGGTATGGCAGGCACGCTCGAGTGCGATGAAAAAGGCCGCAGCCTCCGCTATGGAGCCCCCGCAAGTGAGGATTCCATGGTTCTGCAGGATGATATTCTTTTTCCGTGGCCCTAAAGCGCGTGCAATGTTGACGCCTTCTTCCGGGGCTAGCACAACGCCGCCAAAGCCCGCGTAGACGGAGAGGTCTTCGTAGAACATGCAACTATCCTGGTTGAGCATGTCGATACCGCGCCCAAATGTGCTCCACGCTCTGCCATAAGGGCTGTGCATGTGGCACGCCGCGTGCAGGTCCGGACGTGCCTCGTGAATTGCTCGATGGATAATGAAGCCTGCGCGATTCACGCTTGCGTCAGCGCCTCCGATTCGATTACCTTCGCGGTCGATGTGCACCATATCCGAAACTGTGAGCACACCAAAATGGACGCCATACGGATTGATCCAGAATGTCTCTGGTTGGATGGGATCTGGGACAATGTCAGCAATTGTCGGAATCTGCCGCTATATTGCTCCTCGATTCGTCCTACCTCGTAAACTGATATGCCCGCTAGCACCGTCCGCAAAACCGAGTTTTGCAAAGATGCGGAATGCACCGGCCATCTGTTCCAGCTGCCATTTTCTCTGCTCTAGCGGAGTTTCCGGCCAAGGAATGTGATGCAGCGGCCTTTCAGGCGTCTTGAGGGGCTTGGGCTTTTGCGACGCTTGAGTATCGTCTACGGCAGATGTTGCTGTTGGTGACATCTTTGGTTATTGAAGTGAGCTGTGCGATATATTGTCTAAGGTAGTCGTGTCGAATACGTTCTTACTCATCCCATCTAGATAAACAATAAGATCTACTCGCAACCCCACAAGACCCCCCAAATGGCGCCCCGCCGGGTCGAGCCGAACAAAAAGGCGGGGGATGTGGAAGGCCAGGAAACATCCGGTGACTCGTTCACTGGGTGTAGTGGTCGGTATCTTCCGCAGCTGTTGCAGTGCTCCCAAGTCAATTCAGCGAATTAATGTTCGTCTCCGCTTCGAAATCTTTGATGCCCTGAAGTAGCTCCTGAGCCAACCATTGTGAGTCTCCTGACGCAGAAACGTGATCTAAAGTCATTATCCAATCCTGTAAAGGTATATCGGGACCTCCAATCTGCTCTGCAGCTCCATAACCATCTGCAGTTGTAGAGGTGTCATACACATTTGCGGGAATATGTCCACCACCGGTTGCATTCTCAACAAAACCGCCAGATGGATTCGTTCCAGTCCCGGTATCACCGCCGCCCATTAGAGTCGTCACTGTCGCCAATTCCAAGCTCTCGCCGCTTATTGCGTCCCCACTATTGCCACAGATCATGGTGATGGTGCTCTCAGACAAAAGCTCGAAAATATCACGGTACGAGCTTGCCTCATTCCAGCGCTCGGCGATTATGATAAGGACTGTTGTGCAGGCCATGCATGTCTGGATGACAGTGCTCTGTCGTGTACGCTTACGGATGTAAGATGACTTCCATAGGCAGTAGAGGTATGTCAAGCCGCCCAGAAACAAAATGTGCAAACTGCCCCATGTGAATTGGATCTGTGACCGCTGTGATTGGTACAGCCTCCGGTACCCAAGGCACATGTGTCGCGCATGTGTCGCGCAAATCTCAAAGGCACGGTCACGGGCGTCAGGCTCACTATTTTCCTGAGAAAGCGAGTCCGGCACTTGAACAGCAGGTTCTGAACTGTCGATGATGTAGTGACGATAGAGAAGTAATATGGAGTAGTGGTAGGCCAGTCCGAACCAGTCGTTTGAGGCAAACACCGATAGCGGGCGAGCGTGAAGGTTTTCCAATTTATCKGGAGATGTGGCCCGCCACTCTTCAAGTTCCTGGCGCAGGGCCTCAACTGGAATTTTGTTTGGACATGGGACGCTATCGCTTTCACGGTGTGACGTAGTAGGATATAGGTTGTTGCGGAACTTGGACCATAGTTGTCGTAGCTTGATAGAATGGAGGGCACCTGTGAGTTGGGTTGGAGGGTCGGAGGAGTTCTGCCTCGGCAGCGATAGCAAGCCGTCGCGTGTGATATATTCGTCGTCGATATCCAAAGGTAACTACTTGATATTAGCATATCAGCAAGAGGATATGTCGATGGCAGATATGGAATGCAATGGGATACCTCAACGTCAATAGCATTATCTGATATGCCTGCCGGACGACCAAGAATAAAGGATGCGACAAGATCAATGTCGTAGGCAACCCAGAAGCAACGCTTGGAAATTTCTTTGGTTAGTGTATCGACCGAGTTGCGATATCGTTCGATACTACGATGATAGCCTAATTCGACGCAATGCCGCATGGCCATTCCGGATATCTTCCTAAAATAACATGTAAGCTTTCAACCAAAACCTCGCATAGTGTACAGAAGATGGGTAGCAAAGAGAGAAATCATTTCTTACCATAAACTGGCTCCAGCCTGAGATCGCACAGAATATACTGCACAACAAAGCATTGCTTGTATAGACAGTAGGTTATCCATGTCGAGAAGGTGGGCGATATAGTTAAGGGCCATGGCGTAATATCCCTGGGAAAATTGATTATGTGATTAGATCATTTCGAAGAGAACCGCTTATGATATTGATGGGAATAATCGCACTCACTTCTGCTGAGTCAACCTCACTAAGCCCAACTGCTAGAGAGCCGATTGCGTAAACCTGAGGGAGATATTAGTGAAAATCAGATAGATCGCCCCCCTTTCATATATCTACGCTAAAGGGGAACGAAGAAAAGGATATGCCGTACCATAAGCACGAAGAAGAGCGACGATTCACTGGCAGCATTAATGTTGTTGCGCAGGCTAGCTTCCAAGCACTCCTGTTCCATGGCCCTAAAAGTCGGTTGGTGCAGGAAGGGATACTGCGGGTGGATATTGCTAAAGTAGGCCTCAGAGAGCTTCGCCATCATAGCTGCGTTGGGGAACCCCTGGTAACGAGCAGTGACACGGCAAGTGCCCGAGTCGCTCGTGTTGCTATAATGCGAGCCCGTTCCTCCCCGACGTGGTAGACGTAGAGTGCTACTAACGATGCGCGAAAAGTGGACTGCAGACGAAGGTCCAAAGTACTGCGGTTCACGTCCAGCAGCGCCGAGGCAGAGAAGTGCTACCTCATTGCTAAGAAGATCATTTTCGTGAGGCTCTGTTGACCGCACATCACTAATAACACTAATCGGCGTGTTTCCAGAGACCCTGTGCGGTTGAACAGTGGTAGTAGTAGCGCTAGTGGCAGCGCCTCGAGCAACATTAGCAGTAAGATTAGAGTCCAGTCTATCGGCCTGTTTGGGGTGCTGCGAGTGGCCAAGGTCTCCAAAGTGGTCAATAGCGACCTCTGGCCGTGCTTCTTGTAAAAGTCCCTCCAAATAGGCCACTCGTGCTTCGAGAGATTGCACATAATCACGCGGGCGGTGCAAGCCCGTGGCAGGGTCTTCGACCAAGCAATCTATAAATCGTCAAGTGAGCACGAGCGAGCTGGCACAGACATGAATAGTCAGCCACACACATACCTCTGTCGGTTTTGGTACAATTACTGCATCTAGGGGTCAAGCCGTCACACTATATAGTATATGGTGAGAAGGTCTAGTCTAATGATCTCCGCTACTCCTGCCTTGGATGGTACCTTGAGTTTGCGCTGCTTACAGTTCGTACAAGCCAGCATGGTTCGCTCGCCCATTTTCGCCCGCTTTGCGGGGTAGGCGTGGGATGTCTGGCGCGCCGCGCTCATGTTGGCAAGCGGTTGTCCCTACTGTCTTGTGAAAGTAGAGAGTTATAGCCTAGATGATGTTTACAGAGCGTCGTTCTTATCTGCGGAGAATGCCGAACGCTGCCCGAGGCCTCCACAAGAACTAAAGTTTAGGGTGCTTTACCCACCAATGACAGCATTAAAATCACATCCTCCGATCCCTATGAGGGTAATCGTGGGCCATTTGCATTTTGTTAGCCCTAAGCGCTTCCCACCATTGTGAAAGAAGGATAGGTTCTATAAAAGAGGTGGTCAAATGGATACGACATAGAGCGCTGAATGAAATACCTAGACAGCAGCCTTTCGTGCATATGATACAGAAGCTTCATGCTGCCTCAGCGGCGTCTTTAAGCTGTTCGGCTTCACCGCCGTCCTCTTCGCCTGACGATGCCATGTCTGCATTAGCGGCAGCTGTCTCTGACTCCTCTTCATCAGCAGAGTCCTCTTCGTCATCCGGTCTAGCCCTTTTCTCGGCACCCTTTCGTTGAGGAATGACCTGCAAAAAGGCTTCACCCCAATCTCCAAGCTCTAACCATCGCATCATGATTTCCGCAACGTGATTGGTCGCCAAGACAGGTCTCGAAGCCATGCGCAGGTATTCTCCAATGGGCAGTTTTGCGGTTTTCATGCCCTTTTCTATGGCTTTCTGATAGCAGACTCCTTTATGTACGTTCTTGTCTACCAATCCACCGATTATATATGTGCTGTACGGCTTGAGCTCGGTCAACGTATTGGGACTGTCGCTGCTCAGGTAGATGACTTCTCCATCCTCAGGCGCAAAGTCTCCTTTGTCTGCGAAGACACCTGCCAGCTGCCCACCATGAGATCCTTTCATCCTTTCCTTAGCCTGCTCAGCTGCATGCGCAAAATCTTCTGGCATAAACTTGATCCCCCTCCAATTCTCATGCATTTTGCGAAGCACTGTATCAAAACGCTCTTTCAACAACTTGTCAAAAGAAGATATCACCAAATGAGACCTATAAGGCGCCTTTGAATTATCCGAGTAAGCTCGTGTGATTTGCGAGCCGAGTGAAATCCGCTGCCGGTCATCCATCAAATGGTCCCATCCACAATCAATCACCAATGTCATGGGGACAAGAACTGATCGCTTTTTCTCAGGAACATTGCCTCCATTTTCTTCTATAATGTGTTGCCATTCCTCCCTTTTGCGTATCTTGCGCTGTTTGTTTTTCTCTTTTCGTTGTTTTTTGCGCTCTTCTTTTTGCTCATCCCACCTTGCCTGTCTGAGCATTCGTTTTTGTTGTCTTTTCGACAGAGGGACTGCCTGCGCTGTACCATGTTCTCCTGTTGCCCCTTCTTGCTTTTCGTTATCATTAAATTGCTCTTCGGGTTTTTCGGCGGTTGGCGTCGATTTGATCGTTTCCTTGGAAGTTTGCTGGTCTGCGACAGCGGGCTCGTCGCCAGTTATCAATGCCCCGGACATCATGGGTTCGCCATTCTCTGCCAAATGCGATTCAATGCCATCTTCATGCTCCGTCTTCTGTAGCTTTCTCGGTCTTTCTTCTTCCTCCATGGCGTCGTGCTTGAAATTAACTGCGAATGACTTCAAACGCGAAATAAATTTGTTGCAAGAATTGAGTTGATTAAATTGTCCCACTTTAACTAAGCTTACACCAATCACATTGCGATAATTCTGGACAATCACGTGACTACTCAACATCATCCCTTCACCTTCCCGACCACCACCGACCGAGCCTTGACTTCTCCAAGCATTGAACCACATTTCAAGGGTTCATATCAATCCATTGAAACCAGCAAAATGCCGCAGGATATGCCCCCCGCTGGGGGCTATCGCCCTGTTCAGTACAAGGTTCGTCACTCCCACCGATCACTTTGACAAGCATGCACAAACTCGATCGTCTCCATGCTAACGGTCAGATGTGAATTGTATAGCGCAACATTCCTGCCCGCGGTTTCAAGCCTTTCACCTACCTCGTTGGCATGCATTTGATTATGGGATATGGCTTCTACAAATATTATTACGGAGTTCGCGAATTGAAGTATGTGCCCACTTCCGCATTTGTCGCGACTACCGACGTACAAACCGGACGGATCTTTAAATACTGTTTCAGCGATTGGATAAAGTGCTCATGATGTTTACTTCTTTAGTGAACTCGCCCGTGAGAAGATGTGGTCTCGTATCCACCTTATTCCCCTCCTTCAAGCCGAAGAAGACCGTGACCAGGTCCGTCGACACTTTGCCGATCAGGCTCGTGAGAAGGAGCTTCTCGGCACTGAGACCAGCCCATACCACTCTGACAGGTGCGATATATTCCTTTGCCTTGAATTTAGACTATCTTCAGGAGATGTTAACAACATGTTCGCAGATTCGTCCGCCCGAGCTTCACATATACCCCCAGCAACGTCACTCAATAGTGAACTCGCAAAACCTCAAACCCAAGAACACCAACCCACAGGAACATGCACTGCAGGATATTTTGAAGTACTCTCTGCAATGTATACAGTTTGATTCGTGTTTCGTTTGTTACAATTATTTGTAGGTTTTCAACCATATGCCGTAAAGAAATATGATTCCATTTCTGCCGGTTTCGGTTGAGGGACGCAGAACCCACGCAAAGAGGGTGTGGATGAAAGATGTACATAACTTTTAGAAGGTTGTTTTGATAAATGAAAATTGGGTTCTGCTTTCTCAGTCTCTTTGCATTACAGCTAATAGGTATATGTGGGACGAAGTAGGCTTGGTAGAAGCTTCTAATATCATACAGCAACCATGACTTAAGGTAAACATCAGATACCACTTCCTAAGATTTTGGACATGTGCATCTCCTGCCGAAATTGTCTCCCTCCACCTATGTTGCCAAGTCCTCCGACTGAACCCGGTCACCTTCTGGACATGTCTGTGGAACATATTTTCCTGGATAATAGAAGACAGGCCGAGCCTCGTTGTCAAAGTCTCCTTCCCAGTTCTTATACTGTCCCGATACCAAAACAGGAGTGATGCGATCCAAGAGTTGGGCTTGCGACAGACCGGGAGCTTCCTCAAAAATTTGTCCAACGGCACCACTTCCTACATTGTAGCAATAAGGCTGCTCAGAATCATGTCCGATATGACGTGACTTTTCACTTTCTGCAGGACTCTTTCCTTGACCCACGTTGTACCATCTGGTGACGGTCATAATCAGTGACAGGTGTTGGCCGACTAGTCGTTGGACGCACATGTGGAAGTTGAGCTCAGATCAGGACACTCGAAGCACTGACTTTCTGATAGTCAGACTCCCTTCGGTACGATATCTAACGACGATATATGGTTGATAGTTCCAGTACTCGTGTCCAAGCCCACTTCCGCTAAATAGATCTCTGCGGTCAGATTGACACAAGGAGTGTTGTCGTCCGTGTTATTGAAGGGGTATCGGAACGGTTGGTGCTTGCATATATCTCTCAGAGCCATAATAGGAACAAATGCATATTTGTGACCACCTGGGAGTAATTAACGCAGTTCTGGGCGCGTAGGTGTAGAAGGTCTTCGGGCTCTTCCCTATCGTCATGGCTCGCAGGAAGACACCAGGATTACAAAACCCCGCGGTCTCCCAGTCACTTCAATGCCCTCGGGAAAGATCATCCAGAGTAATGCCATAGCCTGGCCCAAGACGATGCTTTTCAATCGCCAGTTGAAGATGCAAGTACTCAAACTGATAGCTATGCGTTCACTGGTTCCATAGAGCAATGTTGTCAGACGCTGGACGAAGGATCGAATGTTTGAAGTAATAAAAGTATCCGGGAACCGAAAGTTGGATTCAAGAATTCTTCTCGATCTTTACTGTGCCTGGTCTTGAGGGTATGCAACGATTCTATATCAATGATACTATAAAGGTAATGACAGGTCAATGCCAGAGAAGCCTTGCTGTTGGGAATGGATCTAGGTGGTTCCTAAGCGTAAGAATAGGTTCGTCGGGAAGCTGGCAGAGATGACTTGATTTCTATATAAAGTGAATACATGGCTCCGATCTTGAAGTCAGAGCGCTTTGATTGTAAGTAACCAAGATATTGAATGTAGTGCATCAGGAAGTACCTACATATATAGGTACCAGAAAGAAAAAGTTCCGAGTAGGTACATGTAGGAAATGGATTGTTGATTTCAGGCACGAGGGGAATCTCATTTATGTAATAGATTCATCACTTGCTGAGTCATTCGAATCGCAAAAATGAAACTAGTTATCCAGTCATAGCATATCTATCACTCAATAGATCGATTCAGATGTTCGAGGCAGCATGAGGAATGGCTCCGAGGTAGCACATTGTCAGGTAGAGTGGACATTCGTTCATGGTCAGTCGGTGATGACTGTCTAGCCTGAGTCATACCACACGTCTAGGAACGAGCTTAAAAGGATAAGAATACATGGAACAAAGAGGATAATTGATCGTGCATACAGCTGTACAAGTACATATCTGACAAACAATATGTATGTTATTTACCGTCAAATGTAGACATGTTAGGGCATGGGACTTAAAGGAAAATAACTGTATAAGCAACTCAAAAACAAAATGTGCTTATAAGGGGGGTTTTCGCTATAGAAGCAAGTATGTCACCTGACCTCAGCCACAGACCCACCTGACCTTAGCCCAATCAGTCTTAGCTTGTCAACGCTTGCTTCGTTCATACATCCATCGGGCAGCTCCATTTTTGTAGAGCTCTTTTCACCTGTATAGTTAGCTCTGGGGTTGAGATCCGAATAACGCTTGCTACAAACGGTCACGCGTTGGAACTTCCCGTATTTTGCTCTGGGAATCCTTCGTCAGACTGAACCGGAGGCAACCAAAACACACCAACCGATATTTTGATCATCGAATAGCGGCACTGCGCGATTTTTAGGATATCTATTCGATTCGCAATATCCAGCACACGACGTAAGTCTGAAGGAGGGAGACGAAATCCTCTCACTTTCTGGACATCTTAAATTTGTCACGCGTTTTTTCGGACTCAGATTTCGACGGAGAGAGTCCAGGCGTTGAGCCAATCTGACCGCGACCCACCAGCTATTTAAAAAGGCCAAGCCCCAGTCAAAGCAAACGCTTTCGTCACTGACCAAACAGTCTGTTTTGTCCACAATAAACCAGATCGGGAAGCTGCAATTTTGTAAAATCAGCTTTTTACGGAGAGGCTGAAGTACATTACGAACATCCAGCAGGACAATTCGCAAACAGCGAGGGTGCGAGGAAGGAAAGGGATCACCAAAACAACAACAGACGGGAAGGCACCAGGGCACACGATGATGCCAGCCGTGCAGTTCTGAGAGCGGAAAAAGAAAAGGAAAGGGAAAAAAGACGATCTCGCTTGTTTCCAATTATCAGATTCTGTACCGACAATCGGCCATGGCTACAGGTGGTCAAGCCACTGCAGACGGCATGGCCGACATCATCCATGCTCTGGAGGTCTCCCATAGTCCCATGTCGTCAAATGCACTGCGTGCGGAAGCCCTTCAGTTTCTGGAATCAAAAAAGCAAGATGAACACGCGGCGCGTACTGGGTTCTTGCTTGCCTCGGATATCAACAACTCGCCACTAATTCGGCATTTTGGATTGTCCTTGCTTGACCACGTTCTTCTTCATACCGGGTTTGCTTTGCAGAGCAGTCAAATCATGGAGCTCAAGGAGATGATCATGGAACTCTCTCGGCGAATACAACAAACGGATCCGAGCTACTATCGCAACAAAGTCGCCCAGCTTTGGGCCGAGGTGGCAAAGAGGAGTTGGGGTATTGACTGGAACAGTATGGACCAAGATTTGTTCAACTTGTGGAACGCTAGTGTTCTTCATAAAGAGATCGTGCTGTCAATCCTGGAAACTCTTTCAGAGGATATATTCTACCGAGAGGACACCGCATCGTCTTTAAGGGGCACGGATCTGAACAGGGCTTTGGTCGAAATATTCACTCCACTCGCTGTGTTTCAAGAGACGTTTCCGGAAAGAGAAAACCACCGACAGGAGATTCGATATCTAGATGACGGATGGCTTTCGAGGATATGTATTCTCATCGGTGAATGCCTCGGCAGCGTCAACAACTCACGCGAGGCCAAGGATTGCACTTTAAAAGCCCTCGCAGTACTAAGGTCTGCACTGGTTTGGTCGATACCTAAAGCTATCATAACATGCGATATCGTTACGGCAATATGCCGCAGTCTCACTTCACAGAACGAACATATCCTTCTGGTATTACTCACCATTCATAAAGTTCTGACAAAAGACTAACTTGACTGTAGGCCGCGATTGAAGCCTTGCATTCTTTGTACAGCAGATCAAATGTCGACGTCGATGAATTCGCCCCCTTGGTAGAGCAGATCTACAACGTGAATCACCTGGCACTGTTGAGACAGTTATATGAGTGGACAGCTGTTGATGCTGCAGACATTGACGAGACAAGATATAATATCAGTAAAAAAGTCTCAGAGGTATGTCTAGAATCGCTCTGTTTGAAGCCAATCCGTTGCTAATCTATCTCCTACAGCTGATGTCTTATGCAGCTGCCTTTTTGGAGGATAAGGATCTTGATTTACAGAGCGCTACTGGAACCGACATACCTTTTCTTTTTGAGTTTCTTATAGAGGTTCTACGGCACCAGAGTCTGACGGTCTCAATTCCGGTATTGCATTCCTGGTCACGACTGCTCACAGCGGAAAGAGTAGAGCAAATGGACTTTGTTACACGTTTGATTGCACCATTGTTAGAGATCTGCACTCAACGGCTAGTTCGTTGGGAAAACCTCCCAGAAGACTCAGAAGATCCCACAATTCTATTCTTGAACGATGACATAGATACGATCCCGGAACGTCACGCATTTGTTGGCAATTATCGCCGCTATTGCTCTACAGTGATAGAGGTTATCGTTCAGAAACGGCCTTACGAAGCCATTCCACATATCCTTTCTGGCGTAGACCAGAACCTCAACAATCTCTATAGCGGTGTTCAGCCCTTCAGTGGTATGTTCAGTCACCTCAAATCAGAGATTTTTGCTAACATTTAGACAGTCGCAGCGTTTCAAAAAGCATCGTTTCCACTTATGCGCGCTGATACTCAATTCTCTGTTGTCGAAGCTACCCTCAAGGGCTATCAAAAGTGGATCATAGCACATGGCCGCAGCCCCCAAGAAGACGTAAGGCCAATATTGTAAGTATGATATTGTATTTACTAACAATATACATAGGAACAGCAGCGAACTCAACTCGAGCAGGCGATTGAGAATTGGGCCATGAGTTTAATGCAAAGGAATTTTGAGGTAGGCCGTCATCAATTGGATATCAAGACACGCGATGCTCATGAGCTTCTAGGACCCCATACTCAAACAGAGAGTCATAAGACTCGTTGTTGATATATCTTCAAAGGCTCTCGACAAAACACCAAGTTTTGCGTTGAAAGTTTTGGAACATATTTTGATGACCCATCTCGAAGAGCAGCCGCAATACCCAGCTTACTCGGATGCTGTCAGAGAACTTCATAGTTTGGCGAGTCATGAGTTGCGTAGGCTGTCAATGCGTTATGCCGATTACTTCTTTGTGAGTACAAATAAACGATGATAGATGAGCTTTGCGCTGACATTCACAGACGTTCTACGATGTGCTAGAGCCGAAGATACGGGAGATTGCGGCTGCGCATCAATTAGACGACAAGCTGCAGACTGAGCTCATTTCGGTCTTATTGATCATCACGTAGGCCACCACTTACTCGAGACATAAATTCACTCATTGCTAACATCATATCTAGACAACGTACAAAGAATGTTGATCCTCATGTTCGCGAGGACAGACTCAATTCTTTCATGGAACCCGTTCGAACTGCTTGGCAAAATGAAGAGTTTAGAAATATGTCGTCTTCCTTTAATGGATTTTGCGAGCTACTGGGTCTAGAGAAAGTAGGCCCATACATGCAAAGCAAACAGGCAGCAAGTATCGAAGATTGGTCGGCTGTGTCGTTGGATACTGTAGGAAAAGATATTCAAGCAGAACTTGCTCGACGGTTTCAGGTATGCAAACCCAAAGAATCCAGTCATATGTCTTTCTAATGTTTGAGAACAGCAACTCCCTTTGCGAGGAACCAAAACTTTGCTTGCAGTATCAACTGAGAAGCTCAAGCGGACTGATGCTGCGTATGAACTTGGTTGTGCTCTCTGGCGGGACGTAATCCCTACCATTCTGCCTACGTTATTGCAGTTGATTGGGTATGTAATTCATGATCCTTGGCTTTCGTCCGACTAACATGATTTAAGCCATGCACATGCCTTTCACAACCCCTCGAATTGGAGCAGCCTTTCTCAGGATATGAGGGTTGTAGTCGGTCGGATACTTATGGATCGATTTTGGCAAGCCGGAATCTCTACTGGAAGCCGAGATGACTTTTACACCAAGATCACTACGTCGAAAGCCACATTAGAAGGGTTTGCCTCTTCAGTTCGAGGCAAAGTTCGAGCTGTACGAGAGTCGTGTTACTCAATGCTATTCAGTATGAGTCGACTTCGACAATATTTCTACGGATTTGAGGAACTACCAGGACCCTTGTCAGAGGCCCTTTTCAAGGACTCGACACATTTATCGTCACATCAATTTTCTATTCTGCTGAATATTTCTCGTTGTCTTATTGATGACTGCCCTGTCCAATTCCGTGAGCAATTCTTACCACCAATGATCAGTACCTTGTTCAAGCAAGTCGACAAAAAGGTTACTGAAGAGTGGGATAATATTGAGCAACGTAAAGCTGGTCTTGTTGAGGGAGACTTGACTGAGGAAATGAAGGATGAAAGCATCCTTCGGCAGTTGACCTATTCGGCGGTCATCATGGTGGCTAGTCTTCTGGACCCTCAAAGAGGTGGTAAGTTTGAAATCAACGTACTTATACTCAAAGTCTTGCCAACTAATCTTTCAAAGATCCAGATGCAGCTACTAGCGATGATCCAAGCGCACCACAGCCGCCGGTTTCGCTGGAAACCTCCATGAGACACTTTGTTCTCTCTAATCCAACCATATTAGAGCCTGTCTTCATGTTCTGCACCCATGCTCTACGCATGCGAGACACGAGATGCGGCAGCATCATTACCAGAGTTCTTCGCTCTATTCTAGTCGATTTTGCACCTCCAGTCAACACACCTACAGCTGTTACCATTCGAGAGTTTATCTCTACAGAAGTCCTTCGCGCATGCATCACTTCCGTTCATGAGCCGTACTTTGTCGATATGCAACGCGACCTTGCAACCCTCATCGCATCAATATGGGTGCTATACGGCTCCAGCACATCCACACCGCGCTCCGTTATGCTAAGTCTCCCCGGCATGAACGAGCAGCGCGTATCTCAAACCGAGACGGCTCTTATGAGCTCAACATCCGGCCGTCAACAACGCGCCCTTGTCCTTGACTTGCTCGAAGGTCTACGCGGTGTCAGTATTTCAGAACAGGGGAAGATTCTCGGTACAAGAGAAGAGCGTCGCAAGGCCCGTAGCGCTATGCAACAGCGGTACATGTCAACAGCTCCGGCGGACATGGAGGGGCAACAAAAAACAAAAGTCAATATTGACGATGGACCTGATCTTGGCGGTTTAGCGGACATGTTTGGTTGATCGTATACATTTGGTCATGGTCATGGGTGAAAATGGGGAGGCTGTTTGGTAAAAGCGACGGGTATACAGGTAGCATTACTTACTTCATTGGCCTACAGAACTACATAAAAATAGATCCTTTTATGAATAACAAATAGATTTTAAGCGAATACAACAAAGAGATATGACCTGATAACTTCACATTTTATGAGCGATATCAACTTTTCTAAAAAGGACACATCCATGGATGAAGTCAAACCGTGCCCTAACTCCGAATTATCCCCGCGGACTTAGTCGGGGGATTCCAGATGTCAAGTATGAACTGAGCAAACCCCAAGGTGATATAAACCAGCTTCATCACTTCATGATTCTCAATTCATCTTAATCAAACACATTCTAAAACTTATTTAATATATTACTAAAACTACAACAATAAGAAAAAAATGTCAGCAATCCTAGCCCCCTACGCAAGCGATCACGCCAACCCCAACGGCCCCGGCGACGCACGCCCAACAGCCCTCAAAATAATCCGCGACCAAGGCCTTGACGGCTCCCTAGCCGGCAAAAAATTCTTCATATCTGGCGGTACAAACGGTATCGGGGTTGAGACTGCACGTGCACTCCACGCTACAGGCGCAGATGTATACATCACAGGCCAAAACGTCGCAAGAGGCAAAGAAGTCGCAGAGAATCTTGCTGCTGATGGGAAGGAAGGGAAGGTCGAGTTTTTGGAGATGAATTTGGATTCTCTAGAAAATGTGAGGGAGACTGCGAGGAAGTTTTTGGAGATGAGTGGTGGGAAGGTTAATGTTTTGATTACGAATGCTGGTAAGTATCTGCCCTAACTCATTCATCCCATATCTGAACACCCGGCTGACCGGTACAAAAGGAATAAGAGGCTACCCCAAAGCCCTAACAAAGGATGGCTTCGAGCAACACTTTGGCATAAACCACCTCGGCCACTTTGCGCTTTTCAACTCGCTCAAGGATGCGCTGCTCGCATCTTCGACGCCAGAATTCAATTCCAGAGTTGTCGTCCTGTCAGCCACGGGTCATCGCCAGTCAAAAATAAGGTTTGATGATTACAACTTCGAGAACAGACCCAATGAGTATCAGCCTTTGCTGGGATATGCTCACTCCAAGATCGCGAATGTCTATATGGCGAACGAAATTGAGCGGCGATTCGGGGCGCAGGGTCTGCATGCTACAGCTGTGAATCCGGGTCTCATTCCTGGAACGGGCCTCAACAAAAAGACACCACCGGAACAGTTAGCGCAAATGTGGAAGATGGCAACGCTGAGAAGCTTGCTAAAATCAGCGGAACAGGGGGCTGCGACGACCATTTGGGCGGCTGTCGGAAAGGAGTGGGAAGGGACAGGAGGTAAACTGTTGGAAAATGTGCAGGTTAGTCCGCCTTACGACGAAAGTCAGGGGCCGTTGAGTATGGGGTATGCGGATTATGCGTATGATGTTGATGCTGCGAAGAGGTTGTGGGAGGATAGTCTGAGGATGGTTGGGTTGGAGTAGCCTTATGTCTGGTCTAACCAGGTAGGTATAATGGAGATTTGGAACAATGTTATCAGAGTGGATATCTATATCGTTACATCGCGTATATATACATAAATCATCTAAGCCCTGGTGAAGACTAGACTGCTAGATATTCAGGATGATTCAAGAACGATCCCTTCACACTAGTCGCATCAATCGCACAATTCCCACAGGGACAGTTCTTCAACATACGAAGACTATCGCGGAGACTCTCTCTATACACCTCGAGACACGTACCATTATGCTTGCCTCTCAAAGTCACCATGCTTCCAATGATAGTTCCCAGGTTCAGGTGGGACAGGAAATGGCAGTATGTCTGGCAAATTCGGCGTGCCCAGATTTCGCGGCAGACAATCAAAGTTTGAAGAATCGTTTCGCGTTGCGGAATCTCAATGTTGGTTTGTGATGACCCGTTGGATTTCATGTCCATGGCTAGAGCATCGTTGCGAGTCACAATCAGACAGATCGTCAATGTTGCGGCGTAAAAGTCGTGTTTGTAATATTCGCCCAGCCACACTCGACCCTCAGGACTGTTTAAGTCTTCTGAAAGCTGCCTCTGGATAACAAGTAGAGCCAAGGCGGATTCCAGCGTAGACCAATATGAGATTGGGTACTCCACGTCGGCGTTTGGTCGCAGGCCGTACACGGAGTGAAGTGCAAGTAGAATGCGCCGTAGATATATTTCCAGCATGAATAGTTGATCCTGCTTCCAGTCTTCTAGTGGAACTGGTCCAGATTGGTGGTATAACTGGGATGTTTCCAGGAGCAAATTCTTAATTTTAACGCTGTAAATGAGGACGTCCTCATACGGGAGATGTGTAGATGGCGAGTTCGCATGAGCCACTGTGTCAAAAGCAAGTTGAAACGCCTGTGCCACGATGATAGAGAACGTAGAGTCCGTAAATTCTGTAGGTTGTCGTGCGATGGGGTAGTCTTGAAGAGAAGCACTCAAATCTGTATAGTTCAAGTTCATAGGCGGCTGAGTATTGACATCAGACGATCGAAGTGCGAATGGCGTCCCCGTCAAGACCGAGACGCTCGTTCCCATCAATGCAATAGTCGTCCACAGTTTTCTGCGTGATTCTCTGTCAAACAATGTGGTACTGTCGCTGATGTCATTTTGAGGGTCTACGTTGAGACCAATTCCAATAGCCGATCTCAAAATAATAGCCATTAGAGGGCCGCATGCATCAAGCTCGAGACAACTGGACGCAAGGATGCGTCTGGCCAATACCATCATACACAGAGTTCGCAACGAGACGGGGTTCGGAGCTATCAGAAAAAGCGTGTTCTTGAGACATGTTTCGGCACCGCGAAAGTACTTCTTCAATGTTGCCTCTTCATCTGAGGTTATGTTGACACCTCGCGACATGTGATGACTTAGTCCTAACATGACGAGCAATTGTGCCAACCAGTCATCCTCTACTGCCGCCGGATCTTCCCAGAATCTATTCAGTTCTTCGTAGAACGTTGGCGGATGGAGCATCGGATGAGTCCTCTCTATCGTATTCATATAAACGCCAATCAAAAACACGACTGTCGGGCGATCCGGTATGAAGCTCAGAACCTCTCTCTTACTAGGGGCGTGCTCTGAGTATCCGCTTCCAAATGGATAATTAGAATGGAATATGGAAGCTTGAACATTATTTGTGATCTTGTGGAACACGTCTTCCAGAACCTGAAAGAGTGGGTTAAGTTCCAAGGACTTGTGTCCATATTGAATCTGCACAAAATTAGTACAGCGAACAAAATAAGTAGGTAAAATGTGCAGTACCTGTCGGGAAACTGTGAGCCAATGTGTTGACCCTCGGAATTTGGAGTTCCAGCTATTATACGGGTCAGCGAATGATGATTTTATAGACTCTTCACTCTTGGACGACGTCGTAGTCATCGCCGGTGACGATACAGAGAATACAGAAATATCTGGCTCTGTCTTGGGTAAAATAAGTGCAGGTTTCGATTTGTCAATTGGTGCTAGAGGTGATTGACTTGATTTGCCACACTGGTCTTCATCCGACGACGTTGCACCGTTCGACTGCGCGGTTGGGAATGGTGCATAGCGACAGCTTGCGGCTCTGTCGCTCCAAACGCAATGGCGACAGGGATGGCCACGATCACATTTTACTTTGAGCCGGCGACAGGGGAGACACGAAAGAGTCTGCCGCTGTCGACGGCGTACAGGTTTGGCAGGCGCCGCTTTGTCGTTTAGTTTAAGCTTTTCGAATTTCTGGTGATCAAGCATGTTGCACAGTGATGCGATATGAATTAGGTAACATAGTTCAATAGCCAGAAAGGATGAAGCAATATGTCTCTGATGGCTCTGACGTCTCGACTCGATTAGAAATGTTGGCCGCTCTTTCCCAAAGCGGAATAGCGGCCTAAGGGATCTACGAGGCCACAAGGCAGCAGTCGGCCGTTCGTTGCTCGGGATCGGGGCCGAACGCTTTCGGGCGCGGTAAGCCCCGACTTGCCGGCACGGATCTGTGTGTCCGAACCACTCCGAAAAGCTTCAAAAATTTACGACTCGTAGGATACTTCAATCTCATGTCTCTCAAATCATACGCAGATGAAGCAACTTGCATAATTGACGTATACATACAAAATTTCGCTTGCAAAATGACCTAGGTGATCAGTAAAGAAAAGGCGGAAACAAATAAGAAAATCGTTTACATCACGGAGCAGTTCTTTTGGCACTGGTCCAGGTAAGATTCATCCTCAGGGCTGATGATGAGACCACTCGCTCTGCGCTTGATCCCTTGTATTGTGATGTATTGGTCTCCTTCGCCATGCCACCATTTGAGAACTTGGAACGAATAAGAAGACTCTTCTCGGTTCTCAGTGGTCCACTTCCCTCCGCTCACGGTAACGCCAATTTCTGCAGCAGGGAAGTGAAATTCTGGCAAATAGATCTCAGTAGGCGCTTCCTGGGTAGTCGGCTTGTCCGCATAGAGCGACAGCGTAAATTTGCAGCTCTTGAGATCAAATCCTTGAGCGAGGAGGTCGCCGTTTGTGTAAACAGCACTAGGCCGAATATATGCCTCTGCTGCCCTGAATCCCGGCTTTCCTTCTGGCTCAGAAGATGCTTTAGATGCCTGCCGAGAAAAGCTTGGGGTCTCTATGACATTCTTGATATTATGATGAGTGATTTTGCCATTGTCAATCGAGCTGCTGCTCTGAGAGAATGAGGGCGAATTACGGTCGAGTGTCAAGGTCGAATCACTCAGGGAAGATGGAAGTTCAAGGTCATCTCTAGAATATATAGAAAGATCTTCTCCGTTCCATTGATCTCCCCATTCATGGTCATTCTATGACACCAAGTTAGCAAAGATAATGCTCTGATAGCGAAATGCATATACCTGAGTTGCATAAACCCATAGTGTGAAGCCGTTCGACCCACTACCTTCTAGTGCAAAGTGATTGGCATCCATTGCGCTTATCTGACTGCTGTAGTCGCCCGTCTTATATGCACTCTTATCGTCCATGTCATAAGGAATGCCAATTTCACTGAAGATCATCGGATGATCTCCCATGCGCTCGAAACTTTCGTCACGTAGAAATTTGAGCTGATTGCGCAAGCAGTTGCGTATGGCAGTTTCTCCCACTTTGACAGCAAACGCTGGCGTCCAGTACTTCCCGCGAAGAACACCTATCACGTCAACATTATACATACGATTCCAATGCTTTGTGAGTAGTGTCAGTCCATCATAGTAGTGCGCCGCATGCACCATATTTGGGTCGTCATCTTCAGTTCCTTTGAGCTTGGGAGGCACTTCCATGACTGGGGGTTGGTTCAAGAGTATGCAATTCGAGTGCACACTCCGTATAGCATCTCGAAAGGCCCTGTAGTGATCCATGAAATATGTGTTGGTGAAGACATCGTAATTCAGAGGTTCCCCTGTTTTGGGAACCTTAGAAAAGTAATTACCCTGCAGCAGTTCGTCTGTGGAGGGATCCCAGACGCCATGTTGTGCCCATATACATATCCCGAGTCTCCAATTGGGGTCCCTTTTCCAGCCGTATTTGGTATCATCGTAATCAGCGGGTAACCATGCAGACTCGCCCTCCGGATCGACTAGTTCTTTTCCAGTCTCATAAGGGCCAAAGCTCCCAAAAGCCCATGTACTCATTTCACAGGCGCGACCAGACCCGTTTAGAATGGCTTGAAATGCAGTGGGTGAAGTTCCGAGTTGGAGTTGTTGTTCAGGAGGAACCACGTTGATATCCTGGTATCCGACTAGTCCTCGATTCGGCTCATTGAGAGACTCCCATCCAATGACGACCTCATCCTCTAGATCTCCGGCATCATGAATCTTCAGAGCGAGGTATCTGCAAGCCGCAATGTAGTGTTCTTGCAAGTAGTCTTGAATGTTTCGTCCATCAATAATAGCCTTAGGCGCAAAGTCTCGACCTGCCCAGAACAGTGTGAATATAGTCTGACATACGAGTCGAGTATAATTCGTACTCCAGATCATCTTCGGGAATTCGGACGGGTTGGGCCATGTGTTATGAACCAAGGCTGCTTGAGTCTTGTTGAAACTCTCGGGATTGAAGCCTGCGGCATACAGCGTCCATAATGGAGCACCGGAACCGCCGGAGAATCGTGACCACTATATCATCAGCTCAACTCGTGCTTCGAGATAGACCGGCCTGTACGTACAACATCTTGATGGGGGTCCATGAAGACATAGAAATTGTATTGTTTAGCGATACGCAAGACCTCGATAGTATACGCAACCCATTCATCGTCGTACTTTCCTGGCCCAGAGTGCTCGATAGCCTCCCAAGTGAAGATATATCGAATCGTATTGTACCCCCATTTGCGCAATCTGCCGAAATGTAACGGAGCTTCCTCTAAGCTGAAAGGTCGACCAACAAACGAGACATTGTCGCCATCGAGAAAGCCTTCCGCGACATGGGATGGAGTGTCTGGATTCTTCGGGTATTTCGCGTCGCCTGCGACGTTGATTCCTCTTAAAGTGATTTCTCGGTGGTATGGATCACGAAACTTATGTCCTTCGATGTGCAAGCGGAGAGGTGCCATTTTGGATCACCGTGGTTCTTAGGTTAAATTGTGTCTGCCTCGAAAGGTTCCAGAATCAGTCCGCTCCAAGACGGAGTTCAACTGGGTCATACAAAAAGCAAAACTCAAGCCAATGCTTCCTCACCAAAGGAACTTGAGACGAGGATCAATGAAGATGTACTTGAGACAAATAACGAGAGTTGATGTAGTTACAAGAGTGCACCTGACACTCCTTGACAGCGATAAAGCTAACTAACGGGTTGGCGATAAGGGACTGTCACTAAAGAAGGAGAGCTCCGTGACGTATCTCCGCTCCTTCCCCACATCGCATTGCTCGTACTAAACCCACAAAACTACACCACTCCGAGACAGAAGATGAACACCTTCGTTCTCCAAGTTTGAAATGTCCGGAAAGGCTGCTCTAAAGGCTGTCAAGTCAGCATTGGACAGCAAAGACTTCGAGCTTGCAGCTTCCAAGGCAAAGGATTTGATCGATCGGGATTCCACGAACTATCATGCGTGAGTGCGGGACAAACCTCAAAACCTCAGGTGCGACAAACTGACTTTTCTTCATGACAGACATGTTTTTCTAGGGCTTGCACAAGACAAACTCGGCAAGACCGAAGAAGCAGAGTCATCGTATCTCGCCGCATCTCGCATCAAGGACACGGACAAGACAGCATGGCAGGGACTGATAACCTTGTACGAAAAACAAGGGTCCAACAAGCTTGATGCTTATCGTGATGTTACCGTGAAGCTAGGGCAAATACTAGCAGAGAAGTATGTGTTTTTCTCCGTTGCACAGAGTTAGGTTGCTAATCCAGTTGGATACAAAGTGATGAGCGCGATCGGTGTGTCGACGTCGTGGACAAATTCGTGAAATTTACCAGAAAAAACGGAAATCGCGCGCAACAAAAGCAAGCTCTGCATATACAACTCCCAACATGCCCTCTGTATCCTTCACTCGAAGGAAGGATCCCTCATCCCGCAGATACATACTCAAGATTAATAGAGCTTACCGAGGCCGAGGAAAAAGAGTTCATCAATCGTGAAATCGGCGAAAGACGTACCCGTCTCGGCGCAAGAATCGACCAGGTCACTTCGGAAGTCAAGCGAGAGGCTCTTACCAATCCAGAACTCGAACAATACTACAAAGGTCTCATCGACTGGACTGGCAATGATGAGATTAGACATCAAACTGAGGAGCGGCTTCTACAACGAGCGTATGACTTGCTGCTAGTCCTGCCACAAGAACAAAAATCTGGAAAACGTGAGGAGCTGATTCGCCTAGCGCGGGATATGGTCATAATCAAGCACCCGTTTCTTCTCGCTTGGACGATTGAGCTTGAATGGAAAGATGTTGAAGATTTCTCGGAGTGGGATCCTATCCTTCTTCGCGATTTCACGGAGTTTTTCCCAGAAAATGGTCTCAGCAAGGTCATACAAGGATTTTTGAAGGGCGATCTATCACCTTTCCCCACGGAAACAGAGTTACAAGAATCAGCTCAAGCTGAATTAAGCGATGAGAAAGCAGAGGTCGCGGAAGTTGCAGAGCTAGCAGTCGAAGACAGGTTGATTTTGATGTCCAGTGGCCTTGAACAATCTTCAGACTCGATAATATCCCATCGGATTATGGCTCAACTTTACTTGAACTTGGAGGAGTATGCAAGCGCAGTCGAGGTTGCGCGCAAGGGCATTTCGATCATCAAGAATATCACCAAGAACACGGGTCTAGGCCTTGGACATACTACCGACTACGTCAATACTACTTTAGCGACTGCATTAATCTCGTATCAGTCACCTCGCAATCACCCCGAGGCAAAGAGCATATTCGAAAGTATCTTGAAAAGAAAACCCAAGAATACAAAATGTTTGTTGGGAATTGGATTGATCTTAGAGGAAGATCACGATTATGAAGAAGCCTTCAACTTCTTGCGACGGGCCCGAGAACGTGACCCATCTAACGTCAAGATTCGGTCAGAGCTGGCTTGGTGTACAGCACTCAACGGAGACCTTGAAAGTGGATTGGAGATGTTGCAAGATGTGCTTGCTGAAATTGGAGATGATGAAACGCAGACTCGAGAGTTCAAAGCTGAGATTCTTTATCGTATTGGACATTGTCAATGGGAGTTAGATCCATCTGCTGCTGCTCGAAAGGATCGCAGTGGAGCATATGCTAGCTTCTTGGCCTCGATCCAAGCCGATCTGAACTATGCACCGGCTTATACTAGGCTGGGAATATACTATGCCGACTACAAAAAAGACAAATCCCGAGCGAAACGATGCTTCCATAAGGCATTCGAGCTGTCTTCATCCGAGATTGAAGCGGCTGAAAGACTAGCAAAAGCGTTTGCCAATAAACAAGAATGGGATCTTGTTGAAGCAGTAGCCCAACGTGTGGTCGATTCTGGCAAGGCAAAACCTGCCCCAGGATCTAAGCGTAAGGGTCACAGCTGGCCTTATGCGGCGCTAGGTGTTGTGCAACTGAACAAACAGCAGTACACAAAAAGCATTGTATCCTACCAGGCAGCTTTGCGAATTTCTCCAGGCGACTATCACTCATGGGTTGGACTTGGAGAGAGCTATCATAATTCGGGCAGGTACATTGCTGCTACGAAAGCTTTCGAGCATGCTGAGGCATTGGAGGCAACTCTTTCTAAGAGTGAGAGTAACAATATCTGGTTCTCGAAATATATGCTAGCTAATGTTAAGAGAGAATTGGGAGAGTACGATGATGCGATTGCCAGATATGAGGATGTACTAACCATTCGCCCCAACGAGTTCGGAGTGATGATCGCCCTTCTCCAGACTCTAACAGAAAGCTCATGGAAAAATCTTGATACTGGACTGTTCAACGACGCAGCAAAGTCGGCGCATAGGGCTTTGGAAATAGCTATCGTGATGGCGAAAGAGACACCAAATGTTTTCAATCTATGGAAAGCAGCAGGTGACGCGTGTGCCATCTTCTCCTACATCAAGGCTAAATCAGGACATCTCCACCCTTCAGAACTACAGTCCCTTTTGAGTATCGATGCGCTAGATGGTGTGTACAATATACTAGCCGATACAGATGACGTGGGTAGCAATCATGTGATCTTCAATGCCTCCGAGGAAGGTCTATCTTCATCTTCAGACCTCTGCATATATGCGTCCATCCTAGCATACAAGCGAGCGGTGTATGTGTCCGCAAACGACAGACATGGCCAAGCAGTCTCTTGGTACAACCTCGGATGGGCCGAATACAGAGCTTACAGATGTATTGAAGGTGAACCTAACACAAAGAAGGAGAAGCGGCATACAAAGAAGTTTCTCAAAGGAGCCATCAGATGCTTTAAACAGGCTATTGAACTTGAGGCAGGTAATTCCGAGTTCTGGAATTCCTTGGGCGTCGTGACAGCTTCACTCAGTCCGAAAGTTGCGCAGCACGCATTTGTTCGCAGTCTTCATCTGAACGACAGAAGTGCTCAGAACTGGACGAATCTTGGTGCTTTCTATCTGATCAACAATGATTTGCAGCTTGCAAATGAGGCATTCACTCGAGGACAATCTGCTGATCCTGACTATGCCCCAGCTTGGCTTGGCCAAGGTATTGTAGCACTTCTTTATGGCGATCCATCAGAAGCGCGAGCTTTGTTCAGACATGGATTTGAAATTTCTGCATCATCTTCAACATTGACAAAGAAACAATATACTCTCAGCCTATTCGATCGATTGCTTGAAGATGCTTCAATATCAAATGAATTATCGCAACTGATTCAACCTTACTTCGCGCTCCAACAGTTACACTTCCAGGAGCCCTCTGCTCTATCATTTGAGCATCTTTCTGCCTTATTCGCCGAGCGGATTGGCGAGTATGCGCAAGCCGAGTCTGCTCTCGGTGTTGTCTGCACTGGTGTAGAAGCGGAATATGAAGTGGCTGAGTCATCGTCATCTCTAGTTCGCTTTGCACTTGCAAATGCAGATATCGCCCGTGTACATCTTGCCAATCACGAATATGAACAGGCTGTAGAGAAGGCAGAACTTGCGCTAACACTGTCGGGAGATGATAGTCTAGCTACCCCTGATCCGGGCACGGTGTCAAGCCTTCGACTATCAGCACATCTCACTGCCGGCTTAGCCTATTATTACCTAAAATCAATGGATCAGGCCATTGATATGTTTCGTGATGCGCTTCATGAAGCGGAAAACGATCCCGAGGTGGTATGCCTTCTTGCACAAGTGCTATGGGCAAAAGGTGGAGAGGAGGAGCGGAATGTTGCTCGTGATCAATTATTTGAGACTGTCGAAAAGAATCCAGAACACATCGGCGCTGTCACTTTCTTGGGCGCAGTTGCGCTTCTTGATGGGGATGAGGATGCAATTGAAGCGGTTCATGCTGATCTTGAAAATATGAGGACGAGAGACGATATCGAGATCCACGACCGGGCACGAGTAGTCAAACTACTATCGGCAATCTCTGCTATGGGTTTCAGCGCGGATAGTGACATACCAGAGGCAGAACGACTCGTGATTGAAGCATCTCGAGCTGTCATGCTCGCTCCTGGATTGCCTCAAGGCTGGATGGAGCTTACAGCCGCTACAGGAGAACTGCACCCAGCGACAATAGCTGTAAAGACTGCTCTTAGAAATATTCCTCCTCAGGGTGGGTTGGATGCGGTCGATTTGTGCGAAGCATATGCCCAAACAGGCACCATTGGAGACTCATTGCGGGGCATCATGGTGGCTCCTTGGAAAGCTGATGGATGGGAGAGCCTGAACGAGAGTTTGTCGGGTGCCGTGTGAAGTCGTCTCGATTAGGAGGACGTTGCATCGATATAAAATGTTGCATGTAGATAAGATACCCATATCAACTAGATGTCAAAACATTCGCTTGAGACGAATGCATAGAAAAGACTAAATTTGCTCTTCCAGCGCATCCCCATTAGCAGCGGTTCCGTTTTGTTCTGCATATAAAGCTTCGATTTTCGCCAATAAGACTTCTTTTCTCTTTTGTCGCCATGTCGTATCCCAGGCTTCAATCTTCCCTCCTAGTAGGACGACGGTTTCTGGCGTGAGTAGGGCCATTCCTCTTGCCACAATGATGTCCTTCAGAACAAGCTTCGCGCCAATAGAAAGCTTCTCGATAGAGATACCGTTGATATCCTTATACTCTACCGCAACAACCTTCGTGCCAGCCGCATCTTGTAAGATGAGCCGATGCGGTCCATTCGACGTCGTATTTCCCGTCGATCTTGACGCGTTGTTCGCAGTTCCCTCGTTGGCGTTATCGGCATCATCCACATTCACATTCCTCACAATCTCTCGCCCGCGAATAGTCTCTCCTCGCTCGACCTGCTCTATCTTCTCTACCTGAGACCACATACTTGAGCCAATATCTTCAATATCAAGGACCTGAACGGGTACCGAACCAGATAGGCGTCGCTCTTTGATAGATGGGTCGGAAATGTCTCTAGGAAGCATGGTAGATGGTGTGGAGGTTGATAATGTCTTGGTGAAATCAGTTGTTAGAATGCGGAAAAGAGCTGTCTGGGCTAGTGCCGAGGCTGGAGCTCTTTGTTGATTCTGGGAAATGGATGCTAAGAAATTGGAGATCCATGCTGTGGATACCGGGAGTGCTTTGGTGTTTAGGAGCTGGGCTTTAATGTGTTCTTCGGTTGAGGACATGATGAAGGTGCCGGCGCAGCAACAGGATATTTGTTCGACTAGATATTGCGAGACTCGGGTTTGTCACTGAGGTTGTTATTTGCTGACGGAGCTTTTCATCTTTAATTCCGGGGAAGGAGCAGAGTGGGTCCCGCCAGCTTCTCTTGCGACTTGCGGATCGCAGCTTCCCTCTCCGTGATCTTCAGCTTCAACAATTCTCATTGCTCTCTCTTTACAATACTATTTGTCGTTGTCGCTCACTCCTAAGCTTTATTCACCGCTTAAAATTTGATCATAAAAAATGTCAACCATATCGTCCCCCCGTTTATCCACCACATCTTCACACGCCACGTCGATATCATCTCGCCGGCCGTCCATAGATAACAACTTGAATCCCAATGCCAGCGTCAGCGGACTCGGAATCAATAACAACGTGGGTTCATCTATAGCCCGCGCAGTGTCTCCAGCTCAACGTCGAAATCGTGCCGCTCTCAGGGATTATTATAATATCAAATCGTCGACGGGAGACGAAGCACTTACCTCTGCGTCTCCTACGGGTGCTCCTCGTACGACGGGTGCAAGCGAGCTTTCGGGATCACCTTCGATTACGGTCACCTCCGAGCTAGACAGCCCTGATTTCGATGCACAGCAATATATTGACCAGCTATTGGCTACCTCATCTCTATCGACGGTCCTAAAGGCAGAGAATACTTTGGTGGGTGATATACGTACGCTAGATGGCGAGCGGAAAGCTCTAGTTTATGATAATTACTCCAAATTGATTCGCGCTGTTGAGACTATTGGAACAATGCGACGGAGCATGGAGGAGCGCGGAGCACCATTGACAATGACAAAAACACTCGGTCCGGCTGTGGCATTTGTTGCCGAAACTGCTAGTGGCTTGATCAAGGAAGGGGAAGAACTCCGTCGCAGAGTTCAAGATGCGAAAAGCAAGGCGACGAGGAATAAGACAGCTGAGCAAGAGACTGTGGAGTGGGCGTTGGGAACACCCGATCGCCTCAGGCAGTATCTGCGCGACGGGCAATCAGAGAAGGCGCAGGAGGACTGGGCAGAGATCGACAAGCTTTTGCAATCTTGGAAGGGAGTCAAAGGGGTCGAGGAATTGCGGGCAGCTTGTGAAGAGATTATGAAAGAGAAAGAAACAGAGTCCGCATGAGCTCAATCCGGAGAGCTATGACTTTCATTGATACAGGCTGGGCCAGCAGGATCATGCCACATTTCCCCAGCCTTACTCATACCGCCATAGCCCGTCTTGGATGATTCTCCTATGGTCATTTCCCTCCAAATACAGGTGATATACAAGCTCCGAACAGTCGGCCACGCTTGGCTGGAAAAGTGCGCTATACCGTATAGGGATAAGCCACCAAAAGTCTTATCGATAAAGGACCGCAAAATCTTATCGCGATAAGCTTTACGGACCGTAAAATGTGCTGACGGCCCGCGATCTCACCACCAAAATTATCAACAGACCGTCAAGCAAAACTTCAGCTTTTGATTATACCCACAGTTCCGAAGCCTTTCTACAAGCTTGGACGTAGTAACATATACTTTGCTACTAGCATAATTGACATCAGGGATCAAACTACTTCGACGCCGACAGGTTGTCTCTATATTGAATTCGTGATCACTGCGAAACATTCTTCTTTCCATCTACAATAATTTTTCCCAGGTATAAAGCACGCAACATACTGGACTTGCATAAGAGAGGACAAAAAGTCAACTGATATGCACACGTGACTCCCACTGCACTCTATAATTCGAGCTCGCTTACTCTCTTCCCCTCCGCTCTAGCTTGTTGAGCAGAGGTACAACCCGCCTAGAATACTACTTCTTCCGCAATCCCACATAAGCCTCTATCTATCTTCAGAAAAGGGTATTCTTCTCGTATCAGTTGCGGCTCATCTACCGCCTCTGTCCCCAAAAGACCCGCACAATGTCGGAAGAAGCCCCGCCAAAGACTATATCGTCGTTGGTGACCGAGTATCTCGATGAGCCACCAAGTTGTCTGGAGTTCTGCCCGGTCGACCCCAACTACTTTGTTGTGGGAACATATCTGCTTCAAGAGACTCGAGAAAGTGCCGGAGAGAAGAAGAGTGAGAGTGGAACAAACGAAGAAGATAATGACGAAGAAGAAACTGCCCCCAGCTCGGTCAAGCAGACAAAGACAGGATCTTTGCAGTTGTGGCATCTGGATATCACAGCCTCTAAACTGTATGTTGATTGACTATTCGTTTGAAAGGGCATTGCTTTTGAAAGATGAATGGTATGCTAACTGCTGGTGTTTGTACAGAAAGCAAACACAAGTGGTACCTCTCCCCTTTGCCGTCTTCGACATAGAATTTCACCCAATTCGGCAACATATCCTCGGCGTCGTAGGCAGTGATGGCTCTATCTCTATCTATAGTGTCTCGAAGGATGAGAACACCGATGGAAGCACTGTGCCACAAATCCAACATTTTTGGTCAACAAAGGGGGAACGTCCCGGTGTTTCGGCTCTGTACTTCAGCTGGTTTCCAAAAGACTGGTTTCCACTAGCCTCAATACCATACACCGATGGCTTTGCGGTGTCACTCTCGAATGGTATAACACGCATTCTTATTCTCCAACCCGAACCTGGAAAGTCATACGACATTGCAAAAAACAAGGGATCTCAAAAAGGAGGGGGCTGGAATTTCCTATGCACTGAATATTTGCCCGAGCGCCGAAAAGGTATCGAACCATGGTTCGTTGCATTGGCCAGATACGCGAATCCAATGCATCCTGGTGGAAAGGAATCCTATTTGTTTACTGGAGACGATATGGGGACATTAGGGACACAGAGTTATGCATATCCTGATGACGGGCACCACAGTTGGGAACTCGAGGAGATATGGCCTAGTTGCAATTATAGGAATACCGACGATGCAGGTCGCCATCATACTGCGGGCGGTGTCACGTCTATCTTGCCACTGCCCATTTCGCATTTGGTCAAACAGGCGCCGATCATTTTGACGGGTAGTTATGATGAATACATCCGCGTTTACCATGCCACGATCAAGGGCTCTGTACTCGCCGAGAAACGCCTAGGAGGCGGAGTATGGCGTCTACAAGTCATCAACGTCGAAGTCATCCCCCTGCGGCAAACGGCTGCCGGAGAACCACTCTCGGAAGAGCGATATTTGATTCTGGCGAGCTGTATGCATGCTGGTACCAGAATCGTGAGAGTTTCTTGGAAGAGAAAGCGCTTGTCAGATCTCGAAATCGGCGATTGGGATATAGAAGTGTTGTCGCAGTTTACAGAGCATGAAAGTATGAATTATGCCTCGGGTGTATGGAAGGGAAGGGATCATGCTACGACGGGAAAGGAGTTGGTGTGCGTTTCTAGCAGTTTCTATGATAGGAGGCTGTGTTTGTGGAAGGCTCAGATCTAAGCAGCCTCCAAGATTAATAGTCATACTAATTGAACTATGCGCTAAATCAATATTTGTGTATTTAGAGTACAGATGCACAAGTCCATAATCTAAACAATAGTCTCTAGTTCCCTCGCATAGCCAATAGTGTTTTCTATAACGGACGCACTTGCCAACGCAATACCCTTCTCCGGCCTGTGTCCCTGCACAGGTTCAACAGTACCGGTCGTCTCGGGCACAGGAGCAACAACATCCGCCTGGGTGGGGAAATATATGCGTCCATCTTTCAGGGACCAGCCACGCTCTTGTGCGAATGCGACAACCGCGCCTTCGGATTCGAGAAAGAGGAGGTCCTTTGCGTTGGAGATGGGGAGGGATTGGTAAGCTGTTTCTGAGCAGTCGGCGATTTCTCTACGGATTGTTCCGACGAGAACCTGCGTCACTAATTAGCATATACCCCAACGCTTCAAAGCTATTAAAGGGAGAAGGAGTGAGCAACATACGTGAGAGAACAAGCCAAAATCCTCAGTAGGCACCTCCGACGACTTGGTAGCTCGCCACACCTTATCATAGCTTCCCTCCATCAAACTCCTTTCCAGCTCCACAGGATATCTGATGAAAGGATCATCCTCTACACTGCGTCCTTCCAATGACGCCTCCACGATCAACCCTTCCAGCACCGTGTGAAACTGCGACGTATCGCCCGAACTCAAGAGCAGTAACAGATACAACCCCGTTATTTTGCTTCGTTGGCTCGTTTTCGAGCTGGCTTGTGATTTTGTTGTATCGCGCTCGATGTCGTAGAATGGTTGGAGCTGTTGATAGTATCGAATGAATGATGCAGAGTCCATCTGTCGGAGTGACGTTATGGCGCCTAGCTCGAGGATCTCGCGGGCCTGTGAGCGGACTTGTGCGGGGGTTGAAGCGGTAGGGAAGAGAACATTTTGTTGGAGGAGAGTTCGTTTTGCGCGGGAGAGGATGTCGTTTGCGGCGTCGAGCTTCTTTTGGTCGAGGCTTTTGTGAAGCTCGGCGATGAGCGATTGGAGGTTGGACATGGTGGTTGATAGGATGTAAACCCTCGTCAAGCTGAAGTAAGGTTCTCAAGTATTCCAAAGATGTAGAATGTGTTACGAGCTTGTCGATTTCTACGTCTGGTCTTCAAAGCTTGTTGATGAATGGTGTGATGGTTATTGACTGTCTGTCATGGGAGCTTGGCTGGCAAGCTCCAGATAATGGGCGCCGAGCACGTGATCCGGTCGGTCCTTAAAGCGGCCACAACTTCTACAATGTTCCACTTGAGGTTCGCAGCTTCCTACTTCCTACGCTCTATTTTGTACACTTCGCATTGATATCTTCAGACTTGCAATTTTTCAATAACTCGACGTTCTGAATCCCGAACTAATACATAGTTGTAAACTACAGGTTAACTTTCGACTCGTGCTTCAACTTCTCCAAATCATCATACCCAGACACAGTCACCCGACTACTACGAATCCCCGTATCCGACAGCAGCGCAGCATAGCACTTTGCAAACTCGCTAGCCTTCATTGCGCCAGTCTTCATAGCCGACTCATCTACTTCAACGCGCAAAGCCAGGTATATCTCGTTGAACCGGACATTCGTCTTGTAGTTGTCGCGGCATGCCACATTAGCCATGGAGTACAATGCTCCCTGAGTCAGAGCGGGCGGGGCGCGTGCTCCTAGGTCACCCTGAGATCCTGTGCAGAGAGTCCAGGTACTGCGAGAGTCGTTTTGGGCGAGTAGGTAGGGGATAGTAGCTCGATATGCCCCTGGTTGTCAATTGTCAGTTGTTAGTTGGCGGTCATCGTCCTCTGCGGAGGGACCCGGTAAGAGAACGTACAAAGGTTTGATTCAAAGTTGACAGTCATGATCTGGCGCAAGTCTTCCGTGCTGAGCTCCTGCAACGGCGTGGCTGAGTATCCACCTCCAGCTACCTCTCATGTTAGCAAAAGAAGTCTCTCTCGGCTCTAGATCCATAAAGTGACGAACCGGCAGCATAAACATGCTGAAAAGCAGGAAGCTTGCCCTGTCTGACTAAATCAACGATCCCCTGCACCCCCTTCTCGGAACAGACGTCGGCTTCAACGGTGGTTATTCCGTCCTTGGTTCCTACATGATGGAAGAGCTTCTCTGCGGAAGCCTGATTACGAACGGCGGCGAGTACGTGACGCCCTGTTTGCAGCACAGCTTTGACGGCTGAGACGCCAATGTTCCCTGTTGCGCCGACGATTAGGACGGTCTCCATGCTGATTGTTCTTGAACTGGGGAATATCAAAGGAGGTTCTTTCCCTTATTGGTGGTAGATAGTTTAGTCTTCAACACCATATACAGCGGCCAGAAACAATCCTTTTATAGTAGAAGGTATACCCAGCAATACTGCAATTCTATAAATGCAAGGTTTCTAGATCTGAATGCTGAGCAATAGAGCAGATCTGCCATATCAGCGAGATCGGCGAAATGGTGCGCGAGACTTCCGTTATGCGAGCAATTATTATTAAGCCGGCCGGTGGAACCAAAGGCGCGAGCTCCGACGTCTGGATCAATATCTCGTCTCCACTGAGTAGAATCATAGAGCTACTTAGGGTTAGTGGGGTATGCCCTAACTGAGCTCCTGAGTAAACACGCATGCCTGTTACTTAAAGGGACTGAAGCCCTGCTATCTAAAAGCTATGTACCAAACCTCTCCTCCCCTTAGGACTTCGCAAATGTTTCTTCGTCGTGTAGGTTACCCGTCACTCTCAAAGTATCTACATTTTCGTCAACCTCGACGCAGCATGGCACACTACATAACAACCCATGACGCCTACGGTAACGCAATATTCTTCTCTCCCAAAGCAGCAGCTTCAACAGGCCCCGATTCCCAGCAGCAGCACTCAATGCCAATCCCCATAGGCGACATCCGCATAATCTCCTCGAGCCATCAATCACCACCAACTCTCTCGAACGAATCTGATATCGAGCAGTACTATCAACGAGACCGCATTAGTCCCTTCTTCCCTGGGGAGCGGCGCATATGCCCCGACAATGGCACGGCAGCATGTATAATCTCCATGGCCCCCGGGGCTGGGGGTGGCGGGATGCATCGGACTATGACATTAGACACAGTTGTGGTTGTTGAAGGGGAGGTGGAGATTACGCTGGACTCGGGGGAGATGAGGACTCTGAGAACTGGGGATAGTCTTTTACAGAGGGGGACTATGCATAAGTGGAGGAATGTTACGCCGGATGAGGGATGGGCGAGATGGGTTTGTTTTATACAGGCCGCTGCTGGGCCGGTGAAGGTCGGGGATAGGGTTTTGGATAATGAATGGATTCATTAAGGCTCTGAGTCGTGCGGCTACCTAGTCATTGCATTTTTGAATATGTAGATGAGGAAAATGGACTAATTCTAGTTTACAAACATAATCAATACAATGTATTCTCATAATGTATACTTCACGAGCAGGGCTCGACAGACTGCTGCCGAAAGTCTAACAATGATAATCATACCTCCTCCAAAGCAAGCTGAGACAACGAATCGAAAAGAGGTGTCCCCAAACCAGTGACTGGGTCCCATCCCGGAGTAGCATTCCAACTAGCATAAGGAACATACGGCGTGGCTTCACCGGACCTAGAATTTTGACCGGTGCAACCATTTGAACCACCATCCACAATATCAGTGAATCCCGAACCGTTCAATGTATATAACCACGGATTCAAAAATCCGAGAACAGGTTGGTTGTTCTCCAGTCGCACCGAGTTCAGATCTGAGATGATAGCTGCAATTGTGGGTGCAGAAGCGCTGTATAAATATGAGCACAAAACCCTTTGATACAATTGGAAGGGTACTAACCTGGTTCCATCTACTTGGATAAAACTACCGTGATCTCGCACAATGTAAGCGTGCGCCTGAGCTGACACATCAGGAAAGCCTCGTCCATCAGGATTGTAGAGATCCTGCCACTGGTCACCGAGAATAGATAGATACGAAGCAACAGCATCCTCTTGATACGATGGACGAGAGAAACGCTCCGAGAATCCTCCAGAGGAAAAAGATACGGCCCGCTCTGGATTAATCCGGTACGTCCCCCCGACTGATGTGACGAACGGACAGGAAGCTGGATAGATGGGATTGAATCTTGTCCTATTGGTGCCGTCATTGGTGAGACACGTCTGACCGACTCCTTCGTCTCCGCTACTGAAAATTATCGACACGCCACGAGCTCCAAGCTGAGCGAAAAGACCGCATGTGGTATTGGTATACGACTCTGGCAGAGTTTGTTCATTTTCGCCGTAAGAAGTAGAAAGCACCGCCGGTAGGTCTTCATCCGCTAAGTCCAATAGGTAATGGAGTTGCTCTAGATAAGGCTCGTTTGATGAAGCATTCGCGTCGGGTTGACTCGCATCAGGAACTAATGGACCACGGCCACCTGTACTAAAGAAAATCGTTGGCACTTGGTACGATAGAGAAATGCCATATTGGATGTCGAGGGATGCTTCGACGCTGTCAAGATCCGAAGACTGATCATTCAAGCCGCCGTTGATTTCCTGAACCGTGAAAGTCGCGTTCTCCGCTTGTGGTGCGTATTGTTTCAAAAATGTGTCTAGGTCATCATATCTCGCATACTGCTCTAGATATCCCGAGATGCCCAACTTGTTACGGGAATCTGGGCTTGCCGTGAAATCTCCTAGTTTATACAAGTCTCTCAAGCAATCCGGTGTGATGGAAGTGTTGCAATCAACTTGTGCGGCAACTTCGATCTGTCTTTGATCGTAGACAAGACTTTTCTGAGCCTTGTTGCGTCCGAAATGCGTTGTTGGTTGGATGAGCTGGATGTGCCGATGGATCTCGCTGGGGACCGAGTACTGTAAAGTGCGAACTCTGAACACGGTCTTGTCGTGGTCGTGAAAGATGTAAAAAGTCGTGTTGAGCATTCTCTCTGCTTGGTGTAGTGGAACGATGAACTTGGCCCAATCGCTGTCTACTTCCATCAGATTCTCCGAAACGCCCTCTGACTTCAGCCAGGATACGACGGCATCTGAGACTTCGGCGGAAGGCTGCATAAAGGCTTTGATCTCATCACGCTTCATGTGCTTGCCGTACATCTTATGCCCTGGTGTTGCAATGTTGATCACGTGCTGTTCGAATTCTCCGGCTCGTGGTTGAGTCATGGCGAGGCGAAACTGCATCAGCATCGAGGGTGATGGTCTAGGGCCTTGTACCCATCCCTCTGGAACATTTCGAAGCTGCTCGACGACTTCATATTGAGTTGTAGCTGCTGTCGCAACTGGAGCAGAGAGCAGAGTCAACGCTCCGAGAAAGAACGAATATAGATACATCATACACAACAGGCGAATGATCTCCTGCACGCAAGCAGAGAATAGAAGAGATGAAAGAGTGCAGAAAAAGACGGGCTCATGTAGTGATAGAAGGCAACCACGCCGGATCAACCAAGGAAGGAGGTGCCTGCTTTTTTTACCCCTTCGGCATGAAGAATGTCTTAAGTTTTGCTGTTAAGTCGTAACACAGGATTGCGTCCACAGGGCGATCTGAATACATGGAACCCGCTGTGCTTTTCACCAAGTCCTGTCAGCTGGCGCCGTGATACGGCCATATCTCGCAGCAATGATATGAGCTTGTTAAATGTCAACAAGCCATAGGTCATGGCTCTGTAAGTTAACTTTCAGCTCGATAGAGCCCCCTTGGAGCTTATTCGAGTATACTGGATACGTACGCGTCGAATCTAGTTAAGCATTCCTTGCAGCAGGGTGCTGCAAGGGAGTGATGTGTTTCGAAAATGTTGGGCCGTTTCAAACGGGCCTGATAAATGCACCCGGGAGTACTAATCCCACCCGTATCTAGTCAACTACACATCAATTACTATTTGTAGGACCCCTCTTCTTATAAATACAAGGTCTGGTTGTCCTTTGGCAGACGTAGGGGCGCCAGTCATATACACGATCTTCTGCAGCAAGCTGTAGCTGGGCGGAACGAGGCCTGACAACTTGTCAAGACTTAAGGTCCTCTTCGCACCAGACATAACCAGCTGTAGGATCCATAATCTATTGCAGCAAGGTCTGACAGCTTTTATCTCTCGTATAGTCCACGGTCTCCTATATATACATCACAGAACAATCATGTCTTACTGGTTACTCAATGTTTTTGATGACACGTGCGGCAGCGCTAGTCCTGATCGAGACATGGAGATTTAATGATTTATGGCGCTCTGATTGGCTGAGTCTGTGGATCGACGTCACTCTAGCCCTGAGCTTGTCTCCTCTTGAAGAAGATCATGGGCCCCCCTCAATCTTCTGTCCTATATCCTCTACAATGACATTGTATCGTCTAGTTTATTCAATATCCTCATTTTCATTACTAAAACATATAACCAGTTGGGTGACTTGCTCGACGCTGGCTGTCACCCGATTCAGCTGTGCTCATCGTAAGCTTCCACAGCTCCCCCGCAGCCGTTTACCTCATACGATCAGTCACTTGACTAGAAGGGATTGAGATATATTTATTATCCTCCAATTCTCTCGGTTCTTTCAATTGTACAGAATCATTTCGTGCTACTTAACATCATTCACATTCAGTGCAACCTGTTCCCGTCTGATATTGTGAGCCGACGTCATAAATACATTCGCCTGGAATACACATCCGAGCTGTTACAATATACATCAACCCAAACTCAACAGCTCCAACTTTTCACAAGCACAATGGCGGATATCGCAACTCTGACGGAGCGTCTCCCTGCCGAGACCAAGGAGGAGATTGTAAAGAATGATCTCCCTTTGAAAGATCGCTTTTTCCGCTACTTTCAGCAGGAAATCACCGGTATCTCCTCTTGTCACTAACTCTCTGAATCACGAGCTAACAATTGTGCAGCTTTACAAGAACAAATGGACCGCCTTGCAGACACATCTCTCGTCGCTGGCGAGCGCTCGGACGCTACTGATCACTGTCTGGCGGGCATTGCGCGACTTTCCAACGAGGTCAAGGATGCGTCAAGCTACATCCCCACATACGATCAACGCATCTACGCTGAAGTACGTTACGTCAAAATACTACCACTAACGCTGTACTGACTGCCTACATTTGCTCAGGCAATCAAAGCCCTCCAAGATAAACTCTCCGAAACTCGAGCCGCAGTCCAACCCAGAGCCAAATTCTCATTCAAGACAAAGAAGAACCCTTCTGCCATATCCCTATCTGACGCAGCCGAGATAGCTGCCCAAGGCCGACGCATAATTCCGGGTTACTTGTCGCCCGATGCGTCTTCCGTAGACTCATCTCGAAACCCTACCCCTCTCTACGCCTCTACCCCAGTCAACGAGATCGAAACCCTCCAACTCAGACCCGAAATCGCGCCCACCTCATCACCCGCCATCCTCGACGAAGGCAAGGACAGCGCTGCCCTCGAGAAGAAATCATACGACATCCGACGTCCAACATTCTCAAACCAATCCTCCGTCTCAGTCGACCAGCACTATGGCCTACACATCATGCTCCCCGCCTCTGCGTCCAGCGCCACGGTCCCCGCATCAATCACATCACTGCGTCACTGCGTAGTCGACATGTCCATTCCAACCACAGATGGAAAACCGTTCGCCAGTCTGACAATCAAGGGCGTCAAGGAGTCTCTGATTATATGTGGGCAGGTCGACGGGCCCGCACATATCACGGGCGTAGAGCACAGCGTCGTCGTGGTCTCATGTCGGCAATTCCGAATGCACAATTGCACGGATGTCGATGTCTATCTGAGCTGTACCAGTAATCCCATCATCGAGGACTGCACCCGGATACGTTTCAGTAGGATTCCAAAGACATACGTAAGTACCCCCCCTTTTCTCCCTATCAAACCCACAACTCCCCTCCTAATCTGACTATTCGAAAAATACAGGCACTAGAGAAAAACCACCCCAACAAAAGCGACAAATGGGATCAAGTCGAAGATTTCAAATGGATCAAGCCCGAGCCAAGCCCGAATTGGAGTGTGCTAGACCCCAACGCAGCAGTCTCGGATGAGGTGTGGGCTGAGATGGTCCCCGGTGGACCTTGTTGGTCGCTTGAGGATATTTTGAGGGCTACCAAGGTATTGCGCGAGTAAGTCACATAGTAATACGTTACTCGGTATAAGGGTATGGGATTGGGTTAGGGAGTATCGGTTGGTGATTAGCTGCAGTCGAGGGATCAATAATGGGTTGGAGTATTGGATTTTCCGTCATTATTCTTTTCGAGCTTTGTTTTCCTTTCACATGTGTATCTACTATGCCCACGTTAATGCAAAATCAAGTGAACTGCTCCATTCTATCTATACTTTTAATCGTCTTAAATAGTAAAGAGTATATTATATAAACATATACACTATGTAAGGTAGAACAACGTAAAAAATTTCTAAAACAACCCCAACAAATCATCATTCGTCTTTTTACCTCCGGCCTGCTCCTGCTGCGGTGGCGGCGATGTCGGATTCGAAACATTCAAGCTCTGGAATCCATTCATCAGATCATCATCATTTGAGCCGCCGAATCCTCCACTACTACTTCCCAACCCACCGAGAGCGGCGAAGTTGGAATTGCTGCTGCTGTTGTTGGCTGGTGCGCTGTCGTTGCCGAATACGCCGAGGAGGTCGTCCAGATTGTTGCTTTGTTGAGTGTTGCTGCCGACGGCAGGCGATTCGGTGCGGACCGGGGTTCCGGCTAGTCCTTCGAGACCGGACATGCCACTAGGAGGCTCCTTTTGGGCTGATGCGGGTGCAGCGCCGTCAAAGTCGATGTCTAGCAGATTCTCGGCGTTGGCTTGAGATTGAGCGGGGGGCGTTCCGCCTGATACGGCGGCGGCGGCGGCTGCAGCGGCCAACGGGTTCTCGCGCGCATTTTGAAGTTGCTCCCTATTAAGTCTTAGTATCGTCTCTTTTTCACTAGAAATCAAGAAGGACATACTCGATAGCAGCTCTTTGGACAGCATCCGCACCAAATCGTCCCTGGCCAACAAATTGCTCGGGGGGCTTGTGGTAGACCGAGGCCAGAGTGGACATTTCTTCAAGCAAGTGGTCTAGCAATGCTGGCGGCAGAGTTTGTATCGTGGTCGTGATAGGCGGCTTTTGCGACAAAACGACATTCTTGGCTGCATTGGGTTCGGTAGTATTCGACAACAACCGCCAGTAAACATAAGCTCGATCACGAATATCAGGATTATCGTTCTCTTTGGTCGCTGCTTGAAGGACTTTTTGAACCAAGCCTTGAGCTTTTTCAGGGCGCTTGAGGAAAAGTTTCACAACGGCTGTGAGGATTTGTAATTGTGTCTGCAAGACGTTAGCTCGATCATCCCCTGAATATTGCAAACTTACCTGAGAGAATTCCTCATTGAAGCCCTCCACAAATCCAGCCAGGATGTCGCCAGCGTTACTAATTTTCTCCGCATACTCACCAACAATCCATATAAGAGCAGCGCGAGCGTTAGGCTCATCCAGCTCGTCAATGCACTTGCACAATGTCGGGATAATGTTTTCGTAGCCTGGGTATTTTCGGAAAATGTCGCGAATCACAACGATAGCCTCCTGCACCACGTAATTGACCTTGGTGTTAATCAGGTCTAGAAGAGTGTTGACACATCTTTCACTGGAACTTTCAATCTTGATGGCTGTCTGACCGATAGCCCTGACAGCCCTCCTGACGAAATCCATATCGACCTCGAGAGCATATTCCTTGAGTTCAGCCAAGAGTTGGTCAACATTCTTTTCGTTCGCTATCCGGACCATAATCTCGAGTTTCTGGAACTTGACGTAGGGAGGATCGTTGTATTTACAGAAGAAAACACGGAGTTCTTTGTTCAGAATGTCTGGCTGCTTTTGAAGAAGCAAATCAATATTGCGTAGCGCGACGTATTGTACTTCGGGAGCAGATGAAACCAAAGTGACCAAAGGAGGCGCCATTTTCTTCAAATAAGAAGCCGCAAGTTCCGAGTTGATGTACCTCATGTGCAAAAAGACAACCTTGACCGCCGCCAACACAACACTAGCGTTGACATGCTGGAATTGTGGAACAACTCGCTCACAAATGTGTTCCGCGTCCTTGACGTCGGTTGTTCTGAATTCCGCCAAAGAGTTCAAGATCGTGACTCGTCCCCATTCTGTACATTCATTCAAGGCCATGAGCAATTTGCGAAGCGTGTTGGAATTAATGTCCAGCGCTCTCGTTTCCGGAGCACTCTCAGAAATCTCGGCAAGAGCAGTCACTGAGTTTGCAACGACCATTGGATTCGGGTCTCCAATCAGCTCCTGCAGAGTTTCAAGAAAACCGTTCTCGAGACACATGGATCGATTCAAGTCGAATAGTTTGGCCACACAGATAGCCGCTGTCTTGCGAACGTACGGCGATTCATCTTTTAATGTCTTTCGTAACGGCTCTTCCATGTAGTCCACCATTTTGTCCACACGGATACAACCCATTGTTCGGATAGCGAGCGCTCGAATCAGCGGGTTCGGGTCTTCGGAATCTTGAACGAAAGTGTTGACGGCGAGAATGCAAAGGTCGGGGTGGGATTTGGCATAATTCCTTTACACGTAAGTCATATATAGCCGTAAAGAGCGATATGTGCTTACATTAAGTAAAGATACACAAGTTTCTTCTGGTCCAGATCTGTGGTCGCGATGTTCTTCAAGACGTCCGGGAATAAGGCAGAGACGTCTTTACCCAACGTCATCGCCATGATAGTCCTTTGGATCGCATCTTTCCTGGAATTGAGATCAGCAGTCGGTCTGTATGTGATGGCGAATGTCGTACCTTTCATATGCATATTGAGACCTATCAACAATGTGATGTTAGCATTGTAACCCGTTTTGTTGAGTCTCACAGTCTGCCTACACTAATCCGGCCCTCAGCTCAAACGTCTCTCCTTTCCTGGGCACCGCAAAGGCACTCCGTAACCGGTTGACCGCCATAATAGGCGAAGTGAAGCTTCAGCAGCGACGGGGTCGCGCCTCCGCAATAGCAAGTATGTCAAAGAAAGAGGCGTGAACAAAGGTGAGTGTGAGCGCGGGGTGATGACAGCTCCTGGAGATTGGCTGGCACGAGGTGTAGGAGGTCGAGACACGTGCGTGGCGGTGCGAGGGATGAACACGACTTGATAAGTGTCGTTTTCGAAATCGTTATAGTGAAGAGAATATCGACGTGGTCGCCGTGCACAATGGCTGCGTGGAAGTGCGGACAAGAAAGATTGTTTTTCGGCGGAAGCGGTCGTTGGAAGGTGGCTTTAGGAGGTGAGCCGCCGAACTGTCAGCTTAGTCTAAGTCGTCTACTACCAATATTGGTAACTTTAATACCTGGCCAGAATTTATATGTGCAACGTTACTAATTTCGAGTATAAAATCCAGCTTGATAAATATGCACTTGCATTATAGTATAATAAACAACAATTGAATCAAATTAGTCGATAATAAAATGGATAATTTACGTAATAAACATCGACACCTAAGTTACTAGTTAACTAACTTATTCATATATCAACAAGAGCATGAATAACCTCAAAGAGAATTGATTCGGATCCCTATCCACACGTACAGGTGAAGGACAATTGAATATTTGTACCAGATCGGGTCAGGAGCCACATGAAAACTACACTTGAAGACTTGATGATTGTCGAATCCAATCACAGAGCGGTCTAATGCCTTCAATATCTACAAAATACATATACATGAATCATGAAGGCGAAACAAGTTGCTCAAACCCAAAGCTCCAAATCCCACGAGCACCACTGACATTATACAACTCCCGCGCTCCCGAGTCTTTGCTCTCTTTGTACGTCTTAGCTCCAATATGCTGAAATGCACTCGGGACAAGGGCGTATCGCTGTAAATATCGCTCATCAGCGAAGATCTCCATGGCGCTGTCAATACTGCCACGGAGGTATTTCCTCCCGTGATCGTGATTACTTGTGGGATCGGCGAATTTCATATCAGTTGCGATACGTTCGTCGAACCAGTCCAGTAACGCGAGAGACATGTTGCGCCGAAAGATAAAGGCTTGCGAGCAGCAGCCATAATTGTTCATGACATGGATTCCGGGACGGAGCGGCTGCACTGTTTGAGGACCAGCAGCGAAGTATAGGATGATAAGGGCTGGGACACATAGACAGGAAACGATGAAGATGAATGGCAGAGACAGTAGTTGATGATCCTTCGGACTGGGCTTTCGAGGGAATGAACGGGGGTAAGGTAGCGACGGAGATGCTGATAATGAGGACAGTCGGAGACGAAGAAAAAGCAGAATGACTGCAACAAGTATAACAGTAGCACAACTCCAGAGCAAGTACAAAGGCCAATGTTCCTTGTGCCAGCCTTGGAATTTCTCCGTGAAGAAAAGGCGTAGATACAACCATTCACGCCGGGAATATCCAGGCCCAGTTTCAAGCTTCTGCAAGCTATCCATCGTTCGAGCATACCATCCTTCCTGTGCGAGCACATCATCCTCCAGAATCAGAATGTACGGAGCCAGAGAAGCGACGCACTGATGTAATAAGAGACTGTAGTCGTAATACGACTTTTCGTTGAATTTACTCTGCTTTTCAAGTTGATGAATCCTGTCTATCACTGACTTTGAGCTGCCCGCAATGTCAGGATAGAATATGACATTATCGGCCACTCGAGATGCGTTCACGGTCGGCGACGACTCGTCATAAAAAGGATGTTCCCGCGGGTTTGTATGTGCGATGAGCAGATTGAATTGTATCTGCGCTCGTTCTTGCGGAGTTAGATGGTCGAATAGCGAGGCGATGGTGATATCGACGTATTGCTCTTGGGAACGCCGGGCAGTCGGCATGCCAATACACAGTCGTGGTGGTACGGTCCCTAATTTATTAGTCTGCTCTGTTTGTTTGATACTATCTCTGTCGGACTGGGCAATGCTTTGTAAAAAGGCCTGGGCTTGTTGTAGTCTTCCGAGGCTGTATTTGGGCGCATACCCCTGGACCGTAAAGAAGAGGGAGCCAGGATCATGGGGACCCCGCCATTGGAGCAGTAGAAAGATGGCAAGATACGCAAGTGCGAAAATGGAGAGCAAGCGTATTTGGGCTTTGGTAAGGAAAGGTAGGTTCAATCGCACGGTTTGTTGGGAGAGTGTGACAACATGGTTAAGAAGCCGCGCTATTTGCATACTGACGAGATGGATTGCGAGCAGAAACAAGGCTACAGAATGATGTATCCATGCCTTCGAGGCTTCTTCTTAGGAAGACTATCTTCAAGTACAAGGGAATGCTACTTATAAGGCAAAGGAACCTGAGAAGCAGAATACGAGAACTAAAGACTTAGGCGTTACTTAGACTCGCTGACCAGGCGCAGCACGAAACATGTCTTAGTAGCAGTGCACTCGGAGGCTTCACCGATGCTGTAGTGCGTGTAGTCATCTGAAAACAGGAATCATGTCTCGTATTAACATGGGGCTGAAAGATTAGCGTATGTGATGTTGTATGTGGAGCCGCTATCCCGAGTAGGTCTGGCTTTGCGCCATCTTCTGTTGCTTAAACAAGCCGTCTCTTCTCCCGACATCAACTGCAACTCTGCGATTTATTGCACCACGTACAAGATGGTGAGTTATCCCGCTACATCAGTCATGGCATCAAATTCGTCCTAATAAATGCAGGCAAATCTCCCCAATTTGCGACGTCTTTTTGTCGAAGCTCGTTCAGAAGCCGAGGAGAATGAGTACTCGAGGACTGCTGTAAGACTATACCTCAAAGCAATTCGAGAATATATCTAACTCCTCCAGTTCTACAATCTAGTACTCTTCATCTCCTCCGTCGCCGTCTTCAGTCTGGCTGCCCAGCGCATCAGTGGAGGAAAAGCTCACAAATGAAGTGTCGCATACCTGGCTCTGGCTATTCGATTACATTACTAGTAACACAACTATCGCCATTGTATAATATGCTCATATATCGACACATACATCAATCGGTCTCCTCGCCATCATCCGAAAGAAATGCAAGACTCTGACGGCCTTTCACCAGCCGCCGTCGAGGTTGATCTTCGGAACCGCTCTCGTCCTGCGCACTTCCCCTCCCCCATCTGGACGCTCCCTCTTTTACCGCCTCCAAATCTGCTTGGAGCTCCCTCGCATCGCGAATCTGACGAGCCTTATCAGCCGAATACCGGCCCTTCATCCCCGCATCTTCCAGCATCTTCTTCAAATGCTTAATCTTCGTCTTCGGGGTATCGTACGGCGCCAACTCGCGCGCCCACATTTTCCGAATTCCGCATTTGATAAGCCACCCTTGTAAACGTTTGATTTCTGCTTGGTCTGGGTCTGCATCAGTCGCTGATTTTGGCGCGCTTTTTGGAGCTCGCGCTTTGGGTGCACTGGGTGGTGCTTTCTTTGGTCGTGGTTTTTTGGGTTCTTCGTCTAGCAGCACGGACATTTCGCTCTCGGATTGATCTCCTTTGTCGGGTACTGCTTCTTCAGTTKGAGGTTTTAGAGAAGAGCTTCTAGCCTCTTCTTCGTCTAATTGCTCATCTTCGTCGACCGGCGGAGAGGCTTCTGGCGATTCTACCTCACTACTAACTTTTCGGCGCTTCTTTTTGGGCGCCGTGCTCTCTTCTGATACCCGTTTGGCAGGCTTTTTCGTCTTAGATTTGGCAGGTTTTCTCGGCGATGCGGGTGATTCGTCAATTATCTCATCTTCTTGTGGTTGTTCATATTTCTCCTACAATCATAAATCAAGCATAGTCAGCCATCATCTTCCATTCCTAGCTTTCGCAGTATAAAAAGCTTCACGTACAGCTTCATCTTTGATGATCTGATCACTCCTCGTCTTCCAATCTTCATCTGCCTTGAAAAACCCCTCTTCCAATCCTAATGCAGTCTCCGTCGCGGTTCGTACGCGCTTGACGGTTAATTCTTCTAATTTCCCTGTTCGGAAGATGTTTGCGACGGTATCTCGTAGCGCCCGTTCTAGGCGGTCATCTGAGGGTATCGAACTCGAAGAGTCGTTCGTTTCTTCGTCTGAAGAGTCTTCTATAATGCGTCGTCTGGGCATTGTGTAGTTGTATAGGTATATCGTACAGTCGCGTGTCGAGCAACAGATTGGCTAATGTCGCGTCTGGCCCGTGAATGATCTCCGTTTAGCGCAGCCGGAGCTAATGCGGGCCGAGCGCGGAGACTTTTTGATGGCTTTAAGCATTGGCTGGTATAGCGCTAGCATTATTAATCTTGTTTCTTTCTTTCTTTCTTCCATTGTTGCACATGTCTTTCTTTCTCGTTCAGATTTTCTTGAAATTGGAAGTTATTATCAAAATTGCTGCAATATTCCGTCGCTCATTACACTCGACACTCGTCCAGCATTCAAGCTTCAATTGATATAAGGGCAATATACACAGAAGGGAGAATACACTCAACATGAGTGCCACAGCAGGACCGAGCGGATCAAATACACTCCCCGATGGCACGAAACTMCCTCCGGGAGTAGTTCTAGACAAAGATGGCAAGCCGTACGTTAGCACTCTAGCTGGTTCGTTCCGTGGCAAGGCAATGAGAAGTCTCAACTCACGCATACCATTCTAGATGCAAAACATGCACGTCAGCCGCCTCCTGGCGCGCAATGCTCAAACAAGCCTCGATACCCGGCGGTATAAAAGCCGGTGCCGGTGCTGCTGCTGCTGCTGCTACCACAACTCCATCCACATCCACAAACTTCCCTCCATCGGCACCATCAAGCCAAACCGACTGCCCCCCCGACGTCGAAGAACTCGGACGCTCAACCTGGACCTTCCTACACACCCTAACCGCAACCTACCCAACCTCCGCCACCCCCGAAAAACAAACCCAAATGCGCTCCTTTCTCGGGCTCTTCTCCAACTTGTACCCATGCTGGGCATGCGCCGAAGATTTCCGGAACTGGATGGCCGAGCCCACGGGGAAGAATGAKCCGAGACTGTCGAGTAGAGCAGAGTTTGGGCAGTGGATGTGCGAGGCACATAATGCTGTGAATCGCAAGTTGGGGAAGAAGGAGTTTGATTGTAACTTTTGGGAGGAGAGGTGGAGAACTGGGTGGAAGGATGGGCGATGTGACTGATTTTACCTCCCATATAGAAATGAAGAGGCCAAAGGGTAGACGCATCTCTTCTCATGATTGTACATACATACATGCATTGCTACGGCCGATATAGTGTATATTAGAAATCTCATGTTCATATCTGCCTAGGTAGCTATTATTTTCTGATAACCGTCCTCACTCCGAGTCCCCTTTTACAAGAGAGAACCACTTTTGTCATAAGAAAAGGAGAATGCGCCTCTTGATCGACAGTAGAAAAAGAAAATTATATCAATAATTGAAATAAGAGGCAGAAGAAGAAATTGGCATTACAGGCCTTCATGACGTCTTTACATTGATTCCGCACAAAACATCCCAAATTCACAACGCAAACGACGCAAACATCTATAGACCAGACACGAAAAGGCGAAGACCACTGGCTGGAGCACCGATCTCGGTGACTTCGGCGATGCGATCCACCGATCCCTTGTATTGTTCATGATATTTGGCGCCGGTGTAAGGATCTGATACACTTGGAGACCCGCTGTAGATGGGTGTGTATGACGCCGCGCAAATCTCGAAGTCTGCAAACTGATCAAAGTCGACCTCGATCTTGTCGTGTGGATTACGCTCGCATTGCGCTTTGATCTTCCTAGCCTGTGAAGTTTTGTCAGAATCATAAAGCAACACATAGATCGTAAATTGTGACTTACCTGCTCTAACAATTTGGCGGAACCACCGTTAGCAATCATGCGGTTGGCGAAGCTCAAGGCCGACGAGTAGTTCTTGTTCTGGAACGCTAGCTTCATGGCAGCCATCAAGGCTAGTTGGCGATGGGCAACCTCAAGCTTGGGGATGGTGAAGTAGGCGGAAAGTTCAAGGGCTCGCTTGAGGTCCTCAGGGCTCTCTGTAGGTGTAGTACGACGTTCAAGCTCAATCGACATCGCAAGGATATATTCTCTGGCAGTCGCAATAATCTTCTTTGCTTGTTCTACCTCGTCTTCAGAAGAAACGACATTGACAAGAAGTGTATGCAAAATACGTTTGAAGATCTTGACACCCTCTTCGAGTTTATTAGATCGCATAGCGGTATATCCCTCTTGTAGATCGACAGTGGCGATGGTATCGAGATCCCGAGGAATGATCGGCAAAACCTTGCGAGAGTCTGTTTCATCCACTGTCCTGCGAATGTAGTTGACCAAAGGAGGCAATCCAGTAGAAGCAGGAAGATATGTTCTTGAAGCAGTGTAGATCTCCATGAACCTCGACTTGAGAGGAGCAAATTGCACAGCTCCCACTTGACGGTTGAGAAGTTGCATAGCTGTGTCGAAAGACCCTGCTGCCACATGATCCGCAGCCAATGGAGAGTTCCGGGCCCAGAGATCGGCTTCTGAAATCGATGCTCCAGCATCTACACTCTCGACGTTGACAAAGTCATTTTCCTCTTCAACATTAATCTCGTCACCCATATCCCAGCCGGCAACATCTTCTTCCTCTTCCTCAAGAACATCCTGACCTGCTGCTGCTGCCTCCTCTTCCTCCTCCTCAATGTCCAAAGCTGCCTCTTCCTCGCCTCCACCAACCTCACCAAGAAGAGCCTTTTCGAAAGCAGAGTGACCAGCAGCCTTTGTAGGCCAGTTGGTCTTGAAGGTAGGGACAATAGGCACTGGGGTCTGTTGGAATTCACCAATGGTGGGTAACTTGATCTGGTCTTCGGTAAGACCACAAGTTTCGAGGATGGACTCCGCCTCTTCAGTCAATCCGTGGGCTTTCGCAGTGACATAGGCGAGGGGATCTAGATTGATTAGTATGAAACTTGAATGAAAAGAACCCGGCCACTTACAAAGGTCAACTTCCTTGAACATCTCAATCCTGTCCTCGACATCGCCTCTGTAGATAGCGTTCTGGAACCGAGAAGTAAAGTCATTTCTGTGGGTCGCGATCTTGGCCATTCTTGAAAGCTTCTCCTGGTCACCTGTAGAAAGGTATAGGAATGAAAGCTTGTCAAACAGCCTCTGTTTCTGATAGGTCATCTCCACGGTCTGGTGATTTCCATGAGCAAGAGCTTCGGTTGCCAGACGACTCCACAGCTTGGGTCGATCAATCTCTTTGGCTGTCTCAATAGCAACTTCCAAGTTACCACATTCAATAGCCAGCTCGAAGCGAGTCTGAGGATCTTGAACGAATTGCAAAGCAATCTCTGGGTATCCCTTCTTCTGGAGATAGGCAATGATACTTTGGCCGACCAAGCTAGAGGTCTTGATAAGATGAAGCATCTCGTCGTAATTCCTCTTTACCAATGCACTCTTGAAGCGGAACTCTGTCGGGTCGATTTCAAAGATCTGAGGCTTGGCGTTTCGATCGAGGCAGTAAACATTTCGTCCCTTCACTTTGACAAGGTAGACGGTCTGTTCCAAAGTGCGGATGATACCATTGTCACCGTTCAACAGCGAAAATTTGATATGGTTCAAGCTTGAGTAATATAGGATGCCGGAATCGTCCCAAGTAGCGCTCTTGATGCGGATGGTTTCGTGGATGGAGCTCAATTGTTGTAGGTTCTTGGTCACAATGGTGACATTGTGCTTGCTGAGAAGTGCAGCGTGGAGACCGTCATTTGACCAGACAACATATTTGACGCCAGACACGGCAAGTTCGGCCAATTGCTTCTTCTGCTGGATGTCGAAAAGGCTGACGGATGTTGGCGTAATGAAAAGGAGGGCGCCAGAGCCACCGAAATAGATATCCGTCGTACCAGTCGGCGTTTTAATCGATTTGGTCGTCGAGTTGCTCAAATCCTTGATATCGACAGTCTGATTGGCTTGGTTGAAAACAGCGAAACGATTCCTGGCAACAAAAACGGCCGAATTTCCTTGTCCGCGCAATGAATTTGTCGGCTCAACAGCGCCTGTGCCATCTCGTGGAAGGTGGATAAGCTCATATGTGCCGTTCTCGGCAGGTGTGGTCACAAGGATTGCACGCTCGGCAGGATTATATGAAATTGTTCGCAGGGGAACCCATGGGGCGCCAAGTTTGCGCAGCGACAGCAGTGGCTGAGATTCGGTGTTCTTCGTAAAGTCGTATGATTTCACATGTTTCTCCTTTGTAACATAGAAAAGCTGGTTTTGGTGAAGAGTGTGTGCCGGACGTTCCCTTTCCAATTTAAACACCATCACACCAGTATCGTGACCCGCTGCGAAAAGGTTGATCTTTGGGTGAGCGGCTATGATCCAGAATCTGTCCTGGTCCCGTTTGAACGATTGTACCGAAGTGCGCTTATTGAGGTCCCAAACACGGATGGTCTTATCTTCACCGACAGAAAGGATGAGGTCTTGGTGGGGGTGGAATATACATGCCGAAGCGTTCTGGAAATGTCCGCGGCATGTGTCAACTTCCCATGCCTTGGTATCTGATAGAGGTTAGCTGAGTTGAGACTATTCCGGCTTTTTTTTTGCGCAAACTAACCACTCATTCTCCACAGCTTTACTAGTCGATCATCACCAGCTGAAACAATCAGTGGCAGTGTCGGGTGGAAAGCGCAAAAGTTGACGCCTCGGTCGTGGCCTTCAAGAATAAATTTCACGACAGCATCGGTGTTACCAAACATATCCGCCTGACTGTTTGCCCTGGCCATTTGATCCTCAAAGTTCATTGAAGTCGGTGCAGAGTGTTTCTTGCGCAGCCCGGAGATATCCCAAACGCGAACGGACTGGTCGAGGGAGGCGGATACGATTAGGTCTTCTTTTGGGTGAAATTGGGCGCACCAAACATCTATGACTGTTAGTAAATATTATAAACATATGCAAAGGAGACTGACAATGGTTGTGACCTGTCAGGGTAGCGATGAGACTTCGGTTCTGCCAGTTCCAAATTCTAATTGTCTGATCGTCGGAGCATGACAAGATCCTGTATATTGTCAGATAGGTTGTCGAAAATGGTATTGGATTTGTACACACCATGGTAGTTCGTGATGGAAAGCAACAGTTCGAACATCTAAAAATAGTCAGCAACAACTCAAGCTTTCGGAATATAGGATATCTCTCATACAATCGAGATGCCCTATCGAATGTCAGTTAGCTAGTTTTCCAATGTCTGGACCATGTTTGAAATACCTGACAACACAGCAATGCTCTTCCGGCTCTGTAACGACCACAATCGAATCTTATAATCATCTCCTCCACTAACGAATATATTCTGCGTAGGATGGAAAGCCACGGATCGAACTGGGCCATCGTGTTCTTCGAAGCGGTCGATCAGTGTACCCATGCGGTAATCCCATAATTGAATTGTGCTGGAATGAAGCGAAACAAGGAGCCATGGACGTGTAGGATGGAAAGCGAGACCTTTGGCCCTGGACGACTTGCTTTCGAACTGTAGGTAGGATGCAGGTTAGAGACGGTTGAATCGCGGCGTCCAAAGAGGGGACTTGCCTTTGTGAGCATTGTTGGGGACGACATCTTGGGTGGCCTATGCTGCAGAGCAGCGAGCTATACAGGCCAATCTAATAAGCAATCAATGCAAGGAACACCACATTCACCCGCTCGCGCACGACGTTGGAATGAAGAAAGAGAGCGAGGACGCAATGCGAAGAGAAGTAGCTGTGAGGTATAGCAACAACAACATGCCAGCTTTCACTTGTGGTTGCCGTCAGGGAGCGACTAAGCGAGTGGGCCCGACCAATAGAAATGGCGGCAGCCTCAATTTATCGACCAGGGGTCGTCACTACAACCAAACTTTTACTTCTGCAATCCTTCTTGCATTGATTACTGATGTGCTCAGAGACTCGCAATGAATTGATCTAGTCGTGCAGGGGCATGTCCTCCACGCTTCGATAAGCGACTGGCTATCAATGAGCTGTCCGAACATTGCTCCCCAGATGCGTGCCCCGCATTGCCCTCCTCCACCACCATCATCCACCAGATAATCGACTCGTGTGGGAGCGTCGTCCTCGTCGGTTGGCGCTCGAACAAAAAAGAAACAGAGCATGGGCAAGAGACCGCTCACAAGATCGACTTCGGCTACTTCCTCTCCCAGTGCATCATGTCCCGGTGGTCGCCAGAAACCCGGTCCTCCGCCCAAAAGAAGCTTCATTCCATCCACGGGCGACCCGGTTGATCACGGCCGAAACGCGGCAAGCGATTCGAGAGAAGATAATATATATTTCGGAGATATTCTACTGGATGACGGTGCGCAGGATGCCGGGTATGAGGCTGACGTGGAAATCGTCAGACCTTATGCGATCGAGGAGCCCGATGAAGAGACGGACCAAACTCCAACATCAGTTGCTACGCCGAAACTGTTGGATTCAACTGAGCAATGGCAGAAGGAATTACTGAACTCACTACGGGGTCTTTACTGCGACTCGGATAGCACCGATACACCACCACTTACTCGACACAAACGAGGCAGGAAGAGAAAGCCGGGTACTTCGACGACTTCATATCAGGATTTTCAAAGCTCTCAGCAGACCGTAAAGGACCGGGGTGCTGATGTTGAAATGGGAGGTGGGGTTGGCCTCCTAAGTCCCAAAAGGCGTCGGCGAAAGAGTACGAGGTCTGGAGAAGACATTAATGTCTCTCACGGCAGCCTTCTGGCCAGCGAGTATGCAAGCACGGCCTCCAGTCCGGTGAATTTGTCTACAGGCACTCACGAAAATGAGAAACCCCCTTTACTGAGACGTGAGCTGTCGGCAAAGGATAGAATGGATATTGATTGAGCGTTCCTATGTCCTAGCTGTGACCTTTTTGTCTTGCGTCATATATGAGCTTGTTTATGCTAGCGTAGGCTGGTCCTGAAATTGCCTTGATAATTCAGAATTCTGTCTATTTGAAAGCTGTGTATGAGTATTCCTCTTTGATGGCCCCGGGACATATCCGTCTAATGGGATCGCGGAATAAAAACGGTTGAAACCCACCACGCCGAATGATTCGCATTCAATGAAACGTATTATGCCCCAATAATACTCTTCAGCTATTTAAAATGGTAGTCAACTGCTTGTTTCGGTGTAACTTAACTGGTTGATGTGGATTATATAAGCTCGGGGAAGCTCCCCAGGTGTGACGTCAGCAGACCATCATGTTATATCGAAGCGTTGCATGAATTCCGAGTCAACATTCTACAACATCATGAATACAGCAATCAATTGAAGGTTTGTCAATGCCATATTGCAACACCAAGCTTGAAAGAATGTTTCTGACATTCTCTAGGAGAGACCCATTGAGATTGCAAATCCCCCAACAGTACATTATCATGCCGACTCGGACATCAACACGTCAAGCCGCCGTCAAGGCCAATAAAGCGTTCAGTCAAGGCGCGGGTACGAAGCGCAGAGGATCTTCGTCAAGCCAGATACCGCCAAAGAGAGGCAAAAAGGATGTAAAGCCTAATGAAGCGAACAATTACCAGAAGCCTACGGTGACTGAAGAGGCACAGGAGATTAAACCAGTTGATGGTATTACCAAGCCTCAGGGTACCATTAATGAGCAGCCTACCGAAGCTCCGCCTGAGAAAGTTGTTGAGCCGGCACAGGAAGAGGAGGTGAAAGAGGAGAAAGAGGAAAAGAAGGAAGAGCCTGAAAAGAGCGTCAATGGTAGGGACTTGTTCTTCCAAATTGGACCAAAACTATTAACAATATGTGTGGCGTAGCCGCAGGCAAGGCAGGAGAGGAAGAGGAGAAACCAGCCACGGAAGAATCACAAACCGCCATCAAAGTATCCCCAGAACGAGAAGACATACTTCCCTCCAGCATCCTCGAGAAAGGGATTGTCTACTTCTTCTTCCGTCCTCGTGTGAATGTAGAGGATTCTCACAGTATCAGTGACGTTGCGCGCAGTTTCTTTGTTCTGAGACCAACACCTAAAGGAGCCAAGATCGAAGATGGACCGATCGGAGATGATACGGCCAGTTGTCGACTACTGGTACTCCCCAAAAAGAGATATCCTGCTTCGGGAAGAGAACGCGACATGGGGTTTGTCGAGAAAGCCAAGGTTCCTTTGAAAACGATCCGCGAGAGTCTGATGACGCCAACGACTTACGAGACCAAAACTCGTGGCGAGCGCACAAGACCAGAGGCACGCCCATATGCTGAGGGTGTTTATGCACTTGTGAAGGAAGGTCGGAATTCTCATTTAGCCTATATCCTAACGATTCCACGGCAACTAGGCGACGTGCAGAGTGATTTCGGTATTCATGGTCGGGGCAGCTTCATTATTCAGTCGAAGAATCCTGAATATCCCGGCCCGCCTATTGCTCAGCTACCGCAAGGGCCGGAATATCCAAAGGAGTAAGCTCATCTCTTCATTATCTTTCGATACAGCTCGAGGTATGCTAATTGGATGTTTTCCTACAGATTCCAGGAAAAGTTCAAAGGCTACCGCTGGATACCCACGGAGCCAGAACTCTTAGACTACCCCAATGCTCAATTCTTGATGATAGGCGAAGCTCACGGCAATCTCGGAAAAGCCGGTGAAGCTCATATAGACGACAAAGGCACAAAAGAAGACCCTGCTCAGGAGCTTGATCAACTGGAGAGAGAGAATGAAGAAAGGGTTGATTCTCTAGCTGGTAGGATCTGCATCTGTGTTTAGTTCCAGACCAAACGTTGATATCTATCTACAGGTGATCACTCCATCTTTGAGGATTTGGGCGCCGAAGCGAAGAAATATGAGAGCGTACCTTCAGAATGGGAGTAAGGATTGGAAATTTCCGCGTTCCAGCTCAAATCTGAAATACTGAAACATTGATGTTGCCATAATGCTATAAAATTCAAACGGCTAATATGAAATCTCTATACCATGACTCTTACATTGTAAATCTATCTACCGGATAAACCCACCAATTATATCCAAGGTAATAAGATTCTAAGACCTTTGTCGACTTGCTTGATACCATTTTAGTGCTTTGTAGCCTAGAAGGCTGACGCTAGCCAGCGTATTCATCGCAAAAGCCCTAAGGCGATCGCTCTCTTAGCGCGGGTCCACCATATTTAATTTGCCACTCTTGCATGCATCGCAGAAACAACGCAAACCACATGAATGGGTGCTATTGGATATTTCTTAGTATACGTTTCTGCCTATTGTTATTGAAAGAATATGCTGGTGGTCACTGTAAGTAGTTCTGGTATAAATACTGGCCTCTTGCACATAATATATAAGTCTGTTGACTGAGGTCTTGCTTTAGGCCTGTTTATACCGCTGAATCACATGGAGACATCAAATCACCATCTTATCCACAAGCAACATTAGGTGTCACGAGGCAAAATGTCTTCCATTCCCCTCCCACGCGAGGCTGCAAAACTTCTCAAACCAGGCTATGCCCAAGTCTTGAGTCTGCTCCAAAACACTATAGGCGTCGATCCACTAACGCTCGTGAACATCGGCCTCTTTCTCGCTGGCATATTTACATTTTTACGTTACATGTTCACGCGCATAATCATACTGTGGGTAACCATTCGCATAAACGAGGATGATCAGCTATATCAAAGCCTCATGAGGTGGATGGCGGACCATCAGTTTATGAACCGCCAGTTCCGCAGCGTCAAGGCTGTTAGTGCGTCTAAGAGTTCATGGGAGGATGAGGAAGAAGCCCTCAAATCTATGATTACTGCAGGAGGAGCTGGCGGTAGTGGCAATAAAAAGTTTCTCACAGAGCCAGACCCCAACAATCTGATCAGTTACCGGACCATCGTCGGCAGATCACCGATCAGTCTACAACCCTTCCAGGGCACGCACGTCTTCCGCCGTCATGGAAGCTGGATTCTATTCCAGCACGTAATCCGCAAGGGCAGCGAGTTACTGCCCCAAGACAAGGAAAGTGGCTACATCCAACTGAAGTGCCTGGGATCGTCGTTTGCGCCTGTACAGCGACTACTAGAAGAAGCGCAGTTGTATCATCTCGAGCGCACAAAGATGACTACGACGGTCCATAGAGCTATCTCAAATGTGCGGGAAATGATTCGTTGGACGAGGTTTAGTGCTCGACCCTCGCGGGATATGTCGACTGTCATATTCGATAAAAAGGCTAAACAGGAGTTATTGCAGGATATTAATGAGTATTTGCATCCTCATACGAGGCGGTGGTATGCGAATCATGGAATTCCTTATAGACGTGGTTATCTGTTTTCGGGGGCGCCGGGGACGGGGAAGACGAGTCTTACGTCTGCGTTGGCGGGKGTTTTTGGACTGGATATTTTCGTGTTGAGTTTACTGGATCCGAATATGAACGAGTCTGCACTGATGAGGCTGATGTCTGAGGTCCCGTCGCGATGTATTGTCTTGTTGGAGGATATCGATGCTGCGGGTTTGAATCGTCCGGCGAGTGAGCCGAAGCCGAGAATGGGCAGGAGAGGCAAGGGAGACAAAGCAGCCGAGGCGAATGCTCTCAGTACGATCCCAGGGGCCGATCAAGGCGCTCAGAATGGTGGCAATGCCTCTGCGGCGACGTCGGTTTCCTTGTCGGGCTTACTCAATGCGATTGATGGTGTATCTTCGCAAGAAGGTCGTATTCTCATCATGACTACGAACTCACCGGAATCACTAGACAAGGCTCTGATCCGTCCTGGGCGCGTCGATATGCATATTGCTTTTGAGCTGCCGTCTAAGGTTGACATGCAGGAGTTATTTTTGTCCATGTACCGCGACGATACTGCTGAAGTAGCCCATGGTAGTGAACCGGCCAACACGAACGAAGAAGCTGAAAAGAAGAATGACCTACAGCTGAAAAGTCTTGCAAACAGATTCGCAGAGTCTATGCCGGAGAGGAAATTCAGTCTTGCGGCTTTGCAGGGATTCCTTCTACAGTACAAGAGAAGTCCTGAAGGCGCTTGCGACAAGGCAGCCGAATGGGCAGCGATCACATTGCAGAAAATGGCCGAGGAGGAGGATGAAGAATAGTGACTCATTTGAACATAGTAATATCAAAATAGAGTAGAAAGACTTCAATCATAAAAGTGAGTAGAAAGTTGTCCAATCACATCCCCATAGACCGCCATGATGGACGGTGGAGGCCGGGCTGCCCGTTATCGGCTCSGTTATACCCGATTGGGCGTTAGTCGGGATCGTCTCCGATAAATTATTGCTGCCCCTCAGAAGACGAAACAACTCTCCATATTAATTGCTTATAAGACATTGGATTGATCAATTGATACAGGACTGATATTCTGCTTACTGTTTGTTATATTTGGTGTGAAATATTACGACAAGCACGCACAATGTCGCATACACAATCGCAACGATACCTCAGTACGCGGGGTTCTTCCTATGGCGTGAGTCATCATTATAATCCAACCTCCAGTATATTGACAATCTAACCAATTGACTTTATGGATAGCTCTCCTTCGAGGAAGTTGTCCTCAAAGGTCTTGCCTCTGACGGCGGTCTTTTCATCCCCGAGCAAATCCCTGAACTCCCCGCTGGTTGGGAAACCGAATGGCGCGATCTGAGCTTCGAGGATCTCGCCTTCAAAATCTTCTCTCTCTACATCTCCACCAGCGAAATCCCCTCGGACGACCTTAAAGATATTATCCGTCGATCATATTCTACATTCCGGCATGAAAAGCGCACTCCGCTTGTCGAACTCAGCAAGGACAAAAAGCTGCACCTTCTCGAGCTTTTCCACGGTCCGACATTCGCCTTCAAGGATGTTGCTTTGCAATTTCTGGGCAATATGTTTGAGTACTTCCTCGTACGGAAGAACAAGGGCAAGCAAGGAAAAGACCGTCATCATTTGACAGTCATTGGTGCAACAAGTGGAGATACTGGTTCTGCCGCTATTTACGGTCTTCGAGGCAAGAAGGATGTTTCTGTCTTTATCCTCTTTCCCAAGGGCAAAGTGTCCCCCATCCAACAGGCTCAGATGACCACAGTATTGGACGCGAATGTGCACAACTTGACTGTCGAGGGAACTTTTGACGACTGCCAGGATATTGTAAAGTCCTTGTTTGCCGACGCCGATCTCAACTCGACGCATAACGTTGCTGCTATTAACTCCATTAACTGGTGCCGTATCTTGGCACAGATTTCATACTACTTCTACTCATATTTCCAGTTGACAAAACAAGTTGGCTCCGCGTCCGTCCGTTTCGTTGTTCCGTCCGGTAACTTCGGTGACATTCTGGCTGGTTGGTTCGCGAAGAGAATGGGTCTTCCCGCTGAGAAACTCGTCATTGCTACAAACGAGAATGATATCCTCGACCGCTTCTTCAAGAGCGGTGGCCACTACACCAAGAAGCCTATCCAGGGTAAGGCTGCCGAAGGCGGACTTGTCCAGGACGGCGTCAAGGCCCACGAAGAAGGTGTCAAAGAGACATACAGCCCAGCAATGGACATCCTCGTCAGCAGCAACTTTGAGCGTTTGCTATGGTTCCTTACATTCGACGCCGAAACGGGCTCGATCGATGAGCGTCGCGCAAACGCTAGCAAGCGCATCAGCAGCTGGTTGAGCGAGCTCAAATCCCAAGGTGGCTTTAGTGTCAGCGAAGCTGTCCTCGAAGGCGCTAAGAAAGAATTTGAGAGTGAGCGTGTCAGCGACGAAGAGACTCTTGAAATCATCCGCAACATCTACACTTCTTCTTTCCCCGCCAACCTTGGGCCCGGAAGTGCACACAGCTCCAAGACTGGCGGCTACATCCTCGACCCTCACTCCGCTGTCGGTGTAGGCGCTTCCTTTAGATCCATCCAGCGCAGTCCCGAGGCGCATCACATTTCCTTGTCAACTGCGCACCCCGCCAAATTCGGTAATGCGGTTGACCTAGCACTCCGCGGCCAAGAGGGATACGACTTTAGTGAAGTACTACCACAGGAGTTTGTGGGGCTAGAGCAAAAGGAGAGCCGCGTGACGCCCGTTGGCGCTGGGTTGGGATGGCAGGGTGTGCGCGAGATTGTGAAGACGGAGGTTGAGCAGGAGCTTCAGGGGCTTCGATGAATGAAATCTTCGCGAAGTACTTATAAAAATTTTTCCATGCTTTAATGTGATCAGAAGAAATATCAGGCTATAATCATTACCATCTACGCTTGAAAAGAATTTTTGGTCGTTGGCGAAAGGAGTTCAAAATCATACATGTAATTTTCGACTTCTCTAGTATTTCTTCTCTAGTATTTCAAAAGACGTGAAAGTAGTGCTTCGAAACCGAAAATTTTTTTTTTCATTTCTTTTCTAATTGATTTGACCTGCTTTTCAATCGTATATAAAAGAATCGGATACATTGTGAAAACATTAAAGTATATGTATGTAAAATGCGCCCACTGGCAGAGAGTACACATGAAGATCCGTATACATCTCCAATCAAAGTGTCAGGACACAAGAAATGAAAAGAAAAGAAGAGAAATCAGAAGCCAAAAAAGCCCTCAAAATCCAAAAGCACCAACTACAATCTCATTCAAAACTCCCACGACAAGAATAGAGTGAGAGGGGGAAAGAACACCCACAATGTCCGAACCCTCAGCCTCTGTTTTCTTGAGTTGGTTTGAGTATTATCCATCACACGATTTACAAAAGAGCGAAAGCTCCAAGAGCAGCAACCATGAGACCGGCAACGGGTTGCTGGTTAGCAGCGGCACCAGTGAAAGCGGGTGTGGTGGAAGACTTCGTAGAAGTAGCACCGCCCTCAGCAGGGGGGGTGCTGCCACCCTTTTCAGGAGAAGGGTTGCTGCCACCATTTCCAGGAGCTGGGTTGCTGCCACCATTTCCAGGAGCTGGGTTGGCAGGGGTGCTGGTACCGGTAGGCACGACGGTGACGATGGTGCGAGTCACGGTGTTAGTCTCGGTGACGGGCACGATAATGGTCGAGGTACCGGAGACCACGGTCTTGGAGGAGACTGTAAAGATTGTAAGTCAAGGTTTTTGAGAGAGAGGTGTAAGGGCACATACCTGGGCACTCGGTGGTGGTGATGGTCAAAGTCTTGGTGATTCCACCAGGGGAGGTGCTAGAAGGAGGCACAACAGGCTTGGTGTAGCTCGTGGGAGGAGGAGTGGGCTTGGGCTTGGGGGGCTCAGTGTAGGAGTGAGAGGGCTCGGTGTGAGTAGGCTTGCTGTACGTGTGGGATGGCTCAGTGTGGGTGGGCTTGCTGTACGTGTGAGAAGGCTCAGTATGAGCAGGCTTGGTGTAGGACGAGTGAGCCGGCTCAGTGTGGGAGTGAGATGGCTCAGAGTGAGGAGGCTGGGTGTAAGACGAATGGGCCGGCTCAGTGTGGGAAGAGTGCGCAGGCTCCGTGTAGGAGTGAGGCGCCTCAGAAGTCGAGTGAGGTGGTGGAGGAGGAACATAAGTCGAATGAGTCGGCTGAGGCTCCGAGTGAGTGGAAGGCTGAGGGGGAGCATAAGTCGGCTGGGGCTCCGAGTGAGTTGAAGGCGCAGGAGGAGGAGCATAGGATCCAGCAGCCGTCGCTCCCTCGGCACTTCCATTCTCACCACGCTCAATAACAGCAGCAAAAGCTGGGGCGGCGAGCGCCAACAGAGCGATACCTGACTTGACCATTTTGGCTTTTGGGGTTGAGATAACTCGGCAGTTTAAGCAACGAACAGAAACGAATGTGTAAGCGGCTAATAGCGATCGACTTTTCCAGCGATAGATTGGAACTGCGAGTGATCGGAATTAAAAAAGATGTAAATCGGCCATGGGAGTTGCGATAGTTTATATAATTGAGAAGCAAGAGATTTGGAGCGAGTGGGCATTATCGTCAGACATCGTCCATCAGGACGAGAATAATTCCTGAGAGGAACAATCCATGCTCAAATCGACGAAAGCGGACTTTTCAGAGGCTCTTCTGGGGTCTTGGCACATCTATGTAGTATTTTGTTGTAATATGGATGGAGCATTTCACACTGAAGAGGATATTCTAAGCTCACAGGTGGAGCTGCAATCAAGAAGCTACAAAGTCAGTCGACAAATCAGCCAATCCGGATCTTGAGATTTCCGAGTAAAAATTTGGATGGGACCTTACATATCCAGAGGTACTAATGGCGTCATAAACATCAAGCAGACTCTTGATTGAGCTTGTGAAATGCTGTGGCCAGGTACTTCCGAATTAGGAAAATTTGCTCCACATGTCACCTCAGCCGAACCCAGTCGACCAGCAAACGCCGAATGAGGGTTTGAAACTAGGTAGAGTAACAACTGATGATTTTCATCATAGGAAGATATTCGAAATTTCGCCATGGAGGATGAAAGTGGCGCTTTCGAGAGCCTACGCCTGCAATCGAGAGAGTGGCCTAGAAGTGACGGGCCATACCCGAACCGTCTCGAAGAATAACTCTGTGAAAATATGGAAATATGAACCCGCAAGATATCTTTCTCTCTCACTAAATATCACCTCTAGATTCGGAAGATGAGAAAGCTTGTGGCAAGCGATTAAGATCAAAGCTTGAAGGTTGATGCAACACCATTCTTTGGCGGGTCTTTCAAAACTACTGACAGCCGAGCTATCTCCAAGAAAATAGCTTTTGCCACTGACTTCAAAAGCTTGCTCACTTTCAGGATAGTATTTGGGGCCCAACTATGGCGTATTGTGAGTTAGTTGTCTGCACGATCTTAACCTTCGTGTCTCTCAAAGAAGAATATTTTCAATTCGTGTACCTTTAGAGCTGCAGCTACCTGAGTAGTACTCTTGGTGAAGAGTGTTGTTTTTTATATGAAAGCTCTTTTACAACATCTTTCCAGCTTATATGTTGTGACAGATCAGTATGTCGAGGTTCGAGTCTGTTGTGGCCCGGAGCTCATACAGGATCTAGTCCGAAAGAACACCGTACACCAACGAACCTACTCTCCAAGCCGAGAGAAGCCGTTCAATATTCTTGTAGAAGAAGCAGGACGCTCCTTTGCAAAACTTTCGAGTCGTGACATCATGAGTTAGACATTTTTAGCAACGTCTCCAATATTGACTTGGCATCTTAGCCAGCACCGAAGCCTCAGCCCTAAGCATCGGAAAACTGACCGTTGGAATGTGGGTCTGAATGCATGTAGCATGAGAAAGTAGCATGGACTTTGTTCTCATCGGAATGCTGACATAAAATAACGGCTTTGAATTTCAGCGCCTGCTCATTTTGACTAAGGGTTGCCGGACTTGCCGGGCCGCAGGCTGCGCATTACTGCAGAGTAGGCAATTGCAACTAGCCCTAAAGCGTTCCTATATGGTCAAAAGCGGATGAAATTGCTCCATGACTAAGTGGGCTAACTGTAGTGTATGATGCCGTCGTAAGACGCAAGAAGCTGTCATGTCCGTTTTCGGCTTCGGAGAACCTAGGAAGGTGGTTGCTAGGTTTTTGAGATGCCAGCTCGAGTACCAGTTTCTGATAATGAATAAGCTGTCGGAGTGTAGCCAACGTTAGTCAGTGAGTTATGATGTTTTCTTCGAAAGACTGATCATAAGAGTAAAAAGGCAGAAGTCAGAGGCGACAAGCAAATTGGTCACGTGATGTCTAGATTTGGTCATATTGATTAGGGTTAGGGCTTCATATTTCCGTGACGCGAACGCGTCTTTCCGCGTTTGGCGACCCGCGATCATGGACAACAACATCTTTTCGAACCATACCTATCAACTGACGGTAATCAATCGCAAGTTGTATGCTTTGATTACTGGACCTAATTGTCGTATCATATATCATAATGCCTCACTCGGTAACGTCTAATGATTCTGCGCCGCGCGACAATGGCGACGACGAAATTCTCCCAGATGCCCCTGCTCCAGACAATAACGAAGCATCAGAACAACAAAAGGACGATACAAACATAAAATTGGAGGATTTATTTGCAGACGACGATGATGATGACGAGTTTCCAGCATCAAGCGCAGCTGATGTGAAGATGCGAAGCTCTCCACCCGTGGCACCAATGCCAGCACCGTATGCTCGACTCTCAATGTGCTTATCAAAGGATGATACGCTAATTAACATCAACTTGTAGTGTATCGCAGGGGCCTTCCGGAATTGATGCAGAAGTCATGCTTGCCTTTTATCAACGCTTGTTCCCATTCCGACCTATGTTTCAGTGGCTCAATCATGGTGTCGTGCCTTCGCCCGACATGGTCAATCGAGAGTTTGCCGTCTTTCTACAAAACGAAGCCGTGCTTCGATACCAGTCGTTCGCAACTGTAGATCTGTATGCATTCTCATTGGCGAATTGTGATAGAACAAATACTGACCATTCTTCGGTGCAGATTTCGTAAGGAAATTCTACGATTAAACCCAACTCGTTTTGAAATTGGACCGGTATATAGCACGAACCCTCGTGATCGCAAAAGTCGACCCGGTACGCAGATGAAACCAGTCGCGAAAGAACTCGTGTTTGATATTGATATGACCGATTACGATGATGTGCGTACGTGTTGTTCGAAAGCCAATATCTGTCACAAGTGCTGGTCCTTTATCACCATGGCAATCAAGGTTGTCGATACCGCTTTGCGAGAGGATTTTGGATTTGAACATATTTTGTGGGTCTACTCCGGTCGACGTGGTGCCCACGCCTGGGTTGGTGATCACAGAGCAAGAAGTCTCCCTGATGATAGGAGAAAGGCGATTGCAGGATATCTAGAACTCGTGAAGGGCAATGACAAGAGTGGGAAACGAGTGAACTTGAAGCGACCATTACATCCACATGTTGCACGAAGCGTCAAGCTATTAGAACCACATTTCAACCAGACAACGCTGATTGACCAGGATGTGTTTCTCGGAGATAAACAAGCGGAACGTCTGCTCGGGTTATTGCCAGACAAGAAACTAAGCGACGCCCTGCGAAGGAAGTGGGACTCAACTCCAGATCGCTCGAGTACAAACAAATGGAACGACATCGTTACACTAGCCAAAACGATCAATGGTATAGATGCCCGGGCCCTCAAAGATGCACGATACGACATTGTTCTCGAATATACCTACCCGCGACTTGATGCTGAAGTGTCCAAAAAGATGATTCACTTGTTGAAGAGTCCTTTCGTTATCCACCCTGGTACCGGTCGCGTCTGTGTTCCTATGGACGGGAGAAATATTGAAGAATTCGATCCTCTTGCTGTCCCTACAGTGACGGAACTACTTGCTGAGATCGACGAATATGATAGAGAGAATCCACCTCCTGCTTCTGAAAACATATCGTCCGATAGGAAGATGCAGGACTACGAAAAGACAAGACTCAAGCCTTATGTTGACTACTTCCGCTCGTTTGTTGCCAACCTGATCAAAGATGAGCGACCAGTGAAACGGGAGCGTGTCGCCGAAGAGACGACAACTGATGCGATGGAGTTCTGATGAGAGACGCGAGTTGTATAACGTAATGATTGGGACATCGAGGAGGATAGGAACGGCGTTGTTTTCATGTTTATTTCATAGCTATAAGCATAGGTAGTATATCAGTCATGAAAGCAAAGACAATCATATTTTACTATTTTGCTGCACTTGACACCCTTTCCACATTTGATCTCGGGAAAGCCCCTCAGGCGGGTCGCCGACATCGCACTAGCCGCTGATTGATAAGATTGATAAAACTTATATTTCCAAAACTCCCGATGTCTGCTCCCCAACTACCCACCTTTGACTACCTGTCACTCGAAGACCAGCACAAGTTTGGATAGAGATGTATGGCCGGAGAAATTCAGTGTTTATGACTGCTCTCTTGGTCCAGACAGTCTACACTGCTAGCATCCTCCCAAAAAACGAACGATGTGTCACTGCAGTCTACACGGCACTCAATTATCTCTCGTTCGAGGGAGAGCCGACGACGGGGCTTTGGCAAACAAGATGTCAGAATTGCCTGAAAGTCACCTCTATATATGCAGCAGCCGAGATATATTGCGAAGAAGAAGAAAGAATCGCTGGGGTTGCGCAACTGGACAACTTATGTCGGAGTTCAGCAAATGTCGAGCTATCACCTAGACAGACTGTGGCGGAGAATCTCACAGAAGAGAAAATAAAACAGATGGATATTGTTGAATTCCAGGAAATACCGCGGACTGATGTTCTTGGCTCTCCGGTGTTGATCTCTCCGGCATACTATGATCGTGTATTTCGTACCATAGTAAGGGTCTCAGCATTGACAGCGAAGGGAAAACAGGAGATCATACTAATGCCCAAATCTGCTCTAGGATTCTTGGGAGACTGAAATGGGGTATCATTACGCTTACGGGTGAGTATTATCCTCGCATATCATACCGCACATCGCTAAGGTGAAACATAGCTATCTCGGATACTTTTATTGGGGTAGTATACTTTCATTCGGAATATCGCATCGATTGATTCAACACATGTTTGGCTCTCGCAAGTATACCAAGAAAAACAGGAGCATATTACAATACGCGTATAAAGGCTTTGATCGCGCATATCAATGGATTGATATACATCTCATTATCGCTTTTCCCTCGAAGAACTCCCGGCGACGAGTACTCTGGTTCGATCTCCGAACACGCATTGACGCTATAATTATCGCAGGAATCTGGATATTGAGTGTTTTACTCACATGCACAGGACATAGACTTTACGACGGTAATATATAGTAAGTGTTTCTAGCTTAACATGCTCACACATGTTCTTATGTCTGGCTTCAGTTGGCCTCAGCCATATCGGCAACTTCTTCGATACCTTGCAGATAGAACGGGCATTTTGTCCTTTGCAAACTTGCCTCTTATCTGGCTGTTTGCCGGAAGGAATAATGTATTTATATGGGCTACGGGCTGGAGTTTCGCGAGATTCAACATTTTTCATTGACATGTTGCCTGGATTGCAACTACACAGGCAGTGATTCATACTTTGTCTTATTTTGCCTTATTCCTACTTGGTAAGCGCGTGGGCCTATCCTCGCTCTGTTGGGAGTCTATTGGATTTTTACAATCTGTTGATTGTCAGCAGACTATCCAGATCATCTCATTAGGAAAATGTCAAAGCCATATCTACTTTGGGGCACTGCGGTTAGTCTGCCTGTAACGTCTTTACCACAAGTCCATATACTGACTATTTCTTCTTTTTTGAGGCCACTTTTGCAATGTTGCTGATTATCCCATTGGCTGTCGATTCGATCAGAAAACGATCTTATGAGCTTTTCCTAATTTTACACATCTCTTTCTCTCTTGTGGCTGTTGTTGGCTGCTTTTAGTATGCATTACTACCTGGAAGAACTGAAACTATAAAGCTAACATGCCATACATAGTCACGTTGTCAAATTCAAAGATGATCGCTACGACTACTACCTATGGCCGGTCGTAGCCATCTGGGTAACAGACAGACTACTACGTTTACTCCGCATTGTATACTGCAATCTACACGTTCGATTACGACAAGGCAAAATCTACTCGACTTCCAGCATCGCAACATACAACAAAAACTCAGATGTAGTCAGGCTTGAAGTCGCTCTTGGATCTAGATCTCACCAACCTACTAGCTCCAGCTACTATTACATGTACCAACCTTTTCGTTTTAAAGGCTGGGAGAGCCATCCGTTCACCCTCGGAGCATGGAACTATGAAGACGATCAAAGATCGCATACGGAGGCCACCCTAACAACATTGGACGACGAGATCGACGGCTCAAAATTACCACTTCTATCTGTCTCGGCCTCTCCGTATCGCCGTAATACTTATACAAAGAAAGACAAGACATTAGGGAAACGGCCAAAGTTGGTTTTCTGGATTCGTCCATACGATGGTTGGACGCGGCATCTTCGAGATGAATGTCTTGCATCTGCTAACAATAGCACATTCCCCACAATTCTACTTGAGGGGCCATATGGTGCTTCTTTCCCGTTATGGAAATATGACTTTATACTTTTTATAGCAGGGGGAACGGGTATAGCTTGCGCGATACCCTATATTCAACAACATCTGTGTCGTGGTGGAGACAAAAATGACGACAATAAGGATTCAGAAAGACTCATTGTAAACAAAATAAGTCTGGTATGGGCTGCCAGGGAAGTTGCTTTTGTGCATGATGTGGCATCTCGAGAGTTACGAGATGCCTTGTCACGAGACGAATTTGAGGCTTTGTTCTACATCACAGCATCGCAGAGCAACACGGCTGTCATGCAAGCTACTACGTCTGAACGGATAAATGCTAACTACTCCTTCTCTTCGAACGATTATAATCCTACACGCGACGCAAATATAAATGAACTCAACTTCCATCATGGCAGGCCCGATACACAGAACCTTGTCCTTCGACATGCACAAGAAGCCCACAATAGCAATAGCTCGATCGCTATTGTGGTCTCCGGGCCATATGCAATGGCCGATGAAGTGCGCACTGCAGTATACTTGGCATTGTGCAAAGGCTACCGCGGAATAACTTTTCACGAGGAGTCTTTCAGTTGGTAAGGGTCCAGATTCGCAAGTATTCTATTTTACCAAGGTATCGACCCTGTTAGACGCGTAGCCTATATGACGTTCCATTGGGGGTTGATGATTGATAGTTTCGTGCGTTTTTTGTACATACTTTTTTAGGTTTTTAGATTGCGTATATCATTCACTAGACACATGTTTGAACCTATTTTATTATGTTAGAGATTTTTCTAGCTTCCTACCCTAAAGTCAAACCAGGCTTGTAACCTCTTACAATAATGTCTTTTTGCAAACATCTTTTTGCAAACATCTAAAGGTAATCACGACATGTAAAGTATCGTTATTGAATTGCTACTTTTCTAATTGGTCCCAAGCAATAACACTTCCTACAGATCCGACGCAACTCTGGCCATCGCCGACGTCCTCCCTGCTTGGCCCGCCTACAGCAAGGAGAATCTTGTCCAAAAGATTTTGATCCTACAGGACATAAATCACAGAATTGGAGGGAAAAAGTAGAGTTAGTGTCGTGTCATATATGATCCCCAGCTTGAAGACAGATTTTACTTTAGTGAATGTCTACCCAGGTATGGGTGGAAGGTGGGTGAGTAGCAAGATACGACTTTTGGAGGTCGACCGGGGCATTCATGTCTGAGAAGCACTAGATGAGACTACCTGGTCAATCATTCCACATTATGTACTCCAATCAGCATACTTCTACACCAGTAAGACACTTCTTAGCGGATTCTTGCGTCTTCCTTTGTATCTTGCGACTATAAAATATAATCACGTGACATGTTAGCCCTAAGACGATCATATTTGATAGCTTCGACCTTTATGTCCATGACAACGCATAGGCACACATAGGCAATTTGAACCTTAGAAGCTTTAAGCTACTTGTGTTAGTCAAGACCTGCTATATAAAAATGTTTGACAAAAGAAACCACATTCAACGTGATGCAACCAACAACCATTGAAGGAAAAACGGTAGAGGATGCTCTTTTCGGTTCCTTATCCATGGATGGTTGTGCCATAAAACCAGATTCAATCGTAGAGTGAAAATTGACATATATGAAGGACGCTTTAAACAAGACCCTGGGTTAGCGTATGCGGAACAACGAGCTGTCCTCATCCCAGCTGTTTCCCTTGCAAATAGCAAGTATTTTTTCAGTAGGCATCGCGCAGCATGTGACATCTTTTGACGATCTATTTTCAAGAAATCACGGTGATCATAATCTGTAAAGATGTAACATAGCCTGCTTGATCGATAACAATGTATACACGATCGGTTTCTTTTTGAAACAACCTATCACCAACTGTGCCACATCGGACAGTATATCTGTTTTATCGTTATATACATAATAGCAGCTCTTTTCTGAAGTCATTTCCCGCTGGTACTAAAAAGTTTTTCATCATGACTGCGCTGTGCCACGACTCGTTTCGGAGTACAGCCTTTCCTGTAAATGTGTTGAAGCAGGATACTGGAAAAGACCTGGTATACTGTTGCTCCTTCTTGTGGTAATATGTAATAGGCATAACGAGCGGTACCGGATTGGTGATGCAAGTACATATTTTTTATTTAAGTAACATTATATATACTGTTATATGTGCGCTTTCTCTCCAGCTTTGTACTTTTCCCATCGTTCCACCGACGTATACTCTCGTAGTGGCATCTCTGGCCATCCTCTTAACGGTTTTTTTGAGGCATAATTAGCGGCATAGTCTGAAAGCTCAGGCATAATCGCTGCATGTTTGTATTCTGAACCAGGCGGAAGATGATCTGATGGAATTCCTCGACAGTGGTCGGAAGTGACTTTCTCAGCACTCCCCAAAAACGTCTTCTCATTGTTCAGCGCGTCAAATATGATATGGTAGCTCGCAGTTTCCCATAGTAATGAGTCGTGACTCACTATATGCGGAAAAACACCTTGTTTGATCGATTTAACAGCACAAAGCTTGAAGAGATCTATGTTCTGAGCCTGGGAACCACTCAGTCGCCAGGTATCTTTAAGAAAAGGCCAACCTTCACCGTAAAAGCCTGGTTGGACGATGAGATCGGTACTCGACGCAATGCTCGTGGTCGGGACAAGAGCCCTATGTCCGCCAAATCGAGCCAGAGTTTTCATAAATTTGGACCAGGGCACCTGCTGTACCAATGCCTCGGTGAACATGCTCAAGTAAACGAGCGGTATCATGGTCCATGAACCGCGATAATCCGGTCCGATAGCGATATGTCTCTTGACCTTGGATCGAGTCTCTGGGTAGAAGGTCAATGTCCACTGAGTAGTCAATGCTCCAGCTGACCATGAGACGATTGAGATCTGGGACCCGCTTTCTTCATTTGCAAGCTTTTTGATTGCATGGCTAACGTATTCAGCGCTGACTTGAATATCGTCAAGTAGTCTATGTGGTATAGTCACATAACAAGGTTGAAACCCCTCATGAATGAGCGGGGGCAGTAATGTGTATTCCCAGTTGGTCTGAGGACTGCAGGTAAATAGGTGTTAGATGGAATGTGTGACACATTTATCAGGAAAATCATAGGTAGACCCACGTAACTCCAGTCCCATGTACTAATAGCACGGTTTCTCTCGCTTGCGATACTGATACGGGACATGTGACTGCTTCATCGAGCTGTCTTTTATCCATGAAGTACGCCGGATCTGGCCCGGTTACTGTCACATTGTTTTCACTCTGATGAGTACCTTTCAGCTCCGCAGTACTGATAGCCCACCAACTAGCAGTGATTGTAACAAATATCGTAAATAAAAACTGCCACATGACCATCGTGTTGATGAGCGAGACTGCGAATGTCTTGTTGCTGGCGCAGAAAAAGGATGACTATCTTCCGGGCCGGTCGGAAGCAACTGATAGACAAAAAGTGCTCAGCTCGTATTTTATGGCGTGAGGAGAGGCGATAGAGCGCCTTATTAAGAACGGTCAGCCCTTACCAACATGAAACTAGCACCTGCGACCTATGCCAAATAAGGCAACGGCGCATTGTCTCCACCAGATTTATGATGGAGCTCTCAACAGATGGGATCCACAGTTAATCTCTTCATTAAACAAACTGTCAGTCACATATTTCAATATTTGGATTTCCTAAGTCCCTTAGGAATATCAAGGTCCGTACCCAGGTGTCTCTATACGAACCATATCTTCCCTGCCAGATGGGTCTTCCTTTCCAGCAGGCGCCGCTTTTGTGAGGGCGCACACTCGTCTAGCCTACTGAGAAGATCCCAGTTCGGAGTCACGAGAGGACCGGAGAAACAGTCATATATCAAGAATATAGATAGTTAATTTCTTCTTTCATGAACGCTTACCTCGACCATGACGCAGAGTATGCAATCACCTGTCGAGAGACTAGAATCGTTCACTCTTTTTTAAGACGTTGTAACGATATGCTCTGTTAGCTGATCGCATCATTAGTATGCTATTTTGATTGACAAAGATGAACAATTGACTTTTCGCCTCTGGTCATTAGCCGCCTATAACGAGGTTACTGCCGAAGCAAAGGTATTTCAAGGAGAGGAGTCCTCAATGTGTCGAGGACATGGGTTGGATAGGGGATATGCAGGAGGCAAACTAGACGCTCTAGGTACTAACAATCTCATGGCTTTAGGTTGTAATGTATCTACCAATTGCGCATGGCGATTAAGCTTGCAACTGAGAAGGGCATGGGAATTTAGATAATAACAAGGTTATAAACATACTCTTGATTCTTTAAAGGGTAAATAAATATCTTGAAAGGCCAAATCAGTCAATAAACAACCCACCTGACGCGACAATATGCGTTCCATTTATCCACCGTGCCCGCTCCTCGCACAAGAAAGCAACGGCAAATGCAATCTCACTTGGATCAGCCATCCGCGCACCAACCGGTGTCTGATCAATAATCGGCTGAAGAATTTTCATCTGTTCCTCTCCAGCAGCGGCGAATCCCTCGGTCATGGTTGGACCAGGGCTGACCGCGTTGACTGTACAGCCGTATTTGGGAGGTAGCTCCTTCGCCCTTTAATGACTTATTAGAACAGCGATAAGTTTCTGATGTACATTACTACTTGCCAACACTTGGTGAATGAATCACACATTCCTTTCGTGCCCGCATATATCGTCTGGTTCGGGGGCGGCCCTCTGGCAGATATGCTCACAATATTTACAATCCTCCCACTGCCCCTCGTTAGATGCGGGAGACTGGCCTGCGTTAAGAGAAATGTGCCACGTCCATTCACATTGACCAGCAGGTCCCAGTCAGCTAATGTCTGCTCTTCAAATGGCTTATTGATAGCTAAGCCCGCGCAGTTCACGACGATATCGATCTTGCCCCATTGTGACACTGCAGCATCAACTAATCTATTAGGTGCTGAAGTAGTCGACATATCAGCTTCAACTAATATCGCAGGAGACGGCAGAGATAACATTAAATTTTGTGCCTCAGCTTCCAGATGGGGGAAAGGGAAGTTGATGACTGTGAATGCACCGCGAGCACTCAGCTCACGAACGATGCCGGCGCCGATACCCGAGCTTGAGCCGCTGACGATAGCGACCTTCCCAGCTAGTGTTTGTTCGGGCATGATGGTGATGGTGAGGGCGATGGATATTAAAGCGACTCTTTAATCATGCTGTGTCAAGAGAAGTAGACATGGTGATACTAATGAAGAGCAGATCTCTAGCGATGCCCTCGGGTGGCCACATTCGCTTTAGAGAAATGAGGACAATGTGCAAATTACCCCGGGTTTGTCCATGTGGAGCCGACGCACCGTGGCCAGAATCTGTGCGACACGACGGCATTCCGTAGTTTGATACATACTGGGTTAGAGCCAAGCATGAATATCATCCCGGCAAGGCATTATCAATATTATTGTTCTATCGAATTTCCTCGAGCCGTGGAGCCGTGGAGCCGGTAGAAAGAATAGACCGGTCTGTTTGGAAGTATGCACAGTATACTGTCATCGAGAATCATAAATGGAGCTACAAAGTAAACTATAAAGTGCTGGCTTTCGCAGCTGGTACATGCACAAAAAAGTCGATTTATGCGCGACCTTATGCTTCTTTTGGTCGCCGAAACATCGCTGTAGTAGTTTTTCGGAGAATAATTCAAGTCGGCAATTTTCTGGTAATGATTGATCAGAACATCGTAATCAGCTTTAATGTCATTGTCAGAGGCCCATTGTGACGCCGGGATAGTGACGCTCAGATCGCCGACAAGGATCGAACCAGAAACTGCCAAAAAAAAAAGGATATAATAACTGAGGCTTTCATCATATTGAGCTTGTGAAAAATTCAGCTTTGATGCATATAGGGTTGGTCTTCGATGGTGGGCACAGCGGCCTCCTTTATAACCGCAGATTTTAGCTTCTGAAAGTGATGTTCTTTATTTCTTCCTAAACCGTAATGGCTCATGAACATCAAAAGTTCACTTCCGACGCATACGCTAGACTTCATGACGCTGCAAGGAGGACGTCGTTCTATCCCCTGATTGTTCGTTGTTCGGACTGCCTAAACCTTCCACTTTTGGGTCTGGGGAGACCTTTGTCAATCTGGGGAGAAACGGGTCCACCTAATAAGTCTTCCGTTCTAAATCCCTAATATACATACATGTATTGCCGGTTGATAGACGTGGGTCGCATTCTGTAATTCTTCACTTTGTGCCCACATCCCGTAACGGCATTCCGGTGATCACCTGATCTGCTGCTTTGAATATCTCTATGAAGGTTGGGGGTTCTATAAATTTGTCATTTGATGTACTCGTGCTTGACAAATTCAAGGTTACTTATCCACCTGAGTCAAAATTCAGATCCCAAGTTTACGAGAATATAGTCGGTTGTCGCTATCCTAGTGCTCGGAAACGAAGATACAAATACTAATCCGACCTTTGGTTCATAAGGCATCAATGGAGGACTCAGTTGCAATAATCGGCGCAGGCCCCGTGGGTCTTTTTACCGCTCTGCTGCTTGCGCAGAGAAAGATTCAGGTCACCGTGATCGAAGCACGTGAAGGAATTGACCAATCGCCCAGAGCCGTTGCGTAAGTGTTCCAATGCGTCTTCCCTTTCACATCAAAGTTTCAGCTAACGATAACGTACCAAGATATTTCCCTCCGGTGTTGGAGGAGTTTGCAAAAGCAGGTATCATCGAAGATGTAGTCGCTGCTGGTGAAAAGGCAGCAGATGGATGCGATTGGAGGAATGCCGACGGGGATCTTTTGGCTGGTATCGACCCTCCTCCAAATGACCCGACCTTTGCTGTGTGTCTCTCTCAGCCGGAACTTGGGGAAATTCTGAGGAATAAAATCTTGGAAACAGGTTTTGCCGAAATAATATGGAATGAGTCGTTTCAAAGATTGAAGCAAGTTGACGGATCCGTTGCATATTGGACTAAGAACAAGCCCAACGATCATGAAACAGAACGAACTTGCCGCTATTTGGTCGGTGCGGACGGCGGGCGTAGTTCTGTGAGAAAGAACCTTGGTATTCACCTTGAGGGATACACATTTAAATGGTTTCAGTTCGTGGCTGTCAACTTCAAGTACCCTCTGAGTGCCATGGGATGGAAGGCACCCAATTTCATTGTCGATCCAGTTGACTGGGGTATTGTCGTAAAACGCGGCAAGGGAACAAGCTGGCGATTTGCGACAGGAGTCAAGAAATCAGCCGCGCAGAAGCTGACATCAGTTGATGATGCCACTTTACAATTGGTCAAGGATCGGTTGCGACGCATTCTTCCGGGCGATAAAAGTGAGATCCAGTATGAAGCAATAGCGCCATATGTTGTTCATCAGCGATGTGCAACTCGGTTCCAGGAAGGGAATGTTCTCTTGGCTGGTGATGCAGCACACGTAAGTTTGATCATCTTTTTGTTTTGGAAAATTTGGAGCATTGCTGATTATATCCTGCACTAATAGCTCAACAACCCCGTTGGTGGTCTGGGACTTACCACCGGTCTGCTCGATGCTGCCCATTTGGCGATTGCTTTAGGAAAGGTGATAAAGCAAGAAGCTAGTCCGAATCTTCTTACATCCTACGCCCAAACAAGGCAGCGCATTTTCCGGGAACGAACCAGCCCGGCGAGTACCAGTAACTTGCTAAGGCTTTTTTCACAAGAGGCGGAACACGTCAAGGAGAGAGAAGAGACCTTTGCTAAGCTGAAAGATCCAAAAGATTTTATAACCAAGGCCAGAGTTGGACTTGCAGACTTCAGTCTAAGTAGTACGTCAGACAACTTCTTCGACACGCATGGCGAGGTAACGTGGTTCATATCAGTTACTCGTATCCCGGAATGGACTCAAGAGCTATTTGAGCATGAATACAAGCACGTTCACGCCGACATGACTCGAAAAGGCAACGAAATCATGCCCGTCACTCATCAATATGTCCAATTATGCAATTCCAAATCCACCATGCGAGGAACCGAACATCCACAATGGGACTACGTGACTTGTCTTACCTGGCCGAGTCTGTTCATCATCAATGCTGGATTTAAAGATCCAGGCTACCGTGAAAATGCTGGCAAGCATGTATTTTGCCAACTTGACCAGGAAGGGTGTATTATGACGAAGGTGCATAATATCTCGAAGCATAAGGGTGATAAGTCCAAGGTCGACCCTGTCCAGTGCCTTATCTATCACAAAAGAGATAATCCTTTGGACGACTTTTCTCCGCTATGGTTTGCAGACSGAGCCGCTAAAATAGAAAAATTTTTAGTGTCTGACAGCCGGCCAAATACTTACATTCTATGGCGAGACGTGACTCCCAAAACGGAGAACTTCTTCCACGACACGCAATTCTCTGGTGGGTCATGGCTCAACTACAAAGCGCTTGAAACTTTTGGTTTTAAGACTAAAGACAGCGCTCATTCTTTTTTCGAGAAGTACGGAGGAGATATATTTGGCAACCGGGCAGAGACAACGCAGACAGTGATTGGAGCGCCAGACATCATCATCCCGCGCACATAGAGTGTAAAGAAGTTTTGGTCATAGCAAATAGTGATCAAAGTTTGTTCAAGTTCATTCCTGACTTGCTCTTAGAATAATTTGGGCTCAGCTTGCTCAAGTATAAGGATAAAGCCATTATGGTGCTTTTGTAAGTCTTTCCGAAGTGTAAATACTAGGAAAAGATGTCCATAAACCTTTTAACAAGCTCTCTGGTCTCGCTTTGCTCGACCACAGCTTAGAGTCTTCCTATCATCTTTCTATCAAAGTTAATGGCTACACTATAGCATTTATACATGCGCTCTGTCTTGTGATGTTGGCGCTGGTCTGGTTATAACAGACCTAATCACCATCCATAACAGCTAGCGTGTGATTCATTGACTTTGTGTCGCTCTTGCGGGGGTACTCACGATCTTGGTTATTTTCACTTTTTCCGAGACAAGGTATAAGAGAAAAATCACAATTGATGCAACCGATCATGTTGAAGCTGCCGAAAATGCTTCTAAAATTCCGAGAGCAGAGTTTAATAGAGCATTGCGTCAGTGCTTCGAAGACACTTCTATATCAGTGTTTGCGTATCTTACTACAACGCACACCGACGAATCATTGCTTATGCTTGCTGTGCGGCCAATCTTCGCGCTTGCTCTTCCAGTGGTCTTCAGGGCCACACTGATCAGTTCCGTGACCATTGGCATGATTGTTGTCATTTCTGCCAATTACTCTATGGCGGCCTTCACTATATATGGATTCGAGACTTAGCAATCTAGTTTGATGTTCATTGCTTCCATCATTGGCTCCTTGATTGCCATCTTTGTGGGTGGCCATTATACTGATTTCATCACCAATAGGTTGACATTGCGGAAGGGTGGCATCAGGAATCTAAAATGCGGCTTCCTGCTCTCCTGGTGAGCCTCATAAGCGCTCCATTGGTCTGTATCCTGTATAAAGGAGTAGGCTGTGGTAAGAAGCTTCACTGGGTCTGCGTAGTCTTCGGAATTGATTTGGGTAAATACTTATTCTTCTTTTTCTCAAATCTCTTAGGATGTTGATTACTGAAGGAAGACCCAACAGTGCACTTTACCACTGTCCAAACAACGAATACTGCCATTGTGTATATCTTGGAGTCATATCGTCCAATTGGTGGGTGAGGTTATTGTCACTCATTCTCTTTTCAAATTTTGTCTTCTCGAGCAATCTCCCCCCTCTTTCTTGCTTTTTGTCTAACACAGTTTGTGTAACACTTTTCGAATTATTGCTTGGCTTTTATGTTGGTCAGTGGATTGATGAGTCTGGATACATTGGAACATTTGGTGCCTTGGCTGGTTTTCCTGCTGTCGTGTTCGTCTGTGTCAGCCCATTCTGCTTCCGAGGAGACCAGCTTCGACATAAACATGGCAATGAAAGTTTGTGAAGAAGTTGCTTTAGTGGAATGTAAATCGTGAGGTGGGAGAGTGATTGAAAGTTTTGCTTATTGATTAGTCGTCCCTATACGGGTCTGCGAAAGTGTTGTTGGGGGTTCTAGGAGTCCTGCTTAGGCGATAAACTGTTTAACAATTTAAAAATACATGACTTCCTGGTTCTGAGTTTCCTATATGTAATATTCTAGCAACGCATCAAAAGCGCTAGCTGCCGTTTGTATGTAAGAATTAGGGTTTACAATCCACAATCCTAATTAGGACGGATATTGAGTTGGATAAATGTCAACGCTCCTACGCTAGCTACAGAAGATAATCGTCTCAATTCTGCTACTCCATCGCTTGTAAGTACTGCTTTGTATCTTTCGAGGAAAGATTTGAACGTCGAGAACACATGGTACTTGTGTCCGCTGAGATTATGGGATGTCTTCGATGGCGTAATTTGCCATTGGAAATTACCTGCTCAGGACCAACCGTAGCCAGAGCGGGCATGCGCTAGAAGGACGCGCCAGATAGTAGGGCACCCAGAGCAGGGGTAGCTCCAGCTTCTAGCCCGACAAGTTGGCAACATACTATGGGGTAGTTACGGAGTAAAAGTACTTACCACCTCCCCGCACCTTGGCGACTCTGACTCCACCAGTAACATCCTTTGCGACTCCATTGGCGTCTCTCCGGCCTATATTTGCCTAGGCACTTTTTTGAAAGTTACTATCGAACCGAACTTTGTGTTGCCATATCCCGAGTTTAGTTCCCGATGCTCATCGACATAGTACCCGTTTCCCACCTCCAAGCCGGAGTACGCATCACGCATAAACCGAAGTCTTGCAAAAGAATTTGCAGAGAACGAGAGAATACTTCCATTGATGGTACAATATTTGTCAAACTATGAGTCTTCAGAACGCACCCAAGCGCCGTCGCGCACCGCGTGCCTCACAGGCTTGCAATGCCTGCTCAACGGCAAAAACTCGATGCGACAACGGCGAGCGCTGCCAAAGATGTCAGCGCCGGAATATAGCTTGCATCAGGCCCCATGCAGTCATCAACGATGAATCGACGGGCGTGAAAGACAGGGATCAACCGCCATCCATGCAATCTATGCAGTCCTCGTCGGGTCAGGGCTCTCAAATATTAGACCTTCCAGGAATGGAAGGCATCATCTTCGGTTCGACAGAGCAAGAACCTCCGGTTCCCACTGTTTTGGACTTACTACAACCTACTCCATGCGAACTTACAGGTGTAATCATTTTTCATTTCTCCATATACTGTACTTCGCATTCAACAAGAAGCTAATCCTGCATCCCCAGAACCTCCTTATCAGAGTCCAACAAGTGTTTTGCCGGTGGCTTCAAAATCCATGGGCGAAGACTCTCTGGACTTTACACTCCCTCTTGCCGACTTCTCAGTTACGCCGTTTATTTATGATATATTCCCCCTGCCGCAGGATACACCAAGTGACGGTTTTGAAAATCTTTTTCACCACGAACCAAATTGCTCGACTGTGACAGTCGCATTTCAGAAGATAGTCGGCCGCTGGGATCCTGACCTGCAAAACCACCGCGCGGCAGAGGAGGGAAATATTTCCTTGAAGCCCGCACCCTATGCAGCCGACACAAGCTCGGTCTATACCAGATTTCCCTTATCTCATCAATCGGTATCTCTCAATACGAGGGACGACTTATTAGCTGCCATACTAAAGAACTGTGAGCCACATAACGTCACAAAAGTAGCCTCGGCATTTCCTTCACCGCAAATTATCGAACAGCTCCTACTGCGATTCCTCGACTCGCATTCTTTATTAGAAGACACATGGATTCATGTTCCCACATTTAAAGTAGATGACGCACCGCCGGAATTACTGTTATCCTGTATTGCATCATCTGCTATGGATTCCTCGAATAATAACTTTCGAAGATTTGGGAAAGCTCTTCATAGTGTTCTTCATCCACATCTTTTCCAAGTGGTGAGAGCAACCTCTTTCTACCTACTGTTTTGCGATCAGCTAATAACGCTTTGCCAACAATCAGTTCGAGAAACATATCATCCGTACTCGCGAATTGCAACATATCCAGGCTCTTGCGCTCTTTATCGAAATGGGCCTGTGGAGTGGGGACAGGCGAATGATGGAAATATCAGAAGCCATTGTTGGATCTGTACTTCAAGTAAATTTCCACACATTCCTCGTCGCTGAATAGTAGGGACTAATCCCGTGCAAGATGCTGAGGTCTGGTCGTCATTATCGATTATCAACTTATAATGTAATCGTGCCAGATTGTTACGATAGTGGTGATATACTGGAAAGTAAATGGCGGAAGTGGTTGAAAGAAGAGTCATTTAAGAGGTTTGTGCTCAATGTCGATTTTCGCAGCGTTGGAACTAATTCCTGCCCTAAGACTGGTTTTTCACATGCAAATACACTGCTCAAAAGAATCCTTAACGACTGGGAACAGGTCGCCTCTCTCTTATGCCGAATTGTCGCTTCCACTCCCTCAGCATCGGCAGCTCTGGTCAGCAAGCACGGCATTAGATTGGAAGGAGACCTTCCTACGTCTTCACCATCGTGGACAAACTCAGAAATTAGTACTTCGAGACTGTCTTATGGATCCGTCCAGAATCCAGCTTCTATCGAATCTATACGATTACGATCTAGCTCTGTCAATTAATCTTCATTGCATATCCTCTATGATTCGAGACTACCATCAAATTCAATTCGGTTCTACCTCTAGTGATCTCGATATGAGCCACTACAACTCGCTTGCCAATGAATGCGAGCAGCGACGAATACAACACCTTTTGCAGAGAATGAGAGCATTCAATGAGAAACAAACAACACGGTTTACGAACCATCATGCTCTGGTGATTGAGCTTTTATCTATGCACCTCCTTACTCCATTCGAACAGGTGGAACTAGTTGCCGGCCGTGAAGGCCAAGAAGAATCTAAATCCGCATACAAAGTTGTTCAGAACTGGTGCAGGCGCGACCACTCCCGGGAGGCTGTATTGAATGCAGGTCAGACGCTACGCTTCTTTTGCGAGATTCCACTGGAACAATTAACAGCGTTCTACGTCGTCGCAGCGTATCAGGCAAGCTTATGTCTATGGGTTTATGGACTTAGCACTAACATCAATCGTTCGGATCTAACGCAAGGAGATGTATCAACAATATGCGTCTTGAATACAGATAAATTGGTAGAAATCTACAGGTGGGCGAAACTCAATCGTGGCATTCCCACGATTCGTAAGGCCGCGATCAATAATGAGGCAGGAGGCCGTGATGTTGATATTCCGCTGTCGTCAACGCAAGAAATTATGCTCCATCTACGAGACATGCTACAGTTCAAAGTTCTGAGACACAAGTCAGATCCGCTTACTTTGGCGATATGTGATCTAATGTCGGCCCTCAGCGCAGTCCGTCCAGAAATGGTGTTTTCTTGGATTGCATAAGTGGTCACTTCGGAACTACATTATTTGCTACACAGTCGGTTTATGAAAAGCAAATATCGCAATCCCCCAAAGCTACATAGCAATTGGGATGCGAACCACCATCCAACAACGAACATTGTAACGACTTATGCCATCGATCGATTCATATTCACCTTATCCCAGTCTTTTCTGCTTCCAAGAAAAGTAAGACCAATACGGACCCGATCTCCACCTTTATCGCTTTTGAGGAGCATTAGGGCCACGGTTTTGAGGCGGCTTATGATATTCCGCTTATGTAAACACGGAATAACACTTTCCGTTGCTCGTAGAGAGACAAGTTAGGGCTTCTGTGAATAAGAGTTGGTTGTACTCTCAATATTTGAAACACAGTCACTTTTTTCTTCAATATTGAAACGACAACGATCCCTTCTCTCATACTAGCTCAATCCGCTTATTGTTCAGCACACAAGCAGAATGGCTCCCACCAAGCTTCTCCTCACCGGTGCTACTGGATACATGTATGTTTCATCACCTTTATTGATTAATATCTGAGTCACATCTGACAATTAATGCAGCGGCGGCACCGTTCTTACACAGCTTATTAACTCGACTATCCCAGAAATCAAGCAATTGTCCATTTCTGTCCTGATCAGAAACCCAGACCAAGCCGAGCTCTACAGCTCCAAAGGCATTACTCCCGTCATTTTCAGCGGTCTGGAAGATGTAGAATACCTGCGAAAAGTAGCGAGCGAGCACGAAATTGTTCTCCATACAGCAGACTCCACGAATCCCACCGCTGCCGAAGCTCTGATCCAGGGTCTTGCAGACAAACAAACAAGCAGCAAGAACAAAAAGTACTTCATACACACCAGCGGAACATCTAGTCTTGGTGATCAACCTGTGTCTAAGCAATTGATCGAAACCCGAGAATTTTCCGATAAGAATGATGATATATATAGCTACATGAAACAGCGCGAGGCCGTTAAATCATATGCTCAACGCGCCACTGATATCAAGACCGTCGAAATTGGAGAGAAGACCTCAACCGTAAACACTATCATCGTCAAGGCACCTATCATCTATGGCAGGGGGACGGGATTCTTCAACCAGAAATCCTTCCACATTCCGGTTCTCATCAAAGGCGCGCTTGCGGCCGGTCACGCTCAGTATGTGGGCGACGGCGCTGGTGTCTGGGATTATGTCCATGTTGTTGACCTGGCTAAGCTTTTCGAGCTTCTCGTTGCCAAAATTCTGAAAGGCGAGACCGATATATTAGTATTTGGAAAGAGAGGAATATATTTTGCCAACACTCTGAGGCATTCCTGGAAGGAGTTGGCGGAGGGCATTGCCAAATCCTGCTACGAAGCTGGCCGGTTTGTATCACCAAAGACGCAATCGCTCACCCTGAAGGAAGCGGCCATTATGTATACCGGAGGAGACGAGTACATTGCGGAAGTTGGACTGGCGTCCAAGTACGTTTATAACCAGTCTGTTTGATCTTGATTTTCTTATATGCTGACTTTGTTTTTCTAGCTCTCTTACAAATGCTGACCTGTCGCGCGAAATTGGTTGGGCACCGAAGATGATGGAGGCTGACTTTCAGCAGAGTCTTGCGGATGACTTGAATCTTGTATTGAGCTCAGCGTAGTCATGTTCGATTTGGAGTTGATATGATTCGCAGTATGATTTCATAGACTCTAACTCTTACTGGGGTTCAATTTAGGGTTCAAAGCTGTCTACACCGCAACGACTTTCCTTAGATCCAAGTTGTGTTTACTGGACCGGCACTTATGATATAATCTGTACGAAATAGATAGAAAATATGTACATTTTATACTTTTAGAGGTTGTTTTGAATTTGGAGCTTCGAGACACTTTTAACAATCCTTCACGGTAGGCTAGGGGTATTGATCAGGCTCACCAGCTGATGCATTAAGCCCTGATTCCGCTTTCTATCTTAAAACGCGAATTGCAACAAGTCATGGCACCATCGCCGCTTAGCACCCCCAACTAATAGTTTACGTTGTATTCACTCATCATATGCGACTGAATCCTTGGACTGACCAGGGTTTGTCTCGACTAAAAGATTCTAGCAATCTAATGTGTCCCTCACTACTGCGCCGTAAATGTCTAACTTGGAAAGTCTCTCCTTTTTCAATGTTATCCTCGCTACAGAGTACAGCATTATTCAGCCAAGATTTCGAGCAATTGATAGGAAGATATCAATGGACCAACCTTATCCAACATTCAAAATCGTGCTGTGGGGAGATGCAGGCGTGGGAAAGGTAATGGATACGGTTTCATTCAACGCTCATAAAAGCGGAGGCTGCTTTGCTAACGTCTTGCACATGGACTTGAAAAAACAGACATCATGGATTAGAAAGCTACTGTCTGCGACTTTTAAAAAGAAATATAAGCCTACAGACGGTGTAGCTGTGCACACGATACCTGTTTAAACTGTAAGCCTTCGCTCTCTTTTCAAGAATCTGGGCTGTATGGCCAATGACTGAGGAATAGACTACGGAACAAGCAATAAACTTTGACTTCATTGAAGTTCCATATAACAAAGATCATGAACAAGATGATGAGCTGTGGAATCACTACTCCCTGAAGGGTTCCCACCTAGACGCCGCATTAATCATGTTCGATGTGACTGCCAGAATAACATATAACAACGTTTCACATCGGTATTGTAGGTCATATCTCCATTGAAGCACTTCCAACCACAAGTCAATTGATATGAAACAATTATTGCGTATACTAGGGCATTTGTTACGACGTATCCTGTTGTATAATGGTCAAATTGTCCGAGATCGCGATCCCAGCAGTTTCCCCATTGTTCTCTGTGGTAACAAGGTTGATGTGAAAGCACGCAAAGTTAAAGCAAAGACCATCGCATACCACAGGAAGAGGAACTGGCAGTACTACGATATATCAGCGAAGAGTGACTATAACCTGGAGAAGCCACTGCTGTTTTTCGCTCGCAAGTTGATGAAAGATCCGAATTTAGTAAGTCTGTCCAGACTACGTGTTGATTTAATCTGAGAGTATCACTCACAGGAGCTCTTGCCGTCACGAAATGAAGACTTGAAATACATCGAACCCCAAGAAAGCGATCAGGGAAATGACAACACAGGTATAAGCAGACATTACATTCTCCGTTTCGCGGTACTGACCTCCCTTGTATCATAGAAAACGAAAATCTGGAGCGCAATGACCATGATCTCAAAGAAAACAGCACGCCGATTCCCAAAAATCTATTCATTCTCTGCATCCACTGCACCAGAACAATCTTCATCAAGAAAGTCCACCTCCCTTCCAATTCTGCCCACTCATTCGCGACCACAACATGTCGAACCTGCAAAAAGAATCTCGAGAGAAACGAATCAACCGCCCGTCTCGTCAAAAACCGACTAACCGCTGACCTCATCCGTTCTACTCGTGTTTACGAATGCTGTAACCAAATTGCGGGCAATGATGAGGAGACTATTGTAGACCTACTTCTTGACAAGATGGACGAGGACGAAGAGCCACAAATCGTGTCGTTCATTTCGATTGATGATCTTGCAGATCGAGTCAGCATTCGTGATCGCATCTTCGGCGTTAGCAGTGAAAAGGGTGTGTTGCAACAGTCTGGGAAGTTGAGAGACGATTCAATGCTATTGGTACCTTATGTATTTGGAGGCTTTCTTTGAATCTTACTTTTCTTTAAATGTGACGATCTACGTGAGTGGAAATGAGTATAGCATGGAAAGATATTTCAATGTTGATTTGTCTGACTCGCAAAATCGCTGGATTAGATGCCACAACAGTGAGAAAGACATGCAAAAACAGCCCGTATCCAGTTTCTAAAACATAATACATAATCATCGAAGTAGGCGTACACATAACAGTAAGGCTTGAGGGGGCATAAATACATAGATAACTCCCATTCCCAAATGAGGCGATTTTGTATGGGGTAATAAGAAAATGTGCATCATGAAGTAGAAGAAAAAGAAATAAATCCCATTGTATCCGATGTATCCAGGGTACATATAATAAAGTCGTAAAATTCAAAGTCGCGTTTTTCGGGGGTTTTTTTTTCGTCTTAGTGGTGATGATTACTCCTCATCCGTCAACCGACGTAGGATACTAATACTCAGTATCATAACGAGTAGTCCTATCGTCACGACGACAAGAAGACCAAAGCCAAACCAACCCAACACCATGGCAGATGATCCCACGCCACTTTTCAAACTGCCGTTCGCTAAGTTTTGCACCATTGAACTTGCTGCAACTGATGCCGTATGTTGCCACAGCACAGATACAAGCACGAATACGGAAGAGATTCCGATCAGGGTCAAGGCGACTTGCGATACGGGTCGGGAGGGGAAGGGTCTCACTTCGCGCTCGGAGCCGCTTGCGTCGATTTCTTCGTGCCAGCCTGGGAATGTGGCTAGGAGGATAAAACAGAAAAATGCAAGGACAAGTGCGACGATTCTATAATACATGTTAGCATATTTTCTAGTTCTAAATTCTGAGGGAGAACTCACATTAAATAAGGAAACACAACAGTATCCTTAAATCTCTCCGCTAACCAGATCACATTCAACGGATCTTGATCAACAGTGACAATCTCCGCCAGCGCCGTGGCGTTGGCATTGCAGATGAATGCACCGTTATCGGGCGAAATGCAGATACCGAAGAAACCCACTCGGACCTCCATGGTCGCACCTCCGATGATGTTCGCAATAGCTGTTGATACACCTGGATCCACTTGCGCTGGATCAAATGTCGGTGTATATTTCTCATAATATATCGATATAAGAAAGATGGTGGGTATCTGTGGTGATGAGGAGGAGCATCCAGCTAATAGGAGAGCTAGAGAGGGGTTAGCTGATAGTCACGGTGTATTGGTGCAATACAGTACTCACATAGTAATATAATAGCAAGTGCAATCAAAATCATAAGCACATGATGGTATCCCACCATCTGGTATATCCCTGTTTCAACATTAGCATCAATGCATACATCGCAGTACATGATCTAGACAAACTTACTCGAAAATCCCTCTTGGAAGGCCGGCATCTTGAATGTATAGATGTGATAGCCTCGATATTCTTAACAAACTTCCAATTCCGTCGATGACCTCACTTCTCGTTCCTCCGAGAAGGAGTCTGAACTGTGAAAGGGGAAAGTGCCTCTCAGCACAAGGAGCTCGTTTGCTCGCCCAGTTCAATAGTCAAACAAAGATATGTGTCAGATCGATCGTTGTCTCCCACGTGCTGTTCTGGAATTCGCAAGACAGACTTGACAGCGGCACACTCAAGATATCTGGAATGTATAGTGGATGCTGAGGAATGCGACGATGCGATAGTATCAAACGGTGCGTGCCTGAGATACGGAGTTCGAGATCGAAGGTACGTAACGTATATATGTCTAGAGCAGCAGGTAACTCGATTAGATCAGTATGCTCACTTCAAAAGAACGTCAAGATACGGGTGTTTGTGTATGTGTAAAGATGGTAGAGCAGAGTAGATGAAGAAGGGAAAAGACCGTAGCTTTGTTCAGGAGAATACTTTCCACTTTCTCAGGCTTCAGTAATCCAATGTAGAACCCAACGTCCAAAAGTGAAATTGAGGAGGCCGGACAAGTTGTGATGGAGCAAGTATCTACAAAAGCTCCAGTGGTGGCTGGATGTCGCATCGCAAAGAGGTAGAGTAGGTGGCTGGGCCAACGAGCATTGTTTACATACCCGTTGCCGGGAGACGGGCGTTTTACCGCCCGGCAGAAAATGCCACTTTAAAGACAGCTTTAAGCCTGATTTAGTATAGTCGCGGCTGCACGGTGGGGTGCATGAAGCCTGAGGCAGATTATGGACCCACTCTTGGGGTTTAGGCTTGAAGCTTGGCGTTTTTGCTGGGGCCGATCGATCTGAGGTCATTTTAATAGAAAGGTGCTCATATTTTCATACTCCGTAATGACTAACTATCCAATACGCCAATAGTGACCAGGACAGTGATACAAAGCAGTTCCAGTCCCAAGCCCAATACTCCCGCCTACCAAAACTCCTGTGCAATGCTTCCGACACAATGAATACCCCATTATTATCATATCAATATCCGCTATTTCGGAATAAAAGAGAATCGCTTCAAGTTCAGCGCCTTTGGCCGTAGATTGCTGTCCAAAGCTTCTTCTGACTCTTCCCCATCGCTGCTGGGAATTATTTGATCTTCGCTTCCTTGGTGGTTGGCTTTCAGATCAGCCTCTTCAAGCATGTCTCTTGCTAGATCAGACTCGTGGCCTGAGTCACCAGCAGCTTTCGTCAGCATCTGCTGCGTCGTAATGGTGTCCATGGATTTGGACCTTGATAGTGCACTTTGTCCCAGTCTTTGAAGAGGAGTAAGCCTGCGACGGAGTAAGCCACCTCGGTTTAGTGAATGTCCGACGAGCCTCGGCGGAGAGCGAGTATGCGATGTGGCAAAGGGAAAGGGCGATTGCTTCTCGGTCTGGAGAGGCACAGGTAGACTGGCACTTCCCTTGAAAACAAACTTTGAAAGCAAAGACGCATTTTGCTTTTGAACATGTGCCTTCAACACTTGGTTAAATAACTTTGGATCATCATCGATGGTGACAGATTGTTTCACGCTAATATTCTCCCCGTGAGTTGAAGTATCTGTCTTCTCCGTAAGACTGCCAACCTCCACGACAGAGCAAGACTGCCCCTCAGCACAATCGTCAGCCGGAGTCTGAGCCCCTTCTGGTGTGTCAAATGCCTCCGTCGAGGTACTAATAAGTGATGACTGCTCAGACTCTGCTTTATCAGTCGAGTTGGACGAATCAGGTGTTTCAGAAGAAAGTTGAAGCATTATGTCTTCGGCCAACTCATCTGAGAAGACACCAAACGTCGATCGTCGAGCTTTCTTTGTCCGCGACAATTTCTGGCCACTGGGACTGGGTTGTGCAGACGAGCTGGTGAAGAAGCGACTTCTTGCTTGTTCAGGTGGAGTCGGAAGTGTATCATCACCTGCATCGGAACACAGTCGCGGACGTTTCGTCGCAGGTGGCGCCGAGGAGATCTTGGCAGCTCGTGCGAGAAAAGATTCTCTCTCAACATTTCTAGGTGTGCTGCTGAAGTGACGACTCGACGAAGCAGAAGAATTCGAGCGGGTCAGCCCTCCAGGCGCATTAATGGGACTAGGCTGCCATGAATTGTTGGCATGACGCTCAAGTAGACGTTGCTGACTAGGAGATGGAGTGAGACTATTCGGGTCCAACTCAGCAAGAGGCATGCGTTTAGGTGTGAAAAACGAGTCGATGGGCTTGCGAGGCTTGAGTTCAGCAGAGGATGCTAGAGTTTGTCTTCTCAACAAGCCCGGCATGGCCCTTGAGGCAAAAGACGGAATATACTTGATGGTCTCCTTGGTCACAGGATGCAAATCGCCACATGCAACACCGACTGCGAGTTCTGGATCGTAGTCCGCGCCGATATAAGGCATCTCCTCCAGCTTCATGCCAGGGCTCGGGACAGTAAGGGTTACCAACTTTTGGGCGGTGGGACAGAACACACGCTGGTATAGAAAAGTGTTCTCTGCCTGTCTGAAGTTATCGAGATATCCAGCAGGAACTTGATAATTGCCTTCGAATTGAAGCACTCTCAAGACTTTCTCCACGTTCTTGTATTTGCGCATGCTGCGATAAGCAGTTTTCAATCCCATCTTCGGGATATTGGATAGATAGTCGCAGCCACTCAATATGCACATTCGACGAAAATCGGCATCAGTCCATCCAATGAGGCTGATATCCCTGCAAGCCGCGAAATCGCCGCGGTTGATCTCAATGCAGTCGCCGTGCTGGTCCAGTTTCGAGAGAAGTCGCTTAGCACCAAAAACTAATAAATCCGAATCCTCTGAAATGATACCGTTGATAATGCCCTGTTGTTCCAAATATACCAACTGGGCGTCTGCCTCGTACGGAGCGACGACGTATTGAACCTTCATTCGCTTCAACTCTTCAATCAGCTGTCGAGCCATTTCAGGTGTAACATCGACGGCTTTTTGGAATTCCTGGTATGCTTCTGCTACGCGACCTTTGCTTTGCAATTCCAAGGCTAGCTTTCGACTGTCTTCTCGTTTCTTGAATCGATCGGCTTCCGTTCCGGATTTGCTTGGTAGATCGCCGCCGTCAAAAACAAGGTAGGGCGTCACACCAAAGAACAAGAGCATGCGAACACGGTTTAGTACGAAGTCGACATGTCTGTTATCGTTAGTATATCGAACTTCGACTTGTGTCCCTATTGGTCAACCAACCTGGTGGTGGGCTTGCTCAAGGCCAGTTCCGTGGCGCAGGCCACTGTGCCTCTGTGAAGCCATCCGTAGGCATCAATCCCCAAGGTCTGCCCATCAAATTTCTTCAAATTACATGGTTTTTGGATGGATTTCAGTAGACCGTGAAGGCCTGTTCAATAAATGCATATTCAGACGATTTTGTTCACGATTAGTGGATATTTGTGAGGTGAAACGTACCTTTGATACCCATGTCAAGCGTAAAACCCGATAGCCGGTTTGTTTACACCAACATTTAGATAGTAGAGACCTGCATACAATGCACTGATGAGGAATCTGGTGTGCAATAAAATGTAAGAGTGAGGATATCCAAAAGGCGTGAAGAAGGATTCATCAAGGGCTGTTGCTAGGGCTGTGATGATCGTCTCAGTCGGAATGCTCCAGGCTCGTGAGGTGTTCTTGTACGACGCGCCTTTAGACGCGATGCTTATCGCCTGTGGTCTTGGCGGCGATCTGAATGGGATCGGGGGAATTCTCCTCATTGGCTCCCCGCTTTTGGCCTGACCGCCTTCTATTCTGCTGCAAAAAAAAATATTTGTGGCCTTGTACATGACCATAGTGTTTTTAGTTTTTACATTTGTCACTGTTCTAGAATAACTTTTGCCGCCTTATATTCAAGATGCCTCTCAAAAATCTCAGCAAAATCCAGAAAAAGCTGTCGAAGAAGCGCGGCAAACTCAATGCTTTACATGAAGACAGTCGCAACGCAAAAATACTTCGCCGAGCGTCAGCACGAGAGGACCGCATTGCTCGAGTCGCATCCTCTGCCGTGATAGCGCGACAGAGTTTTTGTAAGTATGCTGCTACGACAAGCGAGATATGGTCTGCTGACTTGACGGCAACAGTGGACCGAGCTTTGTACTTCCAGGAATGCTTGGAAGAACTCTCCGAGCCGATTGCCATGACAGACGAAGATATTGTTGAGCTAATACAAAAGTAAGTTGTACAAATACAGAATCATTTGTCACCACCTTCTATGTTTAGGAGAATAATGGCTAATTGTGTCTGTAGCTGGATTCATCGTGGCGACGAAGAGCTGAAAGAACTACAAGAAGAACGCAGAAAAGGTCGACCGCCCAGCAAACGAGAAGAGAACCTCAAGCAGCGAATCGCCACCGAGGAGAAGGAGTATAGATCAGGATTCTGGATGCCGGATGTCACGCAACAGGAAGTTCGCCAGCAATTGAAGCTATGGAACGGTCAATGGTCGAGTCTCAGCGCATTGAAGTTCATTCGATTCCTTGAGGGAGGCACTAAACAGCCGTCTACATTCCCGCCAGGGGGCTTATCATAATCCAATTAATGGTGTAGAGGGGAAATGATGTGTTACGACGTTATGCCGCTGTACGAATAGATTATAGACTTTTTTTTATAGCATCTGCTTGGTCAGGACTGTTCATTCGCATGGCTTCATGCCTTTTGCTCCTGCAAAATCCACCGTCTCTTGAACATCTCATAAAGAGAGTTCTGTGGAGTATTGCCAACTACTCCTGCTGACGACTTACATCACCATGTCGAACAATTTTCGCCTCTGATTGGAAGGACGAGGCAAGCTTGTAACCTAAAAGGGGATAGCGCCGCCCGTAGTTTTCCATAACTTTTTTGAGCTTCATCGAACATCATCAGTTGTCCATCATCCTCTGCTACATCTCTATCTCCAATCAACCTGATATTTGTCGCTAGCCATATCTATAAACCTTTCTCGCAAATACACAACCAAATACACAATGCTTTCTCTCCGTGCATTCACCCGTGCCGCGCCTCGTGCGTTCGCGCGCTCCTATTCAGTTGCCGCTCGCCCTACAACTGCTCGTCTCGCAACTGTCCAGCGACCCTCATTGCTCCAGAAGTCCTTCATCAGATGCCAATATCCCGCTTTCTCCACAGCCAGAACTTTGCGCGAACCTGCCGGTGAAGGTATATTCTCCAGGATGATATTGAAAAGAAGACCGATGGCTAACAGCCGTGTATAGTTGACGTCGAGCTTAGCGAGAAATTAGCGGAGGAACTTAGCCATGAACAGAGCTCTGGAGAGATGGAAGAACCTGCTGCTGTCATCAAGGCATACTTTGAGAGCAGCATTTGGGAGGTATGCGTTGGACGATGGTTCTTGAAAGTCATTTGGGCTAACTGATGGATTATAGGTCAAGGATGTTGCTGGAGAGCAAGAAGTTGTTTTGACTCGCAAATTTGGCAATGAAAAGTCCGTTCGCTATATTCTAGCTCATTAGCATGCACATATACTGACCCTACTATCCTATAGGATCCGCGCTACCTTCACCGTCTCCGACCTCCAAAACCTCGCTGAGGACGAGTTCGACGGCCTTTCAGAGAGCGATTACGATAACGTGAACCAAGGCCAACCCGGCGAACCCATCTCCACCCGTCCCGAAGACAGCATTTCCCCCGCCGACCGCGACTACGATGGTGAAGATTCCGGATTCCCCGTCCGCGTCAACATCACCATCGAAAAGCCCGGCAACGGCGCTCTCCTCTTCCAAACCACTGCCTCGGACGGCGCTTTCGAGATCCACGAGGTCTCGCAATTCGACAAGGCCGATCTCGCGGAGGCCGAGACTGCTGAGAAGGACTGGCACCGCCAGAGCCTTTACAGTGGCCCTGCTTATAACAATCTTGATGAGGATCTTCAGGTTCTCTTTGAGCGATATTTGGAGGAGCGTGGTTTCAACGCTGAGTTGGCCAACATTATTCCTGATTATATTACCGTCAAGGAACAGAAGGAATACACCCGCTGGCTTGAGAGTAAGTGTCCCCTATTTTTCTGAATAACATGTTACTAACCAGTTCACAGCCGTCAAGAAGTTCGTCTCTGCTTAATTATTCGGTACTCGTTCCGTCCGTCGCATAATTCATGATCTTCACTCTTCTCTTTTTGTCTTATCTTCAACACCTTTTACCAATATTTCTCTACGTGCATTCGACCCAATGTTTTCCCCCACGCACCCGTGCCCTTAATCGCCGTGCCGGTTCGGCTCAAACATATGTATCATAGAAACCAAATTTAATGCAAACATTATCATGTCTATTCCGAGATTTGTAAGGCTAAATCTAGTATGATTATATATGGTAGGCCAGTATAATTCTGCCAAAGCAAATGGAAGAATGCTGGTGAATCGGTATCAGTCAGGCTGATATCTCTGCCGGGCATGTTGCAAGCGTCTTGTCCTTGCCGCAGAATCATCACGTCGATATCGTTCCCTCTCAGTCGGCCCAAGATTTTTGATTACCCTGCCCGATTCAACCCTCAGCGAGCCAGATACAGATCGGCCATCAGAGGCATCCGCCAGAGAAACTGACCTGCTTGTATGCGTTCTAGTAGCATCATGATACTGTACATGCCGATCCCAATCCTGAAGCGAGTTATACGGACTCCTCAACCACGAATTCAACTCGTGCAGAAACAAGCGCGCATTCGACCTTCCGATAAACTCCTGCAAAAGCTCCTCTGCTTGTCCTGCGCTCCCCTTGATGTCGACGGTACGCAGAATAGCAATGACGTATTCCAGCAAGAATTCTGCATTGTTCGCCCGTCGGTTTTGAAGTCTTTGTTCGCCTGGTCGAGGTCTGCCGCCTGACTGCTCTTCAGCTTCGGTATCGTCGGGATTTAGGAATTCAAAGACTTGAAGTTCTCGCCTGATCCATTTCCGGGCTCGAGAAACAAGGTTTTCATCGCGGTTGAATAGTTGTGGTGTGAGCTCGCGGTATTGCGAAAGACGATTGGAGCCCACCCGGAGTGAGAATAATTGGTTACGATAGACGTGGCGGCGCCGGGCCAGTGCGTCCTCGGTATCGGGAGTGTAGGGAGCTCGATGCTGGAACGGTCTACGTCGAGAACGCTGCCTGTTCAAATGGGGGCCTCGAGGGGCATGGGTTTCTGCGACGGCAACGCGGTCTTGGGGCGGAGGAAGAGCATAGAGCTTCGGACCTTGAGGCGATTGAAGGTCGTACTTAATCGCGGTCAATTCTGTTTTGCCTGGAAGTTATTAGATGAGTGATAAATGAGAGGTAGATGAGGAACAGCATACACAGAGGGCAGACGCGCCGCTGTTGCAGCCAGCTCGCAAGACACAAAAAATCGAAATTGTCATGTTTGCAGGGTATAGCGATAGCCGCCTCGCTGACGGCATCTAAGCATATGACGCAAGGACTCGTGCCATCTTCGTCTTCAAGCGCTATCTCTTGCAGAGTCTTGTTGAGAATTTCCTGTCGAACAGTCGCATCGTCAGCCATGAAACAGCCGGAACTGAGTGTATGTCCCGGTCACTGTTTATCCATAGTTCTTGCAAGAAGAGCAAAGAAGAAGAGGCGGAGACATCGAATCATGCGGCGACTTGCCCGCGGGTGGGTCACGTTTTTTTACCCCGGCGGCCAAAGCTTGGGTCTGCTCCTTCCTCGTTGGTTGCAGGAAATAATACTAACGCTTCATCGCCTCCCCTCGTTCGTGAGTCAACTTAACTCCCCGCTCATCTCTCATTCCTTCTTCGATTCCCTCTTCCCAAATGCCATGCTGAAGTCGGCCAAGAGTGTGGTGAGTGCAGTCGGTGCGTACAAGCAGCTACACAACATGCCGCTCAACGGAATAGCTTCGGCTTCCCATACCATCACCAATCTGAAGCGGTGGTCAGTCGCTGGAAAGGAGCTTCCTGGTATTTCAGTCTGCCTTCAGATGTGCATCGCAATTGCGTATGCACTTGCTCTTTGTTCTGAGCTTACAAGAAATTATAGCTGTGTCGCAAATCAAGACAATTCATGTGTACGACTTTGACAATACCTGTGAGTCTGCTGACCCTGATAGTTGAGCATGTTCTAACTTGAAACAGTATTCAGCAGTCCCTTACCGAATCCACAGCTATGGAACGGGTCGACAATTGGCTATCTTCAGACTTACGAGGGCTTTGCCAATGGCGGCTGGTGGCACGACCAAAACATTTTGTCGGCAACTGGAGAAGGGGCCGATATTGAAGAGACTCGCGCATGGGCTGGGTGGTGGAATGAGCAGGTGGTTCAACTGGTCGAATTGAGCATGAAACAAAAAGACGCTATAACTGTCCTCCTGACCGGACGCGGTGAAGACAATTTTACGGAGATCATCAAGCGCATTATTGCAAGTCGAAAGCTTGAATTCGACCTGGTCTGTCTCAAACCAGAAGTTGGGCCTAACGGTCAACATTTCGCGTCGACTATTAGATTCAAGGAGTCATTTCTCGAGTCTCTCATAAGCACATATCATCAGGCAGATGAGATCCGAGTCTACGAGGACCGAATCAAACAGTAAGTCAATTAGACAAGTTTAATGAGCGCATTGCTAAGCTTTACAGCGTCAAAGGTTTCCGTGAGTTCTTCGCAAAAGTGAATGACCGATATTCTCAATTACAAGGTGATCGGAAACCAATCACTGCAGAAGTCATTCATATCGCAGAAGGCACGGTTCATCTTGATCCAGTCACGGAAGTTGCCGAAGTGCAAAAGATGATCAACGAGCACAATAAACGATACCACGATTCAGCAGCCAATTACACAAAATCGCCATACGGAAGGCTGAAGATCAAGCGATCCGTTCTCTATACAGGCTACCTCATCAGCGAGAAAAATGTAAATCGCCTAGTATCGGAGCTTTTACAACCGGCTTTGCCCGTTGGTATAGCAGAAGGCAATGAAGTGAAGCCGCTGGCTAACATTATAATGATTACTCCACGACCGGCACCGAAAGCGATTCTCCGAAAGGCTGGTGGTTTGGGAAAGAATATTAGCTGGCGTGTGTCGGGCGTTGGTCATTGGGATCACAAAGTATGGGCAGCGCGAGTTGAGCCAGTATCTGAGAATGAGACTTACTACACTGAATCGTCTGTTCCCGTGGTTGTACTTGGACTCCGGCGAGGTGCACGACCAGTTGATGCAAACCGAATTCAAAAGTGGCAACCCGTGGATTCAGACATCGTGTTTGATGCTGTTGTTGGAGAAAGAGCTCTTTTGCGGGTCGATGAGGACAGCTCAGTGGGCAGTGATTGGGGAAATCATCATGGCAACAAAAATAACAAGAGACGTCATCCGAGTGATCGCCAAGATGAAGATACGCCAGCATCGACGAGGAGTACTCACGATTCCAATCCTTATCAGGCACTCGGTGAAAACGGCACGACTATACGTGCTCATCATGGCGGTCGCAATTATGATTCTAGTTCTCGGGGCCGCGGTCGAGGACGAGGCTCTGGTTCCGGTAGAGGAAGGGGGGCGTCTTCGCGCGGTGGTGGTCGTGGTCGTGGCCGGGGCGGCGACAGTAGTCGTGGGTATCATGGCTATAGGTCGCTTGACGAGCATCAGATGAATTCGGATAATGGCAACTATCACAACAACCACGACTCTAATGGCGGCGTCCAGATGATGGATTATTGACCTTGGAGGGCACCAAATGACTTTATTCTGAAAGGCCATATCGTTGAAACGTGCAAATCTATTTATTTGATAATACGATGAAGCTTTATGTCAAATTTTCGCAACCTTTATTTCAAACGTGATGCATACTTTGGCGTTTATCGTGGCGAGGGATGGTCTCGGCGTTCAATTGTGAGGTTTACGCGATTCGACTGAATTATGGCGAGAGTTATTCCTGACATATGTGATGGGGCCACTCTTGTTGAAAGATTCAGCCCGGTCAATAATAATTCCCTTGTCTTGAGTATCATATACTAAGCTTTCGGAGAATCCAGCTGTTTATATGATATCAACAGTAAGCGACCCTTTCTGACCAGAATAACAAGGGCTCATTGAACACGGGATCCGGAGTAATTTGACCGGGGTCCATACCAAACATCAAGAGCTTCCAAAAAACTTTTCAGAGGACAATAAATCAATTTAAATTAAGAGAGATTCGTCACCCGTGCGCTAATGGTGTTAAGAAATATCGAATCGGTGTTCCGAGGATTTGTGGGGATATCTGCCACTAAACATTGAAGTTTATCGCGATCTAGTTCTCGAGTGAGAAGTTACTTTAATGATCGACATACTCGGTCAATAAACATAGTTGACAATGCGCGCTGTTCCACATATTCTGGCTACTTGGTGGTACGCGGTTGTCGTTTGTCAGATGTGTGTTCTTAATGTCTTTAGGGCTATCGTCAAAAAGTGCATCGGAAGAGAGAAGGCGCTTACGACAAAAGTGCAAGTCCTGGCATGCGATAGGGAACATGAAACTTGAATAAACAGTCGGAAGAACCGGCTAGTTCCCCTGAAATGACAGCACGTAGTGTGAGTAAGAATATGCGCGGATGTCGGAGTATCGCAATCTTCGAGGGGGATTGTTACACAACATTTGAACTTTTACCTCAAAGTCTTAAACAGAAAGCTGACATTTCCACATGCTGCACACCAAATGAACCACCATGCAGGCACAACTAGCTGGATTGACTATTTGAGAACCTTCGGTGAATCCCCTGTCATAGTTCCTGACGAATGCGTACAGGTACTTCGGGAAGCTCAATTGAGATTTTCCGCGGAATCAACACACTATTGAATCAAAGCATTAAATACACTTCGTCTTTATTGCTTCGTCAAAAGCAAAGAAAGAAGACAAGCGACACCTCCTCAAACGAAAGAGAAACAAATGGACAACTAGCCAAACGGAGTACGGAGTTTGGGCAAAATCATAATTCGTCAATTCGACAAAAAACAAACTGATTATTATCCGTTCCCGGAAGTTCCAGGTACAGACAGTACATACAACTTACGACGGGGACAACTGCATTGGACGCTTATTACATGTAATGTCTACCTCATCTACGATCGTCATTGTTAGATTGCGTTAAACAAACGGAGTCGACAATCAAAGCGCAAGAAAATGGAATGTGATTCTTCAATTCCATGCGGAGTATTGTTTTAAGGATCTGCGATTGAGGTCGGATTTTGTGAAGATGGCTGCATTGAATTACGACGCACCCAGATTGTCAGCTTATTTTGAGTATATAAGGGGTAAGGATGTCTGGCTCGAAGCTTAATGTTTCTTTTGATTATTAGCAAGGATCAGACAAGGACAAGGACAAGCACGAGTTGGCAGAGACCTTCCTATATCACCCAAGTAAGTCACGATTGATAGATGTCAGTTCAGCTCAGTATGTACTTACAAACTACACCAGATTATAAATTATATATACAGACAAGATGAAATTCATCTCTGCAGCAACGGCTTTCGCCCTGCTGAATGTGGCCCTGGCTGCCCCCCATGTCCCTTTCGCCCAAGAGCCGGCACCTGCTCAGCCATCCGAGTTCCCAGTTGAGAAGCGTCAATTTGAGTTTCCTGCTCGCCCTTCTGGTTCCGCCACTCCCAGCTTCCCGGGCTTCGAGAGTCCTGAATTCGAGCGCCCTGCTGCTCCCTCCGGTTTTGCTAAGCGTCAATTCGAGTTCCCTGAACCATCGAGCTTCCCTRMACGTCCGGGYTTTGAGCGYCCTTTCCCCTCTGGCTTCGCWAAGCGYCAGTTTGAGTTCCCTGARCCRTCGAGCTTCCCTGAACGTCCGGGCTTTGAGCGCCCTTTCCCCTCCG